TAGTTGAGTAGCCTTGTTGTTACGATCTTCTGAGATTAAGCTTCAGTTGTCCGATTTGTTTGTGTTTACACACACAATCTCCCCTTGGTACTGGTCGACAGGAGTTGACTTGTATTTAGAGGAGTTCAAATCTTGCTGGATGTTATGTCCGGGTAACCTATATAGTTTGTGGTGATGGTATTACAGTAGTGGTATTGGTATTGCAGCAGGCGTGGTGCGAGAGACAACCCCGTCTGGCTGCGAAATTTTGAATAGTACGGAAGGTCGTGTCCGGTTCATAAAGTTTGTCTTTGACAAAACAAAATCTCAATCTCAATCTCAATCTCAATCTCAATCTCATTTTCGCAGCCAACAGTATAGGGCAAATTTGGAAAGATTTTTGACGACAAAGGGAAAAAGCTCAAAGGTGGTGGATATATACAAGGCATATGCAAGGAAGACAAGATGACATGGTTAGCGGAAGCAAAAAAAAGAAGAGATTGCAGCACGAGAGTTTCGCGTATGGTCTCCCACTACACTACTCGGTCTCGCTCTTAGCAGCTTAACTACAGTTGATCGGACGGGAAACGGTGCTTTCTGCTAGATATGGCCGCAACCGTAATACTGACTTTTCGAGGTGGTTATATGGAAAGGTTGGCGGCGCAGGGGGAGGGAACTTGGAATAAAGTCGGTTTTCATAGCTAGGTGGAGACCCGTGGGGGTCACTACGCACTACGTACTACGAGAGCAGGGAGAGCGGAGGGAGAGCAGGGGGAGAACAGGGGAGGGGAGGACGGAACAGGAGACATGGGGACTTCGGTGGGTGTCTGGGTATATGGGTCAGAACAAATCAAATCAAATCAAAACAAGACAAACAAGACAAGACAAGACAGGACAAACAAGACCAGGCGAATTCAATGGCTGGGTATGGCACAGTATATAAATGGACAAGAGTGCGGAGGACAAATTCGGTGTGCGCGGTTCAATTTCAAAAAAGTTCGAGTTTCTGCGAAGTGGGAGAATTTTAGTTAGAGGAAGATTGCTGCAAAAGCTGAAAATACTAATTTTATGTAATAGTCTAGTTACTAGTTCCATCAACCGGCCAATCAGCCTTTTCACCATAGTTCCAATGTACTGACTTGGTTTGTGTGTACTCCTTTAAACCCTCAATACCTAACTCACGACCAAATCCAGATTGTTTCATTCCTCCAAATGGAACAGCATTACTTAAAGCAACATATTGATTACACCATACGGTACCAGCGCAAAGAGCATGGACCATACGCATGCATTGAGAAGCGTTTTGAGAGAAGACACCAGCTCCAAGCCCATATGGGGTGTTGTTTGCTTTTTCAATTGCCTCTTCTTCTGTTTCAAAGGTTTGAACAGTGAGGACAGGACCAAATATTTCTTCATCAACTATTTTCATACCTGGTTTACAATCTGTGAAGATAGTTGGTGGAGTATAAAAGCCGTTTTTGAATTTAGACAGCAAATGTGCAATTCTTGCTTCACCTCCAGTCAAAAGTGTGGCACCTTGTTCGATACCCGATTTGATGTAGCTAAGAATCTTTTCTTGTTGTTGTTTCGAAACCTGCGGTCCCTGATAAGTCTTTATGTCAAATGGGTCTCCAATAACGTGAGACTCGAAATTCTTCTTAAGCTTGGAAAGGAACTCTTCCTTGATCGATTCTTGAAGGAATAGCCGGGATCCAGCACAGCAATCTTGACCATGATTGAACAAGATCCCTTGACTTACCCAATTCACTGCTTGGTCAATATCTGCATTTTCAAATACAACGACGGGTGATTTACCACCAAGTTCAAGAGTCACCTTTTTAAGGTTGCTCTTAGCAGCAGACTCCATTATCGAACGACCAGTGATGGTTGATCCAGTGAAAGCAATCTTATCAATGTCCATGTGGGATGAGATAGCTCTCCCTGCCACTGAACCCAAACCATTGACAATATTAATTACACCAGGGGGGAAACCAGCTTTAATTGATAGTTCTGCCAAAACAAGAGCGCTTAGAGGTGTCTGCTCAGCAGGTTTCATAATAATAGTATTACCCGCAGCCAAGGCTGCACCTACTTTCCAGGCAAACATTTGAATTGGGTAGTTCCAAGGAATGATTTGACCACATACACCAATTGGTTCAGGTCTAGTAAATGCTATCTTCCGCCCTTCTTCTTGTTCAATGGTGCGACCTTCAATTTTATCAGCAAGACCAGCATAGTAACGAAGACAGTCGATACTATCAACAATATCTATATCACGAGCCATCCAGACTGGCTTACCATTATCAAGACTTTCGAGTTCAGCTAAAGTATCGATATTCTCTTGTATCAAATCAGCCCATTTATGGAGAGCAGCACTACGTTGAGATGGCGTACTCTTCTTTCCCCAAGTAGTCACAAACGCTCTTCTAGCTGCCTGTACTGCATCATCCACATCCTCAGCAGTAGCAGCACTAACAGTAGCTAAATCTTCACCTGTAGCGGGGTTGGGAGTAGTCAAAACATTGTTCGACTTGGAAGGTCTGAACTCATTGTTGATGAACAATCCAGTGGAAAATTTGATTTCACGACCGCTTGGAGACTTGATTGTAATGGACATGGCTGATATAGGTGAAATAAGTTTATCTGAGTAACTATTTATAAGACAATTTTATCAGTCGCGGCAAAATTGCTGCGAAGACAATCTTATTAGTAGTGGCAAAATCGCTGCGGAAATTTCCCGGAGGTGTTGCGAAACATGGAAACTTTCCGAAGATAAGATCTCCCCAACGGTGAATATCCGTGTTGATTTGACAAAATATATTCATTCAATTATTCAGTTTAAAAGATGTGGATATTCTCTAAAGATTTCTGCTATTGTAAGAACTCAAAGAAATGGTAAAACTTGAAGGAATTATCGCTGCTGTACCCACTCCTCTCACTGCTGACGGAAAGTCAGTCGATCTTCCTAACATTGCAAAACAAGTTGAAAGATTCGTTGATGGTGGACTTCATGGTATTGTTACTACTGGGACAACTGGTGAATTTCCATCTTTGACCATCGAGGAACATAAAAGCGTTATCAAAGCTTATATTGATGCCGCAAAAGGAAGACTAACAGTTATTGCAGGATTTGGAAGTAATAGTACTGACCGTGCAATTGAGCTAGCTCAATTTGCTGAAAAGTCAGGTGCTGATGCCCTTATGATTGTTCCACCATTTTATGACCCACTCCCATTCAAAGCCCTTTACAAGTTTTATGAAGATGTTTGTGGATCGGTTCAAATTCCGATTATGTACTACAACTTACCAGGGGCCACTGGTGTTCATCTTAGTGCAGAACAAATTAGAAAATTAGGTGAAATCGAAGGGTTTGACTACTTGAAGGATACTTCCGGTAACGCTAAGGAACACGCAGATCTTCTTACAAATCCAGTTGATAACATCACTATATTCAATGGCTGGGATACTTTGAGTTTCTTTTCAATGGCTCATGGGGTACAGGCTAATGTTTGGGGAGTTGCATCGATAGTCCCAAAAGAATGCGTTGAATTCTGGAACACCCTCACTATAGAGAAGGACCTTGAAAAAGCCAGAGAACAATGGAAATTTCTTTGGGCTGTCAGCGATTTCTTGGAAGGTGTTAACTACCCAGCAGGCATCAAAGCAGGTCTCGATATCATTGATGAATCTGCAGGCCCAGTTAGACTTCCAACACTTCCTTTAGAGAAAGAAGAAATTGAGAGGTTTACAAAGATCCTTGAAAGTAGAAAGTATAAGTAAAGTATCTAATAAATATGTTGTCCGGCTGTCACTTGTAAAATAACCTAATACACTGAGAGAACTAAAGCGTCACTTGCCAAATAAATGGTATGGAGTGAATCCATGTTCTTCGCGAGAAAAGTGGGAATGATATATAATAATGGGAAGCTTACAACCATGCAAAACCACCCAATGCTAATAACAGATAGGTGTTAACCTTCGAAACTTTACATTGGATATACAACCCCCCCTCGTTTTGTTTCTCAATAAAGGGGAACAATATAATCTCCGCTAACTGCCGACCCCGTTCGGAGTTTTCCCGTTATATTTCAAATCCCGAAGGCCATAGATAAGAGATGATCGAGCCCAAAAGTGGAGGTTAGAATTTGCCCTACATCCTTATCTACGAATTTAAACACGTTTACATCCCTTATACATATTTTCAAGGTTATTTGTTCAAATGATCAAGAATTTTACTAGGTTCACAAGAATCAATAAACCGAATTTTTTGAAGTTCAGGAGGGCTAAAGTTACTGATTCAAAAATTGAAGATGGTGCTGATATTCTATACTGGAATCGCTTAACACAGAGGCAAGTAAAGTGGGTATCGCTGACACTTATTTCTTCCATAGTTGCTTCTGGATCATATTATTGGCACAAACAGTATAATTCAATCAATAATGATGTTTTTGTAACTGACTTGGTTCTGGTGGATGAAGTTTTAAGGCATAATAAACCTGATGATTGTTGGATTGCAATCAATGGAAAAGTATTCGATGTCACAAAGTTTTTACTTATGCATCCTGGTGGAAAGGAGCGGATATTGAAACTTGCAGGAAGAGACGCTACCAAGGATTTTGGGCAAATACATTCTAAGGATATCTTGGATAAGATGGTAGAGTTCATAGACCTCATCGGAACATTGGATGGAGAATTTGAAGAATTTGATACAGAAGAAGATCTTATTATCAGAGAAAACATGGCAAATAAACCAAGCATCAATTCTATTTTCAACTTGTCCGACTTTGAATATGTTGCAAAGAAAGTCCTTCCATCCACCATTTATACATACTTTTCGACTGGGGCTTCTGATGAGTTTTCTATGCGAGAAAACCATTATGCATATAGCAGAGTTTTCTTCAGACCCAAGATTCTTCAGGAAATTGGACCACCCGAGACGAAGACTCAATTCTTTGATCTTGATGTGAGTATTCCGGTCTATATAACTGCATTTGCTGGGGCAAGGTATGCTAATCCACTTGGTGAGAGAAACTTACAAAGGGCAGCTTATAATGCTAACGTCATTCAGATGGTTCCCAAGTTTTTGTCTTACACACTTGATGAATTCTTCAGGGAAGTTCCAAAAGATCAAAGACTTTGGTACCAGTTGCAATTCGATACCCAAGAAGAGCTAGACAATTGTCAGAACACAATCAGAAAAATTGAATCATACGGCAACGTTAAAGGTTTATTCATTAACGTCGACTTAGCAGATTTGGGTAACAGAGAGAAAGACTCTAAGAAAAGATTGGAAGATCTAGATATAGCAACAGAGCTTACCGCATTTGCTAATAATGGTAATGTCAATTATCCCAAAAGTTTCAGTTGGAAAAATATAGAGCAAATAAAGAAGATGACAGATATTCCAATTGCATTGAAAGGGGTACAAAGAGGCGAAGATGTGGTTATTGCTGCTCAAAAAGGTCTCAAGGCTGTGATTATTTCCAACCATGGAGGAAGACAGTTGGATTTTTCAAGACCTCCATTAGAGGTGTTAGCAGAAGCTAACCGAATGTTGAAAGAGAGAGGGTTACAAGACAAAATTGAACTTTATGTTGATGGGGGCATCCGTAGAGGATCCGATATTATTAAAGCGATTTGTTTAGGGGCAAAAGGTGTAGGGCTTGGTCGTCCTTTCTTATATTCAATGGCTGGTTACGGGGAAGAGGGTGTGGCCAAGGTTTTCCAAATACTAGAAACTGAAATGAAGAATAATATGAAATTACTTGGAGTGGATAAGATAGAAGATCTAAATGAAGACTTAATTGATTCTTCTAATTTGAAGTTTCGGAGTGCAGTCGTCAACAATGATCGTCTTTATGATGGGATTTATGAAAGTTTAGGACCACCAATTTTCAAAAATTCCGTTGTTGGTAGGGTGTAGGTCAATATACAAATCTTTTAGCCCCAAACCTCTTCCTCTAGATCTCTGTTTTCAATGGTTTTTTGATAGCTGTATAAGATTCTGCTCAATTAGAGGTGGTCTTTTACATACAGTACTTCTGCATGAACGTCATACCGGTCTTAACTGAATGACACACAATCTTATAATTTGATTACGCAATCTCCTATAATTATTGGCACACAACTATGTGAAACGTATTATTGACGATATTGACCGGGATATAAGATGACCACATGAAAGCTTAACAAATTTAACACGTAATCGTAAACTAGAGGATGCCCTCCCCCCAAGTTTCTAAACCAGTAGCAGATGATTGCAGTTATGCAACCAATTGTTGCAAAACGTAAATCTCTCAAAAAAACTTATTTTAATTGAAAATAATACACTCTCTTTATGACATTATTTTTGAATACTAACAAATATATATCAACATATCAACATTATAAAATCTTCCTATTTGGAAGTAGTCCTAAATCTATATCTATAACTGAATTTGAAATTACCAAGGTAACTACATACTTTCTCAATGTTCGAACAAATAATCAAGACGTTTGTTACCATCGTCATGATGTTTGGCCAAATAGTCTTCCTTTTCTTCTTCGGTAAAACTATTCCACTTTTCTCTCTTGGTTTTGTTACGCCAAATGTAGTAGAGCTTCGTCAAAATGAAAAGCACAATATTCATAGCCGCAATTCCAATCAAAACTCTGTTCCCACGTTTATAGTAAGGTGCATCATCAGCTCTGTAAATATTATTTCCAATTATACCTGCTAATTGAATGCCAATGTTGGACATTGGAGCAGAAATTGCTCTGGCACGAACTGAATAGGAAACTCTAGAGCACCATGAAACTATAATGGCTTGAGCTGATGGTGTACTCAACACAAAGAATTCAATTGCATATTGAGACCAAGGCAGAAGTTTCTCCACAGACGTGTACTCTATAATAATGAATATAAGCAACCATATTTGTGGAAGAAGACTGACTAAAGCTCTCTCATTCAACCATTCACTTAACGAAGTGATAGCAATTAACGTTATACCCACAAACACTTCAATGGGGATATTAAGATAAATAATTTGATCAGTAGTAAAATTCAATGCCTTCAAATTAATATTAAGATAAGCTTTGATGGGGTTTTGAGGAATTTCAAACACCAATGAAAGAATTAATAATGGCCAAAGATCATAATCCAGGAGAGTTTTAAAGAACTGTTTGACTGTGACCGCTTCACGATTGTGCATATCACTTTTCGAGGGATCATCTCTAAGAAGTCTATTGGCAATAATCTTCTCTTGCTTTTCAGTGAATAAACCTTTGGGTATAAACCTAGTTTTAGTTTGAGTTGGTCCAGGAACCATAATAAAGAAAGAAAGGATTCCTAGAGCAAGAGTGATGATACCATCAAAAAGGAAAAGCCATTTCCAACTCTCAACACCATTCAAATCAATCTTCAAAAAGGCAATGGCAAGTAAATTACTTATAATCCCACTGTAGGAATCAGTGACCCAAAAAAGAGCCAATCTAATCCCCATTTGATCTCTGGTATAGAAATATGACAAATATTGAACAGCATCAGCAATGAAACCACCTTGTGCCAAACCTAACAAAAATCTCAAAGCCCAATAAGAGCGTTTTCCATTGATGAAGAATTGAAAAATCGATACAATGGACCAAGCAATGACTTGAAGAGGAATCCACCAATCTGGACCAAATCTTTTACCAATCAATTGAGAAGGAATCTCACTGATAATAAAACCAATTGATCTTAAATTGTTACCTAAATTATAATCATTTGTTGTCATCTCAAGGTCAACCAAAAGACCTCCAGCAACAGCAGAACTGAGATTACCTCTATCCAAATTTAACGCAAAAAACAAAAGTGCAACCACTGAAAAAATCTTCAAATCGGTTTGACGAGTAGCCTGACGATCCTCATAGTTTGTCCATCTAAAATAAGGATCAAACGCCTTAAAATTTTCCCAGTTTACAGTAGGGTAATATTTCCTAGCAACTTCAGGATCTGGATCTTCAAAAACAGATCTTCTGGTTGCAATTTTTTCATCGAACTCGGCATCCCTTTTTTTAAAGATGTTCCTAACTGATTTCAAATTCTTGATAAATGAATCTTCATAAGGTAAAGGTTCAGCAAGACTTTCAACATCAGTCGGTTCATAAATCTTAGAAGAAATTTGGGAATCAACAGAATTTGTTTCTGTGACGTCAACGCCTTTACTTTCGGCCATTCTATCTAAGAAACTATCGAGGTTATGATAGAGAAGCACTCATTAGTAATGGGAAGCTCACTATTATATAGACTTCGATTTCATAATACTAGCATACAGAGATAAATATGCAGCTCAGTGTGGCTCGCCGCCACCACCTTCGTAGTATACCAAAAGGCGCGATTGACGACTTTCCTAGTAGTAGCATTTGAATCCATAACAGTAAGAAGTAAGAGAGTGAGTGAACATTAAATGCCCATCCAATAAAGCTGATAAGATAACCTAGTTAGATTCCTTTTTGAGGATTCCTTAATGAAGAGATATCTATTAAGATTAACCTATGAAGATTTAACTATTAAGATTTACGTATGAATATTGACGTTAAAAAGATTTACGTATAAAGATTTACGTATGAACATTTAACTATGCGACGTTGCACTTAACGAGCCGTATAAGGAGTAAAGTAGACATTGACACCTTCGCAAGACGTAATTTTTGACTAAAATGAGTATGTCTCCGAAATTCCGTGAGTGCCACACTGTTTTATTTATACGGCATGGTTGAATAATCTGTCATATGGAGCAAAAAAACGTGATTTGATGCCGTATGGTTCTATAAAGAGCTACAACCCGCCATCTTGCATCAACACCGAAAATGACATTTGATTTTAAACTTCCTGAGCAGCTTCAAGCTCTTTTTCCGGATTACCACACCCCAAATGAGACTTCCCCTTACGAATATGCCAAAGCTCAAGGGGTACAATATCCCAATTATACCCCCTGGAAAATGGAGCCTCTAGAAGAGATTAAAGATATTGAAGAAAAGGGGAAATTGGCCTCAAAGGACAAATCGAGTTTACTCAATGCTGCAACCCTGGTCCGCAATATTACCCCTTTGACTGGAACCGAAATTTTAGGACTTAGTTTGGCCAAGCTTTCTGATCTGCAAAAGAACGATCTCGCTAAATTAGCGGCAGAAAGGGGAGTTGTGGTGTTCAGGGCTCAAGACGATTTGGATATTAGAGAACAGGTTCGGTTTGGATCCTATTTTGGTCCTCCACACATACATCAAGAGAGTGGTATCATCCCAGATATTCCTTGGGTTCATGCTGTATACAAGGATGAGAATTCTCATAAAGGGCTTCGATCCCAAGTATGGCATTCCGATGTGCCTTATGAACTCAATTCTGCTGGATTGACGACTTTGAGATTCGATACCATTCCTTCTCAGGGTGGAGACACCATGTTTGCTAATGGATACGCTATTTATGAGTCTTTAAATCCTGGATTCAGGGCTTATTTGGAAACTCTCAGTGCTGTTCATAGTGGGTACGGTCAGCTTTCAATTGCTCAATCAGAAGGTAGGACTACCAGGCGTCCTCCTCTAGAGACTGTTCACCCGTTGGTGAGAACTAACCCTATAACTGGGTTGAAATCGTTATACATCAGCGAGAACTTCACTACTGCTATTGTGGGATTGGAAAAGAAATTGAGTGATGTATTGTTACGTTATTTATTTGACTATGTTAACAATGCTCTTCAGTTCCAAGTCAGACTTTCATGGGGCAAACATGATGTAGCAGTATGGGATAATCGCTCCCATTTCCATACTGGGGTCTTTGATTATTATCCTGAGGTTCGTCATGGTACTCGTGTAATTGCATTGGCAAACAAGGCTTATTTTGACCCTAATTCTAAGCTTTTAAGTGAGTATGAAGGATAAAAGTATATAGCTTGCCAATATAATTTTACGTTATTCACTTTCGTTGAGTGGAACAGAAGTGTTGTTACGATTTCATTAGCATCGAGCCTAAACTGATTTATTTCTAATTTCTTCAAGAATCTTGACTATCTCTACAGATTGATCTACTGGATAAAGTTCCGTCTCTAAATCACCACGTTTAATGGCTCTAGCAACTTCGTTAGCTTCGTAAAAGTATCCCAACCCTTCAAAGTTTAAATCAAGCTCCCGTTCGGACTCGCCATGGACATGAACTATGGCCTTAGAAGGCCGCGATGCTCTGTCTACATAGATAGTTCCTTTGCTACCTTGAATTGTCACAGCATATGGAGGAGATTCTCCGTAAAAGCTTCCAGTAGCAATACCAAATGCTCCCAAATCTGGGAATGCCAAAACAACAGTAGCCCCTCCATCTACCCCCGATTTCAGAGCAACAGTAAGCCCAGTGGTGGTATAATTACTGGACTTGGAACGTAATAACCCAAATGTCCAAGTAATAGAATAAATGATACTATCGAAAAGCACTCCACCACCTAAGTCAGGGTTGAAGAGCCTTTGTTGTGGCTCATAGGGCACCAAATGTGAGAGATCAGCTGAGACTTGAATTATATCTCCAATGGTTTTTTGGTCCACTAAGTCCCAGATCTTTTTGGTTGAAGGAAGGAATCGAGTCCAAACCGCTTCAAGAAGGAACACATTGTTCTTCCTTGCACTTTTTTGCAAGATCACTGCTTCTTCATGGCTGGTGGTGAAAGTTTTCTCTAACAATACGTGTTTTCCAGCATCAATAGCAGATTTAGCAAGGGAAAAATGAGCTGAATTTGGGGCGGCCACATAAACCACATCAATGTCAGCTTCTAAGAATTGATTATAATCATCAAAAGTAGAAACTGAGGTGTCTTGATTCAACTTTAAGTCCCGGACAAATTGATCAGCTTTAGCTAAGCTACTGGTGGAGACCACCGCCACCAATACTTGTTCAGGGGCATTTTGTTCAAGTTTATAGTTTTCAAACACATCTTTAGCCCATTTTTGAGCGAATTCTCCTAAACCAACAATCCCCCAACGTGCCATTTTGTTTCAAGTTTATTCCGTAATGTTTTGCGATAGTTTATCACGAAGTTCAATCTAAGAATCGCAAACTGTGGCACATTTACGCAAATTGCAAGATAAAAGACGATTAATTCCCATTCCGTCATTCATACAACCTTTCCATTCGGTGATGACAGTTGAAAGAATTAATGGTGTTTTCAATAACCAAAAGGTGGAGTTGGTACCCATCGACCTTCCTGGAGCCAGAACAGTGAGAGGCAAGACTTATCCCATTGGGTTCAATATCAAAGCAGAAGGTGACGATTTTAGTTCGGTGGTGGAATTTTTCCGGAATTTGGGTACATCGGGTACTATATCTAAGCTTTTAAATGATCATGGTTTAGTGATTTTACAAGGGTTAGGATTTACCAGTCCAAAAAAATATTCGCAGATCGTGGAAGCAATTTTTCTGACTGACTACGAGCTCTTTGATCAAGTGGGTCTTCTCGCCACTAGGGAGGAAGTAGAAGACGGTGTTTCCACCGTTGGTGCTCAGGAAGATGCTAAGAAACATCTTGGTAAGCTTAATGCCCACCAGGAATTCTCACGGTACCTCCATTATCCTGCAGTACTTACGTTCTTCAGCAAGCGAGCCCCTACTCTCGGTGGAGGTGAATCCACCACTACTCACGCTACAGAATTACTCGATAAAGTATACGAACAATTCCCTGAGGTGGTACAAACACTATTTGAAAAGGGAGCTACGTTGCTGCAGACTTGGGGTCTCGAATCTCCTAAAATTTCATGGACTCACCCATTAGCATTTGGTCGGTACTTGGAAACAGGTGATAGTTTAGAAGTCCAAAAACAAAAGGCAATAAAGCTTGCTAATGAACGAGTGAGTAATGATGTAGAGTTTGTGGATGATAACCTTGTTGTTCATCAAAACAATAAGGTTGTACTTCAGCATCCGTTCAACCATAATCCCATTATTTTTAGTAGTCTTCCTACTTATTATGCTGGATATTATAATGCGAAAAAGCTGAATTTGCAGCCAAATGGTCCTGGAGTTGTTTTCGGAGATGGAACTCCAATTCCGGAGGATTTCTTGGACTATTTGTTCGAGCAATCTATAGAACTCGAGTACACTCATAAATTTGTGGATGGAGACCTAATACTTTTGGACAATTATTCGGTGTATCATGGCAGAAATCCGTATGTCGCAGGAGATCGGGAAATTCTTGCCAGTTTTTGGGACAAGAAGGATATTGTTCATCCTGGTGTTCCTGAAAGCTTACCGGAGTTGTTTTCTGAGCATATTTGACTTCAAATATCAGGGATGATAAATGACTGGTTATATATATAGAAGCTCTACTAGGTTTAGTCTACTTTTTCCAAAAATAACTAATTCGTTAACTTGGGTACAATTGTATAGTCAAAAGACGATTTTTTCATACCAATGAATTTGTAAATTTTTGTACACCTGGAGTAATTGAATCGCGTGTCATGATGAAGTTCAATCTAGAGCTGTGTTTCATAAACTCCAAAAGATATATCGAAAAAGTGACCAGGCGAACTTGAAAGATGATGCGATATTCATTTAATAGGTGCGGAATTTATCCAGAAAACAGAGTCTCTTAAGACTTCTCCCGGAAAAACACCGAAATCAATTCTTGCCAGGGTTTCGCTAATCACTTACCCCGGAAATTTTCCGAAGATACAAGATAGCATTACTATCAGGAAAGACCCCGAAAGCGCTTTTTTCCCCAAAAATATGGAAAAGAGATGAAACAAGAGCTAAAAACCTGAATTCCCGCTAGCATCTGATAAGAAACCCCAAGATAAGAAGTTTCTCCTCCTGTAACAGAATAAAAGCAGACTATTCTCTACGTAGTAATTTTATCCAAATATTATTTGCTCTTGAACCGTCATGTCTGGTTCTGGCCCCAAAAAGACTAACATAGAAGTGAATATAAAACCAGAGTGTAGCGATGAAAATCGTCTTGAGGGGGGGTTAATATCTTCAAATCAAGATGAGTATGATGTATTTGCAACCAAAGACAATAAGGATAAGGTAGATTTCAGAGGCCTTACTTGTTTTGGAGCAGCTATTTTAATCACTAAGACCCAAATTGGGTTGGGTGTTTTAGGATTACCATCAACCATGAATGTGTTGGGGTTTTTACCTGGTATGGTTTGCTTAATTGTGTTATGTATCTTGAGTACCTGGACTGGAGTGGAAATCGGAAGATTTCGTCTAAACCATCCCCTGGTTTATGGAATCGATGATGCCACAGACATGATATTTGGAAAATATGCTCGTGAAGTTATGGGGTTTGGTTTCTGGTTATTTTACACCCTTCTCTATGGAGCTACTTTACTTACGTTGTCAATTGCTTTCAACTCATTGACTGGGCACCCCATTTGCAGTGTTGCTTGGTCTGGTATTGGTGCAGTTGTTGCGTTGATTTTAGGTATTTCTATTAGAACTATGAAGGTTTTGTCTGCTTTAGGTTATATTGCCGTTGGATCCATCTTTCTTGCAGTATGGGTTGTAGCAATTGCTTGTTTAACTCAAGGAACACCAAGTGCAGCACCGGATCCAGATAACATCGACAAGATGATTAGAGTGGCTTCCACTGGTGTTCCTTTCAAATCTATTGCTTCTGCTATTGCCACTCAGTTACTCAGTTTAGCAGGCACACCAGCTTTTTTCACCATTCATGCAGAAATGAAGGATCAAAAACAATATATCAAGGCTCTTTTCTTAGGTCAAGGTTTTGTGGTTTTTAACTATATTGCAATCAGTGTAATTGTTTATGCTAAAGTTGGTCAATATGTTGCATCTCCAGCTCTAGGATCAGCTGGTCCGCTATTTCAGAAGATCTCATACGGAATAGGTCTTCCAGCACTTTTTTTTGCCTGTTTCTTCCAAGCCCATATTTCTGCCAAATATGCTCTTGTTCGTATTTTAAGAAATTCAATGCATTTGCAAAGTAACTCAAAAACCCACTGGGCTACATGGATTTCAATGATGCTGATTGTAATTGCAATTGGATTCGTTGTTGCTGGTGCAATTCCATTCTTCGATGATTTGTTGGGGTTGATTGGAGCTTTACTTGGGTCTTTTTTCACCTTGATAATTCCAGGCACTTTGGTTTTGTGGGAAATAGATAGAAGATTTGGGCCCGATGAAAAGTCCAATACCAGATGGTTCACCCTGTCGTTGAAGTATTGGAATTCTGGTAAACACACAGCAGCTTCAATATTCCTTTCTCACTTCTGTATCGTCAGTGGGATTTTCATTTTATTTACAGGTGTTTATGGTTCTATTGCATCCATTGTTGATGGTTATGCCGATGGCACAGTACTGAGTGCCTTTTCTTGTGCTGATAATAGCTGATAAATTAGCTAGCTCATTATGTGATTTATTTATAAATCTATCGTGATTATTGTAATCTTGTGAAGGGAGAAGCAGGACTAACCGAGTTTATGGAGTAAAAGCTGTGATTATTAACAATAATCGGTTCCTCTATTTCATTCCTTACACTTTTCATTTGTATGAGAATCACTTGCTTAAGACATTAGATACTAAATGGCAGATTAACCCTACCTAAGTAGCGTTCACTGGATTCTGGAAGTGGATAAAAGAACCACCGTTCTAGTTCAGCACCCAAACTCACCTCTGACCAATTGGTTACACCACTCATATCTTGTAATGGTTCTGCTTGGGCAGAGACTATAGTGAGTGCATCAACTCTATCTATCTGTGGGTCTTCGGAAGAAACCAATCCTTGGATACAACGAGAATCTGGTGTGCTATGATCATGAATTTGGCCATGAAAATGTGCTCTAGTAGAGCCGTCCTGGTTGTTATGGTTGGAGTGGGAATTATGAGACTCTACCGTGTCCTCTCTGTTCCTTTTTTGATTAGAGTCGACACTCGCCTTCAGTTCATCTGCAATGGTAAACGACTCAGAATCTATAGGCTTTTTGAGCATCGAATTAACCAAGGATGCATCTCTATCATGTTCCATAAAGTGTGTTTTAGCAGCCTCTTCGTTTGATGTATTATCCCATAACCTTAGGTTAGTTGATCCGAGCACTTCTGATTGCCCCTTGATAGGTATGACTGTACCATTTATTTGGGTTGGGCGAGACAAAGTGATGGTGTCTACTTTGGCGATCTGAGCCCATATACAACCTTGATGGGAAGACTGCTTAGGTAAAGAAGGAGCAATATTTGCAATAGTTTGAATCACACTTGATGAAATCATTTCAAAGGCATTTCTTATTCTATCATTGGCGCCTGTTTCCAAAGCAGACAATGTCTCCAACATAGCCGTACATGACTGGATTTGTTGGAAGATTTCGTAGAATGGAATACAAATTTGGTGTGAATTGGTTTGCTTCGCAAGCTCGTTCAATGAATTGGCAAACGTTAACCCACACATGAACAAGTTTTGAACCGTAAGCCATGAGAATACCGCAGAATACTCTCTATGCATAATCCTCACTAGTCTCATTACTTCACCCGCAGAATGGAAAGCCACATGTAAGGCATCAAGTGACAATTTGGGACGATTGGGAGATGGTCGAAACAACAAAACTACTGCAATATGAAACTGCAACTCAAACCATTCTTTGGTTATTAGAGGGGTGGGGTGTATGAAAGTACATCTCCAAAGTCTTAGCTCGTCATATGTCTGCCAGCTCCAAATTTCTAATTGCTCATTTGTAATCTTCGGACGCTTTGATGGAGCATATAACTGATTGTAAATCTCTGACTGTAGCCGACAAATACGTATTTGCTGGATATGAGAAACTTTTAGATGACACATTGGACCAGACTCTATTCCCTTCACCGTGACGAGCCTATCTTCAACCAAAGCTGGAACTTTTGCGGAAATCCAAGTATCATGAATGCTTGTAGGTCTACCCATAGACGTTGAGAGAATTCGGTCGATACAGTAACATGTCCAGAACAACCGACGACGTAGGTCCAAGCTCAAAGGATCAAAGTATTGGGATGGATCTGGTTCCCCATTAAGACCCATTTCTGTAGCTAGTCTCATTGCGGTTCCCGAGAGCTGCCACAAATTCCCCGTTTTGGGAACCAATAGAGTGTATTGTAAATGTAGCAAAATGTTCTGAAGCTTTGAAATACCATGGCCTTGGAATACTGAGCCGATGGTTTTATTGGCAGATTTCCAAAATACCAAGGCAATTCTACCAATTTCGGAGTTTGAAATGTGAGGCCGACTAATTGAAGCTAGCGCAATAGCTATTACCATTTTAACTTGAAAGAGGTCGACCGCAGTTGCTTTCTCAGGGTTATTTCGACACTTATCTAATTGGAGATGTAACATCACCTCGTGAAGAACCTGGTTGGCACTATTCATCCAAGTGAAATACCGTCTGGTTAGCCTTGTGAGTAAGTTGTAATCATAAGCAGTAATATCAGTGACCCTGTTCTTTCTGTATGTACGACGTCCTTGTTTCAAAAAGTCTCTTCCAAGTTTGGAAATGGCGTTATTCTCATTTTCAATGAATATCTCTCTCGGACTTTTACCGGTACTTGTGTACTGGCGAATGTTATCGAGATCACTCATTACCAGAGAAGCAGACCCTCCGTTGAAACTCGACGCTAGAAGGTTCTCCATAGTCCTTCTTCCAGGATCATAGTCCTCCTGATTTGAGTATATCAGTGAATCATCATCGTCATCAGAATCAGAATGGCCAGACTGGGGATCGAGTGTGGAGGAGTAGGGTGACCTTGTTTCCAGAATAGATGAATATTGGCTGGTAGATGTACGAGGCCGTTTATGGATCTGTGGACTTTCCACTTGTTTGTCAATGGCAGTAGTAGGCTCTTCGAAACTTTGTGGTTCTTCTCCTGTTCCGAAGAAATAGCTTCTCAAATGCGTTCTACCCAACACTTTATCTTGGTTCATGCAGTCCACCGTAGCCTTTAAACAATTGGAACATGAAGGTACGCGAGAGTCGCATTTGGTCTTCCGTAGACGGCATCGCTCACATGCTGGGATACGGCGGCGTTCTGATGTCTCTACAACCATAGCCCAATAAGTTCAACGGTAAAATGTAGGCTGCAAGTCGCACACTCTTATCAACGGAAATTTTCCGCGTGGTAATAATACATGATTGTTGAATGGCCGATACAAACCCCACAAAAAAAAGCTTAACTACAATTTAACAGGTTCAACCTTTCCTGCAGTTATGTCTATGTTTGATTTGTGTAGCCTGATACTTGATGAAGTAGAGGATGCAAAAAAATATGAGCGGTACGGGAATCGAACCCATGTCTCCTGCTTGGAAGGCAGAAATGTTAACCACTACACCAACCGCCCGATTGGATGATACTTTTCTCCTTCAAAGCTTTATATTGGACAACGTTTTCACATCACTATCAATTTCCATAACTAAGTACATTGCAACTTACAATACTTTCTAGATGACATCCAATACGATTTTTATTCTGAGAACTAATAAGTGCGAGTAAAACACTAAAAAACTAGCTTGCTTTTCCCTGTCTTTAGGCAGCTGTCTTAATTCTTTTAGACTTTACCACCTTTGTCTCAGCAAAGTCAACAGTCCTTTTATCCACCTCCACTTTCTCGGTTTTAATTGTAGTTGTGTCAGTGATTTGGTTAATGCCATTGTTCAAATCGGCCAAATCAGATGCAAAAAGCACCGACTGGGCCCATCCAGCGTATGGACCAAATAAGGTCTTGAAGAATCCTCTGATGTCTTCATACACTTGCTTGTTCATGGTCTTCAAGTCCCTCTTTCCCTTAAACCTGTAGTCTCTTATGGCAATTTGGTATACGTGAGTATCAACTGGTACAATCTCATGTTTATCAAGTGCCATCAAGCATATACAGTCAGCCACCTTAGGACCCACCCCGTCAAGTAACAAAAGGAACTCATGTGCCTCTTCATATGGACTCTTTCTCATTGCATGTAAAGTTTTCGTTGTGATATGTGGAAAACCATCATCGTCAACAAATTTGCAGGCAGTATTATAAATATATCTGGCTCTGTATCCAAATCCCAACTCCCGGAGCTTTTGCTCTGTGCCTGGTTTAGCAAGACTCGAAGGATCAGGAAACGAGTAGAACGATTCTCCTCCATACACGTTTATGAACTTTCCAAACTCACTGCAAAGACTATCACACATTTTGGAGATCCTCTTCACGTTATTATTTGATGAACAAATAAACGAAATGGTTGTCTCCCACGGATCTTGTCTAAGTATTCTTATACCAGGAAACTTCACAAACGGAGAGTTTTTGACCGATTTATTGTACTTTTGATTGACAATCAGCCAATCCAGATACAACTTTTCAAGACTAGTAGACAAGGAAAAATAGTCCATGATAAACTCAAGCGTTTCTGATTCCCTCAACTTGAGAGGTTTCATAGTTTTGTTATCCTCTTCCATGATCCACGAGTAGTGTAAATGTTCTTCATCTTGTCTTAAAAGAACGATTCTATCGGATGTGGTGAAGGACCAGACATGGTCGATGTTTTTCCATCTGAAAGTCTGTCCACATCTCAACACTCTTGATAACGACAACTCGACCGGTTTTAGAGGAAGGCTCTTCCATACTATATCTATAGTCATCCTGAATTTCAATTACTATGGTGATTTGAAAGTTTTCAAAGTCGCGTCGCAGCTTTTTTTATCTTATCATAAGAGATAATGGAAGAATGCCCTATATGCTCTCATTCTTTTCCTCTGAATGAGCTAGAGCTTCATGTAAACTCCTGTTTAGATATGGAAGAACAACGCAAAACCAAGAAGCGAAAAGTTCGAACTGAAAAGGCATCCAAAGAAAAGGCCAAACCTCTCAACCCGTTTGAAGCATTAGGTCTTAAACGTGATTCATTTGAAGATAGAAAGTCAAAAGCTGATAAGTCTGGAAAATCCGGTCCTTCTTTAACGAGTCTTCTCATAGAAGAAAAGCGAGTGAAAGCAAAGATTAAACTTGAAGCTGCTCAGTATGCTAAACAGACGGAGAGTACAAAAGTGCTGGAAGATGCAGAAAAAGATGAATTGCCAAAGAAAAATGTGTCATTTGATGTCCCCAAACCATTGAAACTTGCTCCACAGGTGATACCAGAACCATCTAAAATGGTTCAAGCAATTGTGGAGTTGAGAAGAGATTCGAGACTACCACTTGCACAAAGGTTGAGACCTAAAACATTGGATGATTTTTATGGACAAGAGAAGTTAGTGGGGCCAAATGGGTTGCTACGAAACATATTAAGGTCGCAGGAGATTCCGTCTTTCATCTTATGGGGAGTTCCGGGAGTTGGTAAAACTACATTGGCTAGAATTATAGCCAATTCTACTGACTATAGATTTCTTGAACTTTCGGGCCCTACTGCCACAGCTGCAAAATTGAGAGAAGCTTTTACTGCTGCAGAAAATGACAGAAAACTCACTGGGAAAAATACCTTGATATTTTTGGATGAAATTCATCGGTTCAACAAAGCTCAGCAAGATCTTCTCCTTCCTGTGATCGAAAAGGGTATAGTGACGGTTTTAGGTGCAACTACAGAAAATCCTTCATTCACTCTCAACAATGCTCTCCTATCCAGAATGCATACGTTTGTGATGGAGTCTTTAGATCACAAGGCTTTAGTGAGAATCATTCACAGAGGCTTATACTTACTAAATCAAACCAGAAAATACGTTTTCCATCTTCATCTCATTTCGTTGACTAAGGATGCCACAGATTATATAGCAGATCTCGGAAGTGGAGATGCCAGAGTGTCCTTGAACATCCTAGAGTCGGTGAATGCGTATCTTTCGGGTACCAAGTTTCAACATCTCGAGTCGGGGGAGGAAAAAATTAACAGTTTGAACAAGTTAGGAGTGGTCAAGATCGACAGGAGCGTTTTGGAGCCGTTGCTTTCAACTAGAAACTATCAAAAGATGTATCATCATCACGGGGAATCTCACTACGATACAATAAGTGCATTCCACAAATCTGTTAGAGGATCTGATCCTGATGCAGCCATCTTCTACCTTACTAAAATGCTAGTTGGTGGTGAAGACCCATTGTTCATTGCCAGAAGAATGATCGTGATAGCCAGCGAAGACATCGGTTTAAGAGACAGTTCGTGTTTACCGTTTGCAGTGGCAGCCAAAGATGCATTGGAGTTCATTGGAATGCCAGAAGGTGAAATAATCTTAGCCCATTGTGCTGTAAGGCTTGCAAAAGCTCCAAAGTCCACCAAATCTTATAGAGCCTTGAGATCTGCCCAAAATATGTTTCAGGAGAACCCTGATGCTACGTCCTACAAGATACCGTTACATTTGCGTAATGCGCCGACCAAGCTTATGAAAGAAATGGGATATGGGGACACCTATAGGTATAATCCAAGCTTTGAAAATGGAAGAGTATCCCAAGAGTATATGCCTGAGGAGCTTAAAGGAACGAAATTTGTGGATGAAAAGCACTTCCTCGATGCGAGGGATCCAGAACTCAGCGACAAGGACTATTTGCAAGCTGAGGAAGACAGACTAGCTTATCTTGAGTTCAAGAAACAGAGGAAACAATTAAAGGAACAACTAATCCAAAAAGTCATAGACCATGATTGTAAACCCATGGAGACAAATGAGCACAATGATACTGGTGATGTGGGAGAGATCGCCACTACTTACCCTTACGACGAATTTCTCAGTAGAGAAGATCAACCGGAGTATTTTGATGGAAACGAGAAAGACCAATACTCCGACGACCCGGACTGTCTGACGAACTTCGAGGAAAGCTACGAGTATCTTCCACATGAGGACACTATCTGTGATGAGGAATTGATATTTGAAGAGGATAATGATATAACGAACACTGAATAATTTAATGCACTTTATTAAACTTAGGCAGACACGATTTGTGAAAATTGCAACTTTTGCTTATCATGATGTCGCGCTAAAACTATTTGATTTGATACAAGATGTGTGGTAGATACGCTATGACAGTAGTAAGTAGACATAATTATAGCAATTATATGCCATCCACACCCTTACTAACACCACTATCCAGGATGTCCAGCAATTGCCCCTGCAGTTCACCAGGACAGCTTTGCGAAGAGAAGACCCTGGATCCAGCAATACTGATGATGTCAAAAAAGTCACAGAAAATACATACTCCACAACTGAAACACACTTCAATGGATCGGAGGAGAACGTGAAAATATTTGTAATGAATGGATTAGAAGGTTACCGGCAGTCTTACAACGTTGCTCCCACCAAAAATGAGCTTATAATCTATAAACAATATTCGGCTGCCAACAATGTTGAATATATAATGGAAACCCTGGGGTTTGGGCTCGTTCCCAACTGGTCCAAACCAGGGAATACAGATCCTTTGAAAGAGGTTCGCAAACAGCAGGCCATGCATTTCAATTGTCGGCGTGAAACTTTATTGCAGACCTCGTCTATATGGAATGCATCCAAGAAAACCAGGTGTGTGGTGCCTATACAAGGATACTATGAATGGATGAAGATCAAGACACAGAAGGTACCCTACTACGTGTTCTCCAAAGACCAGCCGTTGATATACCTTGCTGGGTTCTACTCTCATAATAAGAATTTCACAGACAACTTCAATAACGACCAATACTTGTCTACGTTTACCATAATCACGGGACCTGCGACCAAAGAGGATAGTAATGACTTATCGTGGCTCCACTCCCGAAAACCAATCTTTCTTAAGCCAGGAACTCAACAGTGGGACGACTGGTTGGACCCAAAAGTCCCGTGGAGCCACGAGCTCCAGATCGCGTGTTTGGACACACTCACAAACCCTGCATTTGAGTCAATTACATGCCATAAAGTCTCTAGAGACGTTGGAAACACCTCCAAAGATGGAGAATATCTTATAAAGGAGTTGAAGCAGGAAGAAAAGCGAGGAGCTATCGACTCATTCTTCAAAAAAAGACCTAACCCGCAAATCTCACCTTCCCCTGATGCCAAGAAGGTCAAGACAGAGCCATCTGTCAAGGAAGAACTCGATTAATGTTTCTGTATATCCTAATGAATTTTCGCCAGAAAGGGTCGTGCAACCCCAATCTGGTATCTTTCGGTTTTTGCGCGAGTGAAAATTTTGTCAAACCTCTAACTACTATGCCTACCACTACTAAATGTGTAATAAGATCCATAAGGTCTGTGCGTGAACTAGGCGTGCGGTATAACTCTACCCAGTCATCGGAAAACACCCTCCACTTGAATCCTCATGTGTGGGAAGGCTTGCCAGCCGACCGAATTTTTGAATTGCACAATCTCCGCAAGGATTCGTTGAAGCAAAACTATAATCCTAATGATGATGAAAGAAGAGCCATCTTGTCGACATTTACTTCGTTAACCAAAAAGAAAGCTCCCTTGGACTATGTTTACGAAATCGACAACTTCAAAGAAAGGTATATGAATAACACTCCTGTCAAGTTAAGAGGATTACCCCCAAAGAAGAGTAATGTTGAGGTTGTTGCCAGCGGTCAAACTCCACACGACTTACGAAGACGACAGGAGTTGAACCGAGTCAGTGCATTTGAAATGCCTTTGTTGGCTAAACTTCGTCAGCCTTATGTTCCAGAGAGTGATGAGGAAACCCCAATTGAGTTGACTTACTATACTGATTTCAGCAACGAAGCAAACTCTTCGAACCGCCGGGTGACCTTATCAGTGGCATTAAAACACCTACAATTGAACGAGAATCAGACCAGAAAATTCATGATTTTGGCCGGAAACAAGTTCAATCATAATACTAAGGTGTTGAAATTCACCATTGACGAATACCCAGAACCAACCCAAAATGCCCGTGCTGCTGCTGAAAAATTCGCCAAATTGTTAAACGCCTCCAAGGACTTATCTGATGACTTCAGTGATATTCCAGTTGATACTCGTCACACCAAACCATGGAAACCATCAGTACAATTTCCGAAAGAATGGAGAAGACCGCAGGATGCACCAGTTGTCCAAAATAACATCATGAAAAAATTGGTTGAACACGTGAAACAAAAGAAGGATGAACAGTATGTCTCCAAGTTTTCTCCTTAGTCCATGCATCCTTTCATCTTCTTGTATATATATAATAAACAAATGTACACTATAGTGGTTCCAGGGCAAAGTCGTACCAAACCCAATTTGTTGAGTCCGCGTTTTTCTGTCTATGCAACATTACTTGTAAAGCACTATTGGATTTCAAAAGGTAGTTGAATCCACTAGCTAATTCATCAACTTCAGACTCTTAGAGTCAGTATACAAGCTTAAATCACCTTAAAACACTAGAAAGCACAGAAACCCCTGCTTCGCTGAGTGACAAATGACAGTTACAGGATCCCATTCCGCTTCCACAACGCTAGATGATATAGTAAATGAATTGAAACTTACTTACGATGCATCTGTCGGACTCCTTGAAGGTGACGCCATCGGAGAAATTCCTAGTGTCAATATCCTTCTCAATCTCAGCAAGCTTTTGAATAACCTTTCGAAAGATTTGAACAATTCGGAGCTGACTGATAATGATTTGATAGCTATTCTCCAGAGAAAAGTCGACGGAGAGGTCGAGGAGGTAGAGGAAGAACAGGAGGAAGGTTCAGAAGAGACGGGAGTATCAGAAGGTTTGAAGCGAGAACATCCAGAGCTCGTTGATGAGGAAGAGGAGGTAGCAAAGCCAAGCCCGAAGAGAGTAAAGGTGGAAGAACCACCTATAAGCGTGGATGATGACGAAGATGATGAGCCTTTAATTACCAGAGAGAAGGCTCAACCAACTATACTAGTCGAAGAGGAACAAGAAGTGCAAACAGCCAAATCGACGTTAGACCAAAAAGACGAGGTGAAAAAAGAAGACGACGAAGATGCCGAAGGCGAAGATGACGAAGACGAAGAAGAAGACGAAGAGGGAGAAGAAGAAGAAGAAGAAGAAGAAAAAGAAAAAGAAAAAGAAAATAATGAAGGTGATGAGGAGGAAGGTGGAGAAGAAGGTGAAGAAGAGGTAGACAACCATAAAGGACATCCGCAAGAAGTTGTAGCAGAAGATAGCCTCAATTCGGCTGATGACCCTCTACCTCCAGTCCAAGAAGGGCATTTCACTCATGATAACGACACTAGACTCAAAAATCCCAAATCAGAGTTCGTCACCTCTCAGACAATTTCTGCTCAAGCCATAGGAGAGCTTGGACTCTTCTCCGAAGGCCAGAATGGATTGGAAACCCAAGGGAAGGAGTACTTGAAGCGAAAATACGGCGTGGCCTCGTACCCTGAACACGATTTACAGGACCTATTACCGGGTCAGATCCCAAATATTGATTTCTCTAAATCAAAAGCTCCAACTAATCAAGTACAATTCTCCACATTTCAGTCTTATATTGAATCATTCTACAGACCGTTTTCCAACGAAGACTTGAAGTTTTTGAATGAAAAGTACATTATTCCTCCTGGATTTGAAAAGCAAAACTACGACCCCGATGTGAGTCCATACATAATCCCAAAGTTGGGTAGATTTTATGGTGATGCCTGGTCAGAAGAAGATGTAAGCCTTGCCAACAAACTCAATACAACCGGCTACTCACAGACATCGTTAGACAGTTTCAAACCAAAGGGGTCAATAGAAGGTTTGACTGATGATAAGTTGTATACTGAGGACATATCTTGCGGCCCCTTATCAAGCCGTTTGTTGTCAGCAATATTGAGCATACATGAAGAAATCAGCAATGGTGACGAATATGAAGATGGTTCTGCTGTTGAAAACTTGAATAGCCTTGATGATGAGAACGTGGCTACCCAGTTGTCAAAAGTCAGTACCGGTGATGACTATGAAGTTTTGACAGAATCGAACGATTTCCATTCGATAGAAGAAAGACTCAAACGTGAGCTCAAGTACATAGGTATTTTCATGAACCTTCCAAGTGAAGATGACGAAAACAAGAACAAGTTGAGTATCAACGGAAGATCCATTAAGACTGAGTCTAGACGAGGAAGTATCATCGACAATGATGAATGGATCAAGAACAAAGAAGATGATGAAGTAAGTGCTGAAATCAGAATGTTACAAAAAGAATTGAAAGAAGCAGCTGCTAGAAACAGGCAGAACAAGAAAAAGCTTATACCTTTAGTGGAAGAGCAAGTGGCGTATCAAGAATTCTGTACGATTTTAGAAGACTTAGACAAGCAGGCTGATCAAGCTTACATGAAGAGACTCAAAAGCAAGAGTAAGAAAAAGAAGAATACCGATAGGACGGAACCAAACCCAGCACAGCAACAAGCAATGAATACAGGAATACGGTCCTTATTGGACAAGAGAAGAAGATGGATTGAAAGTATTGGAAAGTTGTTCAGACCACCTGAACTCATGAAGCGTGTGCCTTCAGAGTCTGTTCTTGAAGGGGGGCCTATCGAAGAAGAAGTAGATGATGATGCCAATGACGTAGCAGAGGATGTTATTCAAGAAAAAACATAACTCCAGATGTGTATAATAATAATACGAATAGTAACTTAGTTTGAACTTCGTGCAAGTATATGTACAAGTTGGGATATCAAATTATAATGATAATCCCTTTTGGATTTCGGCGTGAGATGGCAAAGTTTGAACATTTCCTAATGCCGCTAAAGCAATGGGTTTATCCTTTAATCTATACCGAGCCCAATCGACAATATCCTTCTTAGTGATGGCCTCAACTCTCTCAAAGGCCTCCTCTGGACTCAATCTGTAACCAGTATTGACCAATTGCCTGCCTATATCTTCAGCGATGGCAGTTGAATCATCGAGAGCTAACAATAAAGAAGCTTTCAATTGAGACTTTGCTCTTTCAACTTCTTCTTCAGTGATATCTCCGGCCTTGAATCTAGCCCATTCCTTTAATAACGCATCAATAAACAACTTTAAATTAGCATCCTTATCAGCAGTGAAGTAGATACCCATTAGCCCAGTGTCAGCGTACGAGGTTGTGTAGGACATATAAGAGTTGGCCATCGGTTCACCATTCAAACCACCTGTAGCAGCCGAAACAGCCAAAGGAGAAGGGGAATTAGAACCCACTCCAAGAGACCTGTCCCAGTGGCCAATGATTCCACTAGCAACAGATGCAGTAAAAAAGTCAGGAGCTGACCAAGATGCACTTTCAACCCCTAAAGCAATGTGAGTAACAGGCATAGTACTGTCCTGGATTCTTACCTCATCTCCATGGAAGATGGGCAAGTCACCCCCACTTTGTTTGAAGGGCACCTCAGACTTCTTGATATGGCCAAAGTACTTGTTAGCCTTTTCAACCAATTCATCATGATTCACAGCTCCTACTCCAATAAGAGCCATTCTATCACCCTTATAGTTTGTGGTGATATAATCGACCAAGTTGTTTCTGTTGATGACTTTGATGATTTCTCTTGGTCCCAAGATGGTTCTTCCCAAATCCTGGTTTCTGAAAGCAATAGCATGTAGATGGTCAAACACAACCTCATCGTACATCTTGTCAATCTCATCACTCTCTTGTAAAATGACGTGTTTTTCGTTCTCGATCGCTCTAGGATCGAGCCTGGACTTAGTTAAGATATCGCTCAAGATATCCACACTCTCATCGATCTTGCTAGCCAAACATTTGGCATAGTAGACGGTATTTTCTCTCGAGGTATAAGCATTGATTTGAGAGCCCATATTTTCCACCTCGAGTTCCAAGTTCAACTGGGTTCTTCTGTCAGTTCCCTTGAACGCTAAATGCTCCAAAAAATGAGCAGTTCCGCTCGACTTGGAGTTGTCAGCTCTCGATCCAGCATTAATCCAAACTCCCACCGTTGCGGTCTTGGTACCTGGCATAAACTCACTGGCAACAGTAAGGCCGTTCTCCAAAGTGGAGGTTGTGTACCTGGGTATGATCTGAGCAGCTGTGCTCAAGCATCTTTTTGTGCCCAATCTTCTTAACATGTTCATAAAGAAAAGAAGATATTACAAATGCAAAGAGTCTAGAAAGCGTTTTCCTCAAAGAAAAAAATTGATCATACAAAAGTGCGCGCACTGGGTGCAAAAGTATTTTATCTATTAAAGTAGTTACGCCGAAAGGTACGTGGTTAGGTTTAAATGAATACTCCAAGCAGCAGTGATTAGTGAAAATGGGTTTAGCTAATGTTTCTTGATTTCAACGCTTCTTCCTTTTCCACAAACTCTTGATGATGGAGAGGTTGATCGATATATTCGTACAGGTACAAAGACTTCCTCAAAGGTTTTGTCATCCTTATATTCTTAGCAACGAGTGCGTTATACTCGTCATAGTCTTTACCAGCCAAAAGTTTGTCACTGACTTTTATTTTTTTGTCTTCCTGTGGTTCCACAGAAAAGAGAAACTTCTTCTCCACCTCATGAATATCAGTGAGTTCTTTGGTTTTGTAAAATTCGCACAAGATTTCGTCGTCCTTCTCGAGGAGCTGAATTACTTGAGACTCGTCCATGTCTAGAATCAAGTCCTTCAATCGGTCATCATCAACCTTTCCATTATCACGTGAATTGTCCGATAACTTGAGGAAATCATTATCATCAAAGGCATTTTTGAGTCTATCCCTAGGAACCCATAGGGATATTTTGGGGATATAGTACCAATTGTGATACTCAGGTTTTCCCATACCCTCAGGATACTCAAACTCCAACCGGTTTGTTATATCGTTGGGTAAAAACACAGGAATACCACCTAGCATCGAGTATTTCAATGGGGTTAGTTGACCATGCTTATAAAAGTGCTTCCTTCGATCGTTGTAGACATCGTCATCGGAGGATTCCTTGGAGATTTGCAAAAGCTCTTTATCCTTTTCAAAGTTGTCGGGAATCTCAGCACTACTGGTACCCAAACCGGTGATATCAATGTAAAGACCAGTGTCGACGTCGATCAACCGGGCGTCGATATGGTTCTCCTTCTTACTGATATCTCTGTTGTGAATGAAGGTTCCCACGTCCACCAAGTACTTGCCGAAACCTTCCTCCACGTCCTCAATGATCAAGGTTTGGTTATAAAGCTCACCCAACCGGGCCAAGTCTCTGCTAGGCATTTGAATATCCAAGTCATTGTCAAACGGAAACATCATTCCATCCCAGTACCATGATAACAAAGGCCCGTGCATAATCCAGCTGACCAAGCCCTTTTCTTCGGCAAACCGAAACCAGTTTCTGGCCAACCGATCCAAAATGACTTCTTGTCTCAAGGTCAATTCTTCCGCCGTCCAGCCCTTATAAGTGGTTAAAGTGCCCACAAAGAACCTCCAGTCATAATGGTAGCCTCTGTCTTTGTCCTTGTTGATCTTATCATGGCCAATCCAGAGAGTGGCCTGGCGAAAGTAGACGTCCTCAGTCTTGGTGTTACGTTCCTTGGACCGTTTCAACGAATCAAAGTAGGATCTCAGAATATAGTCCAACGATTCTTTCTGTTCGAGCACCTCAAACACTTGAATCTGCTCATCGATGGTCTCCGGTCCATAGTGGAAAGCTTCTTTCGCAATGGGCAACATCTTTGACTGCTTGGGATCAAACGTGTGGGTGGTAGCGTACACCTTATATATATCCTGCAGTGGCAAAATGTAGGTGGGTTTGACCTGTTGCTTGAGCTTGCGGAACTCCACCACCGGGTCCAAGTCAATTTTCTGTGGAGGCTTCCCGTTCAAAGTCATCTGGTTATTATCAATCAAGTACTTTTTCACCAAGTCGGACTTGATTATGCGTTGGTGAGGAGTTTCTTGGTCGACGTTGACCTCATATGTGCCGTTGTGTTTGTTCAAGAATACTAACTTGAAAGGGTTAGGCAAGTGGGTCATAATATAAGACCGGGCCTGGGCGATGCGCACGTCGACAGTGGCTGGGTCGATAGAAAAGCCATGGGTGATGAATCCAGGCAACTGCTCGTGCCGTTCGTAGCCAAGGGCCTTGAGCTCCTTGGGTGACAAATCCTGGTTGTCGATACACTTTAACCGGTTGCGATCCAGTCTTCTGGAGGTATGTTGCTGGACCCAGTCACAACCACGACGTTGTTCCACCGCCGTGGACAACTCCTTGTCGTTGAACGACAAGTCGATCCAGTCCAACCAGCTGAATGGTACCGAGACCTCGTTGAAGGTAGGCAGAACAGGCACCGATGCATCAGAAGCGGGTTCGGTGTCATCTCGAGGAACATCTTCACCAATGGCTTGGTCCGAGTTCTTTTCCACCAAACGGTTTTTGATGAGGTTCAAGTAAACCAGTAATGTCACACGCATGTCGTAGAACAAGGTGTTTTTGTGGATCCAGGCGTCATCGTCGGTTGAGTCTGAAAAAAATACCCGGGGGTTGATGCTGATTTTGGTGTTGGTCAACTCCGTGTTTTTCAACCAGAACTTGTTATTGACGTTGGCTTCTACCTTGTCGAACAACCTCCTGATTTCGGTCGCAAAGTTGACAGTAGGCTCTTCATCCTGGTAGCCCACATTTATATGTTTAGATTTACTGCTGGAGGCGTAAGAGGTGGGAAACGAAAATTCTTCTCTGTAATATAATAAGTAGGAGGTGAAGTAGATGGTGTTGGCGATGATCAATAGTAGAAATCCTCTTCGTAAAACGTAAAAGACCGACTTTGCCATGTTGTGGGAGTAAGGTGATGGGAGAAAAACAAGTAGGTTTTGCTACCACCGCAATCCCAGTTTGTTTCAAGGGAGATAGTGGTGTGCGTATAACCTGCAGACATTATCATATATTTTCAAGGAGCAAGGGCGGTAGTCCGGCATGGGGGCCCGGCTGCGCCAAAGAATTTCACCGCTAGACCCAAAGCGGAACCGGCTAGTGTGATGTTTTCAGGGAGGTAGACAGGCGTATAACTATCAGGCGGTTGAGTACAGGCTTTGAACCGTTTTCCAGGGGAAGATTCGCTTTTAAATTAAATCTGAAACTTAAACTTTGTGGGGAGACTGTCAATTGGGACCTGCCAAGTGGATCTGCCAGATGGATCTTGTTACGTATAGTTCGTATGTATTGTTTGTATATATCATTTGCGTGTGTATATGGGCGTTCTATGACGTAGCTCTCGGCTCCAGTTCAGGGCCGCTATTTTTCTACCAACTCACTGAGGTTCCACCGTGTCCTGACAATGCCTCCACCCCAGCCGCCACGTTGCGTGCCCCGACAGATTCCTTATTCTACCGCGCTACTTATCCCTGTTAGGTACTATTGATGTGTCGCTCAAGTATATCCCTCGCCTCTTTCACTGGTAACTCCGATAACTGATAACCCCCCCAGAGCTGTACCTGGGCAAACCCTTGGTACATCATTGCCACATGACCACCTACAACCTCCCATCCAGCTTCCTGGAATTCCAAGTAAAGGTCGGTCTCAATCACCGGGTGGTAGCACATCTCCACCACTGCACCCCTGGAGCAGTGCATAAATGATGTGAGAGTGGCTTTTGCCAATTTCTCGTCTATGGTGATAGGTGTTATATTCGGTACACTCAACACACACAAAACTGGCGGTTCAACTCGCATAGCCTCCTCCGGGGTCTTGACGTGTACAACCTGTAATTCAGGGACAGTGGTGTTGAAATGGTGCTGAAGAGCTTCCACTTCCGCCTGGTCGCGGTTCACCACGTAAACGCAGTGACACTGAAAGTTCCGGTGTAACACATACACCGCCAGGCGCGATGCACCGCCGCCACCGTACACCAAGCCGGGACGACCGTGGTTCTGCTCCACGTACGTGAGCGCCGCCGGCGTCTGTAAGAACGATTGGTGGATCCCCACCGTGTCGGTGTTGGTGCCAATTCGCACCACGGTCCCGTCCAGGTTTTTACGACTGTAGACAGTATTAATGGCGCCCACGCTGGTGCCCACCGCGTCCACCATGTCCATCTCACGCACAAACGTCACTTTGTTGGGCATTGTGATGGCCGAGCCGATGCACGCTTCTTGTGCAAAGGTGTTGTTAAATGTGTGCTTGCTCGAGGTTTCTTTGAGCAGGTACTTCCAGTCAAGGTTGAGGAGCTTGAACACGGTGTTGAGGAGAAACGGTGCTTTGGACCGCGAGATGTGCTCACCAAAGAGGTAGAACTGCTGGGGTTTTCGGCGGAGGACCTCGAACGGTTCGGTGGGCAATAGTGTGTCTGGTACTGTCATTTGGGTGGAGTTTGTGCGCGATGGTACAAACAGAAGTTTTGGCACTTACAGAAAGTTGAACAACTTAGGTGGGTGTCTGGGTCAGATTGGAGTTTTGAAATTAATTTAGGTGGGTGTATGGAGCAAAACTGCAACAGGAGGTGCGGGAGGGCCGCCGCAGGTGCCGTACTGTTTCGGGTAATCTGTGTAAGATAAGCCTGCCATTACTAATGTCACCCTATTAATTACTCATCAAGTCACTTAAATACCTCCTTGACTTCATCATACACCATCAACGATTGAGTACCACAAATATTACACTCCCCTTCATGTCTTTAGAATCTACCGCACCACCATTCGACACCACCAAAAAGTACCACCACACCCAAACTCCCAACCCACAGTGGACCCCGGGCTCTGGTGCTAGCAGCACTGGTACCTCGAAAAAAATCGAATTGGACCCGTATGCCTCAGACAGGTCTCCAGTAGACAACTACAAACTCCTTGTTTCTGCTGTCACCCCTCGTCCCATTGGCTTTGTGTCCACTATCAGTGCCAATGGTGACCGCAACTTGGCTCCATTCTCGTTCTTTTCCACGGCACATTACGACCCACCCATTTTTACGGTGGGATTCTGCAACAATCAAGGCGGTGCACAAAAAGACACTTTGGTCAACATCTTACAAACCAAGGAGTGCACCATCAACATTATCTCCGAGTGGTTTGTCGAGGCAGCCAACCACACTTGTATCGGTGCTCCGTACGAGGTGGACGAGTGGGAGTTGTCTGGGTTGACTCCAGCCAGTTCTACTAAAGTTAACGCTCCTCACGTCGCGGAGTCTGCGTTTTCAGTCGAGTGCAAGTTGATCCATAGCCATGAATGGACTTCCAAAGTGAACCCAGACAGCAAGACAGGAGTGTTGTGTATATTTGAAGGTATAAACTTCCATATCGGTGAAGCGGTGATCAATGAGGAGAGGAATTTAGTGGATATTGCCAAGTTGCAGCCAGTATCGAGACTTGGAGGTATGAGCTACGGAAGAACCACCGAGGGGTATGAGCTTCCAAGACCGGACTATACCCCAAGAGACTCGTAGGGAGCTGGTGGATGAGACCCGTGGGACTCGTAGAGGATCTGACCGGTACTGCCCAAAATACAAAATTTTATATATGCATACCCTCATTAGCGACCACAAAAACTGGGCTCATCTTGGAATTATGATCCACAGAAACATTAATTGTTTATAGATCAGTAAATACTTCTGACCACTTCGTTATGGTGGGACCAAGTTAGGTGTTTATGCGGCTCATCTAAGAACTCGGTTGTTCGGGTGTTGCACGAAACCTTTCGAGCGATTCAACTTTTCGTTCACAGCGGTGAAAACTTTTCGCCTAAAATAATTGCATAATCATCAATTTGACCAAAAGGCCCAAACTTCACCAGGACAATGACACATACCTCATTATTTACCTCACAGAGCTATACGCGTCTACCGTCTCCACATCACCCACAATCGATATGAATACCTGCAAATCATGTCGTGCCCTGACCGCATATCTAACCTCTTCGCGATTTTCCTCCAGACCTACAGGCTCTTCCCCAAGCTTGCAGCTACTCTGATTGTATTATATGGACCCCCTCCGTGCCAATGGCGAAGAGAATCAGTTTGTTAGACAAAAAGGAGATCATCCGGTTCCACAAGATCCAGGCGTCACGCGATCCCCACCACAAACAAACCCATACCATCAAGCACTTTGCACACCAATTCACCATCCCAAAGTCCACCTTGAATCGGTGGTTAATTGAGGATTCCAAATTGAAGAAATCCGTTGTTCGACGTGAGAAACCCCTTCGACAACCGCTTGTTAATATCGAGGAAGAGTACGTACAAGATGAGAAGCCGGCTCCAAGGATAGAGACTCCCGAACCTGTTGATCCGAGTGAAGATTTCGACTTGAAAGGTGCAAATATGGTAAGCTCGATTCTTGTGCAACATTTTACGGAGATGACACTCCAAAAGCAGCAAGTCCAACTCGACTTCAATCTCGTCAAAGCTGTCACCCATGCCGTCAAACGGATTTTTCCTGATATTAGGCTCCCAAAACCAGCATATTTTATGAACCAGCTCACCAAAGAAAACATCGTACACCTCGAAGGCAGCTTGACCGAGCAGTTGAGTATCAAACAAACATACAGCTCGTTGAGTAAGGAATCTTTGAGGTTGGATAAGATGTTTAAGCTGTATGAGTCGTCGCATATATACCAATTCAACGAGTTCACCATCAACTTGACCGAGTACCTCGAACTTTTTGGTGAAGACGTCAGACTAAAGCTTGATCTCAGAAACAAAAACTACTGTATTACGGTGGGAATTGGATTCAATCTACTGGGAACCGAGTTCCTCAAGCCGGTGATTGTCACCAATTTTTCTGACAGTATCAACGATCCGGATGTGATCCACAACCAAACAGGATTCATGTCCAACTACATCTTCAACCGGTACTTTGGAACGTTGAATCGTAAGTTCAGGGACCGCCGACAGCGGGTTCTCTTCATCATCGACCGAACATCCAACCATTTTTTGGCTAATAAGTTCACCCACATCAAGCTATTGTACAATAACTTGAACAATTTCCCATTGAACTTTGGAATCCAGTCCATGTACGCCAAAGCAGTTACCGTCAGTATTCTCGACCATTTCCAACGAGAAAGTAACTTAAATGCAGTTCCTGACATCGTCAAAGTATCTTTGAACCACATGTCTAATAAGCTCTCGAGTTCGCGAGCTTACAGCAAATTTTTCAGCCATTGCATCGATCTATGCCTCAACCACTCACATATCACCAACTACTCCAAGTTGATCCGCATTCGAATGAATAGCTCGTTCCACTACTCCAATACCAGTAAATGCCTAGTGCTTAACTCCCACGAAAACTACATCAAAAACTGGCTCAAAAAGCTCCAGTTACCGGTTTTTTGCATCCTTTCCAAATCCGCCACTCCCAAGTACGACCTCGACACAATTGTCAAGAGTAACTTTATTAAGGAGCACCGGCCAAATCCCGAAGAGCCATTGGATATGAAGAACATCATTACCATGAGAAGGATGCTCGAGTCTTCGGGTGCAAGTATTACAAGTATGCTGCTCTTCGACCAACTTTATACCTCGTTGAGCCAGGACTTGCTCCAACTAGAAGATGAGATCGAAGACTGGAACAGCGACGACAACTTCGATCTCGACTCGTTTGACTTGAACAGCGTGACATCGATTCCGCCCGAGTTCTTGGAACCAGCATCCACCAGCCATCAGGAGGTGCAACACTCTTCTACTCCACAGACATCCATTCCGTTCAAGCACCCTTCGCGGCGGCCATCTGCGACCCGAGACCGTAGCAGTTCCATTTCTCAGACCAGTGCAACATCCAGGCGGATGCTGATATTGGCGTCCGGTGACCGAGTTAACCGAATCGCCCAGTTCAGTGACGCAGCCATTGAATCTGATTCGGAAATGGATTCGCAATTTGCTTATCTCTCTGACATTTCCAACAACTCTGATAGCCTCAGGCGCGTGAACCGGCGTCAGTCACAGATCAAATACGCCGAGAGCATGGATAGTGACCATGAGTAGTTTAAACTGTATTTATTATGTGTATACTATATTATGTGTATTATACTGATTGTATGACAAAACCGCTAAGAAACGGGCCGTCACGATTGCTTGGCTGCAAACGGGCAGAATTTTCTTTTTTCCTCGGTGCGCATCGGAAGGCTTTTGTATATATCCTCCAGGTCGCCCCGGCAACTGCTTATCGTCACATATTTTCCCCCATCCACTATGAAGTTATTTGAAAGCTCGCATGACTTCCATTATCCCTGGGACCAGGTGACGGCCGCAAATTGGCAGAAGTACCCCAACGAACTCTCGTCGCACGTGGTATCGGTCGATATCTTAAACCGATACATCGATCCCGCCACAAACGTATTACGAACAGAACGTTTGATTGGATGTAAACAGCCCATTCCCAAGTGGCTCTCGATGTTGGTGGGAGGACAAGAGTATTCGTACGTGAGAGAAATCAGCGAAATCGACTTGAGCACCAAGACTCTTGTGATGAAAAGCACAAACTTGACAATGAACCATTTATTACAGGTTAACGAAACCGTCACGTATCGACCTGACCATGAGCTCCCCAATAGCCGGACCCACTTCACACAAAAGGCCGAGATCACGGCCTTCGCCAGCTTCTCGCGTGTGTGTGATAAGATTGAAGAATGGTCTGTTGAGAGATTTGGCCAAAATGCTAACACTGGAAAACAGGCATTTGAGAGCGTGTTGAAGACCTTGACCGCCAAATGGGAGGAGTCGGGTGTTTTTGTGGTGGATATCGGAACCTCCTTGTTGAACGACTTGAATCATGTTACCGATAAGACATCGACGGTGTTGGCGGAAGTATCGAAATTGGGAAATGTTTTTAAGGACAAAGAATAGGAACCGCATCTTGTAAATATCGAAGGGTCAAAGTTCCCCCTGGGACCCGTACATATCAGCATAGACAAATATATTGCATTCATCATCGGTATACCACCGGTTCGCATTTTTCACGGTCGCAACATCTCCATGAACCACTCAATTCCCACCGACTTCAGCCCCAAGCAGAGAAGCATTCTCTACGAGCTCTCAATGATTCTTGAGACCGCTAACTCCATCAACACCAACCTCTCGCGGTCCATTGACTTGGTCCATCCTTCCATCAACCTTGAGTCCTTAGAGGCCGATGTTCGTGAAAACACCCACAACTTGAAAAATATTTTGCAATTGCTTGGGACCTTGACGTCCACTGACCCCGACGTGGACTTATTGATGGACTCCGACCACAACTAGGCGGGATCGGGATTTTGGCCCCTTCTTTGGCTGGTTTTCACTCACATCTTCCTCACTGAAAAACCATACGCGTTTTTCTCAGTAATCCAATGGACAACAAACAAGCACAACTCGTGGAACAGTACCAGGAAGCGAAGCTTCAGGGCGACTATGTGGACGATGACGATCTTCTTGAGCTACTAGATGAGGATGACTCGGTGTTGCAACAGTACCGAGCATCTCGGATCCAACAGCTCAGTCAGGAGTTCAAGGCTATCGACGACGCCCACTCCAGTGGATCCGATTTTGGAAGCGTACAACACTTCGACAACGAGAAGAAGTTGATGGAAACCGTTGCTCGTACCGACTATGCCATCGTGCACTTCTACCAGCCGGGTTTTGCGAAGTGCAACATCATGAATAATAAGTTACTGGTATGTGCCACTTCAATTCCACGCATTTTTGCAGGGTACTAACATTTGTAGTTGTTGGCAGAAAAACACTTGACGGTCAAAGTGTGTTCGATCAAAGCCGAAGAGGCTCCGTTTTTGGTAAACAAATTGAACGTAAAAGTACTCCCATTTGTGGTAATATATAAGTCTGGTAAGGAGTTAGACCGGCTTGTGGGGTTTGAAAGACTCGGAAACGATCCATCCAATTTCAGCTACTCCAGCCTCGAAGCCATGCTTTTGCGCTTGGGGGTTCTTCAGCGTAAGACCATCAACTTTGCGTCCACAAACACTGGTTCCAATACTCATAATGACGATGACGAAGAAAGTGATTTAGATCTCTAACGAGCATGTAAATAGCTGCCGAATACACACCCAAAAGCGATGCCTGCGAGTAGGAGACTTGAGGTTCCTCGAGCTGCTACCTACCAGAGCCATGCTGGCACTGCTGCTATGTATGCCACCGTACCGGGCAATTCTATTGCTGATAACCCTATCTCCTAGCATGGCCCTCCACAAACAAGCATTTTGCAACCTGTAGGGCGCGAAGGGATCAGGAGGGCAACAGCCCTAGGCTCCCTCACGGGTGGCCCTGTCTGAGGCCCGCACCAAAATTACCGGTCGGCGCACACCCACTGCCTTTCTTCCCGCACAAAAAATTTTCAAAACTCTTCTTCTTCATTAACAGGTAAGAAAGAAGCAGCTCTTTGCAGACGAACCAAGATGCAAATTTTTGTTAAGACTTTAACCGGTAAGACCATTACCCTTGAAGTCGAGTCTTCTGACACCATCGACAATGTCAAGTCCAAGATCCAAGACAAGGAAGGTATTCCTCCAGACCAGCAAAGATTGATCTTTGCCGGTAAGCAATTGGAAGATGGAAGAACCTTGGCTGACTACAACATCCAAAAGGAATCCACTCTTCACTTGGTGTTGAGATTGAGAGGTGGTGGTAAGAAGAGAAAGAAGAAGGTCTACACCACCCCAAAGAAGATCAAGCACAAGCACAAGAAGAACAAGTTGGCTGTCTTGACTTACTACAAGGTTGATGATGATGGAAAGGTTGAAAGATTGAGAAGAGAATGTCCATCTCAAACTTGTGGTGCTGGTATCTTCATGGGTAACATGGGTGACAGACAATACTGTGGTAAATGTCACACCACCTTCAAGTTGTCCAAGTAGATTTAAGGTATATTGTTAATAGTCTCTGTTAATGAATCTTTGTCAAGCACAATTGTAGAAATTGGCGGCGCGGCCACGACCGTCCTGTTGGTCGCACTTGATTGTCGCATCAAAAGCACGTAAACACTATATGAGTTTCTCCATCTACAACTTGGATGAAGAGATCAAGGAGTTACTCAACCTTGATGACTTCCTTGGTGGCTTCACCGTCAATGAGTTTGTTGAGGAGTTGAGTAAAGACCATTTTTTAAAGGGGGCAGAGGTTAATAACCTCGAGTACTTGGATCCCAAACCATACATCAGAACCTTTGAATCCACTTTACGTGAATTAAAACTGTTATCAGTGGAGGCAGACTCACAAAAGGACCAGTTAGACAAACAGGTGAATGAGTATGAGTTGAAACACAGCCAGAATGTGCTTGAGCTAAGTGATAGAATCGAAAGTATCACCAATCAGTTTGGTAACTTGGACGTGAGAATAAGTGATGTATCCGGTCAAATCGACCCATTGAACACTTCCTTGAACAAAATCACAAACTCCAGGGATATGTCGATCGAAACCATCTTTCTTATCCGCACTTACCATGGTTTTTTCACCAAACTGAAGTATGATCCATTGGAAAATTTGAGAGTTAGCAAAGTGTATGACGATAGACTAAAATGTGCAAAGACGGTAAACAACTTGATGACATTGGCAAAGAAAATCGAGTCTGCAGACATTCCGCAGACCACCCAATGTGTACAAGCGATCCAAAAGTTCAGTGAAACTATGGAAAGAACCTTGTTAAATAAGTTTGAGGTAGCTCTTGATAACGATGAATTCGAAGTAATGAAGGAAATTTCGTCCATTCTTAACGAATATAATGGAGGGACTAATGTCATCCAAACCTTTGTGAACAAGAATGACTTCTTGGAGGAGATGAACGACGATAACAATGGGGCTGGGTCTATCTTGGATGACGAGGCCGTGTGGTTCAACTTGTCCAATCCTGACTACCTTGAGTCGGTGGTGGATGAAAACCTAGAAGATTTGTTGAACCACCTCAAAGTCACTATCAAGGGCCAGGCAAGAATCGTGAGCCAGGTATTTGAGAATTCAACCCCAGTATTGAAGATCTTCATTCAGAGAATATATGCCCAGTCGATCCAAACTAAGGTCAACTCATATCTTCAGTATTCCATCTCCGTGAGTTCATTGGCACATGTCAGAGTTCTCCAATACTTGTCTCAAGTGGTGAACGAGTTTACAAAAGACTTGAAGGATTTCTTCATCACCAATGATTTCGATAATGATAACGAGTTATCCTCGATATTGGACCAATGTTTCTATGATTTGTTCATTGAATACACCTCCGACAATGTTTATTTCAACCGAGAGAAGAAGAGCTTAGAAGATTTGATCTACGATGTGGTATCGAAGTTCACCTCCTATAATGAAAGGGCTTTGAATGCCAATCAATTATCCACCACTCTCGATAACTTGAACAATCTCGATTATAACAATGATTCTACCGCCTCGTCTGACAAGGCATTCGGTATAATTGAACGAAAGAGATTAAATAAGTTCAAAGATTTCATGAAGTCTCGATTATCAGAAGTCAATGTCAGAAACAGAAACTCAATAGACCCAGAAGACTCCGAAGAGCGAAAACAGTATAGTTCTTTGAACTTGGCACTTGCAGAAACCATCATAAAATCCATAATTGAGTCTGTCGCCAGAGTTTTGGAATTAGAGCCAAATCGGTCTCCTGAATACGCATTGGAATTGTTGGAAATACTTTTATTCGACTTTGGAAAGTTGTATATCCAAGGAAGCTTGGAAGTCATCTATGATGCTTTGAAGCTGGAGAGCAACTACACAAAAGTAAGCTCAAATAATGCCATTGATTTCAGCTACTTACAGTCGTTCACATTGTTGACGGATATCTTGTTTCTTCTTTCCAGCTGCATTAGAAGAGTCATCATTCCATGTTCCGCAAACAATCCGAACATCAGAAACAGGATGATAAATCTCACTAACAGCTATATCAAGCGTTGTGAAGTAGCCATAAACGTGATTTTAAAGGAGACCATGGACTTGATATCTGAAAAATTGGCATACTTTTTGTCTAAGCAGAAACGGAAAGACTTTTTGGCTGATAATATCACCGAATATGACACAGAAGCCTGTGAATTTGTATCGGACTTCATGACAAAAACCCATGAGAGCTTGACAGTTTCTTTGCATGATCTGAATCTTTTGAATGTCTTGACTAAAGTGGGAATGAAGTTCTTAAGCCTATTACTTGAGCACTTCAAAAAGTTCACCGTCAATTCCACCGGTGGTATCATCTTAACTAGAGATGTCATTCGATACCAAGCAGTCATTGAAAGCTGGGAAATCCCCGAATTGTCTGAAAACTTCCAAATATTGAAAGAAATCGGTAATATTTTCACCGTGCATCCTAACTTGATCAACTCATTGGTCACAGAAGGCCAACTAGCCAGTCTAAAGCCTTCAACCATCAGACAATATGTCGCCAAAAGAACCGACTTCAATCCAAGCTACCTCGAACGATTCTTCAGTTTCAGATAAAACACCTCTATTGTATATTATCTCTAGTTTCCTATACATACGAGTAGTGGAGTCCAATCACCAAATACACATAAAAGATCGTGAAGCAAATTGTAATGCCTAGCTTTTTATAGTCCTTGGACCCCAGGTTCACTTTGTCTTTAACTCTCGAGTTGTATATAGATACAGGGTCTTTTGAAAAACGTGATAATGCCTTGTGGATGGTGTTTGGGTAAAGCGCATTGACCCCCAATACGATGATGCTTATACTAAACCAAATCACATAAAGGGTGATACCAGCCAATGGGCTTGGTAAGTAGCACATCTCCGTCAGGTATGTTGGCAAAGCCGCAAGACTTTGGCCTTCTGCATCAACAGGATTGTGGAGAGATAATAGCTGTAATGCAGGGTGCTTGATTCCAGCACTCATGGCCACCGACTTGACAGTGATTTCTTTAGCAGACAAACCATGGCTAAGTTGGTGTGAAATCTCACAGTAGTCATGGTCATCACCACCAAACACAAGACAAGGATTGATGGTATCAAGAATTTCAGATGTAAGATCATGTTCAACCACTGTTTGGTACTGTTTTCCCTTCTTGACCGGAAATGGGTTGGGGGATTCCCTCTTAGGACCACAAGTTTGCTGCTGGTTATCTCTATAGAGCGGTACATGGGTCAACAAGATCTTTGGAATGTTCTTTTCCATCGTGGCAGGAAGCAGCTGCAAAAACTCGTGTGGTGGCCGGTTTATATCTTTTGACTCAGAAGATAACGAGATCACATCCAACAACACCACCGTATGATTCCCCAATGTCACAACATCATTGGGAGGCCCGAAGAACCTTTCAAACCGCTTCTGCCTAAGAGGGTCGATGGTCTGAAAGCCAATGTCGTGGTTTCCGGGAAGTGATTTAATTGTAATTCTGTGAGGCTGAGCAGGAAAGATGTTTGTGAACCGTTCATACTCTTCGAACCACAATTGGTCATTCCAGTCCCTGCCACCATCGAACAAGTCTCCAAGAAATATGGTGCTGTCAGGATCAAGAAGACGTTGTAAAAACCGGTGGTTTCGACGAAGGTAATTATCACATATTTTCTTCACAAAGTAGTTCAATAGATCGGGTCTATCAGGATACGAATTGTCGTCCACCAACTGGGGATCCGCCACTAATGCCACTCTGTGTGGTACTATCCCCGTCTTCTTGTCCCAATTCTCCCAGTTCTTCCACTGGCACTTGTTGATAACGTATCTAACGTGTGTCCTTTCTACCAAGTGCACCAAAATAACCCATGATCCCATGATAAGACCGATAACTTTCGCATCCTGCAAGCTTAAAAGCTGCTTCCAACTGGCTCTTGGCTTAAATACAAACCGCCCAACTCTGTTGTCGCTTCCCGGAGCGGTATGGTAAAGTGGAATCTCTGATCCGGCTTTCTCTTTCCCTCTGTAACTCATCAAGTTTGCATCAACAAAACGCGACTTTCCAAATCCTCACTAAATAATCCCACCCATGGCGAAAGGTTCTGACCCTAATGCCAAACGGCAGTTGAGGCGACGGACGGTGAACTATGGAGATGACGATTCGTACTTTCGGTTTGACGATATAAATCCCTACGTGTTGTACAACCTTCCCATCAAAGTGTCTAGATCTTTCAAAAACATCGAGGCTTCTAAAGAGATCAATGCTCCACAAAAATCCACTCACGCGCCTACAGTGCTTTTCAAGCCCTCCACAGACTCCATTATGCCGAGAAAAACGACAATGAGGGAGGATCCACTCAGTGACGACAAGTACTTGCCATTCCACCGAGTTATGACCAAAAGAGAAACCAGCATGAATAATTTGGACAAAAGCAAGATATTGTCTGAAATGGACGGCTTACAGACCCAGAAAAGCCAGCTTTTGAACAACAACTGGGCGTCTGTTCTTCCAACCATCACTCGAATCAATGACCCGGGGGACGAGAACGAGCTTATAGAGAAGAGAAAGCTCACTGTTGCCGAAATTGATAGAAGACTACAAAAGTTTCAGACGTGGAAAAGACGTCAAGAGGAGTTGAAACAAGAAATCAAGCATTATAAACATGGCTTGCCCCGTGATTCTGAAGACAAGGAGTATAACATACCACTCTCAGAGTTAAAGGCAAGACGAAAGAAAGAACGTTTGGAAACTTATGGTGGAGTTATCAAGTTAGCATTGAACAATGGCTACTCTTTGATTATCGACCCGTTTGCACCTCCCAAGCTCATTGAAGAAGAGGAGTATGTACCACCGGCAAAAGACGATGTACCTTCAAGTTCACCTGAATATGAAGAAAAAGGCCGTAGTAGGAGAAAAGTCGCCAAAAGGTCAGTAAATGTCCGAACCAAGTCCAGGAAAAGGGTGGAGAAGAAACCGAAATTGAAGAACAAAGGTAAAGTAAGAAAGAATGGCCTTTCCAGAAATCGACAATCCAGAACTCAATAGAGAACTTATCATTATATTCATTAGGTTCTATGCTATAGTTAATTATTATTATAGAAATGCATGCTTGACACGAATTTTCCTAGAATGGCTTCAACAGTAGACATCTCTTCGAGGTCGGCCTTCATATCGCTTGCGTCCAAATCAAACACAAGTTCTCTTTGTACTTTGGGGTGCAGCCTCAATTCGGTGTCGATCCTTTCAAGTTTGAAGTTTGCGATTCGCTCAACATTGAGGCCATACTTGCTGATCAAAAAGCTGTTGAATTCGAGAAAACAAATCATGGCCTGACTCTGAATGCAGACAACTTTCTTGCTCTTGTTTTCCTCTAGAGCCTTGACTTTATCGTAGAGGTCCAAGCCTTGGTGGGACAATATATTGTTAATGGTTTCAGCTATCATGTATGTTTCTTCGAGAGTCAAGAATGAAACTGACGCAAGGTTCTGTAGCATGAAGTAGATGAAATTCCGGCCAAATTCTTGTGAGTGATCTTGTTTATCCAAGCTACTATAGTTTTGGAGGGACTTGTTGATGGCCGTGATAAACTTTCTTCTCGCCAGTACTGTTTTGGAAACGACTGAGTATAGAATGGAAATATAGTACCTCGATGTGGATAACCCATCTGCAATACTAGAGCGGTACTCGACGGCATATTTGAATCCTTCGGAGTAGCTGGAATCAAATAAACTCTCGTGCTTGTTGAATAAGTCTCTTAAAACCCCGTGTGCCTTGTTTCGAATAATGCTGCTTTCACTTGCTTCGAGTCCAATGAAAGTTGAGATACAGAGCTTGGGATTTTCGTATCCTAGCGTGAAGACAAGCTTACAGAACTGAACTGAAATCAAAGCAAAAGTATGGTTTGGATCAAAGCAAAGACCCAATATTTTGGAAATAAACCTTTGGATAAGACTTGAGCATATTCCGTCATTGACATAAGCTTTCCCACCTCCATTAAAGGCAACTACATCCAAATTCTCATTGGACGATGATTTTGTCTCGACCCCAATTCTACGACGAGACTCTTTATCTTCGTGACGAACAAAATCAAACAAGTTTTGAACGATTATTTGCTTGATTTTTGTTGCACCGTCTTCGTCATTCTGCAATTCCGTGGCTATGATATTTAACACTTTATCATTCATGTACAACTGTGGGTGGGTGGAACAAATGTTCAATACATTTCTTATAGCCGTGGACCTTGTTTGAACCTCAAACTTTTTACTAGTAAATACCAATAAAAACTTGGTAATTAAACTAGTGACAGACTCCTTGGCTTTCATTCCTAACGATGATTTCATAAACACATCTTGCTTGCCATTGAAATCACAATAAGATCCAAAGCACCCAATCAAATGAAGCAATTTCAACAACTTCAGATCACAACTAGTGCTTCCCAATTTCTGAAAGTTTTCGATGTAGGTAGCAGTCAACTTCAAACTTGAAACAGTCGCATTAGCTAATCTGCTGTTATCTCCTTGAAACTTACACAAAATTGAGAGAACAGGAACTGCTTCGTGAAGGTCTCTTACTCCAAGTTTACTCAATTTGCCTAATAAATGAGATATTATTTCCTCCCCAATTCTCCCGTCAATAGTGCCAAAGAAAGGAAGCGTGTGTTTCAATATGACCAAAGTATAGTGTAATGATTCACTTTGGTGATCTTCATCCATAAGGTATGGCTGCAAAGTAGTGAAGTACAGTTGAGGAAAGATTTTACCACTGCACCTTGTTATAATGCTTATGAACATTAAAGTACCAGAAACCGTACCAGATTTCTTGGTTGGTTCATTGATTAAAGCCAGGTCTAAAAGATACTCTAAAAGATTCTTTATGGCCTCCTGTAGTTCTTCACCCCCCGTCACAAAAACCTTTCTTTCAAGAAAAGATTCCAAATCATTAGCTGATTTAGCTGACCCTTTCAACATTCTCACTAGTATAGGAGCAATAAAACATGGCTCCCGAAGGAAAAGATCTTTGACAAAGGCCACTGATGTACATTTCAAGTTATCATCATCGTCATCCAATCTTCGCAAAAGCTTTGAAAGGATTCGGCCTCTAGCCTCATCGGTAGTCACTTCATTGAATATCAGTTTGGTGATCTTCAAGGCACTTTTTCTAACCTGGGGACTTTCATCAGATAAACATTCAGTCAAATGGTCGTAAACCAAGTCCGCTTTGCCTCTATTTTGACCCAAATACTCATAAAAGAAGTCAAGTACAGAATCTCTCACCATTGCAGAATTATCGTATAGCATCTTGGGAAGAGTGCTTTTGATAACTGACAAAAACGTAAGCCTACCAGAAAACTCTTGAAGTTTCGAGATGATGTTAATGGCTTTGGCTCTTGTTTTGATTCTTGGGCTCTTGAGCGATCTCACAATCAAATCGACAAGGATGTTCCCTTCATTTTCAAGTGGAGGGACCATTTCCATGTTCCATGGGTCGATTTGATCAAAGGTCCGTGCCGTCTCTTCATTTGTGGTAAGCAATTCCATCAACGAAGAATACAGATTCAAGATATCAGAATCCATGGTTTTCTTGGTGTCTCCACTATCAAAATCAAATATTTCAGCCTTTCTCCGCTGCCGATAGACTTTAAGAAGCTCGACGATTCCAGAAGCTATCAAATACGAGTATGCAAACTTCTCATGTCCTTTTTCAATGGTACTGTGGTACAAAAACCTCAACGTTTTCAACAACTTTTGGGACTGGATGTCCAAAGTATTGTCTGTTCTTGGTTCAGCGTCGTAACTGAGAATTGTTCTACAAATTTCTCCACAGATACCTAAGAAAAATGTTTCTGCTGGCTGGGGGAGGTTATCACTGTGAATAAAAGCCCCAATGACTTCCACCAATGAACGTACCACAAGAGTAGTCACAGGGTAATATGCTGTATTGAAGATAATGAGTATGTCACTGACAAAAGCTTCAAGAGGTGCTTTGTTACCAGATTTTGCAGCCTCACAGAGTGCGGTAACAACAGCAGTACATTGGTCTCGTTTCTGTTGAATCACATCTTCAAAGCCCTTCGATGCCACAAACGATTCCAGGTACATCTGGTTTTTAATAAAGTGAAAATGTTCTTCCGTTACCGATTCAATGTCGGTGAACTGGAGGATTATTAACAAGATGTAGCTCAGGATATGAATCTTCAGCTGACCAACGTGAGGCACAATTCGATTTTCAGGTCTTATTTCTTTGAAGGACAGGACATTTTCCATCAAGGTTTTCAAGATGTAGTCTCTTTCAGATGGGTAGAAAATGTAAGCAGCTTTTACAACTGCAGCAGAACAGAAAATCAATCCGGAAAACATGGAAGTAAATTTGACATCCAAGGAAAAGGAAATATTGATCCAATTCAAATTGGACATCAAAATGGTATTAATGGTCCCGTCTGATACTTTGAAGGATTCAATGAGTTCCCTTACGATTATGAGAAATCGAGGTAGCGTTCTCAATGTCAGGCTAAGGGTGGACATCACAGAGGGATGGTTGAAAACGGTATCAATGATCCCTTTAGAGACCTGGATGATTTCCGTTAATGCTTCTTCGTGGACCACTTCAAGAGAAAAGTCTACTATTTTCAAGCAATGCATGTATACGCTTGTAAGTTTGTGAATGCTATGAGCAGCTGAACTCCATTGGGGAAGATCAGCTTCTTTTAGGATATCAAGACTCGCAAGTGACAGCTTCAAGTCCGGAAAACATGCAAGGGCTTTTCTCTGAATCTCCTTGATGGTTTCAATCGACAAGTAAGTGAGTTTAGACCCGGATCCCGAATTGAGTATATCGTATAGCTGGGCATCAAGGAGTTCCATTATAGGAACAACCTTGGAGACTTCGATACCAGTATCTTCTAGTTCTTCAACCATCTTGTTGATTCCATCTGCCAATGCTTGTGTGTCGAATTTGAGTCTTTTAAAGTCTTCTGATCTTCCACTAGGTGTATGGGCCCGCTTCAACTCGGAAATAGGAGCTTCAGGTAATTTCTTGTGTGGGACAATTGGAATGGCCTCAACCACCATTTCCACATCCTCTTGTTTAATATTCTTCGAGTCTGCTCGCTTATCCAATCCTTTTATCACTACCAGCTCCTTGGCTACAAGAAACCGTTCGTTTCCTGCCAAATCCAAAGCACTAAGCTCTCGCTCCACAAACGGGGCTCCTTCTGGTGCCACAAACTCAAGGGCATCAAGCTCCTCGTCTTCAAACTGTTCCAATTGCTTTGTGATGCTGGTAATTGTATCTCTGCTCATTGAAGACTTTTTAATGCTTTCGTACACTTTTGCTCCATACACTTTCAACAACTCATTTTGAGAGTCCTGTTCGAACTCAAGCCCCTGAACCTCCAAGAGATATGCGAGATCATGTGCCGGTACAAGGTTATCTAGAGGTCTTCGAAGAACGCTCTTAATAATGGACTCGGGGTCGTCTGCAGCCATGGGCATCGATTTACACGTCTAAACCTCAAACACCGCGACTGGAAATGCTGCGAAAATATGGAGGACGGAATGCTATTAGACTATACAAAGATATTCTTGGAACCACTTTCTATTCAAGCGGAGCCACTCGCTGGAGCCGGATGTCCTCAGGATCGTACTGATCAGTGAGTCGCAAGTACGACGTCCCTCGAGCCCTCCCTATCCAGTTGATATAGAGATTCTTCAAGAGGTTATGTCTGTCAAAGACGTTTTTCCAGTCCTTATTGGATCGCATGAAGTTCAAGTACTCCCGGGTAGTCAAGTTCTGGCACGTGAGGAGAATGTGCACAAGAAGCACCAAAAATGGGTACACAATGGCCATTAGTGATAGAATAACTAGGCAAAAACTCCCGGGGTATGAAGATATCGACTGGCCAAAGGTGTGGATGGAGAATTCGGCCGCTGTCTTGTAGTGGAACACGTGAATGAGCCCAGTTATAATGGCCATGATCCCACAGGCACTGGCCCCGAGTACAAACCAGAGAAAGTATTTGTAGTTTCTCAAGCCCACACAGTTGTTGATGTAAATACAGTGGTGGTCGTGGTTGACCACACATGCGTTACACACTCCACAGTGGCTTGCTCGTGGTGGACGCCAGATATGGCATGTGGAGCAGTATTTGACGGTGACACCTTGAAATTTGTCATGGAGGTACGGCAATGATATGGCATTGAAGTACTCGTCGGGAGCCGTGGTGTTGGTAGGGAGACGGAGATCGTACGGCATGTGGACATTTCGTGGTAGAATTCCTGGGTCCGAGGTGGCGGCCTTGATAAACATTGCAAGGGTGATGAGCCACAAATAAGAAAACACAATGGGCAACGCCGGACTAAGGTGGTTCCATGTCCAGCGGGCCTCAAACACCCAGAAAAGCACCGCTAGGCCCGTCAATACACTGGCCACAAACACATTTATCGGTAGGGTTTTAACCACTCTTAATCGCCCTCCGACAAGATATACGAATTTAAGACCTTCCTGTTTCTGTGCCTGGTAGTTTTTGTATGAACCCAGTTGGTTGAGGACTATGTACTTGGGGTCGGCCACGAGCCAGTTCGTGAGGAACCAATAGAACCATGGAGCTGGTTCTGCTATTTGCTTGGTGCACATGAATAGATGCGGGTCGCAAACAGGAAGCTGCGAAAATACTGGAGTTGGTTGACGGGCCCGCAGAAGAGGAGGAGTAAGAGTAATAGTATATATAATTATGTGTAGATGAGTAAGAGTGTTCTATCACTCTATATCTGTAATTGCTAATACGTACAACCACTTTCGTGTTGTTTGCATATCTCTAGCCCCAGCACCATTTCAGCCTTCGCGAACTGGACTTGAAAATTCAAGATTCGACTGCGATGTACCCGATAGGAATCTCTCGAACAGCCATCCTGAGGCTCTGCTCCGGGAAAGTGACCCATACACCCACGTACCCTTTCCGTCATCTACGAAGAACTCCAGCCACCCGGCTTTCTCTGGTACAGATGCGGTCGCTTAGTCTTCCTACGGGAAGTGCTCTCAGAGGATGGGGAACCGTCATCAACATAATAGGAGGAGCGTATATTGGTGGGCTTATAGTGTGTTTCGGGCTGTTATACTTCCTCTACCATGACGCCAACGAAAGACAGCCGATTCCATTTGAGCTCTCGTTCGCTGACCAGAAAACTGCTGTGATGGCCATCAATAAAGACGATGCGCTAAAAAGCCCTCGATACGCTGTCAAGCACTACCGGCGACTTCTTATCGAGCTCGCCAAGAAGGAGAACCCGAAACTCGAGTTCGATGAGTCTGACCCCAAAAACCAGTACAGAGCACCCTTTCTCGATTCGCATACCTTGGTGCACAAAAAATCAAACACATTTGCCAATTTCTACATCGATATCGTCAGTCGATACGCCAAGGCGCTTCTTGCCAAAGGCCAGTTGGAAATCTCTGTGGAAACTCTTCAAAAATTGGTAAATGACGATGAGATCTTCTTCCGGTTGGGAGATGCCGAAAGACTCTCTCAGTGCGGACGGCTCTTGGCCAGAATATCACCAACTGTGGACGAAAAAGAGCTGCTTCTCAAGCGATGTATCACCATGATCGGCAGCACCTTCTCGTCCATCCACGTGGACGAAAACTACCTTTTACAGAATAGTTCCCGGATCACAGACGAGTTGATCTCATGCTTGAACGACATGGCATTTGCATACGCCAAAGAATCTACCCACCTGTCGCTTTCCCGCCACCAAAAGCAAGACTATCTCTCGAAGGCATTGAACATATATCTTTCCAATTTGAAAACGGTTCAGCAGGTCCAACACAGTGTTGTTAGTGGACAGAAGAACCAGACAAACTACCCACTTTTCAACTGCAACGAAGAAAACCTCCAGATGCTCGTCAATGAAATCCGCAGCCATGTCAGTGAGATCATGTGGTCTAAGGGGTACAAACAGAACGCTATTTCATGGAGTGAAGAAGTTGTGGACGATATTTACTACATCAATTCGTCTTCCAAACGTGCCAACCACATTTTAATTGACGTGTTGGCCAACCTCACGACAATGTACCACCAGATCCGCAACCGTACCAGTGAAGAGCGATGCATCCAACTCCAAAAGGGTCTTTCCCACTACGATCTGAACGAATCCTCCTGGTATGATAATCTCGTGGGCCGGTTCTGCCGCATTATTTATAACAAAGGGCCATTGGGGGTGATTGAAAAGGCACTTGTGGAACGATTTGGGCCTCCCAGGCGGCTTCTTGAGATTGAGGAGTTTGAAGATGAAGATACAGAGTAGTGGTGCTTATTTGCATCCATTTGGTGGGTTTGGTTGGCGGCGTGCGCGCACCGCCTCACTCGGCCAATAGAACGCACTTCATCTGTCATCGGCCCCGCGAAACTTCAACTACAAGTAATTCACTTTTCCTAAACATCCCCTGCAATCATGTTATCTATGTCTAGACTCGGCTTGGGCATGTCCAAAACCGCCCTTAAATCCTCGGCCGTATACCGTCCTACCCTCGTCAGAGGCATCAAGACCATTCCGCAACCTCCGGGATATATTGTGGGAACCGTTAACGATGCGTACGTTCCTCCAAAGCCAAATAAGACCCATGGATCTTTACATTGGGCCCGTGAAAAAGTCGTGACGGTGGCCATGATCCCCTTCATTGGCTATCCATTTTTGGCCGGTACCACCACGTTTGTGGATGCCTCCATGTCAGGTTTGTTGTTGTACCACTGTTATGTGGGATTCCAATCGTGTATCATTGACTATATTCCCAAGAGAGTGTATGGGGCCTACCATAATTATGCCATGTACCTCTTGACGTTTGGAAGCGGAGTGGCTGCCTACGGTATCTACGAGCTTGAAAAGAAGGAAGGGGGGGTCACCACCATCATCTCCAAGTTATGGAAGGCATAAGGAGCTCAGTATTTATTTGGGTCATTTTATATTCATCATTACATGATCATAAGAGTACTCGTCCACCTCTATCTCGTGCACCTCTATCTCGTGCACCTCTATCTCGTGCACCTCTATCTCGTGCACCTCTATCTCGCCGCCTCGCTTGCCTAGTCAGCGTTGTCTACTTGTCCACTTCACACTTCGCTTGGCTGTCGACGTTTTTTACTCTTCTCCACCACCTTCCCGTATTCCGCCTGGACCTGCCACACGCTCGTCCCAAGCCACTGTTCAAGCTGCTGCTTGTGATATGTCAAACTCCTGATATCCTGCGGCTGGAGCACTTTCAACCCATAGAGCCGAGAATCGTAGACATCACGGTATTTGGTCACCTCCACCACGGTGATGGTCCCATTGACCTCGTCAATTACCGTACGTACACTCTCGCCACACATCTCAAGAAGAAGCACTTCGAGCGCGAGTTCCACGTCTTTGTGGCCGTCTATTTGTGTCAATGCTCCAACCAACCCAGGGTCTTTGGTGATAGTATCCATCGCAATCGTCCCTCCTGCCACCTGGCTCAACACATCCCAGATGCTAAGCTTGACAAGTTTTATTGCCTGCTCACGGGTCAAATCGATGAAGTTGGCCCGGTATTGCCAGTAGTGGCGGATGTTTCCAAATGCAAAGAGCTCGAGGGTGTTGAGGAGTTTGATGATTTGGGGATCTGAAGTCTCCTCTACCGGCAACTGGCAGAGGGTCGTGAAATAGTTGTATACGTTCTTATCGCTCAACGCACGCGTTAGCAGGTGTATTGATTCCATTGCAAAAATGGTGTTGTTGCTTATATTTGCGTCTCTTCAACTAACTCAGGATACATTTTCGCGACCAAATTGTCGATAATTTTGACCCAAAGCCACTGGTTGAGGGTGCTGGGAACATTAGTTTCTGAGTCCACAGGGGCCATGAACACCCGGAGCGTACACTCAATTGAGTGGAGGGTGTCGGTCTTTGACTCACCCTTGTACTTGAAGTACGAAAAAAGGTTGCCTGGAAGAGCCTTGTGGGTGAGTAGGTCGTAGATGTCGTTGGCGATGGTTGTGGCCGAAAGTTCCACTTGTGGCACAGGGGGATTGTCGTCATTAAAAACACTGGTTCGGAGGCTCGAGATCACCTTTGACAACGTATCGTCATGAATCAACCGGGACTTAACAATGCCCTTGAAAAGGTACTTTTTGAAGATTCTATTGACTTTGGTGGAAAGCGCACTGTGCGACATGATCACACTGCGAACCGTCGACACAATGGCTGCAAAAAGTGGTTTGCGGTCGCTGAACCCTGTCAACGTATTGAGCAAGCGGAACACGCTATTTTCAAGGATATTGTGGTCGGTATCAACCCCTTCGTCGTTCCAGAACGTCAAGTACCCCACGTCTTTGTAGCTCCTGGAAAAGCTATTTTTGATCTTCTCTCGTATCGACTTCGGTTGGGATGTTGTTTTGACACTCGAGAGTCTATCGTCAAGCTTGGCCTTAACGGCCCCTACTATTCTCAGAATCACCGATAGGCAGAAGTCGGGCGTGCTAAGCTTGTTGAGGATTTTACCTAGTACCAAGTCAGCCACCACGATATCCACAAAGTTCATGCCTATCTGGGTATTGAGAGGCCCAAGGTTGTCGTCCGCCGACGAGAAGGTGGTACTAAGCAAGTTCTTCACTAGCACACGGAAATACTTCTGTTTCGATGCGTCAGATGCAAATATAACATGCTGACTGGCTAGATACTGATCGATTATTGTCCGGTCGCCAGTGGGTTCCAGTACCACCGGTAAACCACCCTGCTGTTCCACTATCCTGATAGTGTTTTCGCCAACCAAGCCCTCAATGTGGTCGTTAAGAATCGCACTCCAGTCGTCGATGCTGTCCAACAAGTTTTCGCTGTTCAAAATGATACTACACCGCATTGCAAAATCTCGTATAAACTCGCATAGTGTTGAATACACCACTTGGACAAAATCCATGTTGTCGGTGTTAAGTTTCCTGAGGTACCACAGGGTCACGTAGTTCACCATGATACTGGAAAGAAACATGTGGAGCTCAAAGTTGAGCTTGGGATATGAGATATTGGTGGTATCATTTGAGTGAGGGAGAAACGTAGGTAGGGCGGCTGATAACTGTTTCATCTGCTGCCCCGAATCGCCGTTCAATTGGAACCGCTTCGGCAAGTAGATCTTACAGAGGAACTTAAACTCCTCTGTGTCTGCCACCGGGTCCAAACGGAGAACCTCCTGGAGTCTTTTGGACTTTATCTTCTTGACGTTGTCCCGTTCAATGAGGCTGTAGAATCTGGTGGAGGTCGACGTGGTTGGTGATGCCTTCGGTACCAGCGCCCCCACGGTCTTGGGGTACAGAAGGTCGGGAGCAGCCGGTGCCGGGGAGTCCAGTGCCATTTTTTTCGTATCTGTCATGGAATAGTCAAGACGATAACAACCAGTTTAACATTTCGCATTTCGCATTTCTGCCATCTGCAAAAACACCATGTTCCGGAGGTTCAACTCTACCTGCTCCAAGTTTGTGCCGTTGATAGAAAACTACAAGACGCTAAGGCACGTCCACTTCGACGGCCTCACTCCCTTCATCGAGGGCCAGGCCCTCCAGCAATCCATGGTGGACGCTAACCTATCATTCAAGGAAATCGAGGCCAAAATCAAGCGCAACAAGCTTGAACTTTCCCAACAAGGACTTGAGATCAACGACTATGAAAAGGGCTTGATCGACAAGATTTTGGAGATGAAGCCCCACCCCACGCTATTGACGTTCCAGTTCAACAACGTCTACACAGGCGGCAAAAAGATCAAACGAGACCCGACCATCCACCAGCAAATCAAAGCATTTGAGGAACTTGGATGTGAGTTCCACCAGCTCGAGCGAGGCGGTGACGTGACGTGGCACGGTGAGGGCCATCTCGTGGCGTACCTCATTCTCGACCTCAAGAAGTTCAAGGACTTGACGGTGCGATGTTTTGTCGATTCGGTGCTTCTCAAGTCGCTCCAGGACGTGCTCAACAAGAACTATGATCTCGACAGCTATCTCAACAAAAACCCGGGTGTGTGGATGGAGCCCGACAACTTGAAGATCGCGTCGGTGGGTACCAACATCCAGCGAGGCATCACCAGCTATGGGATCGGGTTGAACGTCAAACCCGATTTAAAGTACCTCAACACTTTCACGATGTGCGGGCTTCCGGGGACTTCGGCAACCTCCATCCAGCAGATGAAGCCAGGCGCTGACTTGGACCTCAAGGCCGTGGCGTACATGTACTCGAAGGAAATTGCCAATAATTTGAACATCACCACCGTGGAACACATGAACGGAGAGGAAATCAGGCACCAATCGATAGAGAGGAATGAGATCTAATAGTTTTCTTTTACTGGCTAATATACATCATAACTCATTGCTGCTGACTGAGACCGCTTATTCGCTGTCCTCCTCCATGGGCTGGGGCGTAGAGGCTGCACTCAAGCGGTTCTTTTGATCCTCCAACTGGTACCGGGAGAGATTGAACTTCAACCGGGACTTTTTGTTTCTGAGAAAGTTCAATCGAAGAAGTTTGTCGTTCATAACATCGTGCGATCCCTTGGAATTTCTGATGGTCTGAAGCCTCACCCGCTGCAACTCAATCTTGTTCTTAAGATTGTTGGTTCGATTGCGGACCTTTTCCACCTCCTGTTCATATTTGTGTTTCAACGCATCAACCTTTGGTTCGAGCTCGTCTTGCACCGTCTTGATGGAGTGCTGTAGGTCCAGTTCGGCCACAAGCCCGAACACATTGTCTGTTTTTAAGATCTTATTGAGCCTGTGGACATCTTTGGTAGAAGCGTCTACCACTTTGATCGACTTGTCAAGCAACTGGGTGGACGCTCGAAGCGAGCTCACACAGCTCAACAAGTACTCGTTTGTGTTTGCAGACGGGGTCTGTGGCATGCCTGACATCGTTCGGCCCCGTGGTGTTTCTGCTGTTATGGGCATCTCAAATGGCATTTGCTAGTGTTTGCAAAACAAAACAAACCCTCACCAAAATGCGCGCGGTGCTTAACTGCGGTGCCTGGAAAAATCTTGTGATAGCAGCTAGAATGAACCATGAGTAAAGCCGATATACCCATCCACTTGGATTTATCTAATTCTTTGCAACAGAACGGCGGTGTACGTCTAGATCTGTACCAAATTCCCCTGCTTCTGCTGTCTCGGCTGTCACTGCTGTCTAAAATTCCCGATTCCAAACCCGACCCCGAAAGGGCTAACAGGAGACGATCTAACTCCCAAAGTCAGGTTATAGCTACTCCACAACTTTCGGGTCTTGATCGTCCCTCGGAGTTGAACGGAGGAGGTGTCAGGCCCATCAGAGAAGAGCCTGGGCCTTTTCCGACAAAACGAAAACAGGTTCAATACTTTGTCACCTTGACATCTTTAAACGATACGTTTGTTACCAGACACATATCGGTGCCATACTTCCCGGAGACTCGCAAACTAGGCCGTCCCACGGGTGCCAAGATGAAACCAGGCGTCACCAACGGGTTTTTCGATTCCCGTGTGTTGAGTAGAAACCATGCGGTTATGTTTGTGGATCCTAATACCGGCAAACTTATGTTGAGAGACTTGGGGTCTTCCAACGGAACTTATATCAACAACGTCAAGCTAGACACAGAGGCTGTCGAGGTAAACATGGGAGATAACATATGTTTTGGGTTCAATATCCAGGTGGGTATCAACCACAAGCAAATCAGTTGTAAAGTGGAGAATATCAGCATCATGAACGATGTGGCCACAGGTGACAATGAGCTATTGAGTGTAAACTTTCCCATCGACTCGGCCGAATACAAGCATTATCAGTACATCCAGGAGTTGTACAATAAGATATCGATTGAAAATAGAAAGAAAGAATTGAAGGAAGTGACGAAAAAAACCCCCGTGTCCTTTGAGTCAGCCCTCTTCAGCGATATAAACCCCGAGATCGAAGACAGCTTGTTGGGTTTATACACCAAGGCTAACAACGGAATCTTTAAGAACAGTGGCACATCCACCAGCTCCAAGTTGGAAAATTCAATCAGCTTATTGATGAACTGCTTTACAAAGCTCAAGCAACAGAACAACTCGCTCGGGTCCATAGAGACCTTTCTAGAGACGTATGAGAAAAGGGTGAATGAGCTCAATGAAGCCCACTTGGCAGAGCAAATGAAGATCAAATATACTGAGTTGAATGATAAAATTGCTAACGAACTGACTGCTAAAGAGAAGCTCCTAAGCGATTTCAAGTACCTCCGTGACGATAACCACAAGAAAATCAAGAAGCTAGAGGAGAAGGTATTTGCCTTGAAGGACGACAAGCTGCAATTGAACAAGAAAATCACCCAACTCACTCTGGAACTCAAAAGGGCCGAAGCCCAGTCCAATTCCCCCAGTATTCGCGCGGTGAACGTGAACGAAATAGTTGCTTCCCAAACTAATTGGGACGATCTGAGCAAACTATCATTATCCGAGCTAGACGACCACAGCTTCAATCCCCAATCCCAACGTCAACAACCTTTCTCACTTCCTAAAGACATCCCATCCCCTGTTTCCGAAAACGGCCTTATCATGAATTCGTCAGAAAATATCGAAACCGCTGCCCAACAAAATAATGGCGCCCATACACCTCCTCCAGAGAAAGACCAAAATTCACCTTCAGGCTCGCACTTATCGCCTGTCAAAGTCAACCAGAAGATGCTGGATGAGGACACCGATCTCAGATATAACCAGAATGCCATATTCCTTGCATTTGCCGGATTGATCTTTGCCTTTATAATTCACCACAACATGGCATAGACTTGCGAATAAACATACTTAGCATCACCAGCCACTCCACCAATTCATGATGCAATTGTGAATCGTACCATTCTGGGGTAAACCAATAAATGCCAGGCAATTCGCGATTCCGCCAGAAAAAAAATTCTGGTTGCTTGATGCAAATATGATACGAACCCCATCTACCATGATTGCTGCCGGAAAATTTGTTCCCATGGTGTACAAGCGGAGCCTTGTGACACCCATGGCGATACTCGGTGGGTTGTTTTACTCGGAAAGCAACCGTTTGGCCGATCAAATGGCGGCTGGAAAATTGCACTACAAGGATGCGAACAGCGAGTTGAACAAAAGCATGAAAATCCAGTTTTCAAGACCCGAACCCCAATATCCCGGCCACGTTCCGCTTTACACGCTAGAAAGGATTCTTATGTTCCTTGGATCGTCAGTGGGATCGTATTTTCATCCCGAGAGAAACGAGTTTATTGTGGGCCTTGGAGAGTCTACCGCATTGCCAGTAGTCCTCAGGCATATCCAAAAAACCATGTTGTCAGACCCCATAGGAAGACAGATTCTTAAGGAGAAACCCCGGATTACCTCCACTTCTCTTGACTTGGACTATTTGCGGGCATTACCTCCAAACACCATTGGTCACACCTATATCAAATGGCTTGATAGAGAAGGCGTGAGTCCCGACACCCGTGTGGCCGTCAAGTTCATCAACGACCCCGAATTGGCTTACATTTACCAGAGATACAGAGAATGCCATGACTTTTATCATGCTGTCACCGGGTTGCCCATCATCATCGAAGGAGAAATTGCTGTCAAAGTGTTTGAATTCATGAACATTGGCATTCCCATGAGCGGGTTGGGGGCGCTATTTGCTCCCTTACGGCTCAAACCCAGTCAGAAAGAACGACTTTTCAATATCTATTATCCTTGGGCCATTCGCACTGGGGTCAACTCCAGGCCTCTTATGAATGTATATTGGGAACACATGTTGGAAAAAGATATGGATGAGTTCAGAACAGAAATGAACATTGAGCAGCCTCCCGACTTGCGTATACTTCGGAAAGAGTACTTTGAGAAGTTAAAGAGGAAAAAGTTGATCATGTGATGAATGTATATAAGTTGTAGTTTCAGGTAGCTAAAGCCGCACTGTTGATACAAATAAATTGTTACGATTTCGTTTTGTTGCTGTGAATAATGTCTTCCTTGTTGTACAAGTACTTCTTGAAGAAAGTATGTATCGTATCTATCTGCTATGTGTTGTGGCCCACCTATTAACCTTCAGACCAATTTGGATTCGGTCTTCACTGTGGGAGGTGACCCCAATAATAGTGACCCATATTTTGAAGAAATCCCCCCAAACGAATTGCATTTCTACCAGAAAAAAGGGGCTCGGAGAAAGAGAAAGTTACCAGATTTCATCCCCAAACATGACCTAAATGTATTGGATTCCGTCAAAAGAAAGGCTTATAGACTCGATTTACAGTTGAGTATGTGTGGATTGCGTCTTGGATGGGCAGGAGTCATTGGATTGATTCCATGGATCGGTGACTGTATCTCCTTGTTCTTTGCTTTGCAATTGATCAAAAAGGCCGATGAAATAGAAGGTGGTGTCCCCATAGCAGTCAAACTGAAAATGATGTCGAACTTGATATTTGACTTTATAATGGGACTCATTCCGTTATTGGGCGACTTTATGAACATCTTGTACAAGTGCAACTCACGTAACTTCATTCTCTTGGAGAAGTATCTCGTGGAGAAGCATTCCCCGAATCACCACGGGTCTAAAATGGAAAACATGAACAAAAAGCAGCTCCAGGCCTTGGAGGACTCGGGTATGGAGCACGGTGAGGGTCCTGAGAAAACCCGAGCTGATGACCTAGTTTAGTGTAATATACAGCCATTGGCCATCTATTGTCGGGAAAACTGGGTTTCGAGTCGAGACACCCGAACCTTGAAATCATCCACAAACCCCTTCAATTGGTCCAACTTCATAAATTCCAACTCCAACTTGTCACATTCTACTAGTAGCTTGTCGATTTGAGCCATCTCCATGTCGAGTTTCAACTGTTGTTGCAAGTAGTCTCTCTTTATTAGCAGCTCTTTCTGGCTGACCGACTCAAAAGTGATATCCGAAAGGCTTTTGACATGGTCATTAATCTTATATATGAGATAGTCGTAGCTCAAGGCCAACTGTTTCAATCCCATTGGATCCTCTTCCTCACTGTCTGCAACCATTATGCCAATTATTTGCAATCGGTTCACTGAAGATGCTCACGCTTTTTTGTCGCTGTCGCACCGTTTTGCTGAACCTTCAAAAAATCAAACTGGCAACTGTCGCCTCGTAACAGCAGAACTAACATAAACTTTAATATGTCGTCCAGCTCTGGTTACTCGCTTTCCAAGATCAATCCCAAGTTACTAAGAAGGATATGTATGTATTAATTGGGTCCATTGAGGACCTTTACCTGGGTCAACCTCACTTGATAGCTTTTCACCTTCACCCCCTATAGGAAGAAATATGCTAACAACCATTTAGACCGGGCTTGTAGACCATCTTTGGACGAGCCCAACTTGGCGTTGAACTTGGAGATATGTGATTATGTCAATGCCAAGCAGGGTTCAATCCCTAGGGATGCTGCCATCACTGTTGTCAAATTGATTAGTCAAAAGGACCCTCAAACAAGCGAATTGGCTTTGTCATTATTGGATAACTTGGTGAAAAATTGTGGATATCCCTTTCACTTGCAGGTGTCTCGCAAGGAGTTTTTGAATGAGTTGGTCAAGAGGTTCCCCGAAAGACCTCCCTTGAGGTATACCAGAGTCCAAAGATTGATATTGGCTCAGATCGAGGAATGGTACCAAACCATTTGTAAGACCTCCAAGTACAAAGAAGACTTTGGTTACATCAAAAACATGCACACATTATTGAGCCACAAAGGATATATTTTCCCCGAGGTCAAGGTTGAAGACGCTGCTGTATTGAATCCGGCTGATACTTTGAAGTCTTTTGAAGAATTGCAAAAGGAAGAGGAAGTGGTCAACAGTGCCAAGTTGCAAGAATTGATCAGAAGAGGTAGGCCACAGGACTTGCTGGAGGCTAATAAGTTGATGAAGATTATGGCCGGTTTCAAGGAAAGTAATAAGGTGGAAGAGAATAAACAGCAAATTCTTCAAGACATTGCTAGATTGAAGCGGAAAGCGGAGATTTTGGATGAGATGTTAACCGCCATCCAACAAAATGGCGGAAAGATTGAAGAGTCTAATGAAGCTGCTCATGAATTGTATGGTTCGGTTAAGAGTAATCAACCAATCATAAACAAAATCATTGAAGAAGAACATGATAATGAACAAAGAGTCGGCGAGTTATTGTCCTTGAATGACAATATCAACACTTTGATCAATAAGTTCCAATTGTTGAAAGGCGGTAAAGTTGATGAGGCTTCAAAGATGAAAGCCAACCTTAATCAGGACTTGAATTTGATTGACTTTGATGATGATGAACCTATCAGTAATGATCAAACTGGCAAGGATACCCAGGGCTATAACGATTTATTAAGTGACTTGACCAGCTTATCGTTTGGTGGAGAGCCATCCAAGAAGACCAATGATGACATTTTGAATTTGTTTGGATCAGGTGGCTCGATAGCTTTAGGCTCAAACACTCCCCAACCTACTGAACCTTCAAGCAAAGATTTCGATCTCTTAGCTGGTTTCAGCTCGCCATCTCCTCAATTGCAATCAAATGTCCAAACTACACCTGTTCAGTCTAACAACGTTTTGGATGCATTTGAGTTGAGTTTCCCATCAAGCACCCCATCAAATATCACATCCACCATTTCTAAAAAGACCATTCACCAATCGAAAGCCATACAAATTGATGTCGAGCTCTACAGCACCGGTACTACAGTAAATGGTAAATTTTTCTTCAGAAACGTGGGGATTCCAACATCCACCATAGCGGTGTTCAAGTTCTTGGTGGCCGCTCCTAAGAGTTGTAAACTAGAATTAAAACCTCAAAGTGGTGAAACATTGTCTGGAGGACTGAGTTTCATCAGTCAAGAGTTCACCATCCAAAATGACTTGAACAAGCCTTTGAAGATCAAATGGAAGGCGGATTACACCTATCAGTTCAGTCAGACGACACAAACTGAAACTGGTGTAAGCGAATTATAGCCCAAACAACTGCTTTAAATAGACCCTAGATCGAGAGAATCACATAATTCCGTACATTATAAAAAATCCCTAATCCTAATTTGGTTTGACCAAAGTATCATCAATGATGAAAATGTACCCATTGTCGACCTGCTTAGCCATAATGACATTAATCTTGGTACCATCGTCAGAAACCAACCCAATCTTTTCACCTACCTGCACAATTTCCACTTGTTTTCCACTCAACAAAGTGGCCTTTACAGACCGTTCAGTGATCTTCAAGTCCTCAAAATTCATAACAATATGATTGGAAACAAAATAGCTCAAGTTGGACTCAACGACTTCATCTTCGTTTCCTTCGGATAAACTCTTGGGGAACTCCCAGGGTTTAAGTCCGCCCAACTTGGTCAGAATGGCATTATCGGTTGGGCAGATGATCAACAAAGACTCGGCCAAAGACTCAGTCTTCTCATTGATTTCCAGGTTGTCTCTTATGTACCCAGCAAACACAGAAATCGAGGTATATTGAGGTAAGATCGATTGAAGTAAAAGAGCAGAAGTGGATTCTTCCATAACCACTTGATCTCTCTTTTGTACTTGTTCTGCTTCAACATCACTCTTGAATGTGGCAAAATTGACAACGTTCTTTGCATCTCGTTTGCTACTGAGGCTGCTGAGGCCCACCTTAACGTCGTCAAGGTTGTACACGTTCTTTGCGTCTCGTTTGCTATTGAGGACGCTGAGGCCCACCTTAACATCATCAAGATTGTACACATTCTTTGCGTCTCTTTTGGCATTCTTTTCATCATTTACTGCATCCTTGAACTTATTGAGGTCAAAGACGTTCTTTGCCAAAGCACCCATCACCAAATAAAGTAAAAAAATTGCAAATCTCATGGTGCTCCTTGTGTGAACTGATGTTTTTGTGACCAAGTTTTGGCGATGGTGCGACATCCGGATTACGGCAAAGAGTGCGGCTACCTATTCGGAAAACACTGTATGAACCCAAAACTCTCACATACGAACAAAGGCTTAGAGTATCGTATATTACTTGTAAGCCCCCCAAAAAGATGGTCTACAAACAAATTAATATTACATTTATTATTAGGGATAAAAACAAAAAAAACCATTAATACAAAACTTATCCCCTTATAAATATTATCTTACCATATAATTCAAAACTTTTTTGTTCATTCGGCTGGCCCCCTTAGTACAAAGACAAACCAATGGCAGCAGCTCCAGCAAGCAAAGCAATGAAGCCTCCAGGAGCGGAAGCAGAACTGTCCTTGGTGGTGGTGGTGGAGTCAGAAGAAGAAGAAGAAGAAGAAGAATCTTCATCGTCAGCAGAAGAAGTGGAAACACCATTGGCGTTACCAGACTTGGAAGAAGAAGAAGAGGTTTCGGTGTTGGCACCAGAACAGTAGTACTTGTCACCCTTAATGTCCCCGTCGGAGTTCAATTCGTTGAACTCTTCACAGGTTAAGTCACCGGTGGATCTCAAGTTGAAACCACCAGAAACCGATTCCAAGGATTCAAAAGTACCGTTGTCGAAAGAACCGTTGATGCTAACAGATCCACCAACCTTGGCCAATTCTGGGAAACCAGCAAAAGTGGACAAGTCGTCGTTTTCTGAGATAACCAAAGCACCTCCGATGGAAGTCAAGTTAGCAAATTCGATTTCTTCCAAATCGGAGTTCTTGCTGACAGTCAAAGAGTTACTAACAGACTTCAAAGAGCTGATTTCAATCTTCTCAATCGAGTTGGAAACAAATGACAAAGAACCAGTAACCTTTGTCAAGTTGGCAGCAGAAAATGAAGAAATCGACTGAAGGTAAACGTCCTTGGCTTCAGACAATTGGTCCAACTTCACATCAACAGAGTCGGCGTTGAAAGAAATAGACAAAGTGTCAGTAACCTTTTGCAAACCAGAGTCAATAAGTTGAATTTGGTCGTTGTTGTTAACGTTAAAAGTCTTCAATTGCACAACATTGATACCTTCCAAGGTGTTCAAACCTGTGTCAGAAATGATGACGGATTCGGCCGAGGTGATACCCGACGTCAAGCCGATGACTTCCAAGGCTGGCAAAGCAGTTAAACTGAAAGATCCAACGGTGGTCAATTGGGCCAAGTTCAAAGAGGCCAAGATGGTGTTGGCATCCAATGACAATTCTCCGGAAACCAACTGCAAGGTGGCGGCGTTGAAAGCAGAGGCTTGGGTGGCATTTTGGATGTGCAAGTTACCGTAGATGGCCTCGACACCGGTCAATTCGATGGTACCGAATTCATCACCTTCAATAGTGATATCACCAACAGCAGTTGCACAGGCAGCAACCGAAGCAACGTCAGCAGAAGCGGTGGCGGTGAAGTCGTCAAACTTACAAGCAGACTTGACACTTGGAGTGGCAGTGGTCAAGGTAGAATCTAAAAAATAGTTAGTAAAAGCTTCTAAAACTCAAATTCTTTCGAGCTCGTCAAAGTTTTGATCCGGGCTAAAAAAAATCCCTGGTGATGATAACATACTGTTGGCAGCCAAAGCGATAGCTGACAAGGCAGACAAAGCGACGAATGACTTAATTTGCATGATGGACAACACAATCTAGTTTTTTCTACGATAGGAAAGTAAAAAAAAAATCGAGATAGGGGGGAATCCCGTTGGTATTTAAATGGTTTCGTGGCGGGTTGTTGAAGAAAAAAAAAGTTTCTATTTAGGGCCACACACAACAGTGAGACAAAGCATGCCATATCCGGTGGTGCGACCGAGGGGTGGATCCCTTGGGCGAGAGGCGCTGAGGCGGCCCCTGCGCGCCCCTTTGGAGGGTGCATTGGGTCCCTCGGCCTCAAGGATAAGGAGATCATGTTTCCGACTTCCGGGGGTGCTGCCGGGCGCTGCCGGATCCATGCTGGCCATCATACCAGCCATTTGTTTTCAAATTATTTTCTAGCAAAATTGCCAGATTTGCTAATAGGCTTTGTCCAATCCTGTGCCTATCTACCAGATATAGCAGGTGATGATGAGAGTCAAATATAAACATAATATATGATAGATACCAAGAGCACCCACACAACCCTCGAAAAATTCCCGACGCTTTGAGCGTCAAGTTACTCGAAAAATATTTCTCCATTGTGAGATGGAGTTTCGGTTAACTTGGTAAATATTTACTATCAAAAAGACCGGTTTGGTCGGATTCATTTTGTTTGGTCGTATAAACATAGTTCAAAGCCGAAGAGCCGACTTACAGGCTTACTTGACTACTTACAGTAAGCAAATGATTCATAACTTGTGAGCCCTTTATTTATGGCCAATGCTATTATTCCGCATTGGGAAATCGCCTTGCAAATTTCTCACCAGTAATAAAGCAAGGCTTGGTTGCCCAGTAGCTGGAGAAAGATTTTCCCGGAATGACACGTGCATCTTTAATCCGATGAGTAGGCACGACATCTTCCGACATTGTCTTTGTCTTAAAGCTTGCGCAATCACTTTTTCATTCTCAATATATTCAACAATAAATACTATAAATAAAGGAACTGTGGTGAACCAGGCCATTTGTGCTAACTCAGTGCCTGGACCCTACCAACAGAACCTTCCTAAATCTTCTCCGCCAACTCCTCTAACAACTTGTAGTTACGTTGTTCGACTGACCCATTTCCTGGTAATCTACTGGTACCCATCAAGTAGTTGTCCACTTGTCTAGCACACTGTCTACCTTCTTGAATACCCCAAACCACCAACGATTGACCTCTTCTACAGTCACCGGCCGTAAACACGTTGTCATCTCCAACAACTTTGTATCCATTTGGATCGGTAACATCGACGGTTCCCCTCTTGGACTTAGAAACTCCAAGGTTATCGGCCTCAGGACCAACAAAACCCATCGACAACAACACCAAGTCAGCTGGGAAAAACTCTTCACTACCAGGAACTTCAGCCATCTGCCAGGCACCTGAATCAGATCTCTTCCATTCGACTCTGACGGTCTTGATACCCTTTACGTTACCTTCACCATCATCAACAAACTCCTTGGACAAAATGCTGTATTCTCTGGGGTCCTTACCGTAGTGGTTGGCAACCTCAGTGTGACCGTAGTCCACTCTGAAGATCCGTGGCCATTGAGGCCATGGGTTATCCTTTGGTCTCATGTTTGGAGGAGTGGGCAACAATTCAAAGTTGGTGACACTCTTAGCCTTATGTCTGGTGGAAGTTCCCAAACAATCGTTACCGGTATCACCACCACCAATGACCACCACGTGCTTGCCTTCGATCTCTTCTTTGATGTCATCCAAGGTTCCGTCCAACAATGCCTTGGTGTTTTTGGACAACAATTGCATGGCAAAGTTGATATTGTTCAATTCTCTACCGGGAATTCTCAAATCTCTGGGGATGGTAGAACCAATGGCCAACACCACCGCATCGTTCTGAGCCTTCAACTCGTCGAGAGTAATGTCTTCTCCAATGGTGGTGGAGCATACAAACTCAATGCCTTCGGCTGCCAACAAGTCGGTTCTTCTCTTGACAATACCTTTATCCAACTTCATGTTTGGAATACCGTACATCATCAACCCACCAGGTCTGTCACTTCGTTCGTACACGGTGACCAAGTGACCAGCCTTGTTCAACTGGTCGGCAGTAGCCAATCCAGCAGGACCAGATCCAATGACAGCTACCGTTTTGCCGGTTCTGACTTTTGGAGGTTGAGGCTTGATCCAGCCTTGTTCGAACCCGTGGTCAATGATGGCACATTCCACCGACTTGATGTTGACGGGATCATCAATGACTCCCAAAGTACATGCCCCATTACATGGAGCCGGACAGATTCTACCGGTGAACTCAGGGAAGTTGTTGGTCATCATCAACCTCTGTAAAGCATCGAACCATCTGTCCTTGAACACCAACTCGTTCCACTTGGGGATAACGTTGGAAATAGGACATCCAGTATCGGAGGTACAGAATGGAATACCACAATCCATACATCTGGCAGTCTCATACTTCAATTCATCCTTGGTCAACCGGGTGGTCATTTCGTTCCAGTCGTTGGTCCGCTCCTTGGCGTCCTTGTACTTTTCGTTTCTTCTCTTGTACTTCATGAACCCCTTCACCTTGTCGATCTTGGCCACGGCCTTTTTGGCAACTTCAGTGTCAGGAATGGTATCTTCAAGATCCAACACCTTGGGCTCATTCTTCTTACTGGGTCTGTGAACATGTCCATGCTTGATCTTGGCTGCTTCACCGTTGGTGACATCGGCTTCAGGATCTTCCTTGATGGACTTCAAGAACCGGTTCATCTCATTCTGCTTGGCTTCCAATTTCTGTAACTTTTCCTTCTCCAACACCTTCTTGTAGTCGGTAGGTAAGACCTTGACGACTCTTGGTAAGATCCGGTTGAAGTCGTTCAAAACATTGTCAGCAACCTCGGATCCCGTGTAGTGTCTGTGGTCTTCGATCAAACCTCTGACAAAAGCGATTTCGCTGGGGTCTTCGATCGAACTCAACTCCACCGTACCCATGTTGCACTTGTCGGCAAAATCTTGGGCCATATCCAACACATAAGCAATACCTCCACACATACCAGCAGCAAAGTTTCTACCGGTGGATCCCAAAACAATTACTCTACCACCAGACATGTACTCACATCCGTGGTCCCCGGTTCCCTCTACCACGATGTTGGCACCGGAGTTTCTCACAGCAAATCTTTCGGCTGCAATACCTCTGATGAAGGCAGAACCAGAAGTGGCACCAAAGAAAGCAGTGTTACCAGCAATAATCTGGTCTTCGGCCTTGAACTTGGACTCCTTGGGTGGGTAAACAATGATTCTACCTCCCGACAATCCCTTACCAATGTAATCGTTGGCATCACCTTCCAATTCCAAAGTGATACCAGGAGCCAAAAATGCTCCAAAGGACTGACCAGCTGAACCCTTGACATTGACATGAATGGTGTCATGGGGCAAACCTTGTTCCCCAAACGTCTTGGACACTCTGTAGGATAAGGTAGTACCCAAGGATCTGTCGGTATTGACGACATCACAGTCAATGGTGACGGGTAAGCCCTTGGCCAAGGTGATTTCAGACTCATCGATCAATTTGTTATCGATTCTCACGTGCAACCGGTGATCTTGCTTTCTGACACAGTAGGTTGGCACTCCTGGTCTAATGGAATGAGCAGGAGTTAAGATGGGTGACAAGTCGATGTTGGCATTCTTGGTGTTTCTCAAGTCATCTCTGACAATCAACTTTTCGGTGCGGCCAATCATCTCATTGACGGTACGGTAACCCAATTGAGCCATGATCTTTCTGAAGTCGTTGGCCACGTAGTAGAAAAAGTTGATGACATGTTCGGGAGTACCTTTGAACTTCTTTCTAAGTTCGGGGTCTTGCGTGGCAATACCCACGGCACAGGTTCCCAAATGACACTTTCTAAGCAAAAGACAACCCATGGCAATCAACGGAGTGGTAGCAAACCCCCATTGTTCAGCCCCCAATAAGGTGGCAATGGCAACGTCTCTTCCGGTCTTGATTTGACCATCGGTTTGCAACACAACTCTTCCACGCAAGTCGTTCAACACCAAGGTTTGATGGGTTTCGGCCAAACCCAATTCCCAGGGTAAACCGGCGTGCTTGATGGAGGTCCACTTGGCAGCACCAGTACCTCCATCGTGACCACTAACCAAGATGTTTTCGGCACCGGCTTTGGCCACACCAGCCGAAATTGTACCAATACCCACTTCCGAAACCAATTTGACTGAGGTTCTGGCTCTTGGGTTGGCACATTTCAAGTCGTACAACAACTGCTTCAAGTCTTCAATCGAGTAAATGTCGTGATGAGGAGGAGGAGAAATCAACCCAACTCCAGGAGTAGAGTGTCTTGTCTTGGCAATGGCATCAGAAACCTTGTTACCAGGCAATTCACCTCCTTCACCGGGTTTGGCACCTTGGGCCATTTTGATTTGCAACTCATCGGCATCAGCCAAGTAGTATGAAGTGACACCAAATCTACCGGAAGCAATTTGCTTGATGGCTGATCTCATGGTGTCTCCATTAGCATTGACAATGGATCTGGCAGAATCTTCACCACCTTCACCAGTGTTGGACTTACCTCCCAATCTGTTCATAGCCACGGCAATGGTGGAATGAGCTTCCATGGAGATGGACCCATACGACATAGCTCCCGTGAAGAATCTTCTGACGATTTCGGTCCATGGTTCGACCTGGTCAATTGGAATTGGCGTACTGTTTTTGAAGTCAAAGTCCAATAATCCTCTCAAGGTGCAGTTTCTCATGGCTTCATGTTCCTTTTTGACGTACGCATCATAGGCCTTTTCGTTCTTATTTCTAACGGCATCTTGCATGGATGCAATGGCAGCAGGCTCATTGATGTGAGCCTCTCCCCCGTCTCTCCAATGGTATTCACCGGTTTCTGGCAATCCAATGGGCTTGACGGTGTCTCTGGATGGGAACCCTCTTTCGTGCATGGAGAAGGCATCTTGGGCAATGTACTCGAAAGTGACACCCTTGATTCTGGAGGCGGTACCGGCAAAACACCGGTCAATGACGGAGTTGTCGATACCCAAGGCCTCAAAGATCTGGGCACCTTTATACGAACTCAAGGTGGAAATACCCATCTTGGACATCACCTTCAAGATCCCCGAGTTGATGGTATACTTGTAGTTGGCAATGATCTTGTCATTGGTCAATGACTCGTTTTTCAACAACCCTTCGTCCTTCATTCTCGTCAAGGTCTCGATACACAAGTATGGGTTAATGGCATCGGCCCCGTAACCCACCAACAAACACGCATGGTGTACTTCTCTGGCCTCGGCCGTCTCGATGATCAACGCCACCTTGGACCGTTGTTTCTGTCTCACCAAGTGGTGGTGGATGGTACCCACCGCAATCAACGCAGAAATTGGAATGTGGTCTGCGTCAGTAGCCTTATCCGACAAAATCAACACCTTGTTGTTGTTGGCAATGGCAGTGGAGGCTTCCTGACAGATTCTATCCAAGATATTGATGTAACCTTGGATACCTTCCTTCTTGTTGAAAGTGTAGTCAATGGTGGAACTCAGCCATTTGGGGTAGACGGTAGTCATTTGTCTGATGGCATTCAATTCCTCAGTCGCCAAGATTGGTGACTTCAACAACAACCGGTTACACTGATCGGGCTTCATTTCCAACAAGTTTCCTTGAGGACCCACGTAACACTCCAAAGACATGACGATTTCTTCTCTAATGGGGTCAATTGGAGGATTGGTCACCTGGGCAAACAACTGCTTGAAGTAGTCGTACAACAACCGAGGCTGTTCACTGATACAAGCCAAGGCATTGTCGTTACCCATGGATCCCAACGCTTCTTTTCCCTCGGCCATAGGAGCCAAAATCAATGACATCTGCTCGTGACTGTAGCCAAACGTGATCAACCTGGGGTCCTTCTGGACGGTTTCAGCCGATGGAGCAATGGTATCTTTGATATCCACCGACTTGCTGTGCAACTTTTCAATCAAGTCGTTCATGGTGATCATGTTGGCCAAAATCCAGGATTTGAAGTCGAACTTGGACGAAATATTAGCCTTCAATTCCCGGTCATCGACAATTCTACCTTCTTTGGTGTCCACCAACAACATCTTTCCTGGCTGCAATCTTCCCTTCTGTAGGATCTTCTCGGGCTCCACGTCGATGACACCCACCTCGGAAGCGACAATGATTCTGTCATCGTCAATCACATAATAACGACATGGTCTCAACCCGTTTCTATCCAAGTTGGCCCCACAGTATCGGGAGTCAGCAAAGGTGAACAACGCCGGGCCATCCCATGGCTCCATGAGACAGGCAGCCCATTCGTAAAAGGCTCTTTTCTTGGGGTCGATGAGCTTATCGTTTTGCCAGGCCTCTGGAATCAACATCATCACTGCCTCGGGAAGTGTCAAGGAGCCGTTAATCACCAACAACTCCAACACATTGTCAAAGGCAGCCGAGTCCGACCCCCCTTCTTCAATGATCGGGTACAACTTGTCCAATTCATCACCAAATAACTCGGACTTCATGATACCTTCTTTGGCTCTCATCCAGTTTTTGTTTCCTCTCAAAGTGTTAATTTCTCCGTTATGGGCGGCCAATCTCAAAGGCTGGGCCCGGTCCCATGAAGGGAAGGTGTTGGTGGAGAATCTCGAGTGCACCAAGGAAAAATGGGCCTCGTACTCGCTGTTGGCCAAATCATGGTAGTAAGCAAACACCTGGTTTGGGGCCAATTGACCCTTATAAACAATGGTCTGGTTGGATAAGGAGCAGATATAAAACCAATTGTGCAACCCGATGGTGTGGGTGCTCTGTTTTCTCAAGATAAACAAGCGCTTCTGGAACTCTTTGTTGTACTTGGAATCAAATTCGTCCTCAGACAATTCCACTCCTTCGAGCTCGCTGAGAATAATGGCCGGCTGTAAAATCAACGGCTCTCTCGACAATGAAGCAGGACCCAAAATCGTCAGGTCATGAGGAACCTTTCTCCAGGCCAAAATCTTCAACCCCAAGCTGGCAGCAATGTCTTCAAACGTCATTTTGGATTTTTCAAAAATCGAGTCGTCCTTCTTGAAAAAAAGGTTCCCTACACCGTACTGGCCCTTGGCAGGCAAGTCGATATTACAGGTATATTTGAACTCTTTTTTCAAAAACTTGTGGGGCAAAGACGTCAATACTCCGGCCCCATCTCCGTCCTTGGGATTCAACTCTCCCCCTCTGTGGGTCATGTTGCACAACAAATTACGGGAGTCACTAACAATCTTGTGGCTGGCAACCCCTTTCAAGTGACAGGTGAAACCCACTCCACAGGCGTCCTTCTCGTACTGGGGATCATACAATCCTTGAGCTACCGGTAAGGAGGCGGCCCACGACTTGTTTTCAGGAACCTCGTCATAGTCGTACACCTTGGTTTCGAATTCTTCTTGAGGCATGTACGAGGTCATGATCGGCTTGGGGGTCTAATACAATTGGAGAATATGAGTTAGCGATGTATACTTCAATCGATAGGCAACCTACAAAAACGATCTTCAGATAAACTAGTAGTGATTTAGGATGTGAAGAAAAAAAAAGTTGGAAACTAGAGAAAATTTTGCATTTATTAGAGTCTCCGGTTTTTGCAAATCTTGTTTTTTTTTCTCATACAAAAATACCCCATCTAAATGATTATCTCTATCGAATCCGGTACCGGACAAAATAATTGGTTGATAAAGGGTGCGCACCGGATCTTTGGCCAATGGGATCCACGCAATTATTAAGAGCTATGCGAATAACTTTGATTGTTCTGGTACTTGTTGGGGGGTTATCAGGTTGATCCCCGGTGGGTGTGTTGTGTAGACCGGTGGTAAATGGTGATGGAAATCTGGGAGATTTTGGCTCAAGTATACCTTTGGATCGGGGGAGTTTCACAGCAGGGGGAATGGTTTTGCAAGTTGGAGCTCGTTTGCATATTACAACCACCCTAACATGCACACTCTAACCTGCACATCCTAACCTGCTGAACTGGGGGATCTCCTTAGGACCTTTTTGCCTAAATCGAAAGTGACTCATTAATCATCGGTGTGTGAATTTACTTAGTCACCCATACATATTATCTACCTACATCATAAACTAACCTAGACTCTGTTAGTAAAACTTCTTTATTAACTCTGTCGGGAAAAACCGTATAGGCTAAAATAGGGGGTTCCGCTTCCTCCATCGGATTTTGTACGGTTTCATTTAGCCTGTGAGTCTTTGAAATAACGGGATTCGCACCGGTGTGCCTCCGGCGACGTTTCGGCCCATGCCGTATGTTTCAGCTTTTGTCTCTGCCACAAATAGGTTGTTATCAGCCAATAGCCGCCTCGCTGATGTAAGCAGATAGGGGAAGGTCATAAGGCTTATGCTTGTGCTCTCCTTGCCATGCTTCTTTGTTAGTTTCAAAAGAGCCGGTCACGTGATACATGTGCTCAGCGGAAAAGTGGCCGCCGTAGTGGCAGCTTATGGCGGAACTTTTCCGCCAGTGTTCCTGCCAGCTCCTACCAGTTTTTCTCGCACTGCCGTCGCCCCCACCCCCACCATAAACTGCCACCAGTTTTTCTCGCACTGTCGTCGCCCCCACCACTAACTCCCACCTTGGCACACCTCATCTCTGTTTTCGCGCACAGTTTACTCCATCTACAATGGAGCTGATATCTTTTAAACCCGAAATCCTCGAAAGGATCATCCCCGACGTCTCCTTAGAGAGGCACCTCAAGATCGGGATCCGCTCGAACCAAAGATTGTTTGATGAGTTCAAAAACATCCAGATTCTTTCTCAAAAATCGTCTCATTTGCTCACCACCTCATACATCCAAAATGGCAATACTCTTGTCATTTGCAATATATCATATGGAATCACCGAGCTCTTGGGTGGGGAAACCCCGGAACAGTACTCCTCGGTATACCCTACTCTTTCTATCTCCAGAGGCCGCTCAGGAGCTCCCACTGATGAAGAAATGAATCTCTCTCAAAAGCTATACGAGTCGACTTTGCACAGCAGAATATTACCATCCAATTCACTAATATTCAAACCAAAGGTGATGATCGATGATAATTTGGAAGACTTGGACACAAACAAACAGTTCAAGTTCAACCTCTTTGTGAACTTGAAGGTATTTGATCGGTCTGGTCCACTATTTGACGTTTGCCATTTTGCCTTGGTGACTAGCTTGAAGGCTGTTAAATTGCCGGTGATATACTTGAATGACTCGTTTGTAAAGTTGTCTATCGACAACTTACTTGCCTACCCCGACGCCGAGTTGGTGCCTTTACGTTTGAACATGGAGGTTCCTTTGGTGTCCTCCAACTTTGGACTCTACAACTTGGATGAAAAAAATCTCATCATCTGTGACTTGGAAAACGAAAGTGAGGAATCTAATATAATATCCAAGGTCAATGTGGTATCCGATGGTAAGGCTTTTAATGAGTTTACGTTAATCAATGGAAGTCTCTTGAACATCACAAGAGATGAAATTAAATCTTTATTAAGAACATCTAAACAAAGAGCCAAAGCCATAAATAGTGTATAAACTTTAATTTCACTCGCTTTCACTGGACCCTTTGTCTTTATCTTTACTTAACAATCGCTTTTTTGTGTCGAACGTCAGGTCATCCTCCATTAAAGGTGAACGAGACTTCTTCCCACTGTTGAAATTTTCAACCTCTATATCGGCCATTGGAGTGCCTTCTTTCTCTGGCTGTTGGACTTTTTCATCCTGATCATAGTTTTCGACTTGGGTTTCCAATTGGAGAAAGTTATTCTTGAGTATGTTCAAATTGGTCTCGTACTGTTTTTTACCTTCTTCAATCAATTGGCTGAACTTTTCGCCTCCAAGTAGGTTATCCTTGGTTCTCTTTCTGTAAAATAGGAGATATGCTGCACTGGTAATGACTTTTTTAGGATCTTCTATTGGAGATACTCGGCTGTCATCGAAGTAGTACCACCTGTTATCTCTGAAGTTAAGTGCAGATCCAGTGTAATGGCCTCCTCCTAGTCCACCGTAGTGATTATCCACGGCAATCAAGTCGTAGGTCAATTCTCTGTCAGGACTGTTTACATATTGACTCATATCCAATCCTTCTATGGGGAAATCAACTGTAACATCAATCTTATCACTGAAGCTTCTTGCAACCTGGAACCTCTTCAAATGTATCGTCAATATATCACCTGTGTTCCATATTTTTATGGTTTTCGTAGCTTGTTTATGATCCTTGCATCTAGGACAATACCATAAATCTTGATCTCCAAGAACTTCTGGTTGGTAAAACTTGTCCAAACAATCGTACAACGAGATGGTAGACTTCTGTTTGGCAATCAACTTGGCCTTGTTGGCTTCAAGTTCAGGGTTAGGAATTTCTTTCAAGATTTCCCAGGTTCTGGTGTTAGCATTGAACAATTGCTCGTGAATCTGGGAATCCCATTCGCATACTAATAAGGTATTTGGACCAACAAAAGTGGGATGATTGTGTTTTTCGATATTGAATCTGAGTTCTTCTTTTGTTTTATTGTTCAAAGTACTGACTGAATCGAATAACAGTCCCAATCTGTCATTTTCACTACTTTCCAGACTGGAATCTAGAGGCTCACTTTCATCATTTGCAGCTCCTTCACTAGAAGTTGGAGTAACTTCTTCTTCATCCACTTCTACTTCGTTTTCTTCATCCAATTGGACTTCTTCTTCGTTGGACTGTACTTTATCTTCATTCTCTTCATCCTTCGCTTCGTACTTGACAAGAACATAGTCTTCTTGTCTTTTGTAATTAGGATAATGATAGTAGTTGTATTTCAATTCGGGTAACTTCTCACCTAACTTTGGCAATCCTGTCAAGGTGGGTTTGATGTGAGGGAAATGAACCTTCTTTCTTGGATCTGGTCTAAACCTAGGATCATCAAGAAATTTAATGGTAAAACCAAAATCAGCACTGATTTCAGGATCCCCTAATGAAACGTCAGAGTCATATCCTTCATCCACCTCAACCTCAACTGGTTCCAATGCAAAATCCTTCTTGGAATAGAACTGTTTATGGACCGTCTTCAATTGCCTGTATTGAGAATTGATGTCAACAGTGGTCAATAACTGAATAGCCTGCTCGAGTTTGCCTCTGATCCTTCCAAATGATTTGGCTTCTTCATCGGTTAAGGTAATGAATAAAGGAACTCCAAAAACGTTGGCAATGTTATAGGATTTGTCTTGATCCGGCAAAATATTGAAAACTGGTACAACCTTATCTACCAGCAGGTGAGGTATTATATAAATCAAGACATTGTCATTTGCTCCAATCAACTCACTAATGGGAATGAACTTGTACTTCTTGTTATTGGATTGGAAGTCTTGGTACACGTAATCGTTGAAGATTTCATACAAGAACAAGAAATCTTTTGGAACGTTTAAAAATCTTGTCAAATAACTTAATAGTTCTTCGTAATTAGACGTCTTATTCAATTCGATTTGCAACTTCATGATTCTATCGGGTACCTGTTGATTAAAGTCCAAGTTTACCACGGTGAAAGTATGATACCACTTTTTCTCAATCGGTAATGGCAATGTCAAGTCATTGAAAGGATCATAGGTTATGGACGTCTTCCCACAATCTGGACAAACTAAAACACTTTGATATAACCCCGAAAACAAATCCACAATAACCGAATCATTCCGCTTTTTATATTGGTCCCAACTTATATCAGCAAGTCTTTTTATCGCTTCAGGATTGTCTATATCTTCATCCTTCAATTCGGGCTTCTCAAGGTATGGTTTATCGTGTATCCGATTCAAATCTTCGTGTAAGGAATCCAAAAGCCAGCTTAAAAACTCTTGACTGTCCTGTTGTTGATACCCTTGGAACATGGAGGAGTAATGGCCAATGGTGTACTTGAATTCTCTTGGGGACAAAGCGTTCAAAGAAGTGCCGTTAACCGACTGATCGCTGAACAATTTGTGCAACAAGGACCCAAACGACTGGGCCATATTACCGTTGTATCCCAAGGGGTTTGTCTTATTCAACTCCTTCATGAACAAATCAAAGAAAAAGTAGTAGTTGATTTCAGGAACATGAACCAAACATTGTAATGCACTGTTCATATAACAAGTGTTTCCCAAATTGATCAAGCCTGAATGCCCTCCTGAAGATAAGGAGTTTTGAGGATCAAACACTTCAACGTTGATATTGTGGACGTACTGACTAACTGGGAAGTTGCCGGTTTTGTCCTGAACCTCGAGTAATAAATGATACTTCAACATGTTAACCAGATGATGTTTCAAGGTGTCTCCCAATATGTTCTTAAATACCACGCTTTTCGAAGGAATATCGACAAACTCCTGCAAGGTGATAGTGCTGGGAAGATCGTCAAGATTATCACCATTTAAGAACCATACTCGGAATTCTCCTTTGGTGTTTTTCAAAACATACCTCTTGACAGTATCCAACAAATCCTGGAACGTCGAAATCTTGGAAAGCGAAACACTCTGTGGTTTGGAGTTGTGGCTATTGTAGACCTTGGTGCTCTTGCCCAACGTATGCAAAACAAAATATGGAGGATACTTCTCCACTATCTTATTGCCACTAGCATCTATAATCAATGCCCGAGCTATGGGGACCCCTTCCAAGCCAAACCACTGGGACAAGTATTGAAACACCTTTGGATGCACACACACGCACCGGGATTCGTCGTCTTCAGTCATATACAATAAACCACTCGAATCAACCAATTTCTCGGTGTTGACAGGACCAATCTCCTGTTTGAGGAGCTTGAACGAAGCTATGTCACTGTTCAAGAAACTAGATAAAAATTGGTTTGGGATCAAGTTCCAGTAGTCCCCTTCTTGGCCTTCTGACACGTTAAGTAAATGGGTGATCACCTGTCTCTTCTCCACAAACAGCTGGGAATCCTCCTCTTCAAGTGAGTCTGATTCAGCCCCTTCATCGCAAGATACACTTTCGGACAACTTCAAGGGCTCACGCATGCTTTCCGCACTTGTGCCCTCACTGTCAGTCATGGGCTCTGATTTGATACCGAAATCGTTGTCGTCCATTGAGTTCCAGGTGTGAAGTTAACAGTGAGTGTTTTTCAGTCGCACTTTGAAAGCATCGAACGACAGCTGACAAAACCTGGGGCGGACACCGCGCGGCGATAGTGAGAAGTGGGTGCGAGCTCCGGGGGCTTTGGAGATGATTTACTGTACCCCCATCAGCCTAAATATTATTCCACCCGATCTTTTCTAGTGTCGGAGCTTATTGTGTTTGTGGTAAGTTACGTTTGTATCAGATTCGAACTATGTGCTCTATAGTTTGTTTCTGTTGAGTTATTTAATTTCGCTAAGATAACTTTAATTGGTCAAGATAAGTGATATTTGCAACTATTCCGATCCCTGGAGAAATTTCAAAATTTTTATAAAAGTGTCTCAAAAATCCAGAAAAAAACATAGACAATACTAACACTCTTCAAAACTCATCACTACCTTCAGTATCTCATTATTTCCCTTTGTATTTCCTCTTCACTACCAAATCCCTCCAGATATTTTTATAGGTCGTGTGCGGCGAAAGATTCTGGCGCACCGTTTCTATAAAGCGAGAACCAGCTGTACGGGCTATCCACATAAAACTACACTTCAAACATTATCCAAAGCTCATATTCTAGGGTATACAGAGCCCAAAAGACGCAAAATACCAATACAATTGTCCAACATGAGCTCCAAAAGCACAGACTTGGACCTTCAATTGGTGGACTTTGTGTGTAACAAGCTCTTCCCCAATTTTAACATAAACCAGGAGTTACTATCCAATTGGCAAGTTGACTTGATAGATAACGTCCAGGACTTGTCGATTCTCACCGCTGTAATCGAGGAGGAAGTTGTGGTTGGAACCTTGATGAACGATAAGTTGGCGTTGACCCATGATCATATGGTTGAGTACTTCCGCCAGTTCCATCAGCTAGATGACGAGGTTTATGGAGACTTCAAGATCATCATGACCGAGTTGATTTCAGTGATCTTCACTATGACTTACTCCTATAAGATACATATTGTTCGGTGTAATATTCACAAGTTGGTACTTGATAGCTTTCTACTACGAGCATCTAGGATGCAAATTCTGGACTTAAACGAAGATAAGCCACTGGTGCTTGGTCAACTAATGAAGTTGTCAATTGACTTATTGGAGCTTGGCTGTGACACAGAAACAATGCTCAATATCACCCACAGGTTGATGAAGACCGCTTCAATTGACGAGAAATTGGTATTGTTGCAATTCATGAATAATGTCTTTACTAGCTACTCAAGTCATTTCAAGTTCTATCTCCTAAAGAACTTCGCTACCAGTGCAATAGCTGTACCATTCGGTAGCACGCATCATCCCAATTTCAAGACATTTTCAATACATTCTTGGTTCAAGATAAACCATCAAGATCTAGAGTCTGACTACTCTGATTTACCCTTGATAACCTTATTCAAGATATCCAATTCTTCTAGTTTCAATTCATGTAACTTGAAGATTCAATTGATTAACTATAACCAGTTCATGATTGAAATCACCAACGAAGCCAATCAAGCAAAGATGCAGTTCTCATTCAACCAAATATTGAATGTTGACCCCAGTAAGAATCAAGGCTTTACTCATTTTGTTTTGACCTTCGATAAGTACTCGAATTTCAATCTTTTTGTTGATGGAGAATACTCAGAGTCCATTCCTTGTCCAGAAGAAGGAAGAAACTTCAATGCTTGGGATAAATTGTATTTTGGTGATGATGAAAATGACAGTATTGCAAATAGAATATCCAACAAGGATGAAATGATTTTAAGAAATTTAACTGTTCTTGACGTAAATTTGTCAAACCAGTGGATAAACTTGTTTTACAATCTTGGACTAGGATATGAGTGGAATTTCAAGGAGTTCTCCAATGACAACATCTTCAACTTACTAGACCATTTGAGCTTTAAAGGTCTTTGTAATGTTGCCCTTAAATTCAAAGAGATCACTGGAAAAAGGAAAAGAAGAAACAGTTTTAAAGAATCATTATCACATTTCAACAACCTGAAATCAACATCTGCTCAACCCTTCAAGAATAACAACAAGTATTTGGCCAATGGCTTGATGGTGAAAAACCTTATAGATAAGAGCCTGATCGCAAACAGCCTCATATCCACAAAGTTCAAAGATTCAGATATCGTTTTCAGCAGCAATGATAACCAGTATCTTGAAAATCTTGAAAACCCTTTCTCGTTGAATCCAGATATTTTAATTCATAAGTCAGAATCCATGCACGGTGCGTTCTATATAATAGGAGGCACTCCAATGATTTTGAGGTTCATTGAAACAGTTATCAAAGACACCAAAACAGGACATCGTGATTTCATGCTAGTACAATCTTTGAACCTCTTATTCAGCATTTTGAATAACAGTTGGAGACTCAGTAAAGAGTTTGAAAACATCAGTGGTTACGGGATCTTGTCTATTATATTGGCGAATTATAAATCCTCAAACAGATCACTTGAATTCAATATCAGCCCTGACTTGAGGCATTTGGTTGACCCCCAATCCAACAATTTACTAAGTTTGATCTTAAATCATACAGGTTACGATTTTGTTAATCCTACGGACTCGGTGATTGTTAATCCCAATGCTTACAGGTTTTTGGTGTTAGACTTCGACTTGTTCAATTATTCAAGCACTTTTTCAACCTTACTCACTCAATTCAATGTGTTAATGACGGAGAGTAATTTCAGAGAGTTCAATCTAATGGAACTAAACAAAATGAAGCTTCTTAAGAAATTCTTCCATTTCTTGAAGAGTCTGGCCTTAATACACCTTGAAGTTACCGATGAAATACTGGACAAGCTCGTTTCCACATATTCTGCAATTTTGAAGGCTGATATTTCTGTTGAGAATATTAGGGCAATTTCCCATTTCTTGATTTACTGCTTTTATAGTACTCCAACGGATTGCAACCAGAAATTGGCCTTGCTAGCGTTGAAGTCATTGACAGATACTTTATGTGATTCAGATTCAAGTATAAAGATATTGAAGAAATTTTCTAGGTCCATCACAATTCATTGGATTCTTTTAATATTGAACTTTACTTGTCCTAAGAATCTGTCTGTTGATGACAGGGATGTGGTAATTTGTGGAATCAGGCTATTAGCCAGATTACTAAGTATTTTGGGACCTAACGTTATCAAAAAGTTTTTTGAGATGAACAGAGGGCTTGATATCTTGACACATTTCTTGAAAGATTGGTGGTCTAATGATGAGGTTTTATGCCAAATATACTTAGCAGCCTTCGGTATCAATCCCAGAGAGCTAGATGATGAGAAAGAATTAGTCCTGCTTAATCAGCTTATTCCCTTGGCTGACGATCCTAAAAATCAGAAGTTCAATAAACTTGTTATACCAGAATTCCTTTATCTTTTGAACAATCTAGTTTTGAACTCGGTTTACAAGCTAAGTGAAAGCAAAGGAAAGGTTTTGAGTGCTCCGAGTACCCCTACATTGAAAGGCAGCAACTTGGATATATCATTAGATGCTATCCACTTAATAAGCCTGTATGCTCAATCAATCGAGAAAGGTTATAACAATATCAAACCATTGTCAACCTTTTATCTTGAAAAGAATTGGTTGGATGGAGTATTCGAGTTAATAGGATATTTGAGATTGTTCTTGACGTGGGAAAACTCAGAATTATTACAAAACTTTGGTAACTGCTATAACAGGTTGATTCGGATTATGACCAACATTTTCATTTCCAAATTGTTCAATTCCTCCAGCTTTTTTGAAATCTTCAGCAGATTAAATGACTTTAGCAAGAAACTTATTCTTGAAACAATATTTCCCCGGATATTTGATCACATCAATGAGTTCATAAGCCTATCAAACTTCATTTTCAATGAAAAGGAGTTTATGAACGACTCAATTCATTTGCTTTTGTTCTATAATTCCGAATTTGTCAATCAAAACTTTTCAATCAATGAAAAAGACTTATCCAGTTTTGTTCTTTGCATATTGTCAATATTAGAGGCAAAGCAAAGCTCTAATGTTTCTTCTATAAGACAATTAAGAAGCTGTCTCGGAGAGTTGGTGATCTTGAAAATGGAAAAGATCTTGAAGGATGACAAAGAGAGCAGAGAGTCAAGTCCTCTGGTAGAAAATTTGACTGGAAACTTGCCCAGTAATCCAAATGTTGAGAGGTTTAACGAAACTGTCAAATTGGTGCTTGAAAGACAGATGATCATATTCCAAGCTGATGTCTTGAATAACGAACAAACGGCTGCAGTAATAGTACTTCTATTGGGATCCTACTTCAAGATCTTGGGTTCACCAGATCTAGTGCATACTGATCATTTGTTCAATCTTTTGAGGACAGTCTATATGATGAGGCAAGAGAATTTTCAAAGCATCATCGGATTCATCACAAAGGATGTGGACTATAGTGCCTGCTTAAATCTTGTGAATGACTTCTTCAACACTTTAATAACCAAGAATGACGAGGAAACATTGAAGTTACTTTCCAGATTTCCCACCTACAAACACATTTTCAACCAGAGGTTCTACGCTATTTTGTCCAAAGCAAATGAATCATCTAAGATCCATGTTCAAAATATTATAAGCGTATCGTTGAGTAATGGAGGGCACTTGGGACAGCTTGATAATATTTACATCAAGAGTTTCGAAAGAGATTGCCTGCAATTGAGAACTCAAGTAATGGCGAATGAGATGGTTAAGTTCAACAGAGTTAACCAGGACAACAAGGAGAATATCTTATATTTTGCAACAAGTTATAACTCGTTGAAGATTGAGACGGAAAGATTATATCACCATGGTGATAGCCCAAAGTTCAACTATACACTTGACTTCATCGAAAACTCAGATAGAATGAGAAAACGGTTAGTGATTGAAGACCAGCTTTCAGATTCGGAGAAGCTAGCGTACAAGATCAATATCCCACTAAAAAGTGTACCGAGCATTCCTAATAGCCAAAGTGAAAGGTCATTTGAAGTTTACAAGAATGCAATTGACAACAGTGGTATCAACACACTAAGTCTTTCAAGCAACGATATCTTCATGAACTTAGGTGATGAATCCTTTGAGATTGTCGATGACTTGGGAGATACAGTAGAAGATGACACAGAGAACGAGCATAATACAACATATGAAGATAAGAACAGAAAGGTATTGAGGAGTTTATATTTGGGAGATCACATTGTATCTATTTGGAACATAAGCCAGATCAATGGTTTGGCTCCTATAGAAAGCTTGATGATTCTTGGATCAACTCATGTATATGTCATCGAAAACTACTTCCACCAACAAGACGGAAACGTAATTGATGCACAAGACGCACCATTGGAGTTGAGGGACCCATATGTGCAATTGGTCAATACCCAATCGGCAGAATTTTCCAATCACTCATCCAAGTCTCACAAGAGCAAGAGCTGGAGTTTGGACACATTAAGCTCTATATCCAAAAGGCAGTTTCTTTTAAGAGATGTTGCCTTGGAGATGTTTTTTACGGATGGAGCTAGCATATTATTGACCTGCTTTACTTCCAGAGAAAGAGATTCGGTCTACAATAAGCTCTACCATTATTGTGTTGGAAAAGGATTGGATTATGATTTGAACCAAACTTTACAGTTATCGTCTTCGTTATCAATTTCCAATAATCAAAGCACAAGCTCGTCGTTTGCTGCAATGCTAGCTTCTGCTTTTTCATCTAATACCCCGGATAATGTACTCGCAGCCACCAAGAAATGGAAGAATGGAGAAATGTCCAACTTTTACTATTTGATAATCATCAATACGTTAGCAGGTAGAACATTCAATGATCTTACCCAATACCCAGTGTTTCCATGGGTGATAGCTGATTACACCAGTGAGAAATTGGATCTTTCTAAACGTGAGACATTCAGAGATTTATCAAAACCCATGGGAGCCCAAACTGAAGGAAGAGCTTCTGAATTCCGCGAACGTTATGAAGCTTTAAGCAGCTTGGAAGACGAGGCTGCTCCAGCATTCCACTATGGAACTCACTATTCTTCGGCGATGATTGTGACTTCATTTTTGATTCGATTGAAGCCATATGTTCATTCGTATTTACTACTCCAAGGAGGTAAGTTTGACCACGCAGACCGACTTTTCAACTCGATCGAAAAAGCATGGCTTTCTGCATCCAAAGACAATACCACTGATGTCAGAGAGTTAATCCCCGAGTTCTTCTTCCTACCCGAGTTTCTAGTCAACGATAGTCACTTTGAGTTTGGAACTTTACAAAATGGAGATGTCCCCAACAATGTGGTATTACCCAAGTGGGCCCATGGTGATCCCATGATATTCATTCAGAAGAACAGAGAAGCTTTGGAAAGCCCATATGTATCAGCTAACTTGCATTTGTGGATAGACCTCGTGTTTGGCTGGAAACAGAGCGGATCAGAAGCAGTGGAGTCGTTAAATGTTTTCCACCATCTTTCTTATAATGGGGCCATTAATTTGGATAACATCAATGATGAAATGGAACGCAAAGCAGCTATTGGCATGATCAACAACTTTGGACAAACTCCAAACAAGATTTTCACTAAACCGCATCATAAGAAGGATGTATTGAATTTACCCAATTACTACCTCACTGAGATTGACGACACAAAAGCCCCCAAAATGATCTTTGAATCCAAGTTAAGAAGCAAAATCAGAAAGATTGAAATCAGTTCCAAGACTGGCAAGTGGATTGGGAGACCCAATTGTGTGGGAACCGAAAACGACTTGTTGATTCGAAAGTTAGGAAACATTGACGACAAAACCGGATCGATAATGATCAACAACATGTCGTTTTTAGATCTCCATAGTTCTTTCATCACTTGTATTCTACAGATTGGGTACAAGAAGTTTTTGACTGCTTCCGATGACGGTCTTATCAACATCTGGAAATGCAACACAGAACCTTGCCTAAACCTTCAATTTCATGGCATTCTACGGGGCCACACATCACTGATTCAAGAGCTCAAGTTCAGCAAGAGCTTTAAAGTAGGCCTATCATCTGACAGCAACGGTAATGTTATTATGTGGGACTTTGTGAGATTCAAGTTCATGAGATGCTTGGCTAAATCGGACCAGAAACTGAAGGTATTGATAGACATTTCCAACGACAGTGGGAATGTGGCTATTCTTTCACAGTCAACTAACACGTTAAAAGTCTTCAGTTTGAATGGGGATTACATCTTGGAAACACAATTGCCTCCAGGCACAATCACCAGTCTCAGGTTCGGTAGTATCAACAACTCCGGCATCGAAACTGGCAAACAGCTGATAGTAAGTGTCCACGCCTACTGGAGCGACGAATTGATATCTTTTGCATACGGAGGAGGAGACAGGCATATAGACATCTACAATCTCAAACCAAATGAGAAACTAGGAGGTTGGGAATTGTGTCGATTACTGAAGATGGGGCTCCGGTTTGACAAAATAGGTGATATCACTGCTTACGAACTTATGAAGAAAATTACAGTAGACCCTGAAGACAAACTCACCAGGGGTTACCTCAGCATAATTATGGGAGACTGCAACGGACGAGTCTTTCAATGGTAGAATTAATCTGGTTTACATAGCATAATAAAATTGAAGATATGGAAAGGTGCGACTTCAAAAATAAATAAACCTGTTGTCATTATTTGATAGTTCATAGAAAGCCAATAAAATGATCCTTAATCTGTGGTTACCACCGATTCTGGTGAAAACGGTGGGAACATGCGTGATATGGTACGGTATATCGTCTCTCACCTCTCAATTGACTAAGCGGATCTTGGTGGAATACAGGTATCCGTTGTTCCTAAGTCAGTTCCAGTTTTTGACCTCCTCGTTGTTGTCACTTTTGTTTATCGTGTTGGTAAGAGTATTTCCTCACATCAGGCAATACTTCCCCACCGGAAGTGTCCCTACTGATGTAGAGAAGCCTGTTATCAATTTGGGTGCTTTTTTGAAGATTCTACCGTTGGGACTCTTTCAGTTTTTTGGAAAGTACTTTGCCTTGAGTGCTACATCATTACTTTCCTTAGCGGCCGTTTCGAGTATTCGAGCGTTGTCTCCCTTGGTCATTGTGTCAAGCTATCGTTTTGTCTACAAGATCAAATTCCCTCTTTTGACATATTTCTCGTTGGTTCCGTTACTTGGAGGAGTGATTTTAATCATCACTTCGGAAGCCCCAAAGTCCAACTCTAAAGGTGAACCCACTAGTGAGTTTGGATTTGATTCGGGTCAAATCAAGGGATTTGTGTTTTGTTTCATCAACTTGATCATCTTTGCTGCTCAAAACATCTATGCCAAACAATTGATAACTTGGGATACCGATGACACAAAGAGCCTTGCCATCAGCACAAAGAGATCAGAATCTCCATTTGATTCGAATGCAAAGGACCACAAGTATATCAGACAAAGAAACAATCTGATCAGATTGCCCTATTCAACGTCAGACTTGAAGTTGGATGAAAAAAACGAAGATGTTCCAAATCCAAGCTATGAAAGCTATCTTCTGCCTCTTCCCCAGAATGGCCATTACACCCACCAGAGTGCTCAAAGCACCGACTATTCCAAGGAGGTTCAAACCAATAAATTCAACTTGGGGAACCCGTTTGCATCGTTCATTAGTGACAGTGACAAGATCACCAAGCCCGACCAGATCACCACCATATTCTACTGTTCTATGATTGGATTTTTTATATCCGTCACCGGGTTCCTCCTCAACGAGCTTCCCCATGTCCTCGATATTCTTCAGGGAAGATTAGAGGATTCGACTCCAGATACCAAATCAGGTATTCTATGGGTGTTTTACCTCATTCTTTTAAGCTCGTTGTTTCATTTCTTCCAAACCCTCTTAGCATTTCACCTTCTTGGTCTGATCCCAGCCGTGTCATACTCAATTGCTTCATTGATGAAGAGAATATGGCTCATCACCGTTAGTATTGTGATGGCTGCCAATAACCACGATCCAAATAAATACTTTGGAAAGCTCACCAGTGGGCAGTTGTTGGGGCTTCTTCTCACCGGCTTCGGCTTATATTGCTACGATAAGTGGGGGTCCAAAGCTGTCAAAACCAAGACGTAAACTATAAACAGAGGATGTCTGTCATTTGTGTACTATAATATATGGAAATGTTAGGACAGCTGGAATGCACTGTTTCAACTAAGACCAGGGGTCTTCTGAAACCGTGTCCTGTTAGCCCTTTCGCTCGCTCTTGAATAGGTTGTAGAGAGTGGTAGCCGTAGATGTTAAAGCTGTCACCCTACAATAATACCTATCCGTGTACAATAAAGAAGTAATTGGAGGAGACACCGAAAATTTTTTGGCAGAGCGAGCAGCGCGGTGGAGCAGTCTGGGGGCACACACGACTGCACCAGCTGCAAATGTGGAGATATGGGATAGGGGACCTTGAGATGGATAAAATTCAACTCACAGGCTGTTGTGAACATGAAGAGGGTTGAGCATCGTATACATCGTTCTTTCTTCTTATTTTATATCTATTACCTTCTCTTCTCCTTATATGGGTTCTGCTGTATGTCAATCGCGAACTGGAAATAATTTGATTCCATAATCACTTACACAGCGCAATAGTATGAAGTTGGGAATCTTTCTAACTGCTGGTTTGCTGATGGTGCAAGCTATATACGCCTTGCTGCTCCAAGGAAAAATAGTAGGTGTTCTTCCGGAGTATAAGTTGCAGAATGCCGAACAAATTGTCAATGGCAATAATTTGCCCATACGGTTCACGGTTGAGTTAACATCAATTGATGGTGAAATCTCCCACAAAATGCGGGCTTTGGTGAATTCGAAGTATGAATTCATATTCAACCACGTGAATCCCGGGATCCACGATCTCTCACTTGTGTCACATGACTTCATCTTGGATAAAGACAGATTCAGAATCGAGGCCAACCACTCGACGATAACTGCAACAGACTATTATTTGAACGGAAATAAAGGACAGGCTTCCAATGTCACTGACACGGTCTTGGTGGTGTCAGTGGTTGGCGAAAGAAAATACTATGAGGTTCGTCTGGGGTCGGTAAAAGAGATGCTTTTGAACAGTCCATTAGGCTTCATTTTCAAAAATACCGGATATACGATTATGTTTGTGGCCACATTGGTGATGATGGCAGGCCCCTATGTGCTCAGCATAGTGAACCCAGAGATGTCCAAACGTCTTGCAGAAATACGGGAGGAACAAGGCCAAGGGAGAGGTATGTTTGATCCAAAGCCAGAAGCCCCAAAAATCGAAGAGATCTCCAGACTGGCACCAGCACGAGGCACGAAGAAAAAGAGGTAAATGTAGCATATGTCGAATAAACATCCGAGTTGTGTAGTTTCTATTCATCTCTATTTATGCTAATCATCCTTGGAACTGGTTTCATATTCCTTGGAGTGGTCTGGCTTTTGGCTGGGGTTATTGAATCCTCCGTTGACATAATCGAAGTCAGCTTCGGCCCAGTGAGCAAATGGATAAGTAGGTAACGTTTTCACCGGCGTTTCTTTGGTGATTAAACCCATATCAATCTGTCTTTGAATAAGTTCATCTAAATATCCAGCAATATGATCTCTGAAGATCTCGAAAAACTTATATTTGATGATTTTTTCGGGTGCTTCGTAGATGATCTTCCTGATCAAAGAAGGCACCAAAGGCTCATTCTTCATCTCATCAAGAGAATAGAAAATTGGATGGTTTGTGAAAATAATTGCTTGGGTTCTGGGCAATCTTCTTAATGTCTGCCTTTCGACTCTAACATGGAAATCCTTAGGATCCATGGTTAGGGCCTCCTTCTTAACTTGCTCCGTTAATTCCGGTTCCTTGTAAACGTTGTTTTGTCTAAGCTTGTGATCCCAAGTCATATACCATGATGCTCTTTCTACCGGAGAACTGGGGGTCAACCTGCCAAACCATCTTTCCATCGACGTCTTTAACTTCTCGTGGTAGTAGGGAACGTCATTGTGAATTACGTCCAAGTGTTTCCCGATCTTGTGGTTGATTCCGAACGATCCTCCTGGGAACGGGACGGCTGCTGCAACCAAATAGTGTAAGTCGTCTTTAGGATTCTTCATCACCAAGTAGAAATCCTCCTTGGCCATCTTGGTTACATAGAGTAAAGGATGCTCTTTCAAAGGCCGGCTCATGTCAATAACCTCTTCTGTCAACTCGTTTTTCACAATTTTCCCGTCTTTTCCTCTATCCTCAATTAACGTAAAACAGAGAGGGTAACGCTTTAACATGTGGTCGGTGACAGTTTCCATCAACTCCAAGCTAGGTTCGTATCCTTCTGGCAACCAGTCGATGTTTTCCTTGCCGTACTTGAACCAGATTCTTTCCTTCTCCTTGATGTAATGCCAGTAGTATTTATCCATGTCCAACCAGTGGTTGATTTCCAACTTGAAAATCGACATGGTTTGATGATATGGCCATCTGAAAGGTCTCCATGGTCTGTCATCGTAGCTCTTAACTTGTTCCGGTGTTATCATCAATGGAGTAGGTTCTGCAGCAACCTGAGGATCACCATCTTTTTTGGAATATGATGATTTTCTGGACTGGTTTGGAGTTGGTGGATTTGAGAACAGTAAATAGCTCTTGTAGAATGTGCCGTACTTACGGTAAAGGGCTCCAACTTGTTTGTATGACAATAATAGAGATGTAACAACCCCACAAAGTGCCAAAATCAATAATTTTGTGGTGTCTATCATGATGTGATCTGCTGAAAAGGCCAATTTGGCATCATGTTGCTTATATAGCCCCAAGCATAGTCTTATCAATTTGGCGCGATAAGGAAATCACTACCGCATCGGGAAACAGAAGCCTGGACGGAAGCGCAATGATTTTTTTTGTCTGTTTGGGGTAAAGAGGCTCGCAGCCTACCGGAACCCTACTCCAAACTATCATAATATCCCGTGAGAACAAAATCGAATGATTCTTCCAAGTCTAACTCTGGGTTTGTGTCTGTTTGTACAAAGTCGTAAGGTTTTTGCGGTAAAAGCTGAGGAAACTCCGTCGCGCTCGGGGCCTGTTTAATGGCTGCAACACAGTTATTGATCCACTTTTTCACATATTCCTCTTGGTTGGTGATGGCCAAAAGACCCATATACTGATCGAAACCGGTTTGACCAAGCTTGAGTTTGATGTACCTGTTGGAGGCTCGGGCCTTGACCATTTCCATGTATACTGGGTCTGTTGGAGTCTTTATGTTGTTATACACCAAAGTCTTGAAAGTCTTCAGGAGAAGCTTTTGCTGGAGATGAATTTGGGTTTTTATAGGAAGCTGTGAGTCAGCCAACCACAAAAGCACATTGTACCGATAAAATGAGTAGCCCAACTGGCTGTATTTCTGCATTATACTGCAGTACTTGGAGCGCTCTCTAGGCGAACACTCAGTTTCCTTGAGGTAGTGTCGTGAAATGTGGTAGTTGACTGCCAACAAGTTGGCTAAGTGGCTTGCTCCTGGAATTTCGGACTCTAGGAGCCCAAAGTCCTCAAACCTAAAATTGCCAAGGGTTCGAGTAAGATCAAGCTCTTCAGAAGGCCTTTGTAGCATGCCTGAAACCATTGTAGTCACCTGTCTTATTCCTTCTGACTCATTAATTTGGACAAGTCTTCCCAACAGTGATAAAATGCCAGGATACTCCTCGAGAGCTTGGAGCACCAAAGTTCTCCGCTTGGTGAGGATTTCAAAACTATTGACAATAGTAGCTTTATAGGACGCAACACTTACACAGTCGACGGCAATAGCCCGACATTCTTCTTGGTCTTGAGATGGAGGTTCAGGAACCTGTATGCGCTTCAAGTAACTCCTCATCAGTTCAAGTTCCACCCGATCAATGGAGGTAGACGAGAATCTTAAAGTAGTAGAAAAATCTTTGGTGAACTGTTTGATCTCCATATCCGTAAGGTTATCGAAAATATCGATATAGTTCTTCACGTGCGTCGAACACCAATCAACAGTGTCCTGTGGCTTTGTGAACGCCAATACAGCAAAGTACTGTCCTAACTGCCGGTGGTATAAATCTCGAGCACTATTTTTGATGATACTGTCAACCATCTGTTTGGACTCAATTAACTTATTAAACACTCTGCTGGTCTCCACGAGAAATTGCACATACTCACTGCTCACAAGCATGTAGTATAATGTGCTGAAGTGGTCTCCTCTGCTGTGGACCAAAATGGACCGACGTACAAGAATATCGTAGAGGGAACTACCGAACCGAGAAACCAAGGTGAGATAGTGTTCGAGAGCCATGCTTGTAGAGAGAGGCTCTCGAGCTCGAGGTCCCACGACCGAACTATTGACCAAGAGGGTCGTCACCACTGGCGAAGCATCACCTAATGGTGGGAGGGTAAACTCAGTTCCTTGATGAAACAAATATTCTGGGTTCAAAGCAACTTGCAGGCCATCGAGGGATTCTAGCTCTTGCAAAATGTCGCCCAAAAACCCCGTCATATCTGGGTTGTACGCGGTGTCTGAACCCAAAGATCCAAACAAGTTATCAAGACATGAAAGAGGGTTTTGGATGAAGTTGAAGCCAATTACATGTTGAACGGATGGACGAGTTTTGATTCCAGACTCTTTGAATTTTTTCTTCCACAGAGGCGGCGGTCTCCATGCCATGAGATCCCTGGTTACACTCCTGTCGAATTTGGAGGACATATGAGGATTATTGAGGGTTCTGTAGGCGATGGGTACAAAATCAATGATTTTTTGGCCCAATTTGTACGTTTCTTGAAGATACAAGTTGTTCACCACGCCGTATACACATATCTTACTCCAGGTGTCTTCAGAGGGCGTGTCCATGTGCAACGAACCCCTGAAATGCATTTTTTGTGGTTTGGGGATCTCTAGTTTGGGTAGGCTCGCCAAATCGTCTGATGTCAGAACCATCTGTTTCCACTGGTGGTTGGGAGAGACCCGAGCCAATTGGAGTATAGACGAGATGACCTGGTTGCTGTTAGAAGGAATCGACGAGAAACCTCGCCGTAAACCCCATCCAATGCACAATCGATGCAATTGTGTCATTAATGCTTTGTGTTTTGTGAGAAAAAACTCATCTCAGTTAAATACGTAAGTGTACATTTTTATAAATGTTGCAATAATGCAAGGATAATTATTTCACCACACGGATAAAAACTATTAAACAGAGCTTTTTATATAAAAACACCGGATAGGAACCAAGGTAAAAAAATCACAATCTTCTACCTCTTCTACCACCCTTTCTTCTGGTGGAATCAGATGGAACTGGAGTAACATCTTCGATTCTTCCAATTCTCAAACCAGATCTGGCCAAGGCTCTGACAGCAGCTTGACCACCTGGACCTGGGGTCTTGGTCTTGGTACCACCGGTAGCTCTCAACTTGATGTGAACAGCGTTGATGCCAACTTCTTTACACTTGACAGCAACATCTTGGGCAGCCAACATGGCGGCGTATGGAGTGGATTCGTCTCTGTCGGCCTTGACCTTCATACCACCAGTGACTCTGGCGATGGTTTCTTTACCGGACAAATCAGTCACGTGGACGAAAGTATCGTTGAAGGAAGCAAAGATTCTTGCTACACCGAAAACAAGGGAACCGTCTTTTTGAGCTAGAGGCGTTAGTAACAGGATGAAACGAGATGGTGGGGAACCAATAATGAACCAGGGAATGCTATTCGAGGTGAAAGATCAAAATAATGTATACTTTGTGATGTATACTTGATGATGTACAGTTTCGATGGTCGAGAGAAGGATGGAATAATGGGGGGTTTTTGGAGGCCTCGACGCCAGGAAAACGCAGTGGACAACGTCTGTGGACTGTGCTCATTCGATTGTGCCCATATTGGTCGGCGCTTGTACTAATTCTATCACATACCAGTAGACATTCTTGACTATGTTAAAATTTTAATTAAATTTTCACTTGAGATTTTTCCCTGAGAAAAAACTCTGAGCGACGGTGGGCGCGACACGACCACACCCGTAGTGGGCCACCCGCTATGGCAGGGCATCGCGGGCTGCAGCCCTCATTCCCTGTCGCTACCATCCCAAACTACTCTACCACCTAAAGTGTCTTACAATGAACTCCATTAAATTTATATTACATGTATCATGCGAGCTATAATCTAGTAAACGAAACCCAAGATCTTTCCGGAAACGTGCTTTCTTCTGGCTTCTTCGTGGTCCATGATACCAGCAGAAGTGGTCAAAATAACGTAACCAAACTGTCTGGCTGGCAACAAGTTGTCGGTCCATCTCTCAATGTCACCAATCTTCACGTTGAATCTTGGGTTGATAACACCACACTTGTTCAATCTACCGTTCAATTGGACGACGATTTTACCGGATCTGTGGTCATCAATGTATTCGAATTCACCAATGTAACCGTGCTTTTGCATGACGGTCAAGAACTTGACGATGACCTTGGAGGAAGGTCTGATCAACACTTGTCTCTTTCCGGTTTTTTCGGCGTTGTTAATGGCGTTTAAAGCATCAGCTAAGACGGAGGTTCTGGTCATTGTGGATGTTGAGGTTGAACTTTTTTTTTCAAATTTTTCAGCTATGGTAGAGGGCGCGCGGGACGTGTCAAGGCCCAATTTAAAGCAGTCACATAACTACCTGGGCCACGCATATAGGTCGTGCGCTCCCACCGCTCGCACTAGAAGGTCTGTGCACCAGAAGAATTTTTTTCCAGTAACCTTGAAGAGTATTCATTGAAGATGCCAGTATGTATTAATGAACCAGGAGAGAGATACAGAGTCACAACCGTCCACAGAACATCGTATACAGCGAGAATAGAAACACCAGGAAAGCAACGATGGATCTGTTCCAGCACCCCATTCTGCTGAACCATACCCGAGACACAATATTCCAACCATAACCGAATCACACCTATCACGTCACACAATCACCAGCCCATCAGTACACTCAACAGTATCATCACTTCCTTGATCCACCAACTTCTACTAACTCGTATAGTCTCAAAAATCATTCAGAACCAAGCAAAAGTTGGGAAAGGCCCAAAAGCAAAACAGACCATTGCCTCAATGGATCAGATTGAAGACCGGTAACACCATTAGATACAACGCTAAGAGAAGACACTGGAGAAGAACTAAGTTGAACATCTAAGTGTCTCTATTCTTTACAATCGAGTTCTTATATATAAAACTATTAGTCATGGTTAAGCATGTTTAATTAATATAAACCAATCTGAGTTTTCTTCTCTATACTTTACACTTCCTCTTCAAACACCGTCTCGATGGGCTTTTCCATGAACGAAGCGTGGCCAAATACAGCCACTCCACTGCTTCCGATTAACCACATCATGGTGGAGATGGGAGAAGCTAAAAATCCCAAAGGAACTGCAACCACAAATAATCCCGTGTACAATTGAGAAGTGGTTAATCTGGTGAAGGGCAAAACCAAGTCATTGCCCCCCAAACGGCTGATACCAATCACACCACCACCAACTAGCAAGATTACAAACAATAATAACAAGTTGGTAACCAAGGCGTAGATACTCAATATCGAAACAATGGCCAAGTAGTTGGCAGAAAAGTAGCCCAAGTTGTAGGACACTCTACTTTGGACCTCACCAAAGTTGGCGGGCTTGGACACTCTTCTGACATCAAAGAACTCCTGAGGAGGACGGAGTTTGGAGATGGATGATTGTAATGATCCGACGTCTGTACGGATTCTATCCAAACTCAATCTTTCGGAGAACTGGGCCAACTGAGGAACGTTAGTACGGGGTCATACGAGTACCGAGAACCATATCGGTATATTGGATGGTTGTTTTGCAAAGTTTGTTACGTACTGGAAAAGAAGAGATGAAGTTAGACATGGTTGTTTTCTGTACGTGTAAACTTTGAGTTGGACGTACGCGATATTGACCACGCGACATTGGCTCCCGGCTGTGCACGACATTGGGCGACAAGAGATATTGGCGGAGATTAGCCGCAGGCTTTGGGTGCTGATGACAGTGGTTAGTGAGGTGTATGGAGCGGGTGTTGAGTCTGTGGGTAGTTACTGGGTATTGCTGGGGTGGGTTTATGGGTAGGTATATGAGACACGAGGTCGCACGGATCTGGTGCCGTTCTGTGCGTCGCGGTGCGGCAGAGCTTGTGCGTCGCGGCTGAGAGCTGGTGGTGCGCTCGTACGGTGAAACCGTGGGGAGCTCCTGCAGGCTCCCGTCTACAACAAATAGACATAATGAATACAATACACATGATACATACTATGGGACATATGTCGCCCCGTGGAACCCTATCGTATGTGTCACAACGCCAAATCCTTTCTCACCATCGCCTGGCAAATCGGATGATATCCCAGCTCAAACTCGAGAAAGTACTTCACCGCCATGTCATGGTCCACCTTATTGAGTGTCACGTACCCCGGACGCACAAACTTCATTCTCCCCACAGTTCCCAACCACCGGCCTAACTTTTCGTAAAACTTGTGATTGTGCCCTCCAACCTGAAGAAAGTACCACCGTGATAACACCTCTGCATTGGTCTCATGCGAGTACTTTGGGCCGTAGATTTCGTCCAACGCCTCGAGGGCATCGCGGTGGTGGGCCCAGACGAACCCGTCCTGTTTGTTGAACGCAATTAACGTCTCTAAAAACACCACCGATTGATTCCCGTCAAGCACCTTGAGATCGTCAAGGGAGAACAACTCCGTGAACTTGGCCCCCTCAACGATGGCCGTGTGCCACCGGGCCGCCAACTGGTAGCACTGGTCCGCCAACGTGGTATCAAAATCAGGTTTGACTGGGGGCATTCCAGGTGCGTACAACCAAGAATCCCAATTAATCTGATCCAAAACCTCATGGTCGTCGCTGAAAAAATCGTACAACGTGTCCAAGAACTGGTAGGTGTCCAAGGACTTGTACTTGAACTTGTTAAAATAGAATGGAATGAAGGGATCGAATTTTTGCTTTCCCAATAACGTTTCGATGTAGTACAACAACGTAGACCCCTTTTCGTATGGAACCACCGAGAACGCATCATCGGGATCAGAACCATCCTTCAAGTCTTGCACCAAGCATGAGAAACGGGTGGCACTTTCTCCCATAGCTTTGATGGCATTGGCAAGGTCATACCAGCCAATAATGGCCATAAAGTCCCGGACCGCATCTCCGTGCACCTCAGCCAAGATCCGCCTCTCAAGGTACACACACCAGCCTTCGTTGAGCCAGAAGTGCTCCCATGAGCAGTTGGTTACGAGGTTCCCTGCCCATGAATGAGCCAATTCGTGTGCAACCACATCAACATTGGACTTATCACCGGTGACGATCGTGGGGGTGGCAAACGTCACGTTGGGGACCTCCATGCCCCCGTACGGGAACGCAGTGGGCAAAATAAGTACGTCGTACTGCTTCCACTCGTAGCCAAACACGATTTTCTCGGCTGCCTCGAGAAACTTTTCCACATCTCCATCAAACTCGTGCTGGCACCGCTTCAAGTTGGGCGACTCACAGTACACGTGAGACCGGGGACCCACCGGAAGCTTTTGGATGTCACCTGATGCAAGGGCTACAAGATATGATGGAATTGGCACCGGCTGCGTGAATCTGTACACTTTTTCACCCACAGTTTCGGTGTTTTCACCGTCACCTTGGGGCAATCCCGACATAACAGCAGGCAATGATGAAGTCACACTCATTGTGTAGGGGGACTTCAACGCTGGGGTGTCGAAACACGGGAAAAGCGATCTGGAGTGGATGGCCTCGCTCTGCGAGAACAAGTAAGGGAACTTCTTCCCATCAGTAGCACTCTTTTCAAGAAATTGCAAGGCCGTACACCGAGAGGTGGTCACAAACACTAAGTGGACACTAATCTCCTCATCAACGGCACAAGCACGAGAGATCACAAGAGGTGAACCTAACGCACCAGTCCTTTCACCAATGGTGAATTCTTGTGCCACATCATTCACAGACACCGCGTGCACGTCCAAGTACGACGTATCAAGCACTATGGACTCGGTGGAAGCCACGGCGGTGAGCTGGAAGGTCACGTCTCCGGAAACGGTTTTGGAGGTGAAGTTTATAACGAAGTTCAAGTTGGTGGAGGTGATTTGGAAATTGGCGTAGTTGGAGAGCGTCGACGGGTCTGCCTCGGGCAGCCGTCCTGGACGCGGGATGCCATGAACCTGGTTAACAGTCATGTGCGGGAAGGACGTGAGTAGATGATGTGTGGTAATATGATTACTTATTACCACAGCGGTTCAAAAGCCTTATAAAGGGAGCCGCGAAACTTTTGGTGCCATTCAACTGGATGCAAAAAACAGTGCCGTGTGAACAAAACGCACACGGCAGCTGGGAACGGTTCAAGCTACTTTAACAGCCTATGGGGATATTTGTGTTTGTGGATGATACAAGCATTCGAATAAGTATGACCACAAGTATGGGCATATTATGTGTCATGTCTGAGTATATGGTGTCAGTGTCGTATATGGTGCTGATACCGGCAGTTGTAAAGCCATGTTTTAAGCATCGAATGCGGCGGGACGCCGTGCCAGTTCAACGGTTTTTGGCCTGGGTTTCAGAAATATGTCAAATGCCGTTTGAATCATGGGTCATTGTGCCGCAGGGAAGCGGTGGGGGCACGCTGCGAGCGCTCGCGGGAGCCAGCGCTCGATGGGGGCCGCCCGCTAACGGAACCGTGGCTGGTGCGAGCGCCAGCACTTTTGTTTCTCCTCTGTTCATCTGTTCTGCGCGCTCATTGTTATTCCTCCCGCATTCCTTTGTATTCCACATACACCACATTACACCTCCCACCCTCCGATGCCGTTATGGACATCTCTACAGACACCACGGCCGTGTCCGAAAACGAGCTTCTAAAGTCACCGCTCCATCAACTTGAACTACAAACGGCAAAGGCCAGAGCCAATAGCCCTCACAGCCCAACCCCAGCATCACCACTAAAATCAAGAACTCCACCCCTACTGCCGCTGCCGGCCCAGTACTACCCCGACCGCGATCACGACCATGATCGCGATAGCATCTACTCGTTCGACTCGGTGTCGACCAATGGCCGGTTGTTGGACCGCTTGGGACTCGAATCGGATGACTTGTTGGACACCGATGAGGTGACAACACTACGGCTCGAGCGCCTCAGCATCAGCGACGTGGCGGGACGCCCATCCTCCCGCCACAATAGCGTCCAGCTCCAAAACCCCTTTCGCCTGCCGCTGATCCCGCATCCCAATACCAATCTCACCCGGCTCCCGCTGTATAGGGCCAATCATCTTTTTAATATCCACCCTAATTTGACTCGACTGGGATCGACGTCAAGAGACAAGGTTTTTGCCGTCGACCCCGCGCACCTGCCCGACCGTGTGCTTGAAGGGGCCGAGTTGTCGCCGTTTTCGGTGAAAAACGGCCCTGGAAACATCGTTTATGCCAGCCGCAATAGGTCTGTTCACTCTCTCAAAGCCCTGTTCCAGCCCGAGACCACGTCGGTGATTGGGGCCACCGGTGCCATATCCAAGAAGAAGCTGAGCGTCGACTATAACGAATACGACGAATTTGACTTTAACTCTTCGTCTGATTCCATCAACGCTTCACACTCTCGTATACCTCACCCTGGTGCTGGTGCCATGGCGAGAACCAGATCGGTGTCAGCGAGTGTAAATTCAGGATCTCTCAGCCGTGAAGGTAGCACTCGTCGAAGCATATCGGACTATACGAACACCACGTCGTCCCCCAACGGGAAACTAGCCGAGCTTTCGCCAGAGGACCGTACGAAGCTCTCGATGGAGCTTCGTGGCCAGGGCAAGCAAAGAGAAGCATCGTACCAGCTCCAGATTGCTGCTAACCCTCCTTTCAACTACCCGAAGGCGATGTTGTTGTACGCATTGGCACTTAAGTTTGGGAATGGGGTCAAACAAAACACCCCATCCTCACTCAAATGGCTTTGTCGGTGCATTCTATTGTGCACAAACGACACGCCGGAGTTTGCTTCTCGGGTGGGCATCCTTTCACAGGAAGAATTGGTCAAATGGGGGGTGAGCCACATCAGAAGTGATACCACCGAGGTGGACCCCATCAAACTCTATGATTACTACTCGAAATTGCCGGCCAACCAAATCACCAAGATCGTCAACACCATAAAGTCCCAGTCAGATCCTCTTGCATCTGCATACCAAGAGTTGGGGATGTTTTTCCTCAATGGCTGGGGAGTCGAAAAAGACGAATTACTTGGAATCCAGTGTTTGAGCATCAGTTCATCCATGGGCAACTTCAACTCAATGGTACAGTTGGGGGAGATCTGGGGTCTTAAGACCAGGTTTCATAAGAAGGACAACTTCAAGGCTTCGGCTTGGTTGAGACTTGGAGAGATATTTGGTGCAAAGACTATTGGAAATAGTTGGATCTATAAAGACAAATATCTCAAAGGGGAGTAGGATGACCATGTCTTTGTATTATGTCTTGTGTATTTTTATAGCATGAAACTAAACGTTTATTACTGTCAAGTCTATGAGTATGCAAGTTTAGGGCCCAGGCATGCCGGACTTTAAACTATAAATTAGGTCTTCGTTATAGATCTTGTTGTAGATGTTAATGAACGCATTCAATAAATGATAGAAAAACCTCATGAATTCCCCCAATTGAGTGTATGTGTTCAAAGGAAGGTAGTAGTTATGACTCATGGGCAACATAGTGGAAGATATTTCTCCAAAGCTTTTGCACCGCCGGTTCCAAATCTCCTGGAAGTTGACCTTGATGAAAAACTCGATGTTGGGACACACACTTTCCGATCTCTTCACCAAGTCGTCTGCCTGCTTGTAGTTGGTGATGATGTTGGCCTGTAAAGTAAGTTTTTTGGCAGCATCTGCTTCATCTGCCACAAGGGTTTCATAGATCGAGTTGATTCGTTTCAAGATGATGGTGCTTAACTTATGTAATATTCCCACCAAGCACTTCAAGTAGATATTTATGTCCTCATAATCCTTTTTGTTCAAATACGAGCTTCTTAGTTTGTTGATAGTGCTGTCGATACTCTCCATCAACACTTTCCAGTATCTGTCCAGCGGGGCGATGTTCATCTTTTCTTTCAGCTTGTCATCGAAATAGTATGATATCGCATACAAAATCAACGAGTCGAGCTCGATGATTAAAGAAAGAATTCCTTCGGTATTATTGGAGATGAACTTGGTCTCCTTGGCGAGTTTAATCCAGTACGTTTTCATTTTGATGTAGTCAACGTCTGCTTCTTGTGCTAGCCTTCGGTCGGCGGCAGGAGCTCTGGGAGTGTTTGCTCTAGAGAACACTGGTTTCGACACGGGAGTGCTAGGTCTGCTGACAGCCACCATGGGGGTATTGGCTCTGGGGGTTGTGGGAACCGGGGTACTCTTCTTCTTCTCCAACGAAATACCCAAGCCCACCGCACTGGACGGGTTGGCTTTGTGTTTATACTTGTCCAGATTGTAGTGGAAGCGTAGCAAGAACTTTGGCTTGGACTCGTCTAACTTATTGACCCACTTGATCTTTGTCTTTGTGGGCGAAGGGACAGCTTCCAAGCGTGCAGGAGAAGGCTGTGAGAGCAGTCTCGAGGGAATACGGTCGTTAATTTCGTCCTTGTCGTCGTTGAAAGTTGGTAAAGAAGGAGACAATTTGGGCGGAAGTGCTTTATATTCGTGGTATGCAGATATCATCTCGTCCAAGTTCCAATTGACTGTTATGCTCTTGGACACTGCAAGGGACAGCTTGGGCCGGGCTTTGGCGGGGTCAGGTTTGTGTTTTAAGTGGGATTTTGTGGAAACAGTTGGAGACGGTTGCCTTGATCTGGATGGCCCCTTGAATCCCGACGGGGACCGGGGGCGAGAATCTGTGTCAAAAATCGCCGACCGCATCTTTGGAGTCGTGGTAGTTCTGTAGTAAGTTGACTTGGCAGGGGAACGAGAAATAATACCAAAACTCACGTTTCTTGAGCCGATCCAGTGGGCTTTCAAGATGAAAATGTGTTACTCGCGCACTGGTGCTTTTTTGTTAGTGTAAATTTATATGGCTCCCAACAGAACCAAAAAGTACAACCAGGTCGAGCCGGTGCCGATGAAGACATCGTCCGAAGGTACGCTGGAAACTCCCGACCAGCGGTGGCCCTCCAGCCTTGAGAAATTTGTCAGCGACAGCTTTGTGAAATCAGGTGCCTTAAACCCCCATGAGAAGCTCATCTTCCATCAGCAGATAAAAGAACTCCTAGAGAAGGCTGAGGCACAAAACAAAGTGTTCTCCAACAACTGGGAAATGCAGAAGTTGCCGATTTTCCATCCCGGCCTTCCCCTTGACCTCTGCAGCAATATTAGCTTTAGCTCACCGGAACTGCTGGTGAAGAGAAAGAAAGAAAGTCAAAATAAGAAGAGAGCAACCCTACTGCCGCCTGAATTGACGCCGAAGATGCACGATTCAGAGCACAAGAAACCACAAAACAAGAAATATGATTCAGATCACAAGAAACGGCAGCGACTCGAGCGGTTCAGCTCACCTGACCTCCCGTCCAAACCAGTGTTATCTACAGAAACCACCAAAAATGGAGCTATTGTAGGAAGGTCCCAGGTTATAGAGAAGCGGTACTTGCGACTCACTTCAGAACCCGATCCCAACTCGGTGAGGCCTCAAGCGGTGTTGCAACAGGCAGTTACACGGCTTCTTGACTTGACCAACACAAAGCCATATTCATATATTAAAGACCAGTTCAAGGCCATTCGGCAAGACTTGACGGTGCAGCACATCAAGAACGACTTCTCTATGTATGTGTACGAGACGAATGCTCGTTTGTCGATACGAAACAATGACTTGGGGGAAATGAACCAATGTGTGACTCAGATCGAATACCTATTTGACCTGAAGCAGGAGCGAAACTCCCGGTTAAACCGCCTAGAGTTGGAGTTTATGTGCTACCGAATCTTGTACATGCTCATGGTGGGGAACCACTCGGAGATCTTCAAGATCAAGTACAAGCTCTTGAAAAAACAGTACCAGCATCCAGAAGAGGTGGACATGTTGCGGTATGCACAATTGGCATTCGACCTTCAGAACCTGATGTTGACGTCCAACTTCTATTCGTTCTTTCAAATAGCCGAGAAGTTCAAGACCATGGAGTTGGGGTCAATTTTGATTCAAAACTACTTGATTGAGAAAGAGAAGATCAAGACCCTTGATATTTTGGCCAAGAGCTACAAGAAGCTTTCTGAGGACTTTGTTATTAACATATTTAACAGTGATTTAGGCGATGTGTTAAGGTTCTTCGAGCACTTTGGCCTACAAGGTTTTGAGAATAATGAACTTGATTGTACGGTACTCCGGCCCCAGATCCAGTTGTTGATGGCCCGAACCAACTTCAAGAAAATCGACATCAAGGGCCAAGTATAGTGCCTAGTCCAACGATGGACCCAAGGCGATCATGGCGAAGTTATGTTTGTTGGCCTCATTGGTGTTGCTAATGTAGAACTGGATTTTCTCGTTCAACTTGGGGTCTTCGATGATATTACTTCCCCCAACGCTTTCACCCAAGTCCACAGGCCCGGTTCTTCTGCCGTCCAACTCGTACAAATGGTTATCTTTTCCCTTGACAAAGGTGATGAAATGAAGCTCTACTGAAATCTCTGGTGGAGGGGCTTCGGTCTGGCCACCGGAGCCGTAGTTTTCATCCAACTGGATCTGTTGCTCCAAGTTCTCGACCAACTTGGCGATATCTTCGGTCGAAAGTGACCTGTTTAATTGCTGGATCAAAAAGCTGTTGAGAAGCAGATTGTCGATGATGAGGTCTGACTGCAAATTGGTAATCAAGTGTAATAAAGCATACAATCCACACCCGTTACCGATAGTCTGCTTGAACCAACGAACCGTATCGATGCTTTCACTGGAATATGGCGCTCTTGTGGAATCGAAACGGGTTCTGTAGTCTTCATATTCTTTTGTAATTGGAAATAAGAGAGTCACCCCGAATACCGGCTGAGGAAGAAATGCCACTAGGTCGGGTTCCGTCAATGACAACACGTCGTGGAACTCCAACACCGGTGACAAGCCCAATTTGTGGGCCATGGCCGTAAAGATATCAGGATTACTCTCCAATGGAATAACTCGTTTACTATCGGGCATGCTGCAAACTGTGGTGGCAGTGGAGAAACTGATCACTGGAACAGTGGTGGCAGTGGAGAAATTGATCACTGGAACAGTGCGAAACAAAAATAATCATTAGCCATTTTTTTTTACAAACAAACCTTGCTTTTGCACTTTTTGTACTTTTAGTGATACATAACATCCCCTGACGTATACTAGGCATCTGCTGGAATGAGGAATACCTTGTTTGCGTTAGTGGTTTTGCCGGTGGTGTTGGCCTTCAACATCGGCCTATTACTGCTTGTTTGGGCATACCAATGGCAAAACACATACACCCCCACCACCACTGAAATCATGAAAGCAGTGATCTTCAGTGTGTTTTTGAACTTTTTGCTTCTGGTGCTTGATAAGTTCAAGACCATTTTCAAGCTCCCCGACTCTCATTGCTTCGATACGTATTTTCGGCCCCTAATCAAAGAAGTGTTGAAGTTTCTGATCATCGCATTCATATCACTCCATGAAAACCAGGATGGGCTGTGGAGCTTCAAGTTGACGGTATACCAAGTACTTGTAATCGTGGGGGTTTTTATGGGCACGAGCTTGTATGGATTTGTGAGAGACTTCATGCCGTGTTTCTACTTGAAGAACTATGGAGTGTTTTTGAAGCTTTACGACGATTTCTACTACATGGAAACCTATGAAGATGAGTCCCGAAATGATGTTACCAAGAGGATGATGGAGTCATTAAAACGGGGGTCGGTGGGAACAGGAGACTCGGACGAGACTTTGGCAGGTATTCTTCCGAAGAAGATTTCTGTTGGAGAAATTAGTTTTGATGATTCTGGAGACACCACTGTGGTTTCAGGAGTGTCAGACTTCAACAACGATGTTTTCGACCCCAAAATAAAGCCTCAGATGTCATTACCGGTATTAAAAAGAGGTCTCCCTTCTTCTCCAAAGAAGATCAACCAGTACAAATCGTGCTACGACTTGGTTGACAAGTTGTACGCGGTGTCACCCAAGAACACCTTCCATTTAGAAACTGCATCAGCTACGGTAATGACAAGAAACGATATACCAGAAGACGATGACGATGACGATGACGATGACAATTACGGTGAGGTGAGTGAGTTTTATGGCCCTGTTCTAAGTACCCCTAGTCCTAGCTCATCTCCGTTTACCGAAACAAGTCAAGTCTACAACGACCTCGACAATATCTCCGTACACACCACCGATACACATTATGATGGAGGGGGTGGTGGAGGTCTTGGCTTCGAATACAAGTTTCCTAACGGTGGAAAAATCAAATTGGGAATGGGTGGTGGAGGTGGTTTTGATTACGATCATAGAAACTCCACTGGGAAGCGGTCGTCTTCAAGCGGCAAAAGCTTTTCAAAGAAATCATCCCGAATGCTTTGTGAAGATACCACTAAAGCTAAGGGTTGGTTTAGCTGGATGACGCCCACCTCTCGTAAACAAAATAGCGTTAGAAAGAAGCTAAGCAAGTTTACTTTCAAGGGTCAGTCTGATGATGCTTCGATACACTCGGGCTTATTGTCAGGACCACCGACCCTTGGATACAGTTCTATTGGTGACCCAGAGGCTGGAAACTGTACACAACCCTCATTAAACGATCGCATTGTTATAACCAAGCAAGATTTCACCAATTATGTTTTCATTTCGCTTGGTATCGACCAGTTCAAAATTGATTATGATCCAATTTTTGAAAGGTACGGTAAGCAGCTTATACGGGATTTGAGTGTTTTTGAAGTATTGCTCTGCTATTTGGATAGTTTTATTTGGGTGATGGGGACATTGCTTGTGTACACATCTGAATTTTTGCAGAATTCCCGAGATTACATCGTTACGGTGATGCTTTTAAGCTTGATCAACGTTAACCTACTAAACAACTCAAACTTTCATCTCAGAAACATCTTACTTCTGAAGATAATTTTAAATGGAGTTATTCTTAGCATTCTAACTGTATTATGATATATTTATTTAATGAACATTTGTAAAATTAGTAAAATTTGCAACTGTTTCGTGTGAGCACAAATCATAACACTGGGTCTATTAAATATTACTCTATAAATACACTATCATACATATAAATATCATTACTTTAAAACATAGCTGTTCAAGAACTTCTCGTTAGTGAAGGTGAAACCGTTCACGTGAAGAATGTCTTCATTTGATTTGGTCATTGGTGGAGTGAAGGCCATTTCCGTGAATTCTTTATCAAAATTCTCCGCAAGTAACGGATTTGTGATCACTGGGAGTATAGGAGGCAAAACCGCCTGGTTATTGTGAATCAAGTCGTCCCAGTTGATATGTCTGAAGAATCTGTGCTTCTTGATAGCCTCGAATTGGTCGTCTTGGTCCAAGTTTATCCGTTTGTCAATATTCACCGCGAGGAGTTTGCGCAAAAAATCTTTTGCATCCAATGACAAGTAGAAGGGAAACTTCAAGTTCTTCTTGGAAGCAAGGATTTTCTCAGTGATTTTCTTGTTGTTATTGCCGGTAAAAGGAGGAGACCCCGTGAGCAAGTCGAATGAAATGCATCCCAAGGACCACCAGTCAACCTCGTAACTGTAGTTTTCATTTCGCAAGATCTCCGGAGCCATGTACTGGATGGTGCCAATGAAAGAGTTTGTTTTATCTTTGTCGCTGACCTTGGAGAGACCAAAGTCCGTCAATACCAAGCTCCCCAGAGAGTCCAACATGCAATTCTCCGGCTTCAAATCTCTGTAGATGACATGCAACTGAAGATGAAGGTATCTCAAAGCGAGCACGAGCTGGGCAATGTAGAAACAGGCCTTGGATTCGGGTAGAAACGATTCCTGCGACAAATGGTAGAACAATTCGCCTCCATCCAAGTACTCCAAGATGAGGTAGACCTTATTGAAGTCCTGGAATGCGTAGTATAACTTGACGATGTTGGGGTGGTTGACCCGTTCGAGAATCTTTTTCTCGTTCAAGGTGCGTTCGAGGTTGACTTCATTCACCTCGTTGTTCATCAAAAGACTGATTTTCTTGAGCTGTTTCTGGGCAAAAAGCTTGCCGGTTGTCTTTTGTCGTACCAAAAGAACCTTGCCATACGTACCTTTACCGAGAACCATTATGGGTTCAAAGTCGTCTAGAGTGGGCTTGTAGCTGGTGTGAACATCTTTGACACTACTGGAGATGAAGGGCTCGTTGATACGCAAATCAACCGAGTGGCTGCCTCTACGGGCGGAGGTGCGGCGGGGGATATCAAGCCGGGTCACGTCGGCGCCGGCGTAGTCGGTGACGATGTAGTCATCGGTGTCGTCTGGTTCTGGGTCCGAGTCATCGAATACGGGGGAAGAGCGCGTGGGATGGAGGCCCGGTGTAAAGGGGTCGGCCGGGTCAGGGTCCATGTCACTGTCCACAAGGCGGTAGTTTAAGCGGTCGACCTGGTCTGCTATATCGTCCATATTAAACATGCTCATGGTGTCATAACGAGAACGTTTTTCGAAGAGCGATAAATTGAGGTAGAATATGCAAATATACGCGCTTCTTGTGATTCTCTAAGCGATGATTGAGATCTCCATAGAACCTTCAATCATCAAAATCGCCTTAGTTTTGATATTTGTAACAGCAGTAGTGTATCTGGACCTCTTCATAAAGGTGTCTATCCGTTTGTTTATTTATTTCAATACTTGTCACCTTCGAGGGGATGTATATGAATACTTGGATTATAGGTCTATTTTCCCTGATCACCTTCCTTTAGAATATAGGCAATTTGCAAACTTATTAGCTTCATTTGGTTCCAATTCTTTCAAGTATGATGAAATATCCTGTTTGAGTGTATATGAAAACTTAAATGGGACCGTAAAGCAGCTCGAATCGTGTATGATAACAGCCTCGGTAAGATATGGAATATTGTGTGATGGGTACCACTTGATTCCAGTTGAATTCAATGGGAATTTCTATGTGTATGAAAATGATGAACCAGTGGAGGGAGTCAGAAAACTAACGGGAACGCAAGAGCTTAGAATTCCCTTCAAATCAAGAATCTTGAATGTGCACAATAGTGGTCCAATATTCCTTGAAGGTTTAATCTACACTCTTCATAAGGCAAAGAAGGAAGGCCCTGAAGCTCTCAAGTTTTACCAAAAATTACCCGTTCCGTTGGTGTTGAACGATAATCCGTTACCAACGAATCCGAAAGGCAATGATGATGAAGATGATAATGCTGACGAGACTGAAGATAATAGGCCCCGGAGTCTGTATGACAGACTTCTTAAGCCTAGAGTCCTTGACAACTATAACGTTGATCCAAAGCCATCGATGTTGACTCCTCCAAATAGTCCTTCCAGTATAGATAGCCAACAGCATAGCCACCATAAGTCAGATTTCAAATGGCTAACTTATACCTCGGGGGCAGAATTGTTGCAACGGTCGATAGAGAATGATACAACAGTCTATAAAGTCAAAGCCAGGTACATGAAGGATGTGATTTTAGAAGAAATCGACGAATGAATATGTGGTTGTTAAGATCTATAATCGGTTTCTTCTTCATAAGGAGTTATCAAAGAAGAATAATAGGCTTGCACAAAACTGGGTTCGGTAATGCTATTTTAAAGAAAGGCATGCACTAGAGCGGCTTATGGATGTGGAAGAGTACAATAATGTTTACTTGAGGCACAAGGAAATTGAAGTACAATATCACCGAGGATACGGAGATTTGATTATAGGGTAATGCGATTATATCAAGGTTTATCGAATCCAAAAAGGTTCCGAAGAATATGGAAGTTTACAAGCAAGTGAGGCAGCTAATCGAGGTTATTCACCAAGATGGTGGTATTCATGGTGATGTCAGATTGGAGAACTTGTTATTGGGAAACAAAATCTATGTGTTTGACTTCAGTCATTCAATGTTGATGGAAAATGTTGACCAAGAAGAAGTGAAAGAGTTGGTGGAGAGAGATTTCGAATATTTACGAAAAGTGTTTTATAAAGCTCTTGGGTAGTGGGTTGGAGAGTTGATTTTCCAGTTTCGGGATTTGGTGTAAAAGGTTTAGAAGGTTAAGTTGGTTTACTAGGTTAGTATGGACGTCCATCCTCCATCGACGACACAGAAATGAACAAAATCAACGACTACCAAATGGATATCATCATGAACAAAAGAGAAAGGAGAGGAGCCCGACGACATCGACAACATGTCCGCATATTTGTAGCCTATATCAATGGACGGAATCATTTGCAATCGCCTTTTGCAGTCTGAGTCGCACTTCAACCCTCCAATCTTCGATCTCCAACCACCTACGGTGAATATCAACCACATCACGTGTCTACCATCGATACTCCCTGGGTCTCAGTTCACCCGGAATACCTGCCGGTCTTCAGCATCTCCCAATGTCTTTAAGCTCCCAAATTCCTAATACTGTTCTGCCTCAGCGCTGTTGAGAAACGACGCGAGCGCGGCCTTCGCATGGGCCCAAAGGAGTCGCGGTGCAGTGGCGCCATGCAGCAGGAGCTCCCGTCCGGCTCTTTCTGCTTGAATGCACAAAATGCTATCAGCTATGCATATATCCTTGCATGTCTAACTCCTTGAGTGACAAATGTCCCTCAGTATTTTAAACACCTCAATTCTGTGCACTCACCTGCTTCCTCCTCCTCCCACTCTGGTTCCACTCACTCTCCTCTTCTTCCTCCCGCTCTTGTCTCTTCCCATTCCACTCTTGTCTCTTCCCATTCCACTCTTGTCTCTTCCCCTTCAACTCTTGTCTCTTCCCATTCCACTCTTGTCTCTTCCCATTCCACTCTTGTCTCTTCTCATTTCACCGCGCCTATCTGCCTCAGCACACGAACACCGCTCCTAGCACAATCCCGCCTCAGTCTAATCACACCTCCCGAAACCGGCATATCATCCCCTACAATGGTCACCTGATGAGATTTACGACTTCGTACCGTACATTTCCAAACCTTCTAAATTATACCCTGGGACGCAATTGTCCACTATTATCTATAAACTATACCACCCTCTTGCCTACTCCACCCGGATATATATCCGGTCCTTTGCCAGAATATACTCCATAATAATATCCTGTAAAAACATATCCACCGCCATCGGCTTGAGGTCTTTGTTTGCAAAATCCAAGTACAAATGGTTAAACAGGCAAAACTTGGCCTCCACTACTTTCACCAAGTCTGCTAATCCTTTAAGCTTGTCTTTGCGAAGTCGTATGGCGGTGGCCCGGGATGCCAGGGTCATATGAATCTTCAAACTATTGGTGTTGGGCTTTTCATGGCTGGTAATATCAAAGTGCGACGACGCTGGTGACGCTAGGGGACCAGCACAATTGGAAAAGAGCGAATCGACAGAGTGCCGGGACATGATGGATGAAAGATGAAAGAAAGACAAAACTCTATGAATACAAGAAAATGGCACAAGGGCAGTTTATAAAGTCTAGATTGATGGGGGCACCCGATTAACTAAGGCATCTTGAAGTTCTTTTTAGGTTATTTTTTGCGCGGTGAAAATATTTCTTGCATCTAACTGGGGAAACTTAATTGTGGAATTTCAAGGGTCTAAACCTGCCAGTCATTGGTCAGTGATCTGTGTACCTTATAGTAGGTATTTGATAGATTAGCTCATGATTTTATCAGATTTTACCACTATTTTATGGCCCAGTTTCGTAGAGAAAAAGCTTGTGAAACATCTCTGCCCCCAATCTGGGCGACTCCACGCAGACATCGCAGCCTGAAGGGGCCGCCCCTTCGCGATACAGGATAGCTATCAAAATTATAGTACATTCATAACTACTCAAATGGAACCTCTTATTCTGACCAAGTTTAACGTCACCTTGGTGCTGGCTCGTACGAGCTGAAGGAGCTGGGTATCGGCAACCGGAGCCTGGTCTTTGACCGTCAACCGATAGTGATTGGTGAGGTCTTCGTCCTTGTAAATTTTGTAGCTGATGATTTTCTTTAGGTCGCCAAGGGAAGTGAGACTGTCCCGGGGTACCTTGAGCACAATGATGTCGTTGTCCTCATTGTTGAAGAGAACCTTGACCTTAACGTACTCAGATTGTGGTTTAAAGGTGTCAAAATTGGAGGCTGCGAAATCGGGGGTGTTGGGAGTTACTGGGGTGATGGGCGTAGTCACCTCATCAAACCGGCCACCATCGTTGACAGGTGTAACCGGCAGTTTGGAGAAAATCGACTCGGTGTCGACCTTACAACCACTGGAATATTTATAGTTTTGTTGTTGGGTGCCGGTGCTGGCAGCAGTGGAGGAAAAACTGCTATTTTCGTACGAGTCGATAAGCAGCGAAAAACTCAGTAGGCTGGGGCTTTCCACCACCAGCGCTGGCACTGCGGAAGACGACGACTTGCGCGAGGCGTCGTGGTGCGACTGAAACAGGTCGAAGACACTCACGGCTCCCGCGCACAATTGGTGATTGATGGACCGACTATCGGTGTTTTCTGGGTTTACCACACGAGGATGGACACTAAGAAATTCCGTCAACTCATCGGAGTCAGAGTAGTACCCGAGCTTCACCAATTTATTCATGTAGACGTTCAATTCGTTGCACCGCACAAGAAGCCTTTCCATATACTTTTTGTCCTTAACCGAATGGTGAACCGAGTTGAACGGCTGGGGGAACGCTGGAAGGTTATCGTGGTGCAATACTGACAAACTGTAGTGCAAGTTGTAGAAATCTTGGTAGCATTTAAGCAAATATATGTTGGAATTATCCAGCATTTTCAAGTCTACTCGGTACCAGAAACGGTCTTGTGACAGTAATACCTGAGATACGTTTACGTGCTTGATCGACGGGTGTTTTTCAAAGTCAAACAAATCTCTGGAGTCGGCGGTGGAGTCGGCATCCACCGCCAGCACATCGGTGAGCCATGCATGGGTTATAGGAGAAATGAGGTCGTTGACTGCGATTTTCACGTAGCTGGCAGGAATTAAGCCTATGCGTTTATTGGAGACGTTTCTGACCCGAAGCCACCCATCCCCCGGTCTGTCGATGAGCTTCAAGTAGTCGTTACGCCGTATGCTCAACTCCTCGGCGTTTTCAGCGCAGAAATCGTATTTGGCCAGAAGAATAATAGTGCCAAAGCTTGCATCAACAGACACTGGAGAAGAGACCAAGGCATCCACTGAATGGGCCCGCCCCGTGGGCAAAGTGTTGCTTCTATCGTCTGACAAGCTCAAGGTGCTGAGCGATAAGGAGTTGGAAAAATAGGATGTGGGACTTAAAAGTGTTTTGGGGACAGCTGCGCTGTTTGAGGCTTCCAAAATGGGTGACGAGATGGAAAGCAGTTTCAAATTCTTCCTACTTCTAAACTGTTTGGACTTCAATAGTGACTCGGACATGGTTTGTGAAGAAGGGAAAAGAGATACCAGGCCGGAGAATTTTTAAAAACCGGTTTATAATGTAAGGATTTTGGGGAGTTCAGTATTTATGTAGCTTGGCCAAAATAATAAGATCGCTAAATTAGGGGGCCACGACCGGCTGTGGAGGCTAAATTTACCCAGTTTTGGCGGCGAAGAAAATGTTTGAGGGCCGAACAATTGTCTGCACCTTCCGGAATAGAACAAATTCTGAGTTGTGTTGATTATTTAATAATAGGCTATTGTGAGCAGGCAGCGGTTGATGAATTATTGTGTTGTTTGGCGTGTTGCATAGGAGAAATATTCCGCTTTGGGGGCGGAACACTTTATCCTTACGCCTGCGGCCTGTACATAGATCACATGCAGGCGGTTAACGCACATAAGACCTTGCATACAATCACCCCAATTAGGTATTGGCATTACCAATTTGAGAGTGCTTATTGTCATCGCCAGATAAATCCTTTTGCATGTTTAGGTGTACTGCAGAATCGCGCCAAAAGCCCTGAATATATCTTATTGTGATATTCTAACAATTAAACATTGGGCGACGTAAATGCACATTGTCAGCAGGTCCTTTGTCTTTGATTGTTCAGGATAGCTGGGGAGGGAGAATGCGTCTTTTAACATCAAGCACTGAAATTCCTCAGGGAGATCCCTTTTGTTTTCGCAAGTATACCTTAAGGTTACTGGAGGCTGTTTATGTTTGATCCGATGACGTGTAGTTGGTGGGGAAAAGAAAAACATTCAATTTGCTAAAAAAAGGGTCAACAAGCTCTCTGCTACCTACAGGGTCCAGCGATGGAACGGCAATATTGGGAGTCCCAACCTTGTATGGTATAGCCTTTTTGTTTAACGATAAAGACTTTTTGCTTCACAGCATTGCCTTTTTGCATTACGGTATACTCAGTGTATGATGTTATTTCACCTGTAGGTCGGAGCCTGATGCAATGCAGACAGAGTAGCAAGTTTTTGTAAACTGATATTTGGTTGTAAATTAGTAGTGCATTTAATGTTTAAAGTACAAAATTTATGAGATAATGGTACAATGAGTATGATACACAGCTGCGATGGTCTAACGATGAACAAGCCAACTAGGAGTATAACATCCTAGCTTATCACCCGCAAGTCGATTTGGTCCTGCATCTTAATGAAGTCTAATTTAATGGTGTCAATCAACTCAAACTTGTTACCCACATTGACAAGAAGATGATTGAAGAAAACCTGTTCTCTCACAAGCGTTTTCAACACCTCTATGCTGTTGATTTCATTTTTGTTGACGTTGATACTCAAACTGCTGGTCCCGTTGACCAAGTTCACCTTGAGGTTCTTATAGAGCAAGTTGACCGACCCGTCAAGAATTCGATTGTTGATGTCATTGTCACTGATACGGGTGCTGTTCAAGTCGCTGACTATGTAGTACCGGTCGTTGTATTTGAAGTTGATCCAGTCATTGAACTGGGTGAATCCCAACTTACTCACCTTGTTGATGTAGTTATTCAACTCATTACACCGCCTAAGGATATTGTCCAATGCGTTTGTATTGACATCATTGAGCTCGATGGGGGCTGGTAGCTTGGGGGCATTACCATGTTGCAAGATATCTACCTGTAGATTGTAAAAATCTTGATAGAACTTACCGATCGACACCTTCAGATTGGCGTACTTCAAATCGATTCGGTACCAGTACCGTTCGTTATGAAGACAGCAATTGGAAATCGAGATGCTGATAAGCTTGACCATGGGGTCATACTCGGGTGAGTCAAAGTCGATTATGCTGAGGCTCTGGTTAACTTTGTAGGTCTGTGGGCTCAGCAGTAAGCTCTTGAGCTGCGGGCTCAAGGGAGTATTGGGGATTCTGGCGTCGGAGTAGTGATGGTTGGAGTTGCGAGGTGTGGCCCCAAATACATCCTCGGGACTGGAAGGACTTAATGGGCCTATAGATGAGACCATGGGAGGCGAGATTATGGGGGATGAAGAAGGCTTGAACTTGTTAAATGTCTCAGCCTTGAAGTCCTTCATGGGACCTTTCTGCTGGAGATAGGGGTTCTGGAAGGAGTCTCTGGGTTTGGAGGTGACGACGTTTTTGACTGAGTTGAGCTGGGTGCGTTGTTTGAAATCTGGCCGTGACAAGGTGGGAGTAGCGTACGGGTCGGTAGGGCGCGGGTACGAGCTGTCGCTGTTGGACCGAGCGTAGGGGCCGATGTCGGAGCGGCTGGTGTCGATGGAACGAGTTAGCATGGCGTTCGAGGTGGATGAGTCGCTGAGAGACCGGGTGGTGGGAGCAGCGTATGGGTTGGAGGGAACCGAGTGAGTTTCTGACGGCGACCGGTATGAATTGTATGAGTTTGAGCGGGACGAACCGTGGCTGTACAGGGCGGTTGGGGTTTGGTATGGATCTGACAGGATGTTTGTGTGGGTGTCTGGGGAAGATATGGTGGTGCTAGTGTGGGTGTACGGGGCAGATATGGTGGGCCCGCTGTGGGTCCGCGAGGGCGCGTGGGCACCGTGGGCAGTTGCACCATACGCGGTAACATTGGACGGGTAGGAAGATACACTGGCATTGGCTTGGTAGGGAGAGTTCACCTGATAGCCAGTGGCACTCCTGGTGGATGACTGGCGGCTACTCCCGCTAAGCCCCCGATGAGGACTAAACACTCCAGTATGAGTAGCCGGACTAGCAAATGCCGTCGTGTAGTTGGTCACCGGTGTCTGGTTCACCGGGATAGCCGCCAGGTGTGATGGGGACAGCCCCAATGGCGGCTCTATCAGTACATCCTTTGATAGACTTTGAGGGGCCTCCACGTCAGCATCCTCGGCCGTAAGCCAGTTGAGAGACACCGGAGTAGAGGTGTCATTGATGGCAATATCCACATAAGTAGCGGGAATAAGCCCACAGTTGTTGAGGTTATCCAAAGACTTGACTAGAAGCCACCCACCGGGCTTTTTGTCAATGAACTTCAAAAGGTCCCCTTTATTTACTGATAGTTCCTGGGAGGTTTCTGATTTGAACGTGAAGGTGGACACCAAAATCACGTTGAGATTGGATGAATTGTCATAAAGAAGGGTTGGTCTGGAGATGAACTTATGCCTCACACTCATGGTTGTACTGGAACGAGAAGGAGCCAGGGATAACATGGGTTTTATGACTGCGGTTCTTGTTTTTATGGTTTACAAGGTTGAAACTGGTACAGGAGCGTTGTTGTTTTGGTGCGAATTATACTACATGCGGCAGAATACGCAGTTAACGCGCGTGTACCGGATGAGGAATAAATCCATGCGCCAGAGGTCACTGAAAAGGGTGAGTTAGGGATTAGAGGAGGGATTTAAGGCTTCCACAAGGGCGATAGAGAAAGGTGTAGGAATATCAGGTATGACAGTGGAAGACATTTTGTAGGTCAGACCCGAGTGCCGGAGATGCGCGAACTTTCCCATTCCTTTTACGGTTTTGTCTTCATCAAGCGAACTTAGTAACACACAGAGTCGTATTATCAAGATTATAAGATGAATGTGTTCTTCTTGGTCCGGCCATTTTTGCCAATCAACTAAATCTGGCCCGTAGGCGCTTAGTGAAGCTGGTAATCCGGACTCTAGCTTTGAAGAAGAAAATCTTTCGTGGAAGAAATGAGATGAGTGACAGGCGCGCGGGTGGCAGAGATTGTTAGAGTGTCTGCACCATTTTACAATGGGTATGCCACGCACTCATGCTCACTGGTGCGCCCACACATGCCAGGATTTGCGCTCAGTGATGTATAATTCCGCCAACTGCCACTGCAAACCTTAGGGATGAACTTCCGGAACCGTGTAGACAGGCATGCGGGTTTATCTACAGTTATGGAATGAATCCCGACCTAACCCTGGAGGAAACCTTTGTAACCAAAATAAACCAGAATTTGGTAATATTTCGTATATGAGAATATATTAGATCATTCTTTGAACTCATTAAGTTCACGGCAAAGACCATGGGCGAATGTTTTACAAAGAAATTTCATTTGCTGCATTCTGCAGCAAATAACAACAAAAGGTGTCGGCGTGAAAAAGAAACAAAACGGCAAATTTTATTGGCGATACTTGATGAAGCTCGTTGTTTGCATGAAAATGTAATTACATTTCCGCGCGAAAACTACTACTTCAACGGTTATTGTCAGTTAAACAATTGAGGTGAGGTGAGAATTTTTTTAATTTTCCTCACACAATATAACAAATTTTGCATTCCGGATAATAGGGTGGTATGTGCCTCTTGGGCGATTACCGCAGTACTGTGCAGATAAACCTTGACCAATTGAAGCCAATTGAAAAGGGGGATAAGGTTTTTTTGAGGAACAAACTTCCAGGCAAACAGATTAAATATAATGCCGATCCAGGTATGTACCAATGGGCCTCAAGGCATGCCTAAGGGCAGATGATTTTCTTAAGTGCATAGGTTGGAGCAAGTGTCAGTCAAGGCGTTATTGGGAATACAATAAAAGCACATGCACACAATAAGTTAGCATAATAGGCTTAAACTTTACATCTGCGTGCGCAATTGGTTGCCCGGATGCTTTCCTGAGTACACCGTCTGGATTTAAGCAGAATAATGCTTGATGGGGCGACGGATTCAGGAACGGGGGGTTTCCCTCTCTAATTTTACCGCGCTAAGCTCTGGCGTTATCACTGACAACTTGGGAGATAATTTTAGATTTAATGAGGTATCGTTTTGTTCTCCCAACGGTTAATACGTTTCCTCAACTCATATAAGTTTAAACTCTATTTGAAGATATTTTTTATGTGTACCTGGAATTCTGATTGATACTTACGAACTTCAATACCCCTTAATTCTTAGGTCGTAGACAAATAGTATAAAAATTGTATTTAAGGGATAAGCCTTAATAACACTCCTATTCAATCAAGTTATTTTTTCCTGTTCAAAAGAACACCACTCCATTATCAAATTGATATTTATTCTTTTTTTTTTTGAAAAAAATTCTCTCATTCTTTATTACAAAGGTTTTTGCTTTGGACCATTAATACCAAACATATTAACCGGTGGATTTTACTTTATTTTTCAAGCCATTATTTTTGCTTTTAAGTTTCCATCAAGTGGGTGATACTTGGCGTAATTGATAATTTTAAGCGGCACCCTTCCCTGCCTGGCTGATTTTTAGTGCTCCCCTTCTCCAGGCCACTTTTTTTTTATTTGCAAATCCTCAAAATTAAAAGAAATACACTTTAAAAACTCCCACTTTCTTTCATTCCCTGTTCACGAACCCTAATACCCGTCATTCCTTTAGCTCCTGATCCCTTTGAGTGTTTCAATTCATCCCGTTACCTTTTCAATTCGTTCCCAATTTCTACTTCTCCCCCAAACCCCCCTTTAAAATGGAAGATTCTCCAAGTACAGTTGGCACTATCGACGAGGAAAAACTCGATATCCATAATATCTACGCATTTGAATCCGGTTTGATGGGGCTCCCCCCGCCCCCTCCCATCTTCAACAACCGGCAGAACCTGATACACTCCAACAATTCCCGGGATAACGAGGCCTACTCGATTTTCTCTCATTCCAACACCAGTTACAATTCAATTAATGACAGCTACGACCTGTTGGACCAATTTTACCAGTCCAGCGAGTACGAGTGGAACCAGCTGTTTGATCTGATACCTGACTCGGTGGTGGACCCACTGGCCAGTCCATACTCGTTCTACAGTCAATTTGACTCCCACGGTCAGGCGCACGGCGCCCTTGCCCCTGGGCCTGCTACCATGAGCGGCGGCAGCGGCGGCGGCAGCGGCACAGGTTCGGGTTTACCAATAGGTCATGCAGTCGCCGACCATCATTTCGGATCTGTCGATAACCTCTACAATACCACTGGAGCAGTCCCATACACCCCGTTGCACCGGTTCCACTCAGAGGCGCACTTGCCTCGCGTGGGAGGTAACCTTACCACCCGCTCGGCTTCCATGCTGACACCCATTAATACAACTATCAGTCATCATGCAACTCCCACCGCCAACGTTTCGGCTTCATCATTGACACCCAGTAAGCCCGAGACTTCCATCCCTTGGGCCACATTTCGCCATAACCCTCCCATGCCGCACGGGTTCTTCCCGTCACCACGCCGCAGAACCATTCCTCATGACGAAGAGGCACTTACGCCTACCACCGCCACCACATCGGCTTCTACTGCCAACTCGGCTGCCACCTCACCGCTAGCCACTTCCTTGACCCCCACCCTCCACCAACACCCTTACTCCCAACACTCTCATCCTCATTCCCAGCACCCTCATTCTCAATATTTGCAGCTGGGTGCGAAAAAACACACTCGCCGGCGCCTTCTCCCCAGATCAAAAAATGGGTGCTGGATTTGTCGTATCAAACACTTGAAGTGTAACGAGGCCCGGCCCACCTGCTCCTCGTGCTCCCGGTTTGGCATTGCCTGTGACTACTCATCCGAGAAGCCATTGTACGTGCTGGACAAAACTCTTAGACGGGAAAAATTGCTCGAAATCACCACCATTCGCAAGAGTAACCAAAAGTTGCGGTCCAAGACCTCCAAACGGCGCCTCAAAGAGTGAGCCCGGAGGCACGTGACTCTGCTTGCTTGCATCGGCCCTTTTTTTGCAGGGCCTCTTCGCATTGTTCAGTTCTTATCTTTATCGGTTCTATTAAAGTTTGCCAAATATTGGCTGCGAATTCGGTTTCGCTAGTTAGTTTATTGAATTGTTTTTGTTTTGTGATGTAATTACCAGACCATTGGCCCGAACTTTATATCGTTCAATTCGTCTCTCACATTCGTCTATACATTCGCTACGCACCCTTGACTGCATTCTCGTCAAACCTTGTCCATTGTTTTTCGTATAATTATTATTTACCCGACGTGCCACTCTCACACATATATATCTGACTGATGTCTTGTACCGTCAAAGACAGCAATAGATACTTGAGACTCCCATTGTCACCGCTACTCCCACTCCAGAACCACCAAATTCTTAGTCACGAGAATGAGCCGATGTGAGTCCATTTCTTCGTCGGCTGCAACTCTCACCAATGCCACCCGATCGCCCTCAAACTCCACCATCGGTCCATCGAGGTCACATATGAGGTTGGGGTACATGTAGTTGCTATACTTCTCTCGTTCTTCATCTAGCGTGCTGATTCTTCTTTTACGGGTCGGCGTTGACATCGACATATAGTCAACCGTGTAGTCTCCGTTCACCAACATCGAGTCGGTGTCGCTCATGTCAACATGAAGCGTAGGAATCGTCTCAATATCCTGCAGGGCCGTTTCTTCCTCTACCTCATCGTCAAACTCCTTGTCGAACTCGAGAGGGCTCTGGATCGCTCGCAACGCGATGAAGTTGTTCAAAGGTAAATAGTACTTTTCATAGTTATAGATCACAACTAACGTCACGACAATTAACGGGAAACATAATATCAGAAGGAGAACTGCTCCCTCGAGGGCAAGAGTTCCACACATGAAAAGCTGGAAGAGAATAGTTCCTAGAATCAATCTTCGAAATATCATTGGCCACACCTTACCAGTAGAATGTGGCGGATGCACGTAGTTGTAGATCAATTGATACTTGTACACCAAGTAGCCGAGACCAAAGTACACGAGGCCACTGGCCACAATTTTGGTGGATACCACCGAGTAGATCAATATGATCATAAAAATGAGAATGTGTTGGGGGACTTGGATTCCAAAATCAAAAATTGGAGGTGTGAAGTAGTAGAAGCGATAGTCTCTAGGGGTTCGCAAGAAGAACCGGTTTAAGAAGAAGATCTTCCCGATCAAGTTCAATAGTACAACATCTCCAATTTGTAGTAACCGAATAGGAAACATTCCCAAACCTTGCAATAGGATCAAGTCCACGTAAAACAACGACTTTTTCTTCAACGAACTTGCAAGCTGAAAAGCTATCTTTGTGGTGTCTCTGATGAATGACAAGTAGTCCCAGATTGTTCCTGTGATCATAAACACAAGAAACAAGTTAAAAAATATGAAGAAAAAGTTCTTGGACAAAGATGATAATTCGATATCGCTATTGGAAGTATACCCTTGACACCTTGAGAGATACCGGTAAAAATACGGCATAGTCAAGTTCAACAACGAGTACAAAAGAGGTGGCAAAATCCCCGTCACAAAGGTGGTAAGCCAATTCGACTTCTTGATAAACTCTCCCAATTCGGGCCAAAACTTGCTGATGGACTTCAATTCCAATAACGTCGCCAACGAAGATACCAAAAACAAAATGGGAAAGTAACTCAAGATAATGATCAACGTTATTATATAACCTTTGGCAATCTTCGTGTAGTAGTTAAGTTTCAAGTTCGACCATTTGATGTCTGTTGGCGCTGGGGCCAAGTTCACCATCAACTTATACACTCGAGGATCAAGAACGGTTTGCGCCGCCATCTGTGCTGATGCCACACTGTCCATAGTCACGAAAGCCGAAGGAATTTGCCTGAACACCGGGTCCTTATGAAGAATCAAATTATCGTCAAAGCGCTGCTTGTAGGTATGTTGGATTTCAGAGATCTCCTGGTCCATGTTGTCCAACTTCTCCATATACGCCATCAATTTCGGGTCTTCAACAAGTTGGCCTCGCACCGATACCGTGGGACAGTTCTCGTTGTAGATGTCGATATTCAATTGGTGCTTTGAGGAAATGTACCGTTCGATACGCCGTACCAACTTCTTCCGAACATCCAACAACTGATCCAACGGCTGACAGTCATAGATCATATTGATATCCAACACCTTACCAATTCCCAAGTCCTCGATGAAGTCCTTCAAGATCTCGGTGTTCTTTTGCATCAACAATCGTCTGGGGATCCCGTCGATTCGGATGGTGCGGTCGGTAATCAGGTCCTGAGACGCCAAATACTTCTGCCGGGTCTTGATGATCCTGTTCGTGTAATCAAACAAGTTCATATACACGATCCCCGAAAACAAGTATGCAAATAACGGGTACACCCAGAGGTAATGAGGAAAGTCATCAATGTCTCCAAAGTCGGGGAGACTACCATCATCACCACTGAACTCGCCACTTGCCACAAATCGTACAAACAACACACCAGCCTCTGGCCATCTCCAGGGAATGTCGTCCTTGTCAAAATGGCCCGTGTAGTAGAATCGTACGGGACTTAGGATAAATACTGCTAACACCAGGAGTTGAAAAAAGATTCGGATTCCCATCTTGAAGAACATGATGAACACATACGCATCAAGTCCCGAATACTCAAGCACTTCATCTTCTGTAACCGACAACACCAAGCTGATCCATCCAAAGTATGAGGTGGGAATGGCTTTGAGGATCACGTTGGAATTTCGAAGAGTTCGAATGGCATAAATATGAGGCCATCTGTACCGCAAAAAACAGAACAAGAGAAAGGACGAGATGCCCATCCATAAACAGAGCACAAGTTGTGTCGTGAACACACGCTGTTGACCGCGTAACGGATCGTACTCTGGTTGGTTTGCCATAGTTGTGTGGAGCAGGCTTGTTATCATTTAACCGCAAAACCACTGCGAGCGCGGGTCTCAAAAGCTGCAAAAATGAGACCTGAGCCCCTGAGTGAACAGGAAATTTTGGCATTTGTGGAGACTATGTGTGCTTGTAAAGAGCTATGTAATGATAATATGGATATTGTTACACAGATGGGCTTTTCAGCGGGCTTTCGAGAGTTTGTGCGTGGCAAATTACAAAACTTCGAACTAGCCCGCAACAAAGACTTATTGCTTGTGTTGTATATGCAATTTTGTGGCCATGATTCTACCATCTTTGGGTTCTGGCAGCCGATCTTTGAAGTTCTAGAAGCTAGTCAAGTGACCGTTGGATTTGAACTTGTGAGAGAGCTTTTAAGAGTGGTTTTTGATGGTTCTTGTGCAAGTTGGTTTGCCAGTACGGTTTTGCTCTTGATGGTGAAACGCCAGCGACTTGGCCCCCAGAGCTTGCGGCTTCTTACAAGAGAGGTCGAAAGGATTTCTGCCAAAGATAAAATTGCCGAAATGTTGTGTCAGAACAAAGACTTGACCTCATCAATCAATGCGATTAGACTCATGAAAAGTTTGAGTGTATGGTCCCGTAACACCAATAACAGTATCATCGAGTACATCCACACCCAAAACCCTAATATAAGAAATGTATATCAAGTTGAACGAATGAAATGCCATGAAATTGGGGTTCTAAATCGGAGTTTTAAGCGTGATGGAGTGGTTTTGATCCAGGTCATCAACAGCTTGATGGTGGTGTGGAATGGTGATACGGACAACATCAAAATCAACTTGAACAACTTAGTCAGAGCGGCACAGGTCAGCAATAGTACGGTGAGTCTTGTGTTTAAGAAGTTGGGGCCATATAATACTATCAGCTATAAGCTCAATAATTTTATGGTTGAAGTGGAGTTCAGGAAAGAAGCTGCTCGAAACTCATTCTTGAACAAGCTCAGACTGGCTCAGAAGTGGAGGCCCAAACCAGTTGTATGTCGTGTTATGCCGTTACTGCCAGCCAAAGAAGAAGCTACAAAAATTTCATTGCTGGTGTTTGAAGCTTTGAGTGCTACCAAAGACAAGACTACTGACGAGCTTGGAGTGGTAAGCAAAAAGAAGTTGAAGTTGAATTCTGAGGTAGTGCTCAAACATAATATCAGGAAGTTGAGGAAGAATGTTGATGTTGGAGACCACGAGAAGAGCTTTTGGAAAATGTCAGACGGGTCAGATCCTATCGAAGATTCAGGGTCCACGCTTTTTGTCAGCTCGCCAAAAGGTGAACAGGCTCCTCCTACAAAACATAACGAGGTTTGGAGTGCTCCAGACAGACAAGAGGATTACAGTGGGAAACACCCACAAATTCACCATGATTCACCAAGCATCGTTCAAGTACCTCAACTGACCCAACTAGCCGAGTCCTATGGCCAAACCCAACCAGAAATCGAAACCATCTACAGCTCTTATTCTCACGTCTAGGTTATTTTTCAATGCTATTTACAGTTAAGTTAACTTTGCCTTAAGAAACTTCAAGACCACCAGGTGGAACACTCCTGGATTATCCAAGTACAAGTGGTGACCCGCCAGAGGAATCAACAGAAACCTGGCCAAGTCCTTGTTAGCGATATTATTGATCTCCTTGACTATCTCCTGACCTGCCTCCACATTCATCCAGTCGTGATCTCCGTATAACCACAAGGTTGGCACCTTTTTCTTGGTCAAGTACATAGGAAGTCTGTCCATTAATGGCAACTTGGGGACGGCCCCTACGTCCAAGACCCTTGTTATGGCGTATTCTCCAGACCCTTTACCATTGAACGTTCGGTAGAAATAATCATGAATGTGCTGGTAGTAGTCTGCATCCTCCGCATAAACGTCAGAGAACCTTCTGGTTGTCCAACGGCCAATCAACTTGGATCTGAACGGTCCCAAACCTCTCACGATGGAGAACGGACTAATGTTTCTCTTCCACAAGAATATGAGAAACTTCATTCTTCTGCTTAAGGTCTCAGGCTCCAGGTTGTCCATATTTATATGCTTGTAATCGGGATTGATGTGGTGGCCCGTCAATGTGCTTTGATCTTTCAAGAGCTCGTCTTCTACATGGGGGCCCTGGGTGTTTGTGTTCTGTCTGTTCAACTCAGTATCATCCACAAATGGGTTAGGAATGTCCTTCAAGAGCGAGTACCGATTCCTCTCCACCCCTACTGGACTCACCAACACCAACTTGTTAATCAAGTTCTTCCCGTTCTCCTGAGGTTTATTATACTTCAAGGCATAACACGAACTCAAGTATCCACCAAAAGAATGGCCCATCAACACAAAGTTGGTGATATTCCTCTTGGCCCTCCATTCTTCAATCGAGTCGATAAACCAGTCCTCCACCTTCATAACATCCTCTACCGTATCAGATTTAAACAGTGGGAAGTCGGGACGGGAACTGAATCCGAACCCAAGCAAATCGATGGCATGGACCCTCACACCTGGAATCGATGATAAAGCATCGAAGTTGCTGAAAAAGAGACCCAAGCTAGCGGCATACCCATGGATCAAAACAATATCTTTGACTCCGTCAGGCAATGCCAGCACCTCCGACTCGACGTTATCAACGCAAAACTCGTGGATGAAATTGTTGTTGCTTATGGGGGTGTTGATGATCTTGGCCACCCGCTTGCCGTCGGACTCGGGGAAGAACGGCAATATTGATAACACTTGACTTTCCACGTACTCATCTGATAACCTAAACTGACGGAACCAATCTTTCAAAGAGGCCATGTAGGTGTAATTGGCTTCAACAGCATTGGTGAGCGGGTAAGGAGGTTGGAAGGCGGTGTTTTGGTCTGAAGACGTCGACATGCTTATTGGAGCTGGTGATAGCGGTGGTGGAAATTGCTGGTATTTAAGGTTGAGTTTGCCACTGACGGAGGTAGAAACAAAGGCATATCTCCGCGCCGAGCCATCATTAAAAATGACATTTGCAGACTGCAATCAGAATCTCGGGCAAGGGACAGGTTCCGGTTCCGAGCCTCTTGTGCACCTGGGAGGATGAAAATGTATAAATTGTGGGTGATGATGGTGGGATGGGTAGAAGATACAGGTGTTTTGGCTGTAAAAGGGCCCACCTTTAGCTGTAAAAGGGCCCAGTTTTGGGTATAAAAGGGCCCAGTTTTGAAGATTGAGATGTAGAGACCCAAATTTTTGGAATATGATCCACACCAACGCCACTTTTCGGCAAACTCCTTCGATCTCCCATGCCATGTGTGGTTTGCAGTGTCTCAGCTCATCGTGGAGGTATCGCTATCATTGGGGCGCGTACACGACTGGCCCTCCCACGAAAAGCACTTGGATGAACTGGCGCGCACACGCCCGCGTCCCTCTTTTCTTGAATTCTCAAGCAGAAAATTTTTCATTTCTTTAACATTCAAGTATAGATAATTCAAGATGGTATGTTCGGGTACTTTTTCATATGGAGGATTGAACGATGCCTGCAACGGCATTGCCAGTATGAGTCGATGTGCGGGTGCCCTTTTGTTCCAGCTATGGGCCTCCTACAATGGAGATCAGATCATGGCCTCCGCCAGAATGGATGGCGAGCACCTTGAAATATCTGTCAATTTCTCCTCAGCAAGTTCACGGGACAGGTCCCAGGGAATGTCACAAGACGTGGTTTTCATCGACCTTACCGACAGCGACGTTGAGGTTTATGAGGTTTCTGACAGCGATGTCGAGATCCTCTGAAGCGGTTCAATTTTCCAGTTGTGGTTACAACTCCAATACTAACATCTTTTAGGATACTAAAACTCCAGTCACTTTAGCTAAAGTCATCAAGGTCTTAGGTAGAACCGGTTCCAGAGGTGGTGTCACCCAAGTCAGAGTTGAGTTCTTGGAAGACACCTCCAGAACCATTGTCAGAAACGTCAAGGGCCCAGTCAGAGAAAACGATATCTTGTGCTTGATGGAATCCGAAAGAGAAGCCAGAAGATTGCGTTAAGTGGTTTTCGCTGGTATTTATCTCTAAAGGCATATAACTATTAATACATAAATTGTACTTTTATCCATGTAGATCGAGCAGTCGCGCGCGTCACGTGAGGCCCAGGGCTAAACCCTGGGTACTTGGCCTTGGGCACGATTCGGCTACCAGACTCCCTAGGAATTAGAAAATGTTGGATTTGGTTATTTGACAACCTAGTAACACATACAACTCTATTGTAGGCTTCTCACAGGTAGTATCGATCCATCTTTCGCATTCGCCCCTCGGGTCCCTCTCTTTCGCTATCACCAAAAGTCGCACCGCGAAACTCAAACTCACCACTCAAACCACCATGTCGGACTTGGATGATGATTTGTTAGCTTTGGCCGGGGTGTCGGACTCGGAAGAAGAAGCCATCAGCACAAGAAAGAAGCGTGTGCATGACGAGTCGTTTGATGACTCGGAAGGCGACGACGTGGACGACAACGGAGATGATGATGACGATGAGGATGAGGGCGACGACGACGAATTAATCAATCCTTACCCGTTAGAAAACAAGTACAAGGACGAGCTGGACCGAGATCGGTTGCTCGGCATGGACGAAATCACCAGGGAGGAGCTTCTTTTCGAGCGGTCCCAAGAGATGGAACGGTTTAATGAAAAGAAGTTTTTGCAGGACAGAGCCAAACAACAGAAACAGGAATTGCTGAGAACCAAAAACAAAAAGTCCCAGGCCAAGACCCGCTCCAGCAAACGAGCCAAGCCCACGGGAACCGCACGGGGCGACAAGTTGAGTGAATTGAGAAAACAGAGAGAGCGAAAGAAGAGAAGAGACGACTACAGTGATGACGAAGAAGATGAAGAAGATGACGATGACTTGGACGAGGAACTTGACAACTTGGCCGATGCGGCTTCCGACTACGAGGAGGGCGCGGTGGTATGGGGCACCAAGTCTAAGAAGACCCGGTCGTATGCCCGGGCCCAGTACGAAGATGTGAATAAATTGTTGGTAGGAAGAACGTTTCTCCACACCTATTACTTCTACAACGGATTTGAGGACGTGATCTTGGACTGCTATGGCCGGATCAACTTAGGGTTTGACAAGAAAACCCGTCAGCCCATGTACCGAATGGTCAAGATCACCGACGTCCAGCATATTCCTGAAAAAAAGTACAAGATGCCCAATTTCGAAGGAGATTTGTACTTGGCGGTCAGCCAGAATAAAAAGCAGACCAAGCTCTTCCCCGTGAGTGCATTCAGCGACAGCCCCATCACGCAGGGCGAGTTTGAACGGTACGTGAAGGAATTAGAGAAGAACGCAGAGGAAATCGAGTACTTGGAAGACGTCAACGAAAAACACGAGCAGATCAACGGCTTGGTCAGTAAGGCTCTCACGGACCATGACATCAACGATATGATCCACCGGAAACAGTCGACCCTGAAGACCTTGAATGGGTACGATGCGGTTTACCAGAAGGCAGCCTTGATGGATAAGCTCAAGATTGCCCAGCAGCAGAACAACGGGGCGGCTGTGGCCACGCTCGCGCGGCAGTTGAAGCAGTTGGAGAACCTTTTGATCGACTCGGCCCACAAGTCCACCGGATCCAAGCAGCTCGACTCGATGTCTAAAGTGAATGAAAGAAACCGGAAATTAAACGTGGAAAACATCAGAAAAGCCGAGATCAAGTCATCAATCATCCGTAAAACCGCCAGCAAGGACCAAGGAGATCCATTCCAGCGTTTGAAGACGGTTACACGGGTGTTTTATCAAGATATCATCAATCTGGAAAATGAAAAGGCCAAAATCGATGCTCAACTCAACTACAAGAAGCTACTCGACGAGAAAAACGCCATTGAACAAAAAATCGCCACCTCCAGTTACAGGGTGTTGGGAGTGATGGACACCATGATCCGTGACATCGACTTTGACTTTCAGGTGGATTTCTAATCTACAATCATCTCATTTGTGTCGTCTATTTGCAATAAGCTATGTACAGTATTTACAAAAACCCAGTCGTAAGTCGTAAGCTCCCAATTACACCAGCAATTCTTTCATGAACTGCAACCTCAACTCGATGCGTTCCTTCTCCTTATCGAAGGAGTAGTAGTCTTCCGCGTAGATATCGTGGTTCAATTCAGAATAGTACGTAATAACCGACTCAGAGTCGATCGACGATACGTCGTCGTGGAAGCCATCGGCCTGGGCCAACGAGGTGCCGGCAAAGTTGCGGAAGTTGGTGGGGTTGTTCAAGAGATATTCGTCATCAAAGAACGGAGTCTGCTTCGGCTGCGGTTGTGATGGGGTGGAAGATGTGGAACTTTGACTGGTGTAACTGCTGGTGCTATTGGTGCTGTTTTTACTCAAGGCATCGGAACAAGTGGCGGTGATGAGGGACTCGTTGGACTTTTTGCTCTTGAAAGAAAGCCGTCTGAGTAAGCTTTGTTTCTTGGTTCTTTTCACCTCGGCTGGGCAATCAAACAGAATCGTGTTGGTTTTGGTATCGAGGTAATAGTATTGGTTCAAGGTGGAGTCGAACTGGAGTTTCCAGTTACAGCCTTTTGTCATGATATGATTTGGATGATGCCAGGGGGATATACGGGTGTTTATATATTTTCGCCGCCGTAAATTGATTAATCATATTTTTGCAGTTGACTAAGCGTCTACGGAAGTTATAACACGTCCGTCATTCCTTCCCGTGTGGGGGTGGGATTGGGGCGCGTGCGGCGGTATATGCGTGCTGGGGCCACCGCGAGGCTGGTAGCGGAGACTGGCGGGTGCCGAATGGCCCGTGTTATCCTGCAGATGTTCGCCACGGAACCTGCTGGGCCCCCGACCCCTTTCCTAATTAGGCTAAATCCGAGGCGGTCCATGTTAGTAAGCGCGGCGGAGGAGGAAGACGCTTACGAATCGATGGCGCGGGCGTTTCGGAGTCCTTTGGGGCCGAAACCTCCGGTGCCAGCCACCGGTGCCAGCTAGCGAGAGATGGCACCAGTAGCACCAGCGTCCCCCCCCCTCGTACCGCCCCTTTCGTAGCGATTATGTCAGCGCCATGAACTTTTCCAGATACCACTAGAGCACCTCCAATATCAGCCACCCGTCAGCCACTGCCGCGTCTATTCATAGCAGCTCTCACGTGTCAGCCTCACTGCCACTTAATGTCTGACAGCTGCTGCTGCCTATTTCGTCCTGAAGGGCACTTGAATTCACTCCATTCTTTTGGTAGAGTGCTACCAGGTGGTGGAATCTATGTTCGTGTTGAAGCTGTTACAACCTAAGAACAGATGAACGGGTTGGGAATATTTGCTCATAGGTTTGGTTTCGTGGGCATAGGTTTTTGATATTTGGTCAAAATGCTTACCCCTTCCCTGAATCTTGTTATGGGAGTCCCTCTGTATTTGGAAGTGCGAGCTTTAGCTTGATACAAATGGCTGTTAATGTTTGAGTGAACGGATCTAAGCGCCTAAGGTTTGTTTCGAGACTTGCAGGTTATTCTTGACTTTACCACTGTCTCAAGGAACACTAGTAGAATAGATTGTATACCATTCATGGTCTGGTTCACAAGTGTTCTCATGCACAGAACTTGCCGTATCCATGCTTTTCTACATCTTCTCATTTCCCTACTCAATTAGAAGAGGAACTCTGGAACACCACGTATATCTACAACTTACACAATTTCTGGACTATTAAGAGTGGTAACTTGTACTGTGGTGTCTGTTGCGACTTTCACAGGCCGCAGGAGTGGTTTTCTAGAAGACTGAAGGTAATAAACCTCCATCTACAAAGCACACTATCCCCCTCCTTTGTAACATTGATTCTCACCTCCCTAAATGTTGATTTAAAGTCAATTTTGACGTTTTAATTTTTTGGTGTATCGGACCACTAGTGATTTTATTTTTGCTTTTCCGGATTTTATTTTCAGCACTATTTTTCAGACTAAATATTACACGAGCTTTTTGTTCAAGCCATCGTTAATGACATTAAAGCTCGTCAATGAGGCTAAATTATCCTTGTTTGGGTTTCGGTTTTGGGAAGGAAACAATTCCCGATATGAGCTACTCGGCTAGTCCGTCATATAACTGTATTAGCCCAACAACTTTTGCTTAATGGCAGCCATTTACGAACAGGCATTTTGACTCTTCAGTTTTTAGACTATTTCTGGCTGCTCTTGACCTCAATAACCCCAATCTATATGTAGCAGATACTACAATATATGCTGCTGTGCACTTGTTCACGTCAACCTCCTTGGATGTTGTTCCTCCCGTCCATTGTGGCTTCTCTGGGAAGATCGCGCATGGTTCATAGCCAGGTTATGCTAGGGTCAACCACAGTAGGTGTGCAGTAGGGAATTTGTCAGCCATTCGTGATTGGTTTCTGATGCATCTTCATATATATTGATACAACAACAAATTAGCTATGTTCCATTTCTACTCAAATCTCACACTAACACTTGCAGCTATTTTTGCAGCTATTAGACTTCTCTAGACACTAGCAAATCCACGTGTTACTTCCGACGGTTCTCGAGTTTAGAGCATTGATTCCATAGTTTTCAAGCTAACCTCGTTGTCCCACTGCTCCCAGGTCAAGTTAACGACTCTGGTTCGAAAGTGAGATGAAACTATGCTCTGTCTATTTGAGCCTAGGGCACTTTCTCTAGTGACTTAGACTATAACGGAGTTTAAAATTCTATTTATTGAGTTTGACATTTGTATCTACTGGCCTGCAAATATTCACCGTGGAAGAATACAAAGATAATAGCTGCAAAGCTCAATTCTCGTAGGGTCAGGATGGTATACGAGAAAATTACACCTCAGATCACTACGCATACTCATTACGCTAGAAGTACTACTAAATACTAATGACATTAAGTTGTTTGTTCTCATTTAATTACCTACACTTTTGGTTAATATAAATTCAAAATTCTTTTGGTACCGACCTTCAGGGTAGATTTTCGGTGTTTTAGAGCTTGATTAGACCATTTCATCCAGTTCTAGTATTCATGCCTTCGTTGTGTGGTGCTTCAGCTTAAAGCCATTATCCGTAGGAGCATCTGTTCAACTGCCTATCCTAGCCCCAGCGGAGCACCTTTCGGATCTCTCTTATCATATTCCGCTTCTTGTGGCTTCTGCTGCGAAAGCCACATCAGATTCGCAGCCGTTAAAATTCGCGATGGGAGAAGCAACTTTTCCTGCTATTTATCATGGAAAACATCCAGCTACAAGACTTGAGAGGCTTGGGCCTGTCCACAGGCCACACACTTGAAGATTTGCCTGTTGTAAACAGCAAGGACAACATAATTGGAATGCAATCGGTTAGAGCGCATACTTCTGAGCATGATGACTCTTCGCAGGAAGAAGAGCCTGAATATCCCGAAGGAGGATTCCGGGCGTATCTTGTTTTACTTGGGTCATTTCTTGGACTAACGGCCAACTTCGGGCTTGTGAATTCTCTGGGAGCTATACAGACCTATTTAGCCACCCACCAGCTTTCGGAATCTTCTGCATCGACCATCGCGTGGATTTTTTCCATCTATTTAGCTTTGGCATTCGGAGGAACCATATTTGTGGGCCCTTATTTCGATACAAGAGGTTCTCTTTCACCAATGGTTGGAGGTACCTTGTTAGTCTTTGTTGGGTTGATGGCTGCTGCCAACAGCACAAAAGTATGGCACTTTATATTGTCACTTTCTTTATGTGTGGGAGTGGGAAATGCCATGTGCATAAGTCCTTTGGTGGGAGTTATCAGCCACTGGTTCCACAGACAAATCGGATTTGCTATTGGTCTTAGCTCCATGGGTGGTTCAGTTGGTGGAATGGTGATTCCTATAATGTTGAGAAGTCTTTACCAGAAGGTGGGATATGCTTGGGCCATTCGCAGTTTGGCATTCATGTGCTTGGGACTTTCGTTGATATCGACATTTTTGATTAAAGAGCGGTTTACAAAACTGGTTTCAAATGATGACTATGACTCCAAAAGACATAAGTTTGTGGGAGTTAGTAAGAAGCTTTTCAACCTCAATTCTTTAACAGATTCTAAGTTCATTTTCTTGGTGTTAGGAGTGTTATTAGGAGAAATGGGGATCCTCTGTGCTACTACTTACTATGGAACCTATGCCATTGCTCAGGGTGTTTCTGAAAGTGAATCATATATCTTGTTTACGTTATACAGTGCTGCAGGTGTATTGGGAAGGCTATGTCTTAGTTTCATTAGTGATAGACTCGGCCATTTTAACGTGATGCTTATAATGATATTGAGTACATCCCTTTCAATGTTGGCGGTCTGGCTTCCGTTTGGCTCACATCATGCCATCTTGTATGTGTTTATCATCCTTCTAGGTTTCTTTTCTGCTCTGATTTTTTCTACGACCCCAGCGTGTTTGAGACAGATTACTCCTGTGAGGGATTTTGGCTCCAAGTATGGTCTCATGTACTTTCTTGTCAGTTGTGGGAATTTGGTGGGGATTCCGTTAGGAAGTGCAATTATTCTGGACCTGAGTAAATTTCATTACAATATGTTTGCGTTGTTCTGTGGGTTGGTTTCGTTTGCTTCTTCCTTCTTTTGGATATTTTCTCGATATAAGAGCGTGGGTTTCCGGTTAAATGTGAAGATATGAGCTTCTTTTGTGGAGAATGTACGGCTTGAAAGTTGAATTGATTTCTTGGGTCGTGTCACGCACAACAAGTGGTTGTTCGGCACTCACCACCGCGATGCTGAGGTGAATATTGAGTTGGACTTCGATTACGTAAAGGTAATTGAGTTGTGATTCACTTGTGCAAGACCTGTTGGGGTACTCAGACTTCATCGCCTGGCTGACGCAACGGTATAATCACCTTCTCACCTTATACTGCTAGTCCTCTAATATCACATTCATGCTTGCAATCTTAATAAACCTATATATTCGTTTTATGTTGCTGTCTCTTCGCCCTTCCTAATTTTTTTGCAGCAATAATTTGTATGCTGTATGCGAATTCACCTGATACTTTTGTTATATAACAATTAGTTCGACCCAAGTGATTATACAACTTCAAATGTCGAATGCTCCATTGCTATTAGATAAAAGGAAAAGAATACAAGACGTTAGAGAGTCGAAGTTAAGAAGCAAATAGCTCGTGGCCTCTTAGATGACTTGGACAAGTTGAAAGCAATGTCAACTACCGTTTGTAACGAATCGTTACCTCTGTCCATCGCATGTATTGTCAATGACTATACGAAAACACGTGGCCGCATTGAACTTATAATAAACCTGAAGACTTTATATTGGGCTCTTGACGTGGTGAAAGGTATTGGAGCATATTCTGATTCGGAAACCCCCAATATAGGTTGGATTACAAATATTTTTGACGGAGAAGACGATGACGACTATGGTACTACTTACTCCAAAGAAAGATATTTCAGCTCTGAACGTAAGAAGGAAGTTTTGATGACAGAAGAAATTATCTTATCTTTAAGAAAGAGAGATGATAAAAACGTAACAAAAGATCGAACCTGTTGGAGAAATTTGTAAAAAAGGCGAAGACTACCAGAGAAGCCAAAATTCAGAAGAAAAGGTTTGATGAGATCTTGCAGTGTCTAAGAACCAGAAACGATAGGGGAGAAAATGAAGACAAGAAAGATGAGAAAGAAATCGCTTGCATTATATTAGAAGAATTGAAGGATTACAAAGCCGAGCTTATCAACACTCAATTCGAGGTGCTAGATGACAGAATTGTGTGTCTTGTGGATAATTACACTGAAGTAGATGGAACAATAGAATTCACAATAAATCTGAGAGTTTTAGACTGGGCTAGTGCTGTTGCTAGTGGGACTACTTTTCCAGATAGACCCACAAGCTATTGGGTAATGAGATCGACCATCGAAAATCGTGAACCTTATTTCGGGCTCGAAAGTGCTCCAAAATACCATCTGGGGCAAAACCTGTCTTTGAGAGAAGTCAAAAAGTTTCTCGCTAATGGAAATCATCCACCTCCGTACCTGAATAAGAAGGATTCATAAGGAGGATATTCTGTTTCACAGTTCAGTGCTACTGCTCTCTCAGTTTGATCAAATAGTGATCTATACACTATCAGATGTCGTACATGTCGGAAAAGGATACACACCCCTTATCTCGATTTGGAAGCTCACCAGTCTGTACAAATATTTTGCTGTAAGGTAAATCAAGTCATTTAAGTCATAATACAAATATAATAAAAGTGTCTATAAGCATATTGTGGAATCAGAATATTGCAGAACATATATTTCATAAAAGAACCACGGTACGTTATCACGAAGATGGTGCACAAATTCGACCCTTGGGTTAAGTAACTCAAATCGAAACGCCAAGTTCATTTATCCAGGTATAGTGTTGACAGACATACCTGTAGAAGTAGATACTGTCATCCTTGACATGGTCGTACTCATCAGTGACGAAACCAGTGTCCGCCAAATTTTGGAGGTAATCCATTCTCCCATGGAGGACAGTCACAATGGGGGTTTCTATGATTAGAATGGGTCAATTATAAAGTATTAATTAAGTAATTTCTGCCAAATCTAGAAATAGAATAAGTCTGACACAACACTCTATTTTTTCACACGGTAAAACAACGGTAAAAATCTCATGAAATCACCAGTACATTCGTAGTCCCCATCTGTTTCCACCATGTTAACTTCTGACCCATACACCGCCTCCACTCTGTCCTCCCAAAAGGTCGTGTCCGCCCATCCCACCGTCATCAACCCCAAATCGTCCACGCTCGCGAAATCTCCCAGTTTCACATCCCCACCAATGGTTTCTGCATTATTCGAAGAAAAGGTATGTTGCAACCTCCCATAAGCTGAAACACTTTACTAACATTTACAGGCTGCAGCAGTCAAAGACTTACCAAAAAGACCCAACGATGACGAATTGTTGAAGTTATACGGCTTGTTCAAGCAGGCCACTGTTGGCGACAACAACACCTCCAAGCCTGGATTCTTGGACTTGAAGGGCAAGTACAAATGGGAGGCCTGGAACGAATTGAAGGGCACCACCCAGGATGATGCCGAGTCTCAGTACATCGACCTTGCTGACGAATTGATTGGCAAGTACTCCAGTTGATTGTGTATTGTTCTTAGAATAAACATCTGATATTTATACTTTGGTGGACGCTCTGATCCGACGGAAGCTACCGGCGAGAATTACCAACGGAAGCACCACGTATGGCACGTAGACCCCGACAAGTTTCCAGGTTTCTGTATCACTCAACCCATGGAGAGGACCTTCACCAATCACATATAAAATACACGCAAACGTCGTCAACAGCGCATTGACTCCATACACCACATTCAACAAGTGCCACGTGACCGAATGCTGGGCCACCATCGCGTACACAAACCATGGAAGTTGGAATAATAACTCGATCCACACAAATCCCTTGAACCAAAGCGGTTTGGACGTCATCAAGATATCTTTATTGGTGGCCACATGGAAGTCAATGATCCACTCCTGGAACCGAAATACCGGTGTTACCACCACCGACGAGTCGATCAACACCGTCACTGGGATGTGAATAAGGTAGTAGTAGAAGCAGAACCGATCGAAAAGTGCCATTGGAGACCCAAATTTAATCGCGAATCGAGATGAGTGCTCAACGTCTCATCAAGAATCTTGTCAATAGTACCAGAGTGATGAAGCCATCCAAGCCGTTGGTGTGGATCGATTGCGAGATGACGGGTCTCAACATCAACACTGACCATATTATTGAGGTGTGTTGTTTGATAACCGATGGTGATTTAAATGTGGTGGATGACTGCTACGAATCCACCGTGTACTATGATGAATCGGTTCTTCAAAAAATGGATGCCTGGTGCACGAAAACCCACACGGAGTCAGGTTTATGGAATAAGGTAATCAGTAATCCTGACAGAACTGTTTCCAAGGTTCAAGACGAGCTTTTGGCATTTATCACAAAGTACGTGGATATTCACAAGGGTCTTTTGGCAGGTAATTCGGTTCATATGGATAAATTTTTCATGATGAAAGAGTTTCCAAAGGTGATAGATCATTTACACTATCGGCTTGTAGATGTGAGTTCTCTCTCAGAGGTTGGCAAGCGTCACAACCCCAAATTGATGAGTGTTCAGCCACGGAAAAAGAAGGATCATACTGCCAAACTGGATATTCTTGAAAGCATCGAACAGTTACGGTGGTTGAGAGAAACATACTTGAAGAGCGAAGAGGAGTCTCGTGACACAATCGACAAGTTGTCCCGTGCCCGTAGTAACAGTAGTTAAATATTAGTGTAATATTAGTATACGTTTATCATTACATCGTATTCATTGGTTATTTCTCGGTGTCGCTCTCAAACACTTCATCCAGACGAGACCGGGCTAAGCACTGGCGAAGACATTCAAATTCTACCGGCTTTTCAAGCACTTCTGAAAACTGTCCCGATTGAGTAGCTTCTTTTGCAAACAGGGTAATTGCTACTAAAGGAGTTTGAGAGTTGACCCCATTGGTGTGTCGAATGAGCTTGACCGCATCAATTCCACCAATTTTGGGCAATTTCAACGCCGTAAATATCATATCAAACTTCACCTGCCCGGTGGCTCTGCGAATAAGTTCATCCCCATCATTAACAAGTACCACAATACACCCCAACTTTTCAAAGTAGTTCATGATAACATGTCGGACAATAGGAATAGGCTCGCAGTACAAAATGTCGAGTTCATTGATATTCATCATCTGCCGACGAGAGCTCTCCCTACGTTTCTGTACTCGCATAAGTGCTCTGCTGTTGTCTTCGGTGTCCGAAGACGTAGGGGAGTCTTTGAAACTGTTCCGAGCAAGTGAGTTCACCGAAGATCTATGTCTCATAGCTGGAGGGTCATTGGGAGATAACTTACCAAAATCAGGTATATCATCACTTGAATGCCCAGACCCAATTCTTTCGTGTTGCTTGAAACTTGGTGGACTTCCAGTGAGATCCTTCATTGGTGATGGGGCACGGTTGAACGCAGTGAGCATAGGAGAAACTGGTCTTTTGAAGGGGCTTGCATCCTTTAATGGAGGACCAAAGTATCCCAGTGCCAGGTTTGTAGCTGACACAGGGGTTGAGCTACTTGATCCAGGCCCAAAGGAAGACGCCAATCCTAGTCCTACAGATCCTGAGTTGTTCAAGTTCAAACTAAAGTTTGGCTTTTCACCAAAAGAATATCCCCGAGACCTGATAGGAGTTGAGTCTGAAGAAGAACTTGAAAAACTACCACGGTGCTCTAAGTGCTCACTCTTCAATCTGTTGATGACATCTTTATTGGCTTTTTCAAGAACATTTAAGTTTCTAAAGTAAAAGGAGCCAAATTCGCTTGGATCTGTCAATTTACTACTTCTTCTCTCTCTCTTTGTCCCAGCAGACAAACTACCACGACGGCTATTTGAGCTGGAGTTGGTGCTGGTAGTTCCTTTACTTTCACTGGTCCCCAGTCCAAGGTTATCATCCCGAATTCTGAGTTTCATATCATCATTGCTTCCTCGATCCTCGTCACTCAGTTCACTTTCATCCTTTGGAAACTGCGAGATATCAGCTCCTCTTTTATCAAAGTATTCTGTTGATTCTGGATCATCAAGTTGTGGAATAAACGAGGGAATTTCGTTAAATAAGTTGTCCCAGTCAATTCCATTAAAGTACTGATGTCTCTTAATTTCGTCACTGCCACCATATCCAAGTCTATCTTCTGGATTCACATTCAACAACCGTTCGATCAAGTTTTTGGCAGCTGGAGGACAAATCTCATCAAAATCTTCTTCCAGTAATTTAGGCCAGTCAATTTCCCCATTCAATATGTTGGTGAAAACTTGTTGTGGTGTACTTGAGTGATATGGAGGGTAACCAAATAAAAACTCAAACATTATGCAACCTAAAGACCACCAATCAGAAGCCTCAGACTGACCAACACCTCTAATAGTTTCTGGTGCAAGATAATCAGGTGTACCCACAAATTTGATTTCGCTGGTTTCTTGAGGATCATAAAGCTTATACGAAGTTACTTTAGCACTTTGCGAAGGACTAACGTGAAAATCATCTTCAACAATTGCAAACGACGTTTCAGATGAAGTCCGTGGCAAGCTCGGATTAAGATTTGGAGAATCATACTTCTTTGAACGGTCTGATGACTGAGGTTCAGAACGAGACTCCGACGGTACTTGGTCAATACTGATTCGGGATTCTGTTTGACGGGTTTCACTAAGAGGCGATGAAATAGAATTTCGTTGATCAACCGTCGGAGAAAGTGAAAATGGTGTAACAGAGCTTGCTCGTTTACCACCGTTACTGGCCTCAAACACTGGTCCATCGAAACTCAACCGGGGACTTCCTGGAGTCACTGTAGATGCTAAACTTCTGCGGAAAAGTTCAACACCATGCTCGGAAGAGCTGCTTTTACGTTGCAATCTTTGTCTACCAATGACTCCCATTCTCGAAAGACCAAAATCAGTCAACTTCAAATGGCCTGTACTATCGATCAACAAGTTATCTGGTTTCAAATCTCTGTGGATAATTCCTCTTTTATGAAGGTCTTCCACACCAACAATTACTTCAGCTACGTATCGACGAGTCCAGTCAACACCCAACGTCCCAAGCATCTTGATTAAGGTTGCACAGTCTCCACCATTGAGGTATTCCATCACCAAATAAAGATAGTTATTTGTTTGGAAGGAGCTATAGAGCTGTGCCACATAAGGTGAATCAGATTGTTTCATCATCACTGCCCGCTCTGATTTGACATTCAAAATTTGATTCTTGGCCACCATATCTGATTTCTTTAAACATTTAATAGCAACATAATCTCCTGTAAGTTTCCTTTTGGCAAGAAAAACCGACCCGAATGCTCCTTTGCTGATAGCTTTAATAATCTCATAGTCCTTAATAGATCCAGCTGATGGTTTTGTTGCAGGAGTTTGACTGACTAATAAAGGAGATAAGGGTGGTTTAGTCACCGTCTTACTGGTACCCAGGATATTCAAATATGCTTTATCAGGCCGTTCCAAGCTATCGTTATGTATCTGACTATGAGATATCAACGGACTGGAACTAGGAGTATTTCTTTGGAGTGATGACAAATTGTGCCCAGGACTGTAAAAGTGATTATGGCCAATGTTTACATTCGAGTTGGGTATGGGCATTGAGCTCACGGTGGCTGGAGAAGATCTCATGGGAGATGAATGATCCAGGTCTGAAGTTTTATGTTTTGTCAAGACCAACTCGTTAAAGCCTTCGATTGTGATATCCTTAGAGTTCCTCCTTGATCTCGGGGAAGAAAGGGACGAGATCGAGTTGGAAGATCTTGAAAATTCCATATTTGAGCTTCTTCCTCTTAATAAAATATCTTTAGGTGTGATAGACGGATAGTTGGGACTGTTAGAACTGTCTTCACTCAGTGAAGCCGTAATTATTGGCGGAGGTTGAAGATTTTGTGGACTGGTTGTTCTCGGAGACTTCAATGGCTGTGGAGAATGTATACGAGCCTGAGAAGGTCGAGGTGAAAATCGGGAGGACAGCGGCGTAAGTTTCCCCAGATGAATTGGGCTGTTCAAATCAATGGGACTGTTTAAGGTCGAGTTAGATATCGAATTAGAATTGGACTTTGAAGAGTTCATTTGCTCTTTGATACGAGAAACTGTATCAGTTACAGAAGCCAACACAAGTTCATCGACTTCTTTCTTGATCTTTTCACTGATCTTGAGAACCGAGTAAAGCCTGGAAAGGGTATCTATCTTGTCATTGATCAAACTTTGCGTATCTTGAATGATTAGCTTGATTGCCTTGTCACTGGTTTCAAATGGTTTGAAGTTAACTATCATACTGATGGACTTTTCAGTGTTAGGAGAGAACCGGGGTTCTCCATTTTGGTTGATTTCTATTGGATTGATTGCTAATGCTTCATCACATAGCTCTATCAATCTCGACAAGATTCCAAACGGGAACTTTTTTATGGGTAATACTGGTTTTGATTGAAAGTGAGTCACATTAAGCTGCTCATTTGAAGAAGAATTTGGAAGAGGAAGACCTTTATAGTCCAAAACGGCTGACGAGACACTCGAAGACGAGGAAATAGATGAGCCCAAAGAACTGCTTGAAGAGTTGACCTGGTTGTACGCATAGCTGTAGTTATTGACATTTTGTTGATACAAGCTTTCAAAGATTCTCAAGATTAACTCCTTCTGGTCGCTTATTAAGTCATGACACAATTGCAAGTCTTCGCTGGTTCTGTGTTCAACAATACACAAGTCACTATGCTTCTCCAAAAACCAAGCAGGGATTTGTTGCTCACAAATATGACAAAGAACAGTCTGTGGTTGTGGCACCAGTGTTTCATCGGCGGTCTTCAGCTCCTTCAATTCAAGCAAATAGTTTTCGAAAATCGTCGACCCAAATCCAAGTAAGTCGATCAACTGACTGGGTATGGTAAGATCCAAGTCCAACGGAACATATGGTTTGATTGTCCAAATAGAGTGCGTAGGAAGGTGAGTCTTGGAATCATGGATAAGAATCCCCTGAGCTTCCAACTCAATGATTCCTCCATTGTTCGACACCTTGGAACTCGTATCAGAACCGGCTGTTTCCACTTCATCGTCCATGTCATCTATATCTATCGCATCTTCATGTTGTACAACATTTTCCGTAAAGCTCAAAGGACTGGAGAACCCACCTATTGGTTGGTATTCCCTTTGTAAATCGTTTTCAGTTTCGCTCTCCTCAACAGAGTTGTTAGGAGTTATATTGATTTCATAGTCCGGAATGGACTTATCATCAGTAGCAGTAATAAACTGGATTTTGTAGCTGTCATCATCTTTGATCATTTTCTCTATGGCATAGTTGAACACGTTCAAGTCATCTTCATTATTGCCAATTATAAAACTGGATATTGGCTTTTGAATCATCTTCTTTACCTTTGTTCCTACTATTATTTCCCAATTCTTACTGAGGTACTTGATGTTGCCATCCAAGTCTAGTTCTAACACCGTCGTGGGGTTGTTAGAAGATGCTAAGCTCAAGTCGATTTGACCTTGAATTAAATCATTGAATCTAGCGTTGGATTGAGGAAGATCAGATACATCGGAGTTGTTGGGTATGATTTCCCGAGGACTCACCGACCTTTCTAGGTCACGAAGGTTGGTTTGCGATAGCTGGAACAACGGCTGATGGAAAAAATCATCCTTGGACATCACTTGTGGGTGTTTTGGAAAATTGAGAAAGGGGAATGGGTGATAGATAAGGTCAGTTTCTCACGTGTTGTACACCCTGATAATCTCTATATTAACAGCTGAACTCCGCCCTGGGTAGTGTTTCTCAACTTAATGGTGGTTGAGGAGGTGAGACGGAAGCCCGGGTGAGTGTCGTTTTGTGGATGATTGCACAGTCACAAGTTGATACAGGCGGATAGATAAACCTGAAAAAAGAACGCGAATTAAGACAATTTTCAAAGGGTCTTGATGACAGGGAAGGGGCTACAAGTTTGAGAAGTTAATGAGAGTGACAATGGATCAGAGGATACATATGATGTTTTAATAAACGTATATAATTGAAGAAGAAAAAAAACGGGGAAGCTGGGTGGCCAATTGGTGGTTTTGTAGCCCCCTCAGCCCTTTGTTAGACCTGGGGTAATGAGAAATTGCTCTACAAACTCGATGCTACCTACTAATGTTTCTGATTCGTTTATTCTCTAGATAAAATTATTTGTTGGAAATAATCATGGAACGTCATGTTGAAGAATTAGACAGTCGTTATTCATTATAAACAGCCTCCAAGAGTTGGATCTGGAGGCCACAGTTAAAAGTTGGATTTTAACATTCGCATCAACAATGCGGTTACTTGGTATATTCAAACAAAGGTTTGGAGTCCGTTATAGATCTCTTCTTGATGCTTTCCAAGAGTTTGATATTCTGCTCCTCGTTTTTCTTTAATATCATGCTCTTTAGGCATTTGTTTTCCATTGTCAAAGTCATCAACTTCTTCTCTAACAGTTGGACTTTCTCCTGTAATTCTTTGGACTTGGCCTCCATCTGCTGCTCCTTCATTTTCTTCTTAATCCTGAATCTAGCGGATGCAGCGGTATTTCTCTTGCGCTTATCTTCGTTAGCAGCATCCACCTTAACGTTATTGAAGGTCTGATCAAGTACTGGTGTTTGTGGCACATAGGAGTTTGTGTCTGCATTTGTGGAGTTGAAGGCAGCCACCAGAGTCAAGCTTTCGAGAGACATGGGGCTATCTTCGTTATATTCTATCTTCGCTTTGTACTCTTTAAAGTCCAAGTTGTAAAAGTCATTTTTCGAGAACAAGTCCAAATCGCTAGCTGCGTTTAGGTCGGTGGGTAGGCTAATGTTCTCGTTGAAGTCTAGGTTCAAATCGGACAAGTAGTCCGAAGGCTTGAAGTTCATTGTGGGAGAAAGCAAATGGTTGCCACGAACTTTTTTGTTTGATTTAAGGTTGTATGAGTAAGAAAAAAATTTTCTCGCTTTCCCGGGCACGACCGAGTATTATTAATGCAAGTACCCCGTGAACCACTTTTGAAACGAGAGGGGATGCGGGAAACAAGAAGCAAACGGGATGTTTGAGCTCAGCAGCACTGATAAGTCTGTAGGCTTTGCTATGGTGCTCTCAGTTGTTGGGTGAGATTATCAGGTGTGTTTGCGACATTCGTACGACATTACCCTTTTGGGTTAGCATATCCAGGGAGTGACACCTGAATCTGCTCGCAATTGGCCGAATGTCGGAGTCGCTAGTGCTGCAAAAACCAAAGTATGTATTCCTATCTAAGTCCTCTAAAGTCGTAATTTCGTAACTGGTTAGTGATTGATCTGATCGACAAGTGACTTCAACACAAACAGCTCGCCGGTGTCGGTCTCCTCGTTAGTGGAGTTGTTATCGCTAAAGTTGCGAGGCACCGACGTGGGAAATGGCAGGTTAAAGTGAATGGGAGTCACCATAGACGACCGGCGGGAAAAGGGGATCCCAACCACAGCACACATCCAAATTCTTGTTTTGTAGATGCGAAACAACTCCCGTACTAAATCACGAAAGTCAATCCGGCGATTGGTAGCGTAGTAGAAGATCAATTTATTTCGATCAAACTGGTATTCGGCATCGATTAACTGCATGTTTGCAAGGCCCTCTCCATGTGCTCCCAATGTGAGACTTGAGATTTTGGCCACACACAAGCGGCATGCCTTTTCTTCGTCTTGTTGCTTGTTGAGCACCCTCAACACCTCTGTTTGCAGTGCAAACGATACCACTGCTTTGGGGAGGTGCAACACTGGTTGCAGATGGTCGTGGTCTTCTGAATGGCCACTACCACGCCGGTTGGCTTCTTCGTCAGTCAACGCGTGCTGCTGCTCTTGAAACTGTAAATATTTCAACCACCGAGCCTCGTCAATCGAAACGTCCAACTGCACAAGCCGGCCCAAGTCCCGTCCTCGGTCAGCCTCCACAATTACAAGGTCTCCAGGACGTACCTGGCCCAACTCGGGATGCGAACTGGGGCCAGGAAGTGTAAATACATCGAGTCTACCGGCCTTGAAGGCCACAAGAACAAGCTGGGAATTGCGCAATGACGGTTCGGACGGGAACCGGGGCAACAGCACGTTGGGCGTGGGGGTGTCGCCGTAATACTGTTCCTGAAGACGGTGGAGTGTGACTGTCACACGACGATGCGGATCTGCATCAAAGTATTCATTTACAAGCTGTGCCGGGTCGTTGGAGGCGGGAGAAGAAGCGGCGTGATCTCCAGGTGTGTTGGCGGTCGTCTTCAAGTCGATCGAAGCGTTGGTATTTTTGGGAGAACCCAAGGGCACATCGCCCTGTGAATGGCGGCGGTGGTCCCACGAGTAGTCTCCTGGGTGCGAGTCAGACGATCCGATCGAGCTGCGATGGTTCACAAACCCACCACCAAAAGGCCCCGATCCAATTTGAGGACTCATTGTAGCACCACTCATCAGACCCATGGACCGGGGATGTAAGTTTATACCGTAGCCCACCGGGGGGTTCATGGGGTTATCTCCCGGAATCTGATGGATCAGAGGGCTTTGATTTAGGGCATTCTGATGTATCATGGTGGGATTGTGGTTCATCACATTGGTATTTATACCACTTGCCACATTTGCCATTGGTGCAAACCCAAATACATCCAAGTCCTGGGGGCTGTGGGGCACCCCCCCTGCACTCAGAATTGATGAGTGGTTTGAATTGGTGGTCCAAATGGTTTCAAACGTCAGAGATCTTCTGTGGGTAGGTCCGGGACCCCATACTGATCCATCACCTGTTGACCCCGAAAATTGGCCACCTGGTTGAGGAGCACTCGTATTACCCATATTGTTCCAATTTATCTGACCTGAATCGTAACTTCCTGTATTCATGTTACCTGTTTCACTAATATGTGTAAATATATTGTTTTTCGATGACAGGAGCAGAAATAAATGATTGAAATTTATACTTCTCAGCCAATTTTAGGCAATTATTATTTTTTGAGGGTCGTGAGGCGGGGGTCATTTCTGGGGGGTGGTGGTCTGGGGTGGTGCAGCAACATTCTGCTGTAACACCAGAGCAAACTGAATAGTGGGGTTTCCACCTGTATGTTTATTTGTTTGCGGCGGTCCTCGACCTTCGGATGGCCTTCAATAATTGGGTACTGCCGTGTGGGTGTTAATGCCTCTCCTGCGGCTTCGCGGGGAGACACCCAGGGGGGTTGATCGGTATATGCCACGACTGGTCCAGGGAAGTACGTCTGAAGGTGTACACGTATTTGTGTATGTGGAATTTTGTTTTGGTGGGCTTAACTACGGGGTGGATACCGTACCTGTTCCTGAAAAATTCAATTACCCGCTATTTTGCTCTATTGTTTTTGTTGAGCACTTTAGACTTGCTGCAGACTTTGCAACAATTTCGCAGCCATTAATCTACTGCACCATTAGGAGCTTAAATATAGAAATTGAGCCCGCAAAAGATGACATCCACAAGAATGGCACTTTCCAACCTCAACCCAAGGTGCTGAAAGCGAGCCAACACCACATCAAGAAGCCCCTCCTTCTTGTTGCCGGTAGTAGTGGATTTATCGCCAAACATTGAGTCACATCCAAAACTTTTGGTACAAGTACCTGCACCCCAACAGTGATGTCTTTTAAACCAGAAACCCGAAAGGGCAAAACGTAAAAAGTGATTTCGTCGACAGCAGTAGTCAACAGTAGTAGTCAACAGTTGTATAATCGGTTGTCTTCGCTTCTTGCTGACACAGTATTGATGGAGCTCACAGTTGTTTTGGTTTGGTCGTCATGCCCAGTTTGTAGGTGGAATCCAGTACCTGTTCTGAACAGCACGCCTGATAAATGCCAACTCGAGTATTGTATAGTAAAATACATTTTAAACGAACTAAAAATCACTGGGGATTACTTGACACGTTTAAGATCTCACATACATTACAGTAAAACATATTTTAAGCAAACTAAATATCACGGACACCCATTTACTGGTACTGCTGCTGGTTAGGAATATTACCATTTTGCATGTTAAAGTACTGTTGGTATACGTTGGGGTCGTTGTACCCTTGGGGAGGCATAGGCATCTGGGGATGCGACTGAGGGTATGGCATTCCAGGAGGTAAATGGGCTGCAGGAGGCAAATGGGCTCCAGGAGTCAAATGGGCTCCAGGAGGAAACTGGTTGGCAGCAACACCGGGCTGGATTTGCTGGTGGTGGAGAGGGTGAGTAGGCACCTGCTGGGGTTGAGCCGATGGCTGGTGCTGCTGCTGAGCAGGTTCTGGAGAATCAGGCGAGTTTCCTTCACTTTGGTTGTCCTGGTCGTCACCCAATCCTTCCTCGGGAGCATTCAAACACGCCTGGATCAAGTTCTTACCCTCACTCTTGGTGACCAAAGGTTGCAACTTGGGAGTGGTAAAAGTGTACACTAACCCGGTCTCAGACACCACCAACAACAAAACCTGGGTTCCGGTCAACACAGACAACTCGTATGCCTTCTTCATGATCCCAGCTCTTCTCTTGGAGAAGGTTATATGTCTTCTGGTCTTATCCTGGATGAACTTGATTTCGATTTTTCTTCTTTCCTTCTGCAGTTTTCCACCTCCAGTTTGTTTGTCGTCATCATCGTTGCCGTCGAAAGGGAGTTGGTCTATTGAGGAAGTGCCTAAGGTGTTACCTGGCAGCCCTTCTGGCATTTGCAATTTTGGTTCGGTAGCTTCACTCATCTAGAGAGATTGTTAGTATAGGCGAACATGGACAACACCTGGCAACTTCTGGCAACTCCTGGCAAAGGGCCCAGTCACCACCGTCAACCTCCCACCCCATATGTGTCATTTTGGCTCCATAAAGACACTACTGATGGCAGTGGTAATGTCCAGAGCAAATTGGTGGTGGTACTAATGCGTGTTCAAAATGCTTACCTGTAAACAACACCGAAAAAAAGGGGTCAACAAAACCGAAAAAAAGGTGGTCCACGAAATGCCACCATCGCCACCGGTGCTAATACTTGTTTGAAACTAGTGTTATGATGGATATGGCATGGAGAGATACTCCAAATAGGTTATGTGCAACCATGTTGCTCTCGGCCATATTAGGAAATCGAATATGGTCACCAAATTAGGTAACCCCGAATTCTAAATTCTAAATTATGGCAGAACCTAGGTAGGAATGGAGGCCTCCAATTGGAAGGCAAGTGGCACTGGTAGATAGGTGGTGGTTGGGTGAGACTGTGGGTGTTGGTAGCTTTGATTATTGGAGAGGTGAAGGCTTTGGTTATTAATCTCTTTTTTTACATACCTTTTCTCGTTAAGTATAGTATGGAAAAAAATAACAAGAATTTTGACCAAAGAAGCATCGCCCTAGATCTTGACGATCTAGTGTGTGTGCGCAGCACACACGCCAATTCCGTTAGGATAAACCCTATGAAATCGCAATTACACCAAGCATAGTCCATAAATTTCAAGTTAATAGTTATTTTTGCATTTCCCTGCATCTGACTTGGGGTGCTACCACCTAGGTCTTGGTTTCTTCAACTTTTCACCATATATTGGTATATCATGAGCTGGGAGTACTGCAAATAGAGTTTTCTATTATGTATTGTGCGTACACGCTTTTCGTTCTATTTCAAAGTTTTTGTTGAAGTTGCAAGTTTTACAAATTTAATTTGAGTGGCCTATTTGAAGAAGAGGAACAAAGAAGCTTATTTTGTTTAAATTTATATTGTCTTTTAACTGGTTAGTCTACCATTTTCAATAGTACTCTATTCGACTGAAAGTATGAAAACTGTTACTGTGAGGTTTAAATCCAAAAATACATGGAAACAAGGACCAAAATATGGTAGTGAAAAGCCTGCCCATATTGGTCCCTTTTTGCAACCGGCTTTTTGGTGGTAATGTCCATAGGTAGGTGAGATGCCCTACTATTCTACATCATTATAGCCTGGCAAAAATGCCAACGCGGATTGAACAGCGTGGAAGGCAGGTAAAGCCATTCAAAAAGTTAATCAGAACTTGCCTTATACGATAATACCAAGACATGGATAGTTGTTAAACTACAGAATAAGCAGACTAATGTGCGTCAGACTCAAGATCTCACGTATATTACAGTAAAACACATTTTAAACAAACTAAATATCACGGACACCCATTTACTGGTACTGCTGCTGGTTAGGAATATTACCATTTTGCATGTTAAAGTACTGTTGGTATACGTTGGGGTCGTTGTACCCTTGGGGAGGCATAGGCATCTGGGGATGCGACTGAGGGTATGGCATTCCAGGAGGTAAATGGGCTCCAGGAGGCAACTGGTTGGCAGCAACACCGGGCTGGATTTGCTGGTGGTGGAGAGGGTGAGTAGGCACCTGCTGGGGTTGAGCCGATGGCTGGTGCTGCTGCTGAGCAGGTTCTGGAGAATCAGGCGAGTTTCCTTCACTTTGGTTGTCCTGGTCGTCACCCAATCCTTCCTCGGGAGCATTCAAACACGCCTGGATCAAGTTCTTACCCTCACTCTTGGTGACCAAAGGTTGCAACTTGGGAGTGGTAAAAGTGTACACTAACCCGGTCTCAGACACCACCAACAACAAAACCTGGGTTCCGGTCAACACAGACAACTCGTATGCCTTCTTCATGATCCCGGCCTTTCTCTTGGAGAAGGTAATGTGTCTTCTGGACTTGTCCTGGATGAACTTGATTTCGATTTTTCTTCTTTCCTTCTGCTGTTTACCACCTCCGGTTTGTTCGTCATCATCATCATCATCTGGAGGCTGGTTGCTCGTGGAGGTGCTAAAGGTATTGTTACCTGGCAACTCATCTGGCGTTTCCAATTTTGGTTCTGTAACTTCGCTCATCTAAAGGAATTGTTAGTAAATGCAACAGGCTCAAATCACCACGGTCAAGTTCCCACTCCATCGGAGTCATTTTGGCTCCATAAAGACACTACTGATGGCAGTGGCAATGTCCAGAGCAAATTGGTGGTGGTACTAATGCGTATTCAAACTGCTTACCTGTCAACAACAACCGAAAAAAAGGGGGTCCACGAAACACCACCACCGCCACCGGTGCCAATACTTGTTTGATACCAGTGTTATGGAGGATATGGCATGGAGTGATACTCCAAATAGGTTATGTGCAACCATGTTGCTCTCGGCCATATTAGGAAATTGAATAGATAGTCAACCAAATTAGGTAACCTCGAATTCTTATATGAGAAAACTAGACCATGGAAGAACCTGGGGATAGAGGCCTCCAATTGGCGTGCAAGTAGCAACGGGAGAAAGGCGGTGGCGGTGTGAGACGGTAGGTGGGGGGCATTTTGATGATTGGAAGGGGAAGGTGGTGGTTATTAATGATATATATTTACATACCTCTGCTTGTTAAGTATGGAAAAAAAACAACAGTCATTTTGACCAAAGAGGAATCACCCATGATTTTGAGGATCTGGTAGTTGACGTGCGCCAACCATATGGTACACGCACGCCCACAACACTACCACCCTACGAGCGCGCCTGGCGGTGGCCGCGGCCATCGTCGCTAAGCCAGTAGTGGAGAGGCCGGGGCGGGTGTCTGCATGGATTCTGGGGGTTGACTACCGTTTCCGGTAACAACACCGTCCTCACTCGTAGTTACCACCTCATCAACTTCCTCTTCCTCTTCAATTTCAGGGTTGGCATCCACCTCAAACCCGAGCCATTGGCGAAGAAGCCCGTTGATCGTGGCCGTGAGCTTTGGCTCCACATCTTTTCGGTTTGTCAAAATGAGCACTTTGAGAAGAGTTGATTTGGAAATCACCAGCTTGGGTACTGAAATACTCAGTAGTTGGTCAAGAAGAGTGATTAACTCATCAATTCCTGTTGGCTCGGGTTCCAAGTCCATGAGCTTTCGAATGAGTTGGTTGGCCACCCCGTCAAACTTTTGGGTCGACGATGCCAATCGCTTGGCTAAGGTGTCGGCCTTTGGGAACTTTTGGTTCAAGGCCAATTGGTCCTTGATATTTTCGTATATGAAGTTGCCCTGCTTATAATTTTCGTTGATATCCTCGTCAATGCCCCAGTCGGGGTCGTTGTCCACGGGTTCGGCCTTGGGCGGTTTCTTGGCCTTTGGCTTGGGTTTGGCGGGTTTCAGCTTGGTGATAGGCTTCTTCTTGACAGGTTTTTTGGCTGGCTTCAGCTTCTTTTTTTGCGGAAAGTAGTCATCCTCCTCCTCCTCCTCCTCCTCTTCATTGTCATTGTCTTCCACGTCTTCGTCTTCATCTTCGTCTTCTTCAGCTGGTTTGAGTTCGGGTTCAGGTGTGGGTGGAGGTTTACCACTGGATCCGTATTTGACAAATAACTCCATATCCAACGGATTCTGGGCCAACGTGTAGGCACTTTCAAGGAGGTTGTCTCTCCTTCTTTTGGCCTTGGCAAAGAAGTCTTCAATCATCAGCTCGGTCAACGGCCTAATATCAGACGACTTGATCCAGATGTAGGTATCGTCACTAAAGAAGCGCACAGGTAAAATCAACACCGGTCCCTGGTTTTTCCGCTTGGGCGGAAGCTTGACGGTCTTGGGTCTCCTGGCCAAGATATGATCCGGGAGTATCATTTCATCTAGAACCATTGCCGGCCATGGGGGATACCCTTTGACTTTTGCAAGCACGATGGAGGTGGGACTAAACGCATCAGACGGCGGATTGGGGTGGTTTTTTTCGACGACGTTGTCGTTATCTGGAGCGGGAGAAGCCTCAGGAGGCGACCTGGGAACCTGGTCTTCGGATTGGGACATGTTAGAGTGGATGTTGATGAAAATTCAGGTCGCGGTCGCGTTGGAGCCGCGACAAGTCGGGGCGGCGCGGGAACCGATGGAGCCAGCCCTCGCTGAACCCCACCACAAACTCTCCCACAAATGCCACACAGTTAACCACCCCTGTCCCCACCACAATCGCGGGACTTGTAAGAATCATGTTTGTGGTTGGCTCCCACGAAAACCGTAATATTGTCCCTGTCTCGGTCCCACAGACAATGTCCTGCTGGTCCCAGGCACATTTGATGTGATACTGCAATTTGCCGGTGGCACGGCCCGGACGACCGTACAGATTCAACACGGTGGCGGTGGCGGGGTTCACTATGCTCACGTGACTGCTCTCATGGAGCCCGACCATGAGGCTGGTGCTGGGGATGTGAAAGTCGAGGAGCGGGTCCTTGAATTTCAACGTTTGTAGGTCATCTTGACGGAGGTCTATCGATACCACGGTGCCATCAGCACTGCCGCAGAACACGGTATCATCACAGCAGCGTAGAGTGGTGATATTGTCGGGGCATGTTTGTACCTTATAAACTCTGCTTATATTGGGTGTTCTCACATCGTACAAATTGAGGTACCGGTTGGTGCCAGCAGCTGCCACCAAGTTCTGGTTGATAAATCGCACCGAAACCATGCTATCATTGACATCATCGTTGCGGATGCGGGTGGATTTCACGACTTTGGCGGTGTCAAAGTCCCATAAACTGATGATGTTGGCGTTGGCACTCACCAAGCCATCGCCGAATAAGTCGACACTGGAGGTGGGCAGGTGGTGGACCTGGGGGAACTGGGACACAAAGCCGTCCACGACGTTGACAAGGGAGAGATGTGAGCCAGCAGCGAGGATGTAGGGCGACGCTGGCACCGGTACGGTGTCGTGTACGGTAGTTCCTACGGCGATGGGGAGCATTGTTGACTGCAAAAAGCGCGATTACAAAAATACAAGTTGGTAGCACAAGAGCACAAACAGTATACGTGGGATTATCACAGAACCTATAAAGCCAACCTCATAGGCGAGTACAGATTGGCGTCAGTCGCCCTAAATATTGTAAAACGTTCCAGCACAACGGTGCTTATACTCCAACTTCTTCCTTAGCATCCTCCTTAACATCCTCCTTAACATTTTCTTCATCAGCGTACCCACCTTTTTTAGAACTTTTTGCCTTCTTCGAGAGCCTCACACTCTCCTTCACAGCATTTGACGTATCGAAAACATGCTCGATTTCCTCTAATGTCAAGTTACTGGTCTCCACAAACAAAAAGTACACCACCACCAACTGGAAAGTATCCCAAAACACATAGAACACGTAGTACCAGTATGTGATATTCTGCATCGCCAATGGCGCTGTATACAAGTTCAAGGTGGAAGCAGCATTAGAGATGAACATGTACATCGCCATCCCCCGAGCCCTCATGTCATTGGAAAGAATCTCCGATGGGTAAGTGGGCTGTAATGGTGTCATTGCAAACGAGAAGAACACCGCCTGGAAAATGTAGATAAAGGCGATTCCAGCCGCCGCCGCCTGCTTATTATCGTTATCATCATCAAACTTCTTGGTAGACACCGCCAAGGCGATGAAGGAAATAATAAACCCGGTGTTGGCATAGAGCAAGGCCGGCCGTCTTCCGATCCTTTCCATGGCAAAGGCCCCAGCACTTGCAAACAAGAAACATATGATCGAGTTGACGGCCGTCAAAAGAAGACGAGTGGTGGCATTTTTGATTCCAAGATTCAAGAATAACGTCGTCATATAATAGGAAATGACTTGGTTTCCACTGAACTGGTTGAACCAAGACCACACCACCACCAATAACGAGCGGTGGCGTCTCAGGCGAGTCCTCAAGAACCCACTGAAGTCAAAGTAGTCCCGAGGTTTGAGCAAGCCCAGGACTTCGAACGACTGGGCGATTTGGTTGAGCTCGGCCAACACGATCGGGTGGTTGGGGTCACCGCCCGCGTGGTATTTGATGAGAAACTGGCGACAATCGTCGATACGGTTCTTCGAGTAGAGGTACCGTGGGCTTTCAGGGTACATCCACACAAACAAAAGGCAGATACCTGGACACAAGAGTTGCAACCACAAGGGGATTTTGAACTGTTTTTCGTCGTCATAAGCAATCAGCGTACCGTAACTAGCCCACGTACACACGATAGAACCCACATAGTAGAAGGTGTTGAAGAAAAGCCCCATTGATTTCCGGTTGGGAGGAAGGGTTTCCATAAGAAGCATGGGTGCGGCCAGACTGGCGATATTAGCCCCAAAACTCAAGAGAAACCGGGCAAAAATCAAGAGGTTCAACGTTTTGACGGTAGCCGACACAATGGCCCCCACACAAAGAATCAGAAGGCCAATAATGATGGTTTTGACTCTTCCAATTCCGTCACAGAGAAGTGGAATGAACGGTGTCAGCGCCATGGCTGCAATAGGGTAGATGGCGAAAAACAACCCAGTTGAGGCAGGCGAGTTGTGCAAGTTGAAATAGTCAAGAAACAGCGGCAAAGTGGAGATGGAAGTGGCAAGACTTCCATCGTATCCATTCATGGTAGGACACAAATAGAGGCACACACACAAGACGTAAAGCTTGATGCGAGTCTTGGAAAACTCAGAAACTGGGTGTCTGGCAAGTAACTTTTGAAGCGATGCGTCGGGGTTGTTGAGGTCAGCAGTAGCCTCCACCTCTTTTCTAAGATCAGCTAATTCATCGTGAGAGACTTCGGGTTTGATAGACTCGACGTCAGACATTTTGATAAGGTTTTGATTGCACTAGAGGACAGTATTTATAGAAAACGGGAGTGTGGGGACGACGGAGCAATACCACCAAATAGGATGTGGGGTGCATGCATGACTAGGGGTCGGTTAATGGCAGTAATGGCAGTAATGGCAGTAATGGCCGGGGTTATACACGCAGGGCTCGTTTCAAGGGCGCCAAGAAGAGGGGTTGAGAGCTTTGGCGCACGTTGCGTGAGGCTTTCACACTTACGAGAATGTCAGGTGTCTCGAGAACGATGCATGATTTGGCAGATTCGAACAAAATCTTACGAGATTACAGTACAGTACGACGGAGAGTCGGTGGAAGAGACAGGAAAAGGTAGTAGAATGTCCACCAGGAAAGAAAAGCACAATGATACATTGAAATACTGTAGGATAGTAAAGCGGATGATGCAGAAGGGTACGGTGGAACAGTGCTGCAGATACGGTATACTAGAACAGAAAAGGAGACAGAACCGTAGACATAAGAGGAGAGAAAATACCACTTTTGGAATTGCCCACACGGTTTCATCTAACATTCAAGTCACTAAACCCACTAAATAAAACCGATCAGGCATACTGATCATCTCCGCAGATTTGACTAGAAAATATTTCTCACGAGAGGAAATTCCAATAGCTAATTACAACCGGTAAAGGATCGGCACATGATAACTGGCAATAACGTGTGAGGAATTTGGCAGATCTCAACGGAGGTTTCATCGTTACCATGGAAACAAAATGGGGAATTGGGGTTATACGAGTTGCCGCCTAAGAAAGAGTTGGTTGAGGGAGTCTAGATTCATAAAGCAGCAAACTACGAAGAGGGTGATATTTTTGTGGGTGTTGATTGCAGCTTTGGGGTATTGTATTAGTGGATATTTGTCTTCTTTGCAACTTTGGGTATTCTTCTATTAAACATTCTGTTTTACTCTATCTGCTAGTCTTTCTGTTAAAAGGTCATCTCTCTTTGAATATTCTGATGTCACATTTCTGTCAGAAGGTCATCTCTCTTCGAATATTCTGATGTCACATTTCTGTCAGAAGGTTATCTCTCTTCGAATATTCTGCGGTTATCTTTCTGTTAACTCCTATGCCTTTGGATACTCAGATAGTGAACTTTATATTGCGAGTTCTTCTCCGGTGGGAGTACGGATCAGACTTCTGCTAAGACCGTTTCTGTTAAAAGTTTATCCCTCTTTGAAAATTCTGCTTTCAACGTTTCTGTTAACTCCTATACCTCTTTGGAAATTCTGCTAGTCGATGTTTCCGGTTTTCCTTCTTCGAATATTTTGATAGTCACCGCTTCTCTGTAAAAGCCTGTTCATTTAAGATATTCAGCTAGTCAACGTTGTGTTAAAAACTTTTCCCTCTGTAATATTCTGCCAACCTCTGCTCAATGTTGAACCTTCTTCGTTCAGTGTATGAATCAGACTTCTGCTGGTATTGTTTCTACTTAAAGCTTATATCTTTTAGATATTCTGCTGTCAATGTTCATTTTAAAGGTTATCCCTTTGAATATTATGCTAGTCAACGTTGTGTTAAAAACTCTACCTTTGGATATTATGCTAGTCAGCGTTCTGTTCCTAGCTTATCCTTCTTCATTGGGCGTATCAGTATCAGCTGGTATTGTTTCTGCTTAAAGCTTATATCTTTTAGATATTCTGCTGTCAATGTTCATTTTAAAGGTTATCCCTTTGAATATTATGCTAGTCAACGTTGTGTTAAAAACTCTACCTTTGGATATTATGCTAGTCAGCGTTCTGTTCCTAGCTTATCCTTCTTCATTGGGCATATCAGTATTAGCTGGTAACACTTCTCTTTCAAAAGCCTATTTCTTCCGACACTCTTGTCAACGTTTCTAAGCTCCCTCTTCCATTTCACTTGATGCTTAAAATGTCTAAAGGGATAATTCCGGGGGGAAAAGGAGGCAGTACAGCCCCCTCTCCTCAACCTCAATTATCGTTTCATACTAACATTCTTGAATCCTGGCATTATCCATAAGTAATTAAGAGGGGATTTTTTTCCAGTTTGGTCACGTCCATTAGAACATGAAATGACTTGCAATAGTTTTCTGGTGTCTCCCATTCATATTCCTTCTTTGACTGGCTTGGTGTTCTTACTCCCAAGCGACCAATACCATCAAATCATATAGCCCTAGGTCTGGTTGATTTTCTGCTGCTGTGGACGGAGCTCTTACCTAATTGGGAGGTCATAAATCGGTAGTAGCACGTTATTTACATGTGGTGAAGGCTTTGACGGCTTACAAAATAAATCGCCTGAGGGTGAGCCCCTCAAGCTACTTCGACACACCTGCACACATTGCTTGCAAGTGATGTGGAGATTTTTGTTTCAAAATTGACTCACGAGACCCTAAGTTTCATTTCAGTGCAAAAATATTTTAGTTTTCTGTAGGATGGTAAAACGTGGGCGGCGCGGCTTAATGCCGATGGCTATAGCAAACAATAATTTGATTTTTGGATATTCATACTGCCGTTGGCTTCATGGGGATTCTTCAGGCACATTGTTCTGGGGTTTGCTAGTATAACTGTCACTTCGGTTTAGGCCATCACCAACGTATTTCACCCTTGGGTGACATATGCTGCCATGGGTGACAAATGTTGGTGATGGTTCCAGATGCTACAATGTTGTTACTGGAGAACCACAGGTTTCTGGATTGCAGTGGCGGTGACAGTAAGAATAGCTCCAGGCTGCAAAACTCCGATTTTCAAACAAAAAGATTCAATGTCTATGGCGACATTTATCCTCGATTGCCAATGAACTGTATAAAAGTCGAGACATTTTAAATGGTGAGGCGTTCCAGTTTCATCCATTCACGCCCCTACCACATACCACATACCACATACCACATACCACATACCACATACCACATACCACCTATAAGTTCTGACCCATACACATATCACCCACTACCTATCCATACACCTACCATATACCACACACTACCCACCACCGATATGCCTCTCAACCGCCTCAAAAAGAACATCCCATCGAATCATTCAAAAGCATGTCGGCTTAAAATGTGGCCGGTGTTGCAACAAATTGAGTCTCACCACCAAAACTGACCACTTCTGTCACCGCCTCGCCACCCACTTGCCACCTCCGCCTATCTGTCACTTATTTCCCATCGATCTGCCACTTACCACTTTCGAATGATCCCCCGCTGATCGCTACCCAGCAATCGCTGTCTCTACTGCCATCACTTGTTGCTACCTCTCCCCATCGCGTCGGGGTGCCGGAACTTCCCCCCAGATGCGGCTTAAAAAAAGATGGACCGGTAGTGCGCCGGCCATAACTGCACTTCTTGCTTATAAATACTGAACCCCCAGTCCCTACTAGTTTACTACTATTTATTCACCCATTTAAAAGCCATAACTATGGAACAACAAGTTTGTTACAAAAAAAGACGTAGCGTACTTGGAGAGTTCAAGCTCCCCGTCCGCAACTATACCAACGTCGACGAGTCGTCCTCATCGTCCCCTATAACCACTTCCGACTCCTTATCCCACAAAATCGTCGATTTCAATATCCCCTTGGTACTTGAAGATGATGAACGCAGCTTCATCCGGTGGTTCAATTATGTCAAAAGCACCTTGCCCATGTCCAACTTTGTGAACTTGGTGTCGCTCCATTATGTCAATGAAAACGATACTAATTACTGTAAGAAGTTGCACAAGTACAACCTGAAGTGCAAGAAATCGTTGAAGTTGAACTATGAGTTGAACGAGGTCTTGCTTCAGTCGATCGACCCTCAACTCATCCATGATTTGAGCCTATCCACCCACTTGTTGAGTTACTGCAACTTTGAGCGCATTAAGGTGCACTTTCAAACCAAAATCAATGTGTTTTATTTGATGGCGCTTGAAGGTGACTTACTATTCGACCCCACCAATAAGTTGAAGTTCTTGACGGATTTGGACTACTTGACAAATGTCTACCTGTTGATTTTTGGCCAAGCACCCAACCTGGACTTGAAGGTCAACTGGATTTTGAATGCCTTGAACAAGGATTTTGCCAGTAATAATGTGTTACTTGGGGAGATTCAAAACAACTGGGAGCCAATTTCCAAAGACATTTGCATATTAAGAAAGATATTGATGTCCAACTAGTGTCATCCCTTATGAGAAACGAGAAATGAGAAAGAATCAGCATTAATATAGTCTTAGACATGTGTAATCGTTTGTGTACGATACCGTACGATACCACTGTGTACTATTGAGAAACCAGCATTAACATAGCCTTATAACCGTGTGTATTATTTGAAAAACCAGCATTAACATAGCCTTATAACCGTGTGTATTATTTGAAAAACCAGCATTAACATAGCCTTATAACCGTGTGTATTATTTGAAAAATCAGCAGTAAAATACCCTTATGACCGTGTCCTATATCAACATCACCGTATTATCAGCGTATCATCAGCCTAAATATTACTCTTCAACACTTGCCTGATTTGCTTCAAAAACCTTCCAAAGTTCTGACTTTGGTTGAACTCCACCAATATTGGCGCCATTTCGTCCTCTCCCATTGCCGGGAAACTACCAGTAATCTGAAACTCTTCCGCTATGTTTAAGTCAATCCAAAACTCCTTGTCAAGGTTACTAGCATCCAAGTTCGAAAACCTGAATTTCATCAAGTCTTCTTTCAACACCTCGATTCGAAGTCCCAAATATCGTTCAAATTTAACCAACTCCACGTCATCTTGTACCACCTGGTCCTCAAGATTCTTGGAAAGCTTCTCAATCTTGTTGTTGATCTCATTGATCTGGTTGTTTATGCCATTCAACTCCTCATCAAGTTCTAGTTTTTTTGTGTTCAACTTGGTTTCTTCCGCATGCAACTCGTCAATCTTGGCTCTACGGTCCTCAAAGTTAATGATACTCTCCTCAATCTTGCGCTGAAGCTCCGACCTGTGCCCGTCCAACTGGTTGATTTGGCTCGTTAGCCGCACTTCTTCGCTCTTGAGATCATTGACTTTGATGTTGAAACTGGTTTTGTCATCGATAATCTGGCGTTTTTTACTGGAGATTTCTTTGGTGAACCTCGACGTGAATCCATCGAGGTCTTTTTGAAGTTGGAAAAACTCCTCGATCGGACTGGTTATCTGTTGAGCACTCATGGTTGTGTATATTTTTGTTTTGAAAAACCGCGCTCTCAAATTTACAAAACCAAAGCTTGATGGAGCCCAACTCGATAAAGCTTTTGACATTCAATGTCTGGGGATTGAAGTATGTGTCCAAGTTCCGCAAGGAACGTATAGCAGGGATAGTGCACAAGCTTCGCGACCCATCCGAGGACTACGATGTCATCGCCTTGCAGGAGGTATGGTGTGAAGAAGACTGGCAGTTGATAGATCACCAGTTGGCAGATTTGTATCCATATCGAAGAAGATTCAAAAGTGGGATCTTGACGGGTCCCGGATTGGCCATTCTCTCCAAGATCCCTATCAAGGAGTCCTGGCTCTACCGGTTCCCCGTCAATGGGTTCCCATCGGCCGTTCATAGAGGTGATTGGTATGTGGGTAAGAGTTTGTCAGTGACGACTCTCGCCTATAACATCGTGGTTTTGAACAGCCATATGCATGCACCATACGGCTATACTGGTCCCAACTCCTACACTTGTTCCAGATCGTGCCAGGCCTGGGATATCAGTAAACTCATCAATCTCTTGAATAAAGCCGGGTACCACATCATATTGGTGGGGGACTTGAACTCAAAGCCTGGATCGTTGCCAAATAAGTTGTTCACCCAACAGACAAACCTCCAGGACTCGTGGGAACTTTTCAAGAGTTCCAGTGGCCAGTTGTTGACAAACGAAGAGGTTTCGGTGTTGTCGCCCAAAGACCAGATTTTGAAAGGAGGAGTCACGTGTGACTCCCAGCTCAACTCTTGGAGGGCAAAGAGGCGGTTGGATGAGGCGTGCCGGCTCGATTATGCGCTTATCAACCAGTCTTTGGGAGTGGTGGATGCTTCTGTTAAGTTCGTTGATAGCTTGCCCGAAGTGGGCTGCTCTTACTCGGACCATTTTGCATATTACGTGGAGTTGAAGCTCGGACCCAAGGCAGAGCCCCAGTCCAGCATAGATGCCTCCAAGGGCGATGTGTGGGCGGTTTATAAGGAGTTTTTGGCGGAAATCGAGGTGTACAAAACCCAGATCTTACCCAGCCATTTCAAATGGAGAGAGTACCATTTCTATGTTTCCATAGTGGCGATTCTTGTGCTTATTGTCGTGAACTCGATGAGCTTTGGGCCCTGGACGACGGTGATCTCGGTGTTGTTGCCAATTGTGTCCATTACTGGAGTTATCAACGGGATGTTTGCGTTATTGTGGATGAGAAGCGAGTTGAGGAATGTGGGAGAAGTCCAGTTGGAGGTGGAAGATACGTTGCGGGCCTTGGACACACACGATTTGATTGACTTGGAGGTGGTGGGAGTGTAAGAGTTGAGGTGACAGTTGGATGAGCATCTCTACAAATAGGCAAGGAGGCCAAAAAACCATCCATATATATACGGGTCCCGTGGTGTTCATGGCACCCATAGCAAAATTCTAATCACCCGCCTACTGATAATGCATAATATTTCATCCTAGCCTAATCTCGTTTGTTGATTCGCACTTTTCTATCTACGTGTAAAACTATGCTATCTTGGATCTTAACCACGCTAACGTTGGTATTGGTGGTTCAGGCCAACTTCTTTGACTTTGTCCAGAATCAGTTTCACACCAACAACCAAGGGGCGCCAGCACCGGCCGGGACTTTTGAAATGGGAGTACTCAATTCCAATTGTAAGGATTACTTGTGTCCTGAAACCCAAACGTGTGTACAAGGACCCAGACTGTGTCCATGCCCCTTTCCGTCAAGTCAGTTGAGATGTGTCTTACCGGACGGCAACTATATCTGCATTTCTAAGCCTGCTGGAGACTTTTCCGTCCGTTACAAGGATCCCCAGACTAACTGGAAAATCGATGCCAACGACGATACCATCAGAGATTGTGGTTGGGTGAACAGACACTACAGGAAGTGAAGAGACCAAGGGGAAGGTTCTAGATGTAAATAGGAGTACTTATATGTCAAAAGTGGTATCGAAATACACATATTCCATGACTGTGGTTGTAGTTGCTAAATAAGCCAGGCTCACCGATTGGGCACGAGACGCAAAGTGTGGGTAAAGACAGCTGACCCCTATAAAAATCCCCCGGAAAAACGTCTACGCCATCAACACATCCTCTACAACACACCTACACCCCACAAACATCTCTAACTCCTCTCATATACTCAGAACAAATCTCTTTCGCGTCCCTACCACCCGATGACCAAACCGCACCATTTTGTTTTTCGGGTGACTTCCCCAGCTTTAATTCTCACAAGTTTCTCAATCCCTGTTGCTGTCTCATTGTATTCAATATGACTATCGATATCAGTACCAACGAACCCACCCTAAGGCGCCGGTCGCTGGTCCATACGCAGCCCATGCCTCAGAACAACTACCACCGGTGTTTCCAGAACTACTACCACGGCCATAACTACTTGAATCCCAACCCCAAGTACATCGCCAGTATCAAATCGAATGTCAACCATTTCCAGTTGCGAGATCTTCTTCAGATCGACCAGACGACGGGGGACGTCTACTTCACCAAAAGCTACTCGTTGTGGAAGTTGAGCGGGCTCAACGACCCTTTGGGCCACCAGTTGGTATCAAGTGAGGTGTTAAAACCAGACTATTCTCCCAGATGCTTCAACGTCACCAACAATGGCCACATGGTAATAGGTGGTCTCATGACGTCTGCCTACAAGATTTTCTACTCAAACATCGAGGGGCTCAAATTGAACAACCAGAATTTGACCCGTCCACAAAAGGGACTATTTACCTTCTACAACTCGCAGTTAGACACGAGCAAAACCGTCAAGTTGGGGGAGATGATCAATAACTCGGTGCTTCTCGACAACGGCGGCAACGACCAGGCGTCTCAGTTCAAGGCGTACGTGTGTAATAATGACTCGTCGTTGTATGCGTTGGATATTGCCAATGGTGACCGCATCAGCATCTCCAGCAAGATGAGGTGTGAGCACGATGTGTCATTGAACAACGTGATGAAGTGTCCCACCAGCGACAAGCTCTTGGCGGTGACGGGCGACACGTCGCTGGTATTTTTGGTGGACCCCACCAGTCCTGGTGACAGCGTGGTACAAAAACTCCAGACCAACCACGACTCGGGATTTGGTATCAGCTTTCATCCCAATGGCAACATGTTCTCGGTGGCCTTCCAGAACGGCCATTGCTTGTTGTACGACCTTCGGAATCTTTCGCAGCCATTGCACACCATTAACTCCACTCGCCCCGGCCATCAGCTGGGAGCTTTCAGAGCCTGTAAGTTTTCCAACTCGCTGTTCTCCGACATCTTGGTGGTGTCGGAACACGTTGGCCGTGTACACGTCATCGACCTTCGCAACCTCAACGATGAGATCAACAACCACCAGGTGATTGTGTTTCCATTTGCGTTGGACCAGTTTGGTGAGTACAAAACCAAACAATGGCAGGAAAACCCCCACCTAGCCCGTGGCTATGGCAAAACAGACGATAAGGGTTTGTCCCCCAACCACCAAAAATCCCCCAAAAAAACCGACCCCGTACTTGAATCCCATTATAATTTGCCGATTTATGACGAGGTGTTCAACCCGACTAGCATCCAGTTTAACGTTCCGCTCGTGTACGACTATGACTACTTGACCAACGTCAACCCCAAGTTGTTCAAGTACCACACCTATCTGCCCGAGGCAAAGCCGGTAGAGGGCCCATCTTCTCCCGGCACGTCGCCCGTGTCACCACCGTTTGACTCCCAGCCACAGACCAACCTGACGTACGGAAGCAGCTTCGACAGCGTGTATAACGCCCCAACCTTGGCCTTGGGTGGAACTGCGTCTTCCAGCATCTCTCCCAGCACGTACCATAACGCAGAGAACCACATCCATGGGGAAATGGAGCTTTCGGGACTAGACTGGTACGGGTCCAAGCTTCTTATAGGCTGTGAGAATGGAGGAATCATAAGCTGGGATGTCAACTACATTGCTCGAAGAAGTTTTGGCCTGTTCTCTTTTGTATGACAATTGACATCGCGATTTGTTTTCGCACCCATTTCCTTTGATTTTTGTACGCGTTTTGAAACTTTACTATCAACAATCCCACACACCACTTAGCATGTATGTTCACCCGTCTCAGTTTGCGAAGGTGTACCAGGAGATCAAACGGACATCTTTGTCACACTCCACCTGCAAGTTGATCATCTTTGTGTCGTGCTTGGATATCGACTCGTTGTGTTCCAGCAAGATTCTTAGCAATATCTTCAAGAAAGAGTTGATTCAATACCAGCTTATTCCAGTGGTGGGTTATGCCGATTTGAAGGACCATTTCGAGAAGTTGGACGATGAGGTTGCAAATGTGATTCTCCTTGGCTGTGGGGCCATGTTGGATATAGAGGGGTTTCTTGATGTCACTGCTGAGGTGGTGGAGGCTCATGAGACAACCGACAAGAACGACGTGATCGCAGACCTTGCGAGGTTGAAGCGCCGGGTGTTTATCATAGACGGCCATAGGCCGTGGAACTTGGATAATTTATTTGGTTCAGCCTCCGTCGTATGCTTTGACGATGGCTATATTAATGACAACTTGGTGGAAGAGAAAGAAGCATATGAGAGGTTGATGGAAGAGGATGAGGATGAGGACGAAGAGGAGGATGATGAGGATGACGAGGAGGAAGAAGAAGAAGAAGATGAGGATGATGATGAGGACGAAGAAGAGGATGACGAGGTTTTATCCATACATTCTCAGGATGATGTAGAAACGATATCTAGAAAGCGGAAGTTGCAACATCGGAAACTCCGAAAAATCAAGAAACAGAAACGTATAACCATCAACAAGTACGAGGAGGAACTCGAGAACTACTATAACCAAGGTACCACCATCATGTCGTCTACCACCGGCACCATCTACGCATTACTATCAACTATTGGTGAAACAAGCATAGAGAATTTATGGTTATCGATAATAGGCACTTCTTCTTTGGATAGCCACTATCCAGAAGTGTATGATAAATTCCAGCCGCTATTTAAGGAGGAAGTGATCAGATTGAATCCATCGAATTCGACCAACGAAAAAACGGCTGACTCTACTCTTTTGACGTTGGATAAAGACTATCACTTGTTCCTTTTGAGGCACTGGACCTTATACGATTCATTCTTCTACTCGAGTCATGTGAACTCGAAGTTGAACTTGTGGACAGAAGATGGGAAGAAGAAGCTCCATAAGCTCTTCGCTACAATGGGTGTTTCACTAGCCATTGCTCAGCAAAAATGGATTTATATGGATACCACCGTCAAGAAGAATCTTCCCTTCATATTCAACAAGTATTTACCCAAATATGGATTGGAAGGTATTGTGAGAGAAGGATTTATCCGAACGTTTGGGTTCACAGGGCAATTGTCTGCTATCGAATGCGTGGAATCTTTGACGGCTTTGCTTGAAAGTGACAACAGAATACTCTTCAATTCGTCAACCACGCCAGTTACTTCGTCTTTGGAAAATGAAGATTTGGAAGACGAAGTCATCAGTTCCAGAATAAAGACCCGTGAGAAAATGTGGGTCAACAATTTCTGGTCTTCGTGGGATGCCTTGAACATGGACTTGGTCAACACGTCTGCCAACCCCATCGTCGCAGGCAACGGAGTCGGGAGTTTGAAGAAGTCTAAAGGGTTAGACCTACTTTTACAAGGCCTTGAAAGTGCTAAGAAGATCCAACAAGTCATTTTTCGAACTGGAACCTCGTTATTGGAGAGAAAGATGGTCAAAAACTTAAAGTTATATCGCTTGTGTGTGTTAAACGATGGATCTATTCCTGACCTAAAGGTGTTCAACAACCCATTGATCTTGTCTAAGCTTGGGAACTGGATTTTGGAGAACATCACCGAGTTGGAGTTCTTGAACAACAACTTGAACTTTTTAAAGCCTTTGGTGGTAGCAAGTTTGGACACCGAAACCGACACTTACCTTGTCATTGGGCTTGCACCCAAGTATCCAGCAGGATTATCCAACTCAGAGAAGGCCAAATTGATCCAAAAAAATAAGAAAGCTGACGGCCGTGACCAGCCAGACGTAAACAGTATCACCACCCGGTTGAACACGTTTAGCGTGGCCTTTCATCAAGTTGCAAATAGTTCAGGAGCCAAGGTCAGAATTGACAGTTTTGACAAGTCGGTAATTGAAATCAGAAAAGACGATCTTTCCCCATTTTTGGAGAAGTTGACCTTCAGTGGGTTGATTTAGAGAAGGGATGGGATCTAGTAAACTGTATTATAGTCTAGTCATTCGTAATAAGAAATTTTGCAATCCGCATTCGTCGCATTCGTAGTTTTGTTATCGCATTTGTTATCGCATTTGTTATCGCATTTGTGTCCCATGTCAATTGTAATAGTTGGGTAAGTCAATTATAAACATCACAACAAACAAAACTAACATCACAAAGAGCAGGAATTCTTGGATTATACACAGCGTTCGAGTTAATTGAGCTGGGAAAACCCCCGGCTCTGGTCAGAATCGTAGCTGAATTTACTCCAGGGGACTATTCCCATCAATACACTTCACCTTGGGCAGGAGCGTATTTTTCTGCTGGAATTGAACTACAGTTGATTCCATACAGTAAGTACACCTACGAGAATCTTCCTAGGTTACAGGAGAAGCTCGGAACCGCGTGTGGACTCGCAAGAACTGTTTGCATAGAATATCTGGAAGATAAGGTGGTTCCGGAGGACTTGCAACATCTCCAATTCATCCGGGATTTGGAAATCATTGATGACAAGTATCATGGAATTAAGTTCTCGGGGTGGACATTTAACCCGCCCAAATTGACCAAGAAACTCTTGCAATATTTACTTGACAAAGGTGTTTGTCTCGATAAGAGAAGAGTACAAACCTTGGAAGAGGCTTCAGATGAACAGACGCAAATCGTGTTCAACTGCTCGGGAAATGGGGCCAGAGAGTTGGCCCACGACTCGAGCTGCCACCCGGTCCGTGGTCAGGTGGTGGTGGTCTCAGCCCCTGAAATCAAAGAGGTTGTCACGTTGTGGTCGCTGAGCGAGTCAACCTACGTTATTCCACGGCCAGATTCCGAGCTCCACGAGGTGGTACTTGGGGGACTCTACCAGGATAACAATGGTGACATTGCCAGCTATGAAGCTGATTCCCAGGACATTTTGGAGCGGGTTTCTCGGTTGTATCCCGGCATCAGCACATCGTTTGAGCGAGTGGTTCGCGTGGCTACTGGCCTAAGACCTGGCCGGGACGGAGGTCCTCGTGTCGAGAGGGAGAACACCGCGAGCGGAGTGGTGGTGGTCCATAACTATGGGGCTGGAGGGTGCGGATATCTCATGGGGTTTGGAATGGCTCACACAGCTGTCCTGCTCATGGAATAAATAGGAATACAATTAAATCAAATCGCAGTAATCGCATTGCATCGCATCGCGAACTTGAAGTCGCTAGCATGAACATCGAGTTTGGGGATGTCGAGTTCAACGACACCAACAGCCTCAAGCTCATCACCAAAGAGCTCCGAAAGGAGCAGTACAGCGTGAAGAACCGGCTCCAGTCTATTCTCTACGACTACCAGTTCATAAAATCGCTAAATTTATTGCACTACCCGCTCGTTCCCAACGAACGGTGCGGCCTATGGTATTTACCACCAGACGAGTACACCCATACTGCGTACTTCAAGTCAACCGATGGCCATACCAACGAATGGCAGTTTTCCTACCGAAGACTCAATTTGCACCTTGTGCCGGTGGTTGAACAGCATGGAGGAATTGTGCTCATCGATTCCACCCGGAAGGGAAAATTGGTGCCGGATGCATTGCTGAAAACAATTCCCATTTGGTGTGCGGTGTTGAACTGCTTGGTGTTCGGACTTGACGAGGATAAACACCACTATTTGAAGGTACCATCGTTTGTGCCTGAAACTGAGAAAAACCAGATCGTCAAGCGAATCCCCGGATTTGTCAAGGAGGCCAAACGGTTGAATCTCGTGAATATCAGCCTTTCCAAGCCACTAGCACCCACCTGGATCTACCCGAGCCACAAAAAAGCTACACTCGACCCACTTCACCATCACGTGATCTGTATAAGTGCTTCGGACAACCATCTTCAGAACATGAGTGTGCGAGCAGGAGACGACATATTGTCGTGGAAGTACATCCAAGGGGCTGGCGATGACCACGAGCTCTGGGCACCCGACCGTCTCAGTCCACAGATGTTCTGGGAAAATCTCCAGTTTTTAACGGAATTTGAAAGTGGGTATATCACTTGCAATGAGCAGGAGTTAAATGAAAGGTTAAAAACACTCCACAAAACTACCAAAGAGTTAGAGGTCTGGCTGGTGCTCAACACAGGGTTGTACTTTGGCAGCATCACCAACACGTTGGACTACGGTAGTGGTCCTCATGTTGAAAATGTGGTGGTTCTCAGCAAGAACACCATAAAAAACGTACCCAAAACCATTAAAGTGTTCCACTACGAGCTTGAACCAAACAAAAAGGGATCCAAACTTCTCCGGGGAATTCTTCCAGTACTCATACCTCAATTAACCACAAACACGTTGGTTTTGTGTGACAATGGGAAAGATTTGAGCATTGGGGTTATATTGGCTATACTCTGCCAGAAATTTGATTTGAAGTTGCAAAGACTTGAGAAAGCAGGAAACGGAAACAAGGACTTGATCAAGCAATTTTTGGGAGAGATTAACCGTATTCGTCCCGTGAGCCCCAGTAGAAACACCCTTCAAAGCGTCAACAGCTACTTGATGTAGCGAGAGTGGCAGAACCACAACCAATCAACTACCACACAGCCAAAGGTAATTTTGTTGCCGTTTGTGGACTGGTTCCGGCTACTGTCATCCGGCATCTCATCTCATGCTAATCACCGAGTGCTATATATATAGCCGCGACATTATAAATGCCAGAAAAAATTCACCAGATACTTGACCAAATCAATTATTATGAGATTCTTAGTGTTACCAGGATACTTGCAATCGGGCAAAACACTGGCAGAAAAGTCGTCAGGAATCAGAAAGCTCTTGAAAAAGGCCAACCATGAGTTGGAGTATATCGACCCGCCTAGAGTGCTTTCGAGTCCTAGTGAGTTGGCATTCAAATTAGGCGATACTCAGGAAGAAATTGATCTGAAATGGCAGAACATTGTCGACGCTAATAATAACCGGTGCTGGTGGTTGGCCAATGACACCAACCCGTACCTCGGGTTTGTGGAGTCTTACAATCATATGGTGAAGCATATCACTGAGAATGGACCTTATGATGGAATCATCGGATTCTCCCAGGGGGCAGGGATGTCGTTGATCTTACTTCAGCAGTTCAACTTCAAGGTATGCTTATCGTTTTCTGGCTTTTGTTTCACGCTTCCAAGTGATCCCAGTTATGACAAGGTCAACATTAACTACCAGATTGAAGACCCCGAAGAGTACAAAAGCAAGAACATGTTGAACGACGAGTACAAAAAGTACTATGGCAGCGACACCCCAATTTTGAACATTTATGGAAACAATGATAACTTGGTGCCTCGGGTCAGGTCTATATTTATTGAGTCTGTGTTTAAGAATGTGGAAAGCTATGAGTTTGAAGGAGGACATATGATGCCAAACAAGAAGCCATTTTTGGCTCCGATTGTGGAGCGTGTGAATTCCATCGACAAGTCGTAGGTGGGCGTACAAATAGGTATGGTACAAATAATTATGGTGCAAATAATTATGGTACAAATAGTTATGGTACAAATAATTATGGTACAAATAGTTACGGAACGTGTAGATAGTTATAGATTTGGAGATAGTTATAGATTTGAGGTCAAGATTGAAACAAAGGAAAATGTAGAAGCGGATGAAGAGATTCTGTTGGACACTTTATCACCATTGCACAATCTTGCACATCAAAAGTATCACCAACTTCCGCGCATCTCGTTTTCTCAACACCCCAATGTCCAACGTCCCATCAATGTACAAACAGCAGGCCGAGTTGCCGGCCTGGATGAAAAAGGGCCAGGAGAACAAGTACGACCGATATGGTGCCCGCCCATCTGCACCCACGGCTCCAGAAGCCGAATCCAACGACAAATATTCAAAATACAGAGTGAACGAGGACGACCGAGCCAACAGAATAAGACGTGAAGGCACCGCTAAGCGTGACCGTGACCGCAGTGAAGGTGATGCAACTGACTACAGCAAGTATACTAAATACAACGAGAGAGAAAGAAGCGCCCGCAAAGACGTACACAAAGAGGAACTCGAAGTGACGGCGGCAGAGCCAGAACAGGACCAACTTGAACCAACTCCCGAACCAGAGCCTGAAGTGTTGGCCTACAAGAACTTGAAGGTAACAAATCCTGCCAACTCATACTACCAGACATTTCAGAGCAACCTCAAGCGAGACGAAAAGGATGTCAACTCAATAATCAGAACTCACTACAATCAACGAACATACCAATCCAAGTACCAAGGAAACCGGACCAAGTCGCCCATTATCAAGCTCCGTAACTTTAACAATATCATCAAGTACATTTTGCTTGGAGAGTTCTGCAAGCCGGTTGCTGCAGGTGAAGGTCCGTTCCGAGTATTGGACTTGTGCTGTGGAAAGGGCGGAGACTTGAACAAAATGGAGTTTATCAAGGTAGACGAGTATGTGGGGATCGACATCAGTGATGCTTCAATTCGCGAGGCGTATAGCAGATACGAAAAGAATAAGGTTAGGTTCAAAAGCAACTTTGGTGGTGGCTCTCACAGGGACAGCAGAAAGTATAATTTTCAGAGTTTCTTTGCTACAGGTGACTTATTCAACTACTCGATTCCTGACATCTTGGAGCCTAACTTCCCTGGTATCATTGATAATGTGTTTCCAGTCGATGCAGTGTCCAACCAGTTTTCTCTTCACTATGCGTTTGAGACCGAAGATAAAATCAGATGCCTCATAAACAACGTTGCCAAGTCCCTCAAAACAGGGGGTAAATTCGTGGGGACGATCCCATCATCTGATTTTATCAAGTACAAGGTGAAGAAGGAAATGAGGCCGGAGGATACGACGTTTGCCTTTGGCAATGAGCTTTACCAGGTCAAGTTCCACGAAAAACCTCCTGCTGATGGTGACTTCAACACCAGCCCGTTTGGAAATGGCTACAACTACAGCTTGACTGATGCTATTGACGACGTACCGGAATATGTGGTGCCATTTGAGACCCTCAGGCGAATCTGTGAAGATAACCTGCTTGTGTTGAAAGTGAAGAAGGATTTCATTGAGTTTTTCAACAAGGAGATCCCCAAGTATTTCAAGAGGCTTAACAACAACTTGATTCAGAGTATCAAGCGGTCGGACGGTAAATATGGCATTGAAGGACTTGAACGTGAAGCAATTGAGTTTTATCTTCTTTTTGTGTTTGAAAAGGCCTAAATGCGAACCAGTACAACCCGGAGGCAACCACCGGAAAACCTAGTACCAGCTCTCCGTGGCTGGACCAGCCGACCTCCCTCTATAAAATATTATTTTTGTTGCGTGGCACCGTCGCACTGTTCTACGGGTGCAGTAGAACCTGAAATAATAAGGGGCTCAACTGTAACGATCGGCACTTAGCACTCGGGTCAATATTTGTTAGACGAAGGAACCTTTTGGTTCTAGCGGATCCGAATACCCATTGGATGATGTTAAAATGTCCACGGGGACAACAGAAAATTGCTATTTGTGGAACCACCCCACAACGCACACGAAGATATTTACGCAACTCCATCAGAAAATATACAACCGCAAACACCCACTGATGCACGAGAAGGTCGGCTACCAGAAGTAGAAACTATAAGCTTACGACCGTTCGAAAGTTCGGCAGCCAAGAAGATCAGGCTATTGCAAGCACAAAGTACAAAATCAAGGGGTAGATTAGGGAAAGCAACTAAATACGAAAATGTCATATATACAATACCCCCACCTCATGAAGTTGGATGATAGATGCCATAGTGATAGAGACTGTAGGTGTAGATGTTGTACAACTGCTTCAATCATAAGGTAGAAGTGATTTTTTTTTATTTACAAAGAGGCCAAATAAGAAATAAAATAAACTTCAATCTGCATCAGTAGAACAAACAAATCACAAGGTTACAAAAAATAACGTAAAGAAACAAGATTTACTATAGTTAAAGTTCTGGAAAGTAAGCAAAGTCTCAGATGCATCACCTCTAAAATTTTTCAGTAACAGCCTAGAACCCCGTCTAACCAAGAAATAATATTTTTGCAAAAACAAAGTATAAGGTAATCTAGTGGAGTTGACTAAATGGTATTCCATAGGATGATTCAGCAGCTGACATGTATGCACGTTTCACAGAAGGGAAGATGCATGGCAGCATATGATGCGCTTGTGAATAGTGATGCAAGGAGAACTTGATACGTGTTAGGGGCCCGGAGGGGGCGATGACTGCAGTTTTCGGAAATGGTCAGTTTATCATTAGGATTTGGAGCAAGCTACAAAAACCCCAATTGCATGGGGTCGCATAGAGAAGGGCGGCTAAATGGAAACAACCTACCGTTAATTTAAGCGTTTGTACATATACTAAGGGAAGTTGAGCGAATCTTGCTGTAAACTTGTTACGTAACATGAAATTTAACGCAAGTTTCATTTAAACAATTTAAAAATTTCAGATTTAGTGGGTGCATATTTTAACCGTGTAATTGAGGCAGCTTTTCTAACGATATTTTTTTACCACTGTCGTGCTAATGGAATGGGATGAAGTACCCGCAAGGCGGGGGAGAGATGAATCGTGGAAAAAATCAAAAAAAAACAAACTCTAGTTGCAGGACCGATAGTTACAGCGATCAGCAGCGACGGGGAACAATAGACTCGCTTATAGGCGCGAATAAAATCGAACAATTGCTATGCTCGTACTAACAAGGAACAATAATGTTTAATTAGACCAGATTTAGAGTCTTAAATCCTGTGCGGTTCAGATTGAACTGAAATAGCGTTGGAGCAATAATGGGTGCATACTTGAAACGGGGGGCTGATACTGGGAATTGATTTTAAATAAGTTAAAATCTTTGAATTAAAATAAACTTATAATAATAAATAGAATCAATTTGAAACAGAAAAGGCGAAACCTTATGATGACTGCTGTACTTTTATTTTTTTCATTCAACTATTTTTTGTCACCAGCATTCACGCGTGACGTACATTAAATTAACGTGCTTATTCATCAATTATCGCAGCAGCAATTGTTCTGAATTCTGGATGCATCTTTGGTGATTGTCTCAATCGGCAATGCAGCTAAATGGATCACCAATATTTTTAAAGCAGGCAATTTATATCCACCCTTCTCTCGTAAGTGTAATCAGATAGAAACCTAGAAAAGAAGTTTGCAAGGACGAATCACAATGGGTTTTCTGCTTACCGTTTGAGGAGGAACAACAGAGTGAGGGGTACTAGAATCCATTTCGGATGAGAGTCAGACGTTTTATGTGGTTCTGAAATATGGATGTTTCAGAAGGGCAGCTAGGAGCGAAAAAAAAACCCGGAAAAAATCATTTCCGACAGGTAATGCTGCAAAAGAAAATTGGCTCGACTCCTGGAACTCCTCACTACAAAGGCGGCCTGCACCCAAAACTACAGTACCACGCTTCTCCACAGCTACTAATATTAGTGCTTTAAGACTTACGACTTTCTAAACACGTCCTGTATACCACCCTCATGAACTCAATTAAAATATATGTATTTTCTTAATGCTAATTTTCTCGGTCCGCTGCGCTATAAGACATCTGTACCCTGTTACCCACAATAGAATTAGTCCTAATGGTTACCATTATGGCGACATGTCCACCCTCATATTCAGATGAATTCAATGATGCGTAAACCCTGCACCCCTGTCCTCAACCCAAAGCTTAGGAGATAAGACAAACGGTGTCCTCCGATGGCCGCCGTGATTCTTCATTTTTTTTTTTATTTGTTATTTTTAATATTTTCGTCCTAGAGCTTAATTTCACCTTTGGATTTTTTTTATATAATAATAAATTTCAATAAATTCACCTATAATTTTAGGCTTTTGTCACCTTCAACAAACCTTCTTTCCATTTATATTCACATTCTTTTGGAGATAGTTTACAGAAAAACCCCTATCTCTTCTAATTATCAGGCTTTTTTTATTATAAACTATTGGGGTACTCCTTAATATGCATTGGTTACTATGAACAATAATGACCAACCATCCTCCAAAGAGAACCATCATTTTTCCATCAATTCTATTTTGAACCTGTCATCACGAGACGGAATTCCCCCCCTAATGCCATCCCAGTCCCTGGTACCTGACCTGACCGAGTCCAGCGTTGTAGGGACCCCTGTGCCCCAACAGTCAGTGAAATCCGACGTTGATCAATCACATGAAGAAGATGCTCCACAAAGACCCACCAATGACTCTCCCGAGACTTCCCCTAAAAGGCTGGCCCCCCTGGAAGATGAAGCACTGGAGCCTAAAGCAGACATTCCCCATCAACACAAACGACAACTTCTGAGTCCCAGGGCAGACTCAGAAGCGTTCTACGACGAGTCCAAACCCAATCGCCGATTCAGGCGTCGGTACAATCAGATTGTACGTAAATTTTCCTGTTCTTTCCCCGGGTGCAACAAGAGCTACGGGCTGTTGAACCACTTGAACACGCATATTGTCACCAAAAAACATGGGCAGCGCAAGAGCAAAAGTGACTTTCAGAGTGATGATATGCAGAGCTCTCTTGACTATAACGGCAATTACTGGTATGGCTACGTGCCAGGGGTGGGCATGAATTTGCGGTATCCATATGTGTACTATCCATACCAGGTGCCACGACAGCAGGGCCAGGGTCCTGCAGAGGCGGCGATGTTTCTGCCGGGGGTGCCATGGGGAATAGGCGCGCCGCCGCCAGGATTCACCGCCCCGGTCCCAGGATCGGCGCCAGGACCGGGACCCGCCCCGGCCCCGGCCCACACAGCCGACTCTCTGGGATCTACACCTATGACTGTGCCTGTGCTGGTACCTGTTCCTCCACTTTCATCCATGGTGCCACCTCCAGCGCACCGCCTGCATCCGAGCATCGGTTCTGTTCCCTCTCAGGCCCATCATGGCTCCCAGGGAGTTCGCTCCTCGTCTCAGTCGCCAGCACCACCACCCCAGCACTTGCACAAGCTTCCGCAGCCCCAGCACCACTTTTCGCACCAGCCACAGTTCCACCAGGTCCACCAGCCGCCGCCATCTCACAAACCGCCGCACCCTCAGCACCAGTACCAGTACGGCCCAGCACCCAACCAGTACTTGCATATCAATCCTCAGCACCAGCCACATCCACTTCCACGGCCGAACTTTGCTCCCCACAGCCTCGGCAGTCCGCACCCACCACCACGGCTCCGCCCGCTCCCTGTGTCACTGGAGCTTCCTTCCTTCCAACCCCGACATGAAAAGTCTCCCGAGCAGCCCAAGTAATCATAACTATCTCCCCCACCACCTCAAATCACTTATAACTTCCACCCCCACCTCCACCTCCACCACATGGCCATGTGACCTAATTTCTCAGGACCATGCCCTTTGACTCATCTCCCTTACCAATCTTCATATAAACTGAGGTCGCTCCTCTGTGATCTGACTATTCGGGTACTGAAGCAATTCACCCCTAAAATGGCGTCCAGTTCCTTCAAATAGTTCTGACGAATTTCCCTGTACTATACACTAGCTACTTTTATTTAGACAAACTTGTAATATAACGATTAGATCCAAAGTCGCGAAATGTTGGTGATAGTTTTTCCACCACTTCATCAACTTTATGAGTGATTTGGATACCGCCACACTGCCTTCAGAGCGCGGCGAGCCAGATGGCCAACACCCCAAGATAGAAACCACTGGACATGATACAGATGTAGAATCAGAGGTCAAGAACCCTTCAGATTCGCCTGAAATCGATGGCACTTCCACCAATCCTGCTCCTGAATCCATCGATTCAAGTCAACTCGATAGAAAACCAAAGAAAAAGAGGCTTACGCTACAGGAGAGATTGGCTTTGGCCACCAAGAGTAAAGAGGCCTCAAAAAGGCTGGACAAAAAGCCGGCAGAGGTGGTCCGTCTAGATTATGTACTGACTCCAGAATCAATACCTGCCAGCACCACTCCTGAACCTGCATTCTCCGAGACTACAACCCCCTATGCCCGAAGTCCCGAACCTCAGTCGGTGGTTAGTGAAGAGTTGAACACTTTAAAGAAGGAAAACGAACGATTAAAGGTAGAAATCGCCAAATTGCACCGGAGCAGTGCCAGTGAAGAGTTAACCAGAAAGGACGAGTTAATAAACCAGTTGATGAAAGAAGGCGAGCAGTTGTCCATTAAAGAGTTGAAGTTGAACGAGACCATCAAGAAACTCAAGACTCTCAACTTGGACTACGAAACCGTCATCGAGGAGTTCAACACCAAAAACGAGGAAAATGCCAGTATTATCAGCGAAATCGACGAGATATTAAGACGGTATAAGATCAAGGATCTCGACGAGTTGGGTCAGAATATAAAGGAATACAAGAGGGTCAAGGCAGAAAATATCGAGTCCAAATTGAAGCAATCAGAATCACAAATCGATCAGGAAACCAAATTAAAGAACGAGAAAATCAAAGAAGCAAACGACTTGAAAATCCAATTGGACTTGGTCAAGCAGAGCCACCAGATCGAGTTGAATGCCACGGACGAAATAGTTAGTAACTTGAAATTTGAGATCAAAAAACTCAATCTGTTGAATGCTCAGGAGATCATGCGATTGGAGAACAAGATCGAAACTTTGATCTTGGAAAATGAAGACAGTGGAATCTCAAAGAAGAATGGAACCAGATCAGGCGACTACGAAAAGTTGTTCAAGAGCTATTCTAACTTGCAAAACGAAATCTTGAACTCCAGGTCCAATTGGGAGCTTATTGAGATCAACTTGAACTCCAAAATAAATGAACTAAATACCAAGGTAGACAACTTAAAGAAAGATAAACTCAACTTGATCAACGAAAACAAAAACTTGAGGTTCAAAATGAACGAGTACGACTTGAGGTTGAATCAACAGTCCGATGAACTCATCAAGTATAAGTCTGGAGTCACCAAGCATCAGCAGCAACAGGACCAATTCACGTCCGAAAAGAAATCACTCTACGAAAAGCTTGAGAAAATGAACCAGATATTCAACAACGAGAAGTTGGCTCTCACCAGCAGAATTAAAGAGCTACAGTTACAAATCGAAGAAATGGAAGAAGCACGAGACGAAAAGGATCAAATAATAAACCAATCAATGGGCATAGCCGATCATATTGATCCTCCTCACATTTCCATGGACAGCTCACTTTATCATACCAACAATTACTCTTCGCAGTCCCTTACGTCGTTCGATTTTGAGGAAAGCTCCAATATCCAAAACTCTTCCATGTTGGTTTCTAATCAGCCCAGCTCTTTCCAGTTAATAAATAAGATGTCTTCAAGCATTCGAAACTTGAAGGTCGAACTTAACAGCTTGAAAGACGAAAATGAAGAGGTTCTTCAAGAGAAATACGATCTCGAACTGAAGATCTTGTTAATGTCCAAAGACCTTCTGAAGGTCGAAGAACTCAAATCCAAAATTGAGCAATTGCAGTCTGAACTAGCTACGAGGGCCGAGAAAGAGGATAGTCTCTTGGTTTTGTTGGGAGAAAAGGAAGAACGGGTAGACGAGCTTCTAAATGATGTACTGGACTTAAAGGACTTATGCAAGCTTCAAGTGCAACAAATGATCGAAGTGCAAGAAAAGTATCAACAGTAATAAATAGATTTTGCAGCCGCATCGCGAAAAAAACTTTCAAAAACTTTTCAGTTTCTCTGCTCATCATCAACGATGTCTCAAGAATATTTTATAAATCTAATACAACTGGACAACCGTAATGAAGTCCAGATTTTCGATACGAATGGATTCACATTGATAAATTCGGTAAACTTTGGAAATTCCCGTCTACTCAAGGCCATTTGGGTGAAAGGTATCGAATCTCAAGACGAGCTCATCGGCTTGATCACCACATCAAACACATTTGAATTGCTCCATATCTCCCCAATAATAGGCATAACCGAAAGAGCAACCATAGAACAGACAAACGTGACAGACATATGTTATTTCCAGGACTCTCTATATGCCTGTTTTGATGGTGGAATCATCAATTTAACCTCCCAGAAGATATCCAAGCTCAACAAGCCAATAAAGCAGATTGTGGCGGGAGACAAAATCTACGCTAGCGATGGCAGTAAGGTCTACGAGTTCAACCGCGGGAAATTGAAGCAAATCAAAGAGTTCGACGATGTGAAGTCCATGAAATACGTGGATGGTTTAGTCGTCTTTACTAGCGAAGGAGCGGTGATCAATGACCAATTAGCAAAGGCTGTCACGAACATCGCCAGTGTCAACGACCAGGTGTTCTTGTTCCGTGGAAATACTGTAATTGTGAACGAGATTGAAATCAAAACTGCAAAGAACCATTTTGTGGACGTTATTCATGGAGAAGATGGCTATAGGTTCATCTATAAAACAGGAAGCTCAGTCAATTCCAAGAACCTAGAGTTGAGATCCCAAACTGTTGACTTCTCTTCTTCCAATGGAACCCACCGAATTTCATCGAGTGAACTAGACATCGATTTGGATGCCTTAATGCCCCAAATTCACAACCTTTCATCAGAGGTGCTCATAAAGAAAATCAACAAGCTTACAGACACACAATCTCGGGCCCAGCTCTTGGAGTTGATCGAAACAAACGATGATGAGGCCAATATAAAGACTACCATTAGCAAATTATCCAAAGACACCCAGCTAGTCCTCATGACCGCCATTATTTCCCGGATTTCCAAGAACCCCATCGAGTCGATAAGCTTATCTCTTTGGTTCAAACACCTTGTCCTTGTCGACAGCAGTGTTCTCGGACAAATCAGCCATACCAAGTTGGCGACTGCATCCAAGAGACTCGCGGGATCTTTACAGTTATTGCCGGAGTTGCTCTCTATCAAAGGTAAACTCAATCTCATGAGCACGCAGCAGGAGTTCAAAGCGATGAGATTTGAGCCCGAAGCATTTGAAAACCACCAAGAAGATGAGAGTTTGGTGATTGTCAACGGGGAAAACGATGACGATGACTCGGTTGTGGAGGCTCTTCCCGCGGGAGACGACGACAATGACGACGACGACGAGTTTTAGTATATACCAGTTATAACGCTATGTACTCACAATAAGCATATTTCGTGAAATGCCGCGATGAGAAAAAAAGTGCAAACTTCTAATGTCTACTGAATCGCCTGCTCCTACTGATAAGTGGTATATCTCATATGAGATCATTCACAAGTTGTGCCAGAAGGCTGCCAACGAGATCAAGGCCCAGGGTAAGCCAGTGGACCTAATTATCGCCATTGGTGGTGGAGGGTTCATTCCTGCTCGGATTTTAAGATCGTTCATCAGAGAGCCCAACGGGAAGAATATTCCGATCCAGGCCATTGGCTTGTCGCTTTATGAGCAGTTGGGTGACAAGCCCACCGAATCCATCGGCAAGGAGGTTGTCAGAACCCAGTGGCTTGACTTTGGAAACCTTAACCAGCATTTTGACTCGTTGATTGGTAAAAACATCATTATTGTGGATGAAGTCGACGATTCTCGTACCACTTTGCACTACGCATTGTCAGAGTTGCAGAAGGACGTGGCAGAGATGCAGAAGCAGTTGGGTCGGGAGAGCGAGGAGACGACGTTTCAAATTTTCGTGTTACACAATAAGTTGAAGCCCAAGCGGGCCGAACTCCCAGCTGAATTGTTTGAACAAAACCACTATCTCGTGGGGGAGAATGTGGAAGACCGGTGGATTGCATATCCTTGGGATGCCATGGACATTGACGAGCATACCGACCGGGCCCGCAAACAGGGAAACATATAGACTTTGTGGATATAGTAACTAGAGAATAGGATAGTCGCCAGAGCAACAGTAATAGTGAAAGTACTGGTAGTATATTGACACCAGTCATATTGATACCGGCCATATTGATACCAACACCATTGTGTCTCTCGCTCGTCATCTCTCCCTAACAGATTCGCAGCGACAAAAAAACCAACCACCATGAACTCTTCCATAGACGACCAATTGATCTTGGAGTATTTCAAGGGTACGTTGGTCCTGGACCCCCACATACGTCGGGAGTCAGAACTACAGTTGGCCAAGCTACATCGATTACCCGGGTTCTTGGAAAGTTGTGTCAAAATCATCAACTCCCACAATGGTCCCATCGAGTACCCGGTTCCCAAAGAAACACAAGTAGCCTGTGCCGTTTACTTTAAAAATACCATCAACCGATATTGGGGCTCCGGGGAAATAGCATTGGCAGATAAACCGTTCATTAAATCCAATTTCCCCCAAATTATGATCGATTCCAACTATAATATCAAGCAACAGTTGCTTCCCACTCTCCGGATTTTGATTCAAAGTGAGCTCCACGACTGGATGGACTTACTCCAAACCGTCAACGCATTGTTGGGAGATTCTTTTAACATGGACAGCATCAACAACGAAGTTGAGTTGAATAAGGTGTACACGGGCATGCTTTGTCTATCTGAGATCTCACGAAGTTTCCGATGGATGAAGAACTCCCAGCGTCAAGAATTGGAGCTTATCATAGAAGAGTTTTTCCCCAGGCTCTTGTTTATCGGCGAGTGCTTGTCATCGGACTCAGCCAACTTGAACGAGTTTAAAGCCGAGATCTTGAAGCTCATTTTAAGATGCTACAAATTCGTCACTTATTTGGATCTACCCCAAAGTCTACAAACACCGGCCCTGATCATCCAGTGGGGGCAGTTCCACGGCAGCCTTGTGAATATGAAGCTACCTGCGTATGTGTTGAACGCCAGGCTCTCGGAAAACGAAAAGAACCAGTTTCAGCTCTCTAAAGTCCTCAAATGGTCTTTGGCAAACATCAACAGATGTGCAACCCGGTACGTTACTGGTAGCAACTTCAAGTATGACCAGTTCAAGGCTGTCTACGTCCACGAGTTTCTTCCCTACTTGGTGAGCAACTTGGTGTCGATAGTGGAGATGTGGTGTGCTGGAACTCGGTGGCTCAACCTTTCAGCCCTCTATTACTTGATTGAAATTCTTCGTACCTCTATTAGTTTGAAGAATCTCTGGGTTCCCATCAAGAAGATCTTGCCTCACTTGGTGCAGTACTTCATGTACCCCATCATTGTTCCCAGTGATGACAAAATCGAGACTTTTGATAATGACCCTCATCAGTACATACTGCTCACCTTCAATGTGTTTTTGGACGACACCAATGCCCCTGATACCGCTGCCATCAACTTCATCAAGACGTTGCTACAGCAGCGGAAGAAGTACTCGTTTGGTATCATCATGTCGTTTATTCATGATGAGCTACTTGCACTTGTTAATATGGAAGAGACCCTCGACCTGGCCAAAAAGAGAGAAGCGATTTTGAGGCTAGTAGGGTCCATCTCGGGGAACTTGATCAACAGCCTGGAAAACAAGTTTTACGACCATATGGAAGAGTTTTTGATGAAGTTGGTTCTCCCCAACGTCCGAAGTAATTACAAGTTTTTGGTGGCTCGAACGTTTGAGATTCTTGGGAGTTTCAGTGACTTGGAGTTTAAAAGCGAAGAGAATTTGAATCTCGTCATCTATGAAGTGTTGAAGAATTTTGGCTTCAACAGTCACCCAATTGAGACCGATTTGGCGGTTGTGTTGGAGAACTCGCTTTGTCTCCAGAGCTATTTGCATATTCCTCAGTTCAAGGAGACGTTGTCGGTGATGGTATTACAGGTGATTTCAAAATTATTGGAGATCAGTAACGAAATAGATAACGACACTATTTCGGTAGTGATACAAGAGTGTGTGGAGACGTTTGGTCAAGAGTTGCAACCATTTGGAAAAGAGTTGGTCGATAAACTCGTGAGGAACTTCATGCGAATTGTGAGCGAACAGGAAGGGGATGAGAAATCAGACGATTACGAAGGGGTCGATTCCAACGATGATAAAGTCATCGCCGGAATTGGGATCCTCAACACTATCGTGACGGTGCTCATATCGTTTGAAGAGAACCGGTACGTTGTGAGAGAGTTGACAGACAAATTGATTCCTATGATCAAATACATTTTGGTTCACCGAAACGAAAACTACTTGAGCGAAACCTGTGAGATCATCGAGAACTTGGTGTACTTGAACAAGGACGTGCTGCAGGACATGTTTGACGTGTTGCGGTTGATCAACGACCTCATTAATGACGGACTCGGAGTCATGTATTTCGAAGAGATGTTACCCGCTTTGAAGAACTACTTGCTTTACTTTGAAGACGAACAACCCCTGCCCCTCGACACTGAGTTCATCGAGATCTTTTTGAACGTCTTCATCCATATGAATGAGAACGTCGAGAGCTTGGGCGACCTGGTGTTGAACTTTGAACTCATCCAATACTTCATTTTGATCCTTAAAGTCAAGCTGGTGGGATACTTCAACGTTATTATCGGCCAACTCATCCCGCTCTTCAAGGTGTTTGATACTCCCAACCCCGATGTCAACTTGTACTTCCGCATCTCGTTCTTGAATATCATCATCTGCATGCTCATCTACGACTCCAACTTTGTCATCATAAACCTCAACGAAATGTTCATCAAGTTCTTCTTGGGCCACTGGATCCAGGTCATCCCCAAACTCACCCGGTGCTATGACATCAAATTGTCGATACTCGGCCTAATCTCCTTGATCAACAACAATAACCTCGTGGCCAACCCCGACTTTGCTACCAACTTGGTATACCTCCTCAAAACATTACCCACGGCTATCAGAGATCTCCGTAAGCGAAGAAAACAGTTTATTGCCGACTTCAAAGATGAGTTTGATGGGTCCCGGTCAACAAATGCAGAAGATGGTGACAACTACGGGCTGTTTGGCGATAGTGGAGATGAGACGGAGGCCGACGAAGACATTGTCAACGACGACCACTGTGATTTCCTTGATTTTCTTACCCAGGAGAACCTCAAACTCCTTTCACACGAAGAGAATATCATTGAGGACCCATTGGAAACCACTCCTCTTGATCACGTCAATTTACCAGAGATTCTAAAGAACTTTTTCAGTCTCTTGCAAACCAAGAAGAACGACCGATACCTCGAGCTCTTTGGCAGCATTCCAGAACAGGAATTGCAAGGCTTCATTAAAAAGTTAATAATAGCCTCAATGTAACCCTCCCAGGCTTGAAAATAAAGTTAAAATTAAGAGTCGAATAACTTTGTGGAGCAATACCCCATTATCAAATAGAAATAAACACAACGGTACGGTACCCAAAAACTACAAGTAGAGTCCATAAAATGCACCCATATACCTACCAATACCAATTCTAATTGATAATTCTTCCGTTGTGTACATGTCTTTGCGTAATTAGCAGCTCCGGGGTCCTGACCGTGGCCACCGCAAACCTTAATTTTCAGGTGGCTGAACCCGCAGTTCTGAGCCTGACAAAAGTCCCGCAATAGGTCTGTCATTTACTTCCAGTATAGCTCCAGCTATGTTTGTCAACCTACTAGCTCTGACAATAGGTTCTCTGTCGGCTACAGGAATACCGGTCCGGAGCAGCCCTAGCAGGCATAATCGTGGACGGACCAAAAAACGTGTAAGTGAAGCTGCAAAATCAATAATTTGCGATCCTCACTAATTGACAATATCCCATGTGGCCGCAAATTGCTGTGAAAGTATAAATTGACACAGACTCGGGGGTGTTTTTTTTCTGGACATATCATAATAAACTCATTATGAAACTTATACTATTACCGGTGTTGGTGTTGCTTGTGGTACAAGCATCTGGCTTGAACATCTTATTGTCCACCACCGACTCTTGGGTTACCAAAAACTCCCGTCTTTTGGCCCACCAGTTGACCCAGAAAAACCATACGGTTGTGCTTGTGGCACCATTACATCAATCTGTGGGTGCTTTACACCAGAATACCCACGTTTCCAACCACAGGATCACCGACGGTGGTGACTTTGGTCACTTGTTGCCTTCCAACCAGTTGTACTATAAAAACTTGTTGAAGTTGGACAAGATTAACTTATTACCTGGGGCCCCTAGACGCTTGTTGAAGAAAGAAGACTTGCGCAGAATCGAAGAAGAAGTCGACGAAGAGGTTGGCGGTGGAGTGTCGTTTGTAAACACAAACCAGTGGGGAAATGATCCATTGGACAAGAACTGTTGGTACGTAAACAGTAACGACCCCATCAGCATTTTGTCGGTGGCCGTCCACAACTTGCTTCCACAGATGTACCCTGGCATGAAGATCGACTTGGCCATTTTAGGGCCCACCGAAGGAACCACAGATGACGTTCAGAATGTGGTTACACAAATGGAAAAGTTTTTACTAGTCAAGGAAATACCCACCATCTCGGTGCACTCAAAGGACTCGAGCCACATCTACTTCAAAAGTGACTTGGTCACCAAGAACAGAAGAAGTCAGTTTGCCAAGATGACCCATTATCAGAACTCCAAGATTATTGAGTTGGTTGATCGGTTGCAAATTGACCGTCCGGGTACCTTGATGCCCAAGTTCCATGCCATCAACATAAAGTTCCCCCAGTACTTGAAATCCAACTGTAAACTTGCTTCGGACTTCAGCCTTACGCAAAGTAACCAGTTGCTTCTGTTGTCGTACAATGTTTTCGACGTGGTGGATGATGAGTTAGTCAATGTCAATACCACCAGTTTACTGTTGACCAGCAAAGATGAGTTGGCTCACAAGGGTGGTTCTCATGTGGATCTGGGCTACGAGGACTTTGAAGAAGAAGAAACACAGTTTTTCATCAATAAAGAGTCGGAATATTACAAAAACAAGTTAAAGCACTCCAGATCGATTCCTGTCAAGGACCGTATGAGGTCCATTAATGCGGCCGATGAAGTGGTTTTTCTGATGTGTGATATCCCTATGAGCATCGACTACTTGTTTGAGCTTGACCCAGATTTTCATTTATAAACTAGCTGTATTATAATTATAACGATTAATGGTAGACTTGATTGGATGTAGATTGGTGATACAGAGGTAGATGGTCTGACTTGCTGTGATATCTGGATTGGGTCCTAGAACCAAGTCTTTATGTGTCAACCAAATCCCACTTTGTGCTTTTGTTTTGGTTAATAAACCCGCGTATGGTTACCAAAGCTAATTTCCAAACCCGTGCCGTCCTCGAAAACGTACCAGAATGCCCATTAAAACCCTACCTTGCCTTCAGAAATGCCCTTTCCACAACCTCTACTGGTTCATAGTTCCTCACACTCCATCATTAAAAAAACCTATAGCTTTTATCAGCACGTCAAAAACGGATGGCGTTTTGACCTCTGTCTTTTCGCTGCAGATAAGAAGTTCAAATTACTGCTAAAAATTAATGCGTGCATCTCATCTGGAAAATATAATTGAATAATATCCCAAAACCACGTCAAGTATGGAAATACCGTCTGAGGAAATCACACTTGTTGACAAAGAGCAAGCCATTCTCTCTCAAATATCTCCTTTTTTCCAAGTATCAGAAACCAAGTACGGCGGGAAAGGCTGTTTCAGTTATGAGTCTATCCCGAGAGGCACGGATATCCTAGTTTCAAAACCTCTTGGATTCACCATTTCCAAGGACTTTAAGAAAGAGGTGTGCCATAAATGCTTTAACTACGATAACGGAAAAACCATGAAGTTCCGGTTGTCGCTTCCCACTTTTAAGAATCAGTCGATTTGTTTCTGTAGTGAAAAATGCCTTTCCGCCTTCAAGCTGATGAAATACTATGAGGTTTATCTAAGGAGTTTGTTGAACTTGGACAAACTATATACGACTTTCTGCACCGAAGAGATGGCTGAAGTGCCTGTAGCAGGTGTATCTGAATTCATACATACGATAAAGGGCAAATGGGAACAAGTTGAACAATGGGATGCACTGGTTCTAAAAACGAAACCTACCAAATGGCAAAAGCTCATCCCCAAAATTACCGAAACGGAGTACTTGGAAATCAAGTATGTTTTGGGGGTTCTCCATAAGTTGTATATTCGGGATACAGAAGAAGAAGAACCTCAAGAGAAGTTCTTGAGTGAACTAAGTCAAACAGATGCGTTTGTATTTGAGTCTCGTTTATTCGATCTCTTGCAATCAAATGAGATCCTGAAAGTGTTGAAGTTCAAGAACTTGCTAGTGTCTTATATCACCATATTTAAGTTCATCCGGTTGACCAGTCCACCTCAATTTCAGAAGTTCATAAATCCACTTGACATCCGGTTGATTATTGGAAACAATCTCACCAATGCTTTCGGGATCTGGACACTAAATGAAGGTGACAAGGACTTCCTTGGGTTTGGGGTGTACCCATCTGGTTCATTTTTCAACCATTCTTGTACTCCCAATATCATCAAGAGGAGAATTAACAACGAATTACACTTTCTTACGCTTGCAGATATCCAGAAAAATGACGAATTGTGCATTGACTACGGGAACTATTTAGAGGAACCAGTCAATATCCGAAGAAAGGAGTTGAGTGAGTGGTTTTTCATCTGTACCTGCAAAAGATGTGAGATGGAAGCTCAAACTTAGGTGAAAAACTTTTTGAACTCTTCACAGTCTTGAGTTTCCTTGAACTTGGGCTGTTGACATTTATCCCAATACAAACGCTTGGGACTCCTTATAATATATGACAATACTCTTCTAGGGAACTGTAGATCGATGATTTTACTGTCATCTTCGATAGTACTTTGGTACACCACCGGAACCTCATCCTTGTATACTTTGAAGCTGATGTACTGTGAATCTACGTCCACTGCATCGACATTCTTGAACTCCAATTTGTGGTTTTTGTTATATTTCTCGTTGTTGGTTTGAGCCTTCTCCTCCAACACCTTGGAGAATTTATCCTCTTCAAGGAACTTATTATGTATGGGCAAAAATTGCCTATGATAATGAACGTTCTTCTCAAGGTTCAAATCAAAAACCACTAGCACAAAGTCAGGATAGTTTTGTTTGAACTTGTGGAATAGTTTGACTTCGAATTCGTTCATCTCAGCATCAACTTCCTTGGTGTTTTTTGACATATGGTCCACAGGAGTGATGATTCCGTGGCCCGAAAATGGCATAGAGGCATTCGACCGTGTCAATGGCCCCTTGGCAACTGTCATATACACTAGTTGTCCGATGGTGATGATCATGTGGGTTTCAACATTGGGATTGGATAGACAAAAGAAGCAGTTCTGCGGTGAGACCTTTGCTCTTTTTGGTAAAGACTCGCTGTTTTCGCCTTGGTCAACTCTTCTTTTGACCAGAAGAGTCTCAATAAATGGGTTATCCATGAGATCTTGTGACGCCACTTCTGTGGGTACTAATGGGAAGTTGAACCCATAAAACCATTTACCTTCACCTTCTTTACTCAAGCTGACAAAACGGCTCACTGCTCCACTTTCCCACCTGAACGGGCCGTATTCATGGAATTCTCCACTTGCAAATATGTACCGGGGTCTGAATCTGGTAATTAAATTATCAATAGTAAAATCTATGCTCACGGTGTCTTTCTTTATTAAATTGGACAACTTAGAAGGCCACTGTTTAAGGATAAGAATATCAATTTTCCCATTGAATGACACTTCCACATTATCCATAAATGCAATGGTAACACCGGAGTTCAATTTGAGAATCCCATTCACTCCAATTAAGTTTGTGTCAACACTGATGCTTTTATCATCTTCGAGACTTGGGTAGTAAGATGGAACATCAAGCTTTTCGACTGGATTGTCTAGCTTGTCCAAGAGAATTACCAGCTCAAACTCGTTCTTCTTATGTTGTATATTAGCCTTCTTGATAATCTCATCTGATTTTGTGGACGGGTTTAATACTAGAAACTTAAACATTAGTGATACCAAGCTTATCTCAAATTGTGCGATGAGATGGTTTCGAGAGAAAGAGGCCATTTATGAAATATTGGTAAAAGCCCCCAGGAAAAGGCCATGGTGCATGATCTGATTGTGGAAACACGGAATAGATACTAATACCTCCGAAATCGACCTTAGAGGCATGATTTTCCATAGTTTGTGCACTCATTCTATTGGCTGCGAATCAAAAGAATACTCCAACTAAGCTACACAAACACAATAGTCTCCAAGACACAAAACTCGTCAAATATGAGTCTTCAAATCCCTGAATATCCAGTATACCAGCATCACCAACTTAAACTTCCCCTTCCGGGTACCAAAAAGTCATGTATTATGGGACGGTTTTGCACGTGACCACCGTGACTGCTTTTCGCACCATCGCCAATTCTCAACCTTGTCAAAATTCAAAACTCTCACCAACTGAAAAATTCTTTTCTTCCACACATTTAGTCCAAATTAACTACTTGAAAAATGGGTAAATCTCACGGTTATAGATCTCGTACTCGTTACGCATTCCAACGTGATTTCAAGAAGCATGGTGTTATTCCATTATCCACCTACTTGAAGACTTACAAGGTTGGTGACATTGTTGACATCAAGGTTAACGGTGCCGTCCAAAAGGGTATGCCACACAAATTCTACCACGGTAAGACCGGTATCATCTATAATGTGACCAAGTCTTCTGTCGGTATTATCATCAACAAAGTCGTTGGACACAGATACATTGAAAAGAGAGTTAACATCAGAGTCGAGCACATCAAGCACTCCGCTTGTCGTCAAGAATTTTTGAACAGAGTTAAGACCAACGCTGCTTTGAAAAGAGAAGCCAAGGCTAACGGTGAACAAGTGTCTTTGAAGAGACAACCTGCCAAGCCAAGAGACGCTAGAATTGTTTCCACCGAAGGTAACGTTCCTCAAACTTTGGCTCCAGTTCCTTATGAAACTTTTATTTAAACTTCATGTATATTTAGTTTACCAATACTAATATCGATAACGGAGACACGTAGAAGCTGCCAGTGTTATGAGAATGGAATGGTCCAACATAATTTTATACATCTGGTACCATAATCATTAATTTACTTACTGCCACAACACAATCATTAATTTACTTACTGCCACAACACAATCATTAATTTACTTACTGCCACAACACAATCAATAATTTACTTACTGCCACAACACAGTCATTTATTTACTTACTGCCACAACACAATCATTAGTTTACTTGACACATCACATATTTTAGACTGGGGTTTATTCCTTAGTAGTTGAACTTCTATCTTGACAAGATCTAGAGATATCAAGACATGCCTTTACGAGTACCTACTATGGGTACTCCCTCCTTCGGTTATCTACACTTTTCGCAACACATATTCTAAACAACGGCATATGACAACTGGCCTCGCCAGACACACCGTCAGAACCTACTCCTACAATTGTATAACCTTATGCTAGGGGATCAGAAGTTCTCTCGGTGTCCGTTTATAGTAACAAGAATGTTGCGCCAGACACTGTCACCACTTCAACCCAGAGCTCCGTAAGAAGCCCATAAAGGAACCCTTGCCAAAGACAAGAACTCGACTTCGGGAATAGTCATGAAGCACGCGAGATATCATCATATTTGTAAAACATGGAAGGTCATATAAAGAAGAGAAAATTTCCTGGCGAGTGAAAAATTTATAGGCGATGGTGCGAGTGTGCCGACACCAATTCTCACCAGATGAGCATCTGCAAATTTGTACCAACCAAGAAACATTTACCACAATGGCACCAAAGAGAAAGAGCAATTCCAAGGTGGCAAAACCAGCCCCCAAGAAACTGAAGAGTGATACCTCTCTCTGGACTTTGGACCACATCAAACAGGTGTCTCAAGATGTTATTGAAAAGTCCAGTTATAATGATATTGTCAAATTGATCGATCAGTATTCATACATCAAATCCGCTTTAATTCAAACAGAAGATAGCTCAGTCGAGTCGATCGGACGTCAGCTCACCATCAATATGTATCAGATTTTTCAGCACCTATTCCAAGCAGGCTTGCTTAGACCCAGTAAGAAATTTGATGATAAAAAGATGATTTTGGTCAAGTGGTTGGTAGACAAGTATGATCGTTTTAAGAAAATCATGTACCAGTTTCTCCTGACAAGCTTAAGTTTCAAATCTTCATTGCAGTTGGATATCCTAGATGTCAGTTTGAATGTTTTGAGATTGGAGAACCAATATCTTAAGTCTTCAAAAGACGATTTATACTTCCCAACTAGTACCTATAAAGCCATAGTTAAAAGCTTGGTCTGCAGTGAAGTTGGTACTGTGTTACTGGACAATACCATAGATGATTTTATCATGCTTGAATTTCAGGAAAAACTCCACAAGTACTATGATTTGCAGTTCTATTTTTTTCAGTGTTTAAACGAGTTGGTGGAACAAGACGAAATACCCGACCAAAATCGGTTGTTCTCCATTTTCTACACATTAGTGAAGATACCATTGGCCTTTGAAGAAAACCCAAAGGAATTGAGGGCTATCAAAACCTTCATTTCGAAACCTCCCACCACCATCTTCAAGCCTTCCCATTTCAAAAAAGCTTTCCAGACATTGGTGATTTCAATATTATCGTTCAAATTGACCTCCAGTCAATATAAATGCATTCTCTTGATCCTCAATAAGAGAATATTACCCTACCTTGCCCAGCCATCTCGGTTAATGGACTTTTTAACTGACAGTTATGACACATCTGACTTAATCATTCAAATCCTTGCATTAAACTCCTTATATGAATTGATGAAACAGTACAATTTGGAGTACCCAGACTTCTACACCAAGTTGTACTCGCTACTCACTCCAGAATTGTTATTTAACAGATACAGATCTCGGTTTTTCAGATTATCAGACTTGTTTTTGTCCTCCACCCACTTATCATCCAACCTAGTGGCATCTTTCATCAAAAAACTCGCCCGCTTATCCATTACTGGGCCTGCTCCAGGGGTGGTAATTATCATCCCTTTCATCTACAATCTATTCAAGAGGCATCCAAGTTGTATGATCATGATCCAAAATCCTCTGCAAGATCCCGATACTTATGAGGATCCTTATGACAACAACGAGCTTGATCCCTTAAAAACCAATGCTATAAACTCATCATTGTGGGAGCTCGAAGCGTTGATGAACCACTATCATCCCAACATTTCTACTTTGGCAAAGATATTCACCGAGCCGTTCAGAAAACCCAATTACAATTTAGAGGATTTTCTTGATTGGTCTTTCAAAAGCTTGATAGAATCGGAGATCAACAGGAAGTACCGGTCGATGGCCGCTTTAGAATTCGATAGCTTTGACCAGCTTTTTGACCATGTGACTGGCACTTCTGAAGGGTCGGAGCCTGAATCCAAAACAACGGTGTATTTAGAAGGATGGACTATTTAGTACAGTAGTTAATTAATTTAACCTGATTAGGAAAGGTAATGAAACACGTCTCTGCTAAATGCCAAAATCCAACCTGGCGCGCGCCAAAAAAATTGCATCGACTTTTCATCTTTACTAGCTCCTTCTTCTTCTCAAACTATATTCAATTAGACAGAATATGGATCCCAGCGAGCTTGGCCCTGAGGCCACCATCACAGATGCTCAGTTCAAAGAGAGAGCGAAGAAGTTCCAAGAATTTTTGGATAATATTAGTTCAAATGATGTACCTTACAAGAGACAAATCAAAGATATGTTAATGAAAGGGAAATACAGATTATGTGTTTCATTAGATGAAATACGGGACTTTGACCGGTCCTTCTGGAGAGGTTTATTGAACCACCCTGCAGAGTACTTACCCGCGTGTGAAATGGCCTTGAGAGAAACTGTCCATGCCCAATATAACGAAAACGACGACAGGTTCCCAACTCTTAATAGGGATCAACAATTCTACCTTTCTTTCAAAGGTGCATTCGGAGAGAACAGAGTTTCTGCCCGATCCATTAACTCAGACCATTTGTCGAAAATGGTGTCCATTGAAGGTATTGTTACTAGGGCATCTTTAATTCGTCCTAAGGTAGTAAGGTCAGTTCATTATGCCGAAAAAACCAGTCGGTTCCATGCTAGAGAGTATAGAGATCAAACCACCTCTTTTGACCCAATTTCCACTGCCGCTATCTATCCAACTGAAGATTTGGATGGTAATAAGTTGACCACTGAATATGGTTATTCAACTTATAGAGACCATCAGAAGGTATCTGTTCAAGAAATGCCAGAATTGGCTCCAGCAGGACAGCTTCCTCGGTCAGTGGATGTAGTATTAGATGATGATTTGGTTGACACCACGAAACCTGGTGATAGGGTACAAATCGTAGGTGTTTATCGAGCATTGGGAGGTGCCAACAACAATAACACTGCTTTTAGAACGGTTATTTTGGCCAACTCGGTTTACCCATTACATGCACGTTCTTCTGCTGTGGCCTCTCATGAGAATTTGACCGACAGCGACATAAAGAACATCAATAAGTTGTCTAAAGAGAAGAAGATCTTTGAGATGTTGGCCCAATCTTTAGCTCCTTCCATTTACGGATTTGAATACATCAAGAAAGCAGTGTTGTTGATGTTGATGGGAGGTGTCGAAAAGAATTTGGATAACGGAACTCATTTAAGGGGTGATATCAACATCTTAATGGTTGGTGATCCCTCGACTGCCAAGTCCCAGGTGTTGCGGTTCGTTTTAAATACTGCTCCTTTAGCTATTGCAACGACTGGTCGAGGTTCGTCTGGGGTTGGTTTGACAGCAGCCGTCACTTCCGATAAGGAGACCGGTGAAAGACGATTGGAAGCTGGTGCCATGGTGTTGGGTGATCGTGGGATTGTCTGTATCGATGAATTCGACAAAATGAATGATTCTGATAGAGTTGCCATCCATGAAGTTATGGAACAACAAACCGTCACCATTGCAAAAGCCGGGATCCATACTACCTTGAACGCCAGATGTTCGGTTATAGCTGCTGCAAATCCTGTTTATGGGCAGTATGATGTTCACAAGGACCCTCACAAGAATATCGCTTTACCTGATTCTTTGTTATCTCGTTTCGATTTGTTATTCGTGGTGACAGACGACATTAACGACACCAGAGACAGAATCATCAGTGAACATGTGTTGAGAATGCATCGTTACATACCTCAAGGTTTAATGGAAGGAGAACCCATACGGGAGAAGACCAACATTTCATTAGCTGTTGGTGAACAGATCGAAGAACAAGATGCTGAACCACTGATTTTCCAGAAGTTCAGTGCCTTTGTTCCTCCTGGAGTGAGCGAAAGAAATGCCAACATTTTCCTGATTCCTTTCATCAAGAAATATATCCAATACGCCAAACAAAGAATCAAGCCTGTCTTGACCACCGAAGCTAGTGAGTATATTGTCACCACCTATTCAAGTTTGAGAAATGATTTGATCGATAATAACCAAAGAAACACCGCTCCTATAACGGCCAGAACTTTGGAAACGTTGATCAGATTGGCGACTGCCCATGCTAAAGTGCGGTTATCTAAAACCATCGAAATAAAAGATGCTAAAGTTGCTGAAGAGATGTTAAGATACTCTCTTTTCAAGGAAATCACCAGAAAATCCACCAAGAGAGCCAGAGGAAATAACACACCTATGGACTCAGATGAAGAAGATGAATTTGATGCCGACCTTTTCGCTGAAGAAAACGACTCCACTCATCAAGCTTCTTCTGGAAGATACAACACGAGACTGCAAGATGCTAGTGATGTGGGTAAAACACTTAATAACTTGCACCTTCAAGAAGACAGTCCGATGGAAGACCCAGAAGAGGCCGAAACACCAGACTCTGAATCCGAACCGGAGGAACCTTCTCAACATCCTCTTAGCGAGTCAGGAGGAAATGCCATTGAAAATGTTGGTGACAGTCAAATAAGCCCTCAAAGATATGAAGTCTTCAGAGGAATTATGTCCAAGGTGCTTCGGTCTTCATTATTTGAAAATATCACCGGTTCAGCACCAATTCCAGATGTGTTGGCAGAGGTCAACCAGGATATTTCTCAAGAAGAACAATTCCTGGAAGATGAATTCCGGGCTGGTTTAGTCAAATTGGATACAGAGAACGTCATCATGTTGGAGAAGGATCATGTGTACGGTATTTGAATGAGGTGATGATTGAATGTGTTTGCCAGTTTTCTGGGTGTATTTTAGGTTAGGTCTAATGTTATAGTTAATGTTCTAGTCAATTTTTATGTGAAATAGCAGATATGTCATATTGATATTACCGGATATGGTAGCAATATAAGTGTGTGTTTATTCGGTGATTCCGTTGTCTTGCTGCTTCAGGCAGTATCGCGATGCGCATCGCAAACTATTTGTGTATCGTTCTCATGTCCTATTTTATACCAGAGGAACAGGACCACACCGGCTCCGAGGCCGAAAGCCAGCTGGATGATCAGCTTCTCATGCATACACTCCACACGCTTCCTGCGAATTGCAAAAAGTTCTGGCGTCGACGGTACCAGTTGTTTAGTTTATACGATGAGGGCATCTTCATGACTTCAGAACTATGGTTTTCTGTCACACCCGAAAACATAGCGGCTTTCACCGCCCATGCTGTACACGAGCTCCTTCCCGATGCCCACGATGTGCTTGATATATGCTGCGGTGGAGGAGGAAATACCATACAATTTGCAAATGTGTTTCCTCGAGTGGGGGCTGTTGACATTAAGCAAGTCAATGTCGATTGCACTCTCCATAACGCAGGAATTTATGGTGTTGCCGACAACATCTGGACCGCCACCGGTGACTGGAACCAGCTAAGCCAGTCACGCGACTGGATTCCTACTGATATACGTGATAAACCTCAGCCGTTTGACTTCATCTTCTGTTCTCCTCCATGGGGTGGGACAAGCTACCTGAGAGAGGAAAATTCGTTCCGGCTCAACGAGATGGTACCTCTTCGTTTTGATGTGCTTTGTGAGAGTATGGCCGCCATTTCTGCAAACTTTGGTCTTTTCTTACCTCGTTCTTCCCACTTGGGTGATATCTCCAAAACATCAACCAAACTCTTCGGGGTATCTGCCAAAACTCGAATAATAAACTTGGTAACCGAAGACCATATACGAGGACTACTTGTCCTATTTGGGCCTGATGTTATGGGCCCATTATCTTGTATCGACAATGTAGCCCCAATGTACAACTAGGGGACGTGCCCCCACCATATACCGCCAGCAGTGTGATTTTCGAGCGCTCGCCTAGTAGCTCAACGACAAAGTAACGACAAAGTCTCATTCAACGACAAAAGTCTCCTTTCTTAACAACAGTGTTTAAGACATTTCCCATAAATAGCTGGTGTCCATCTCGTACACCATCCCCTTCAATCCCTTTAAGTCGCTAGTGCTAACCACGCCTACTTCGTTCTCCTCTACGGCCTCGCTTTTCAAAATTGCTGCCCCAAAAAGAACCACCTCAGAAGAACAAAACAAATGAATCAAGATCATCGTACAACATCCCTAGAAGACCAGGTAAGAGCCTTGAGTGACACCGTCAAGTCGCTTGAACCTCTTGTAAACGAGGTCGCCTACTTGAAAGGTGTCATCAACTACCAAGGCTCTCGAATCGAAAAGTTATCTGGTATTGTTTTAGACATGGGCAGAAACGATGATAATGGTTTGCTTACTTTACTGACGCTTCAGGACGGATCTGTGGGTGTGGGGGTCGAAGATGCTGTCAACCAGCTTGACGACCAGACCAACAACCCGTCCATGCTGTCGTCCACTCGACCTCCACCCCAAAGTATTGCTCCTGCCCAACCTCACACACATAACCATACTCACACCCACGGAGATCTTGATGGGAACATCAACCCGCAACTCCAGGGAGGTGGAGGCGATGATTCCTCGTCAAACGACAAAAAGAGACCGTATGGTGGTAGTCAGAACCATATGAAGCCTATCACCAACAAGAAACCCAAGATTTCAATTGACTTTATCCATAACCCCATGACCGTCAAGGAGATTTATGAAGAGTTCTACAATGGGTTCAAGGGCCAGCCTCCATTGGTGGAATTGGACCAACGGTATGGGAAGGCTCAATGGAGAGGTGATTCGAGATCGAAAGAGTCCAAACGGTACCAGAGAAGAAAAAGATTGTGTGATGCCATCAAAAAGGGGACCGTCAAGTATGACAAAACCCCTGAAGAGATCATCAAGTACATCGAAGAGTTTAGAGGTGACAAGTCGTTGACATGGGTCATGAATGGTAATATACCTAAAGACTTGCAGTAGTATTTAAAATAAAATTGTATTTGCTTGATTTTGTAGGGACCAGTGTGGCTTCTGACATGGTCCATGTTCTGGTTAAAGAATTGGCTGAATTTGTTAGCAATTTTAGTCGATTTTGGCAAAAATTACATTTGTAGCATCACAAATTTTAGATGGTGAAAATCATTAAATCAGTGCTTCAAAATTCACCAAAAAAGTAGTTGAAATTCACGACACTCAACTAGCACATAAAATATGGCTTAGATGAAGAAGCAGAGAAAACTTTAATGAAGATTATCTAATAAACCCTACAGATACGGCTTCCTTTGAAATTCACACCCAGAGCCTGAAACAAATACATACACTTCCCAAGATTCTCCCAAATACAACATGTCAGAACATTTTTTCCATGTATTCATACCCTAAATATCCATTGCATTCCGAACTTTGCTACTGTTCGCAGCCAAAAAGTAATTTGCAGCAAGTTCGGACTTCATCAACAACTTTGGACACCAACACCGCAAAAGACCTAAACAGTACTCCTGTTAATTTACAACCAAATACCAACTTCTGGAAGACTCCCTTTGTTTTCACCATCTAAACTCTCAAGTGCTTCCCCCCCAGGTGGGACTAGTCTCCCACCATCACCGCGCCCAGCCTGTCGCCGCTGTCGCCAGACACAAGAATTTCGAGAAATTTCCATCCGGGTAATGCTCACCCTCGCCTAGTCATTCTGAAAATTTTTATAAAGCTGAAAATTTTTCTACCTTAAGTTATAGACGCTTAATTGCTTACACAACCGTAAACAATGTTATCCGCTAAAAGTTCGATCAGATCGTTCGGTAATAAGATCCCTTCGTTGGTCCGTAACAACTCCAATGCTACCGGTGCCGGTCCCGTCATCGGTATTGATTTGGGTACCACCAACTCGGCCGTTGCGGTTATGGAAGGTAAAGTTCCTAAGATCATTGAAAACTCCGAAGGTGGAAGAACCACTCCTTCCATCGTTGCTTTCACCAAGGACGGTGAAAGATTGGTGGGTATTCCTGCCAAGAGACAAGCCGTGGTTAACCCAGAAAATACTCTTTTCGCCACTAAGAGATTGATTGGTAGAAGATTCGAAGACAAGGAAGTCCAAAGAGATTTAAACCAAGTTCCTTACAAGATTGTCAAGCACGAAAACGGTGACGCTTGGATCGAGGCTAGAGGCGAGAAGTACTCTCCTCAACAAATTGGGGGATTCATTTTGAACAAGATGAAGGAAACCGCCGAGGGTAACTTGGGTAAGCCAGTCAAGAGTGCTGTGGTCACTTGTCCAGCTTACTTTAATGACGCTCAAAGACAAGCCACCAAAGATGCTGGTAAGATTGTTGGTTTGAATGTGTTAAGAGTTGTTAACGAACCAACTGCTGCTGCTTTGGCCTATGGGTTGGAAAAGAATGACGGTGAAGTTGTTGCTGTCTTTGACTTGGGTGGTGGTACTTTTGATATCTCTATCTTGGACATTGGTGCTGGTGTTTTCGAAGTCAAGTCCACCAACGGTGACACTCACTTGGGTGGTGAAGATTTCGATATCGCTGTGGTCAGAAACATTGTCGAAACTTTCAAGAAAGAAAACGGCATTGATTTACAAAAGGATAGAATGGCCATCCAACGTATCAGAGAAGCCGCTGAAAAAGCCAAGATTGAATTGTCTTCCACTGTGGCCACTGAAATCAACTTGCCATTTATCACTGCTGATGCCTCCGGACCAAAACATATCAACCAAAAGATCACTAGATCTCAATTTGAAGCTTTGGTTGAGCCTTTGGTCAAGAGAACCATCGAACCTTGTAAGAAGGCCTTGAAGGATGCTGGTTTGTCCACTTCTGAAGTGTCTGAAGTTATCTTGGTTGGTGGTATGTCAAGAATGCCAAAGGTTATCGAAACCGTTAAGTCTATCTTTGGTAAAGAGCCATCCAAGGCTGTCAACCCAGATGAAGCCGTTGCCATGGGTGCTGCTATCCAAGGTGGTATTTTGGCCGGTGACGTTACTGACGTTGTGTTGTTGGATGTTACTCCATTGTCTTTGGGTATTGAAACCATGGGTGGTGTTTTCGCTAGATTGATCAACAGAAACACCACTATTCCAGCCAAGAAGTCTCAAATCTTCTCAACTGCCACTGCTGGTCAAACCTCTGTTGAAATCAGAGTGTTCCAAGGTGAAAGAGAATTGACCAGAGATAACAAATTGATTGGTAACTTCACCTTGTCTGGTATTCCACCAGCTCCAAAGGGTGTTCCTCAAATTGAAGTCACCTTTGACATTGACACTGATGGTATCATCAAGGTTTCTGCCAGAGATAAGGCTTCCAACAAGGATGCTTCTATCACCGTTGCTGGATCTTCTGGTTTATCGGACAATGAAATTGAACAGATGGTTCAGGACGCTGAAAAATACGCCGAATCTGATAAGGCTAGAAGAGAATCTATTGAATCTGCCAACAGAGCCGACCAATTGTGTAACGATACCGAATCCTCGTTGAACGAATTTAAGGAAAAGATTGATACTGCTGATGCTGACAAATTGAGAACCTTAGTTGCTTCCTTAAGAGAAGTTGCTGTCAAGGCTCAATCCGGTGAAGAAGTTGAAGCTTCTGAATTGAAGACTAAGACTGAGGAATTGCAAAACGAATCTTTGAAGGTTTTCGAAAAATTATACAAACAAGATGCTGAACAAAAGTCCGATGAGAACAAAAACTAAGTTTAGTTGATCATTCTTTTCATTCTTGTATATATTGATGTTTATAGTACAAATGTAGTAACACATAACTACCATTTATAACCTGGTTTTTGTATTCTCTTGTAACTATTTAATGTGCCATGTTTAATTCCATTTGATATCCCACTGATCTTCTCATGGGGCTATTTCCTCGGTGATGAGAAGACATTGAACTTAACGATCGGATCAATGGCTTCTTCTTGATGCTATATTGTCTCCCAATCTCTAAGCTGGCTTGGGTTGAACTATTTGTGTACTTCAAAGTAGATTTGTAGCTTGGTGAGGTTTGATCTGATATAGAAGTTGTAGTCAGCAGCTCTGAATCCGAAGATTCGTAATCAAGCATTTCACTCAAGACTGATTGACGGTTGAATTTCCTGTTGAATTTCTCAGAAGTGGCATCAGGAATGTATGATTTGATCATTTGCTGTTCGCTATATGCCTCCGACTTTGAACTAAGGGACGTGGTTACATACGAGGAAGATTCAATAGTTCCAGTTTCAGAGACGGTGTCAGAAACAAGTTCATTGTCTTCATAATCCTCTTCCTCTTCATCATCATATTCGTCATCTCCTTCATCAATGTTGTAGATGCTACTCAATCTCAGTTGAGTACTGGTCTTACCAGACTTTAATTCTTGTCCCACCAACATCTCCTGGAAGTAAGTGATCTCTTGTCTCAACTGGATTCTCTTCAGCACCACATGAGCCAAGTACCGTCTCCACAATGAAATTAAGTCATCGTAGCTACCAAGGACAGTTTGAGGGTTCCCATGTTTAGGAACTGGAGGAGGAATGCTGGAATATTCGCTCACGGGAATCTCTTCGATTCCATCGATGGTGTTAATATTGGTATTGGCTGCAATCGATGGGGTTCTTCCATAATTCATGGATTCTGACTTTTGGTCCATGTTGTTCAAGTACAATCCTTGTTGCTGATCAATGTACAGAGATAAGTGGTTCATCTTCATATCCCTGCTACCCATATTGACGTTTTCTTTTGGTGCACCTGCTTCATACTTCAAGCCATCATCCAAGCCATTGACTTTGGTAGCATTACCTCTTCCTAAGGAAGGATTATTAATAGGAGCTGAAATATTCATGAAACGTCTAGCGGCTTTGTTCTTAGGATTGGCTCTGAACTTTCTCTTGAGAGTTCTACCCTTAGTTCTCAGTCTCTTGATACTGTTGTTACCAGTCCTCTTGGAAGAAACCGGGATCTTAAACTTCAATTGTTTGAACTTCTTCAAAAGCTTTTTGAGACGCAACCTCATTCTGTAGATGAAACTTCCCTCTTTGAATCGGATGGCTTTTCTCCTGCTTAAAGTCGAGGCAGAACTACTGGTTCTGTAGACGGTTTTCAGCGTAGATGGTGGTTGTTCATCTTGCCTCGTGGAGAAAATGGTGGCCTGAGATTCCATGGACTGAGATATTTCTCTTCTCAAGTCCTTTGATGCTCTTCCTTGTGATATTGAGGAAGACATTTTGTTTTTTGACATGGTGGTTGAGTACGATTTACCCTTACGAGAACGAGGAATTGGACCGTCGGAGTAGCTACCAATGGATGTTGTGTTCAGTGACAAATCATCGGCTTGCTGCTGTTCGGTGATGAATTGTGAAAACCTGCTGGGGACCGGGTTGAATGCTTCGTCCGACAACTGCTTTAATTTGGTATGGGAGTCAGAACTGGCAGTACCCTTTTTAACCTGCAATCCTCCTACCGTAGCATTCTGTTCGGTTTGGATATTATGTGTAGTGTTGGTGTATTTGGGTGCCTCCTGGCTATTGGTACCGTCGTTCAACAAGTTAAAGGTGTCGAATGAGTTGTTGTTCTCATCTATGTAATAGTATGGGAACGAAATGGGAACCGAGGTGGTGGAGGTGGTTTCAACTTCAAGTCTCTGTAATGGATCAGATTTATCGGATGGATTTGATCTCTGTAAAGTCATCGGCAGAAAGTAAGAGAAATCCGATGGCAAGGGAGGCCGGGCAAAGGTATGATCTGAATAATCCATGTTAGCGGCAATGGTTGGGGATTTTATAGAGCAGGCCTTAGTTAATTTCGTCTAGCAAAAGGAGTAAATGAGGAAGACTAGTATGAAGAAAGATTCTGATCTGGGTGATACATTTAGCGCCAGGGATGTTAGCGATTTGACGGGGTCTGTAGAGTGGCTGGCTCATTCTGTTCTTGTACTAAGCCAGCCATTTTCTAATTTTAGGTTTTGCGCGATGGCCCCCCAATTTTTCGCAGCTAATTTGATAAGGTCTTCATCTTTTATATCATTAACAAAACAATCCTATTAAATGCTAAAAAAATTTAAGGCTTTTGGGGTTTTCTAACAGGGTAACAAATATGTCGAAAAGGGGAGTTTAGACAGCGGTGGCCAAACCAACGGCATCTTTCTTCAAGTCGTAAATCGAGTAGTACTTTCTCAAAAAGGCATCTCCAATGATGGCCATGTCACCAATTGGCTTGGGGAAGTCCATAGGCGTGATAGCAGAGATACAAGATCCGCTGATTTCTAAGGTATACTCATATGCAGACAAGGTAAAGTTGTAACCGTTGAGATTGAAGGTTAAGTCTGGTAAGTTGGCTCTGGCATCACATTCCACGGTATATTGTCCAGACCATGACTTGACGGCACCGATCTTGGCGTTGATGATTTCAGCCAAGGATGATGGTAAGGTGATCAAAGAAGTACCGGTATCGATGGCAGCACCGGTGCTCTTCAATTCAGCAAACTCATCACCTAAACCGAGTCCTTCAAGAGACACTTCCCAGTACGCTTTTCTTCTAACTGGCAACCAGGTAATCTTACCAGTGAACTTGGATTCATCGTAACCACCGAAAGTGGCAACCCCACCATCTTCTTCATCTTTGTTGGTGTCACCCAAGTAGAAAGCAAACAGTTTTTCATCCAACAAACCTTGGTTAATGGCGTTGTAGACTGGCGGAACAATCTTGTTGACAGAAATGGTATCGTAGGCTAATCCCAAAATCCCGTCGAATTTACCAAAGGCAAATGCCAAACCAGGTTCACTGGTGGCTTCAGCAAAATCCTGATTTTTGATCAACAAATCACCAATTCTCAACGCATCAGTCGACACGTATCCTTCCATTGCACCAGAACCATATTGAATGGCAAATTCACTGCCATTGGCCTTGTAGGTGGAAGAAGCATCATGGTCATACTTTGAGTGCAAGTAGCAAGCCAACGACGAGCAGTCTTGCGAGGGAATCCACAAGTTGGAAGAACCGGTATCCAAAATGACCTTGAAAGGTTGACCAGGTGTTCCCACTTCAATTTCGGTAAAGTACTGGGCATTGGCATAATTGGATAAAGGAGTATCGTGTCCATTGATAGCAATCTCACCATCCTCGGTCATTTTGGATTCAATGAAGGGAATTTGGGCTTTGGAGCCGGGGAACTGGGCCAGTGCAGCAACAGGGTTGCCATGAGCCGAGTTGAAAGTGTTGACGTACTTGTGTTGTAAGCTGTTTACATATTCTTTGTAGGAAGCAGCACTCAACGTGGTGTCAGTTGGAATCTTGGAAATTTTGGCGGAATGAACGGCACCGGCGACTGGGGACGTCAAGGCTAATAAGCCGGTGGCAATGGACGTCAAGATGGGCAACGAAAAGTGCATTTAGGCGATGGTGGTAAATTTAGGTGATAAAAGATTAATAGTTATCCCCTGCGGAATTTGTATGACACTTTTGTGCGCAGGGTATTTGTGGCAACCCAGCAATGCTGGGGCAGAATGTCGCAGGGTTTTCGCCGCCGGCAGATGTCGCAGATGAGATGTGTCGCATCAACATGGGAAGCAGTCCGCGACTTTTCAGGTGATAAACTAGGGCAATGCTATTCAGAAGTCAAGTGGAAAACTACCACCCGGCAAAGCCGTTACAGTATAGCAAGGATAGTGGGGAGATCCACACCATGGCAGATATTATTGCTCAAACTGCACCCGAAATGAGCCACGGATACTCCTATTGGACCAATCCTCTCTTGTGGTCAGGCCACCTCCAAACTGCATTCACTGCTCTCAACAAGTTTGAAGACTCAGACAAGGTGTACTATAAGAGAGAAATCATCAGCGTGGAGAAGGACAAGTATTACGAAGTTGACGGTCACCGGCTTAAGTATGACACTTGGGAAGGCAAAAGTACGTTTGCTGTGGACTATGTGAGTACCAGTGAATATGATTCGAACCATTTAAAGTACCAGCCACTGTCACAAACGGATGAATTGCCTCCTCGCACCCAATACAAGAACCCTAACGTCGAGGTGTTCCCCGACGAAGAGAGACCGTTGGTGGTGGCATTGCATGGACTTAGTGGAGGTTCGTTTGAGCTGTATGTGAGGGCACTATTGAATAAAGTACTGCCAGAACTCGACGCAGTGGTAGTCAATTCAAGAGGATGCGCAGGCCATACCATCACCAGTCCCCAGCTTTTCTGTGGGGTTTGGACCAATGACTTGCGGTACTTTATCAATGAACATGTCAAGCGTCGGTGGCCTCATAAGAAGATATTGCTTGTAGGATTCTCATTAGGTGGAGCCATCACCGCCAACTATGTTGGCCAGGAGAAGGATGACGTGTATGAGAAGATCTGTGGGGCCTTTATCATGGGATCCCCGTGGGACTTTTCTGACAGTTCATATGTGTTGAGAGAGAGCTTATTGGGAGATCGAGTATACTCACCGGTGATGTGTCAGAATTTATTGAAGTTGCTCAAAAAGCACCACAAGGGCCAACTTAAGTACGTTGAGATGGTGGAGAAGTACCTGGTGGATCCTCTGAAGTTCACACTTGGTCATTTACGGGACTTTGATGACAACTTCACCTGTAAGTTGTTTGGGTTTAACACCTCTTTTGAATACTATCGGCACGCCTCGCCGGTGCAGAGACTCTTTAAGATCCGTGTTCCCACGGTGATTGTGAGTTCTAAAGATGACCCTGTTTGTGGAGTTCGGTCATTGCCAGTTGAAGAGGCCACTTTAAATCCTTATGTGACGATGGTCACCACCAGCGTTGGAGGTCACTTGGGGTGGTTTGACTACAGCAACAACCGGTGGTACGCGGAGCCAGTGGCCAGAATGATGAAGGCATTGAGTGAATATAAGCCAGTTCGAGAGGGTGCAACGTTGCCAATGGACATTGATAAGGTATGGCAGTTTGACAGACTAGTAGCTGAATAGAGTAATAGACACAAGTGAAGCAAGACCGACCATTCTTCAATCGACAGCTTCTCACCACCGCAACTGTGAGAGTAGCAAGGTGTTTTATTTGTATGAACTTTTCTGTACATCACCAGTTTCGCAGCCGCGCTTTTTATCAACATGTCCTCGTCTCACAAATGGGTCAAAGACCTTAGAGGACTTGCTTCATCTCCTAATGACAACGACCACCTCAAGATCGACTATATTGATGTCAACCTCAATAACTCCCGAAAGTTGATTGCAAATGTGAACACCATAGTCGCTTCAAGTGAACAATACCTATTGGTTAATCATCTGGTAAACGAAAGCTTGATTAAGCTCCAGTCTGCCAGCCAGGCGTTGAAGTGGACGGACGGAGAGAAGAGATCATAGTGTGGGGGGTTTCAGACTTTCTATGGGTGCACGGGTCAGACTAGATGTCCTTCGATGGGTATGGGTCAGATGTCTACGCCATTTACTGCATAATATATTACACCTAAATATTTAACTTTATGGCCCCAGAGTCCTTTACCAGATTTAACTCAACATCAGGCGTGGCAGATTCTGGCAGAGGCAGGAAGTTGACGTTCTCATTCTCATCATCCTCATCATCGATCACAAAGTCCTGTAATTGAATGTCTTCCGGCTTGTATCCATCATCATCCTGAGACAATGGCTGGTGTGTACCTCTTTCAAGATCGCCAGCAGCTGGCTTGGACTTGTACTTCATAACCACTAAAGTACACCCAACGATCACAAGAATCCCCAAAATACTCAAAAACCCTGGAAAATGATGCCAGATAATCACATCAAGAGCTATGGCAAATACCATCTGCAAATAAACCACCAACGAAGCCTTTGAGGCCTTCACCCGTTGTACCCCGGCGGTTAACGCAAACTGGTACAAGAATCCTGCAATGCCAATGGTGAAAAATAAGGACCATTGATAGCTATCTTGAGGAATTGCAAATGAAATCGATGGGATCACTATAATTGAGATACTTGAGATGACCACCGTCACCATCGAGAAGAAACTCACTGAAATCAATGGATGAGCCAGGTTACCAATCTTCCGTAAAATGATAAAAACAGAAGCAGCCGCAAGGGCCCCAAGAAGTGCAACACCAGTGGCTAAAAGCCGTTTTTCGGTAGATGACGACTCCACTGAATCATCAGCCAGTCCCGCTTCTTTATCAGCCTCCAGACCAAAAAGAAAATGGGGCTTTGCAATCAACATCACTCCACATAAAGACACTAATCCACACATAGCCTCCACCAAAGAATACCGTTCTCGGAGCAAAATCCATGCCAAAAATCCGGTGATTAAAGGCACCAAGAAGGTAATGGCTACTGAGTCACTCATACTCAAGTATAAAAGGGAGAAATACAGTCCAAACACCCCAAAGAAGCCCACAACACCCCTTAAGAGCAACCACTTTCTCACAGAAGGTTCTCCAAATGGTGCATAAGGAACTGATCTGGTAATGAGCATGTATAAAAGGCAGCATATATAGGTGATGGCCATTCGAACAAATAAAATTTGGATGGGGTGAATCGGATTGTCATCAGTGACCAAAAGCTTGCAGGTGGTGAGCATGACGGTGTTGAACATCTGTCCTAGAATTAAAAGGGTAAAACCGAAAACTTCATCATTGTTAACTAGATCCGTGTAGAGCCGCAGAAGGGTCTTGAAACCGGACCTAGGCCTCGATAGACTTGGGAATGGGATCTCTTCAAAAGCAGGATTGAGACTCGGTACTGCCATTGAAGGCTGTGACATTGTTTATTTGCACTTGTAGGAGGCAAGAAATTCAAGATAAGAATAGTTAAAAATAAATTGTGTATGCTCCCTTTTTCACCTTCTCTCACTGAAGATGTGCAAATCGCGGGCGATGATCCACAACGGCTTTATATATTAAATCACCCATTTTGTCTATCTACAACTATATACCAACATGCTTACAACACGGCACCAAATCCAAAGGTGATCTTTATACTACGGATATAGTAGTCTTCAAAATTTCCCCGGACGCGGTCTTCTTCCCCCACAGGAATCCCATCGAACTTGACAACCATCTTGGTTTCGGATGATCCTTGGTTCAACGAGATGTTCAAGTGAGCAAAGTGGCCATCTTTCCAGTCCTCAAGTCTCCAGTCTTGGACAATCTGTTCGTTAGGAACAAGCTTGGTGATTTTGGAGGTGATGGAGCCTCCAAAGAGTTTCATTATAGACCCTACCGCCGCCGGTGTGGGCTCGATCAAGGGTGGAGACCGGGACCAGGCAGCGATACGTTGGGGGTCCAATAAAGTCAAGAACAACTGCTCGGCTGTGGTGTTGAACGAAGGTTCAAGATGTAAGGTGGAAGTATTGTACTTGGGGATATGAGAAGAGGTAGCTTTGGGAGCAGCACTTGAGGAAATGGTCTCCTTTTTGATGTTCTTTTTAACGCTCTGGTTTTCCTTAGGAGCTTTTTGGACCGCCGTGTGAGCTTCTTGGTTGGACTTGGTGAACACCGAGTTGACCTTGTCTGACTCCAACTGGATGTCAGAGCTATTGGTTTTGATCAAAACTCCACCAAAACCTCCCAATACCTGGCGCAACTGAGGCAAGAGTTGGGTCCTGATCAAAGCACGGATGGCATCCTTGGTATTGGTTTCATTATAGATGCTAACATCGAACTGAAGATCGTGTTCCTCAGTGTCGTAAGCCAATTCGGGCACGGTAATGGACCCCGACACATCGCTGGACTTATCAGCAGTGTCGGTAAAGCCATCGAATTTTAATACTAACTTCATGTCAAACAACGAGATCACCTTACCTTTCCTTTGAGAAACCTCACAATCACCTTCCACAGACGAAACGGCCGAGATCTTGACGGTTTGTGAGTCTTTTTCGGCCTTGAGCCCCACAAGAGTATCTTTGAAGTAGTCACTGGACCACGATAAGCAATTCTTATCGACCCAGTGCCAGTTGTTAGGATTGTTCACCACCATGTTAATAGTCTCCAGATAGTTAAAGTTGGAAAAAAAAGTGGTCGCACCGAAAAATCTAGAAATAACTGGCAATTGTGGTCGTGTTATATTGATATATATATGTTTGTAGATTATCATTACTAGGCATCAACTTCCATGGCATCCGGACCTGAGCCGAAACTGATTACAGTTTCTTCCACATCTAAGATTTCACGGACGCTTTTGTTCAAAACTCCCGTAGTGCCTCTAGCAAACTTGTACGATTTATTCTTTTGAGACCTGACGTTAGGTGTCAAGTAGTTTCTGTACAATTGAGCGTCTTTACCCACTTCCATCACACACAAATCGACGTTGGAACCGGAACCCAAATCATTCCAGATACCCGACTCAATGGCGTCTGAACACAATTTCATGGCCTCTTCTCTCGACATATCAGGCTTCCAGTTAGTTTCCAAAATCGCCATGGCTGCCAAAGAACCCGATCCCAATGATTGGTACTCTCCAATATCGGTTGAGCCATGTGCCTGCACAGACAACAAGTGTGCACCGGTGGCGTCGGTACCAGCGACGATAAGATATGCACCCAAGTGGCCTTGGTACTTGAACAAGTGCTGTTTCAACATGGTCAACGCGGTTATGACTCGTGGAGGCCTATTCTGAGCCAATCCATGTAATTCCAAATTCGATGAGATCAATTGGGTCACCATCTCGGTGTCTGCAGCGGTACCGGCCCCAGCACACCAGATCTTTGGTGCCAATCTGTGAAGTTTCTCACAGTTCTTATCGGCAACAATGCTACCGGTGGTGGCTCTGGTATCAGCCGCGATGATTACACCACCTTTGAATTTACATCCCACAATCGTGGTACCGGTGGAGGTGGCTTTGGGTTGCAGGTGCCCGTTGGCAGCCAAAACCTGATTTCTTTGGAAGTTGTCAAAGCTTAACCCAGGCATTCTTGTATCGAGCAGTAGATATTTTTTTGCCTTCAACTTCAAGAGCGCCAGAAAACCGCGACTCCAGCGTCAGAGGTGTGCGCGGTGTCAAAAGTTCCATCTCACCAAATCAACTCGAGCCCACCCAAACAGCATTATCAATGCTATCAAACAGATACAACTACGTGGCGCCCGCACGGGTTAAAGTTCTCGTGGTGCCCATAAACCACCCGACTCCCGCGGAGTTTGACGGGTTTGTGGCCACTCTACGAGCGGGTTCTGAGATCAGATTGTTAGACATAACCCCAATGTCACAGTTAAAATACTTCAATCCCCAGTCTTTTCCGAGCGGTAAGTTACTCTATGAGATTCTGACGCTGGTTCCGGACAACGAGTCGATTTTTTTACACGATTTCGAGCCGTCCCGCAAAACATTTATTGTCCTTGGTGTTGGAAAGTACTCACCAGATGTTGATACCGACGGTGAGAAGTTCAATAGTCAATTAAAAAAGCTTTACCCAAGCACAATTGTCCAGAATACCATCATGTTCGACACCCCTGATGATATCATCAAAGTCCTCAATCCTTCCAACAACCATTCAATGAAATCGTGCTTTTATTTCAACAGCACTAAACAGAACTTGACCCTCATGGAAACCATTATGTGTGAAGTGTCGAGAAACTTCTTATTCCATTTGGACGAGTATGCGACTTCTTACCAGAATATAACTCTTCGGTCTCCGGTGTCAATTACCAACAGTCAGTTGTTGGCCAAAACCATCAACAAGGCACAAAAACGCCTATCATCAGGTGGTACAGGGTCGTTAAAGGTGTCCTTCAATAACAATGGTACCGTCACAGGGCAAATGGACGCGAAAAACAAGACCCAGGTCCGTAACAATGGACGTCAATCTAAGCTTATGGCCTCGTTCTATCTTTTGGCTGGAAAATACGTGGATGCTTTAAATAACTTCACTGATGCGTTATTGTACTTGAGAAAGTCAGATGATTCGGTGTGGCTAGCAAGTGCTTTGGAAGGAGTTGGCGTGGTGATAATCTTGTTGAACCACATAAGCGTACCTTACCAGTTACCAAATGCTGTACTCGCAACGGTGCTACTGTTGTCAAAAGGTAAAATAAGAGATATGAGCATAGACAATGTAGCCAGAAGAGTATCAAATGATTCTTTGTCGAGGGTACCAAGCAACAGCAACAGTCCAAACGGCCATGCTATAACGTCTCCCCGTACATCTACAGGCAGTCTTTCCTCGAGTCCAATAGGCGCAGGTCCCGATTTGGGCTTAGTGGCCGTACCCGAGTTGATCAAGCGAATCACCATAAAAGTTGATTCTTTTTTCCAGAACAGTACAGACGACTTTGAAAACACTGTACCCGATATTGTATATATCGAGTCATTGTTGAGACAGATCAATTTCATGGTGGCAGTGTTCAACAGAGGTATCGATGTGAACCACGAATTCTATACGGGACTTGTGAACGGTACTATTAAACCCAATGGCCATCGCACAAACCCTTGGTTTACAGCAGCAGATATTTTGCACGAAGTGGATAAGATATTCTCTCTCCAATTAGTTGATTTGAACTTGGTTGATCAGTGCAGAATTTACTGTTCGATTGCATCCACCTACAACGAACTTGGAATGTACAGAAAGAAAGCTTTTATGTTAAGAACGCTTTTAGTGGGTCTCTTACCTAGCATCCAGTCAAACATACCAGAAATCACGTATTCACGAAATTCAAATGCCAATAACTCAGAAATCACTGAACTGGCTCCCGGTAACGGTGCAACAGGCTCAGAACAGGTGAAAGAAATTATTGAACTCTTATTCTTTGATTATGGAATAGACTTGAATGACCAAGAGCTGAAGACTAACTCAGGCCTGCAATGGAGGTCCATTCAACTCCAATTGCTAAAGATCGCTATCCACATATTCGAAAGCTTGGGTGATCATCGTTACTTGGTTAAATTATACAACTTGGCTTTGACCAAGTATCTTCATTGTCTTCCTCCGGATGACCAATTGAGATTGAAACAGAAGTTGGAAGACTTAAAAGTTTCAAATCCCGACTTACCACTTCCCTACTGGGATCCGTTCCTTGTTAGGTCGGTAAAATTTATACCAAACTCCAATAAAAATGAGTTGGTTCCTTTTCCCAAAGATAGCTTACCAAAATCTTCAGGAAATGAAGATGCCCATGCGCCTTTCATCTTCAATCCTTTTGAAAAGAGTACTGCACAGACATTTAGTAATGAGAAACTTTTAATTAAGGATGAACTATACCAACTAAAGGTGACACTTCAAAACCCTTTTAGTTTCGAGTTAGAGGTTAGTGATATTCTGGTATCAAGTGCGGATGATTTCCCTCTTGAGACTGTACGAATGGCACTTGGACCAGCCAATGAGGGACTCTTCAATGGTAGACCCAAACTCAATGGGCTAAACTCTCCAGTTCCTTCAAGGCTGCTTACTCAAAGTAAGTTTTCCGTGAACAATCCCAAATCAAGAAATGAAAAGGCACTTGCTGATTCTAAAAGTGCTTCCGCTCCGGGATTGAACACTTTTGATACAAATGGGACCACCAGTTACAATAGTACCACTTCTCATGTGGTTTCATTAATTGTCCCTGCAAATTCGTTTGAAGTCTTTACATTTCCTTTCAAAGCGTTGAAGTCAGGAGAGGTATGTTTGGATGGTCTTCATATATCCATAGGCAAATGTGATTCCCTGAAGTTTTACATTGTCAAGGATGTAAAATATGACATCAGTAATAAAATCAAGCCAATTAAAGACAAGAAGCCAAAAGATTCTGAGGATTCTTCAAGTCTGAAAGCCACCAGTGAACAAATAACTAGGTCTGTACTAAACTTGAACGTCATTGAACCTCAACCAACTTTATCACTAGTGGATCTTCTGGTTACTAACGGATGGCTAATGTTACTTGAAGGAGAGAAGTACAAGTTTCTGATTAGACTTGAGAATCTGTCTAAGGAGATAATCAACTATTTGTCATTTTCCTTTTGGGATTCAACCATCCAGATGTGGACTTCAAGGCTAAGTAATAGTGTGGTCGGCAATCAGCTTTCAGCACTTGAGATATATGAACTTGAATGGCTTTTGATCAAACTCAAGTCTTTTAAAATCTTGAACAAGAGGGAGATCAGTGAGAAATATAATACTATCAAACCCAACCAGGAAATTAGAATCAACTATGAGGTAACTGGTAAAAAGAATATGACTGAACTGAAGATAATCTTGGAATATGCCAATAAAAAGGCCGATAACCCAAAAAATAGCTTTCTCAAGAGCATTGAGGTGCCATTAAATTTAACAGTGATTCCTTCAATTGAATTGATAAATTGTGATATACTTCCACTATTTTCATCCACCTTAAACGGATTCAAAAGCTCATCTGCAAATGAAAAGGAAGCCTTGAAGAACCTCGGTGATCTCAAACTCTTCATGAAGAACATCGATGGAAATAAAGACATTTCGGATTATTGTTTGATTATCTTAGACTTGAGAAACTCCTGGTCAGAGGAGTTGAGTATTTCTATCAACTTTATGTCAGGAGCTGACCAAGTGTTCAAGATCAATGATACATTAAGACCAAGAAAGGCCGCAAGATATTTGATACCGACAAGGAGAGTTGGATTCAAGGATTTGGATTTCAATAAGAGAATTCCTTCATTGAGAAACAAGCAGTATGTTAAAGACTACCTGATTTCTGAAGCTGAAGATCTTGAAATGAGACAATCTTTTTGGCTTCGGGAGAATTTCTTAAGTAGAATCAGTGGTAAGTGGTCCAATTCAGTAAGGCACGGAACCATCAGCTTCAGAAGTATAAGGCTCACTAATAAGATGGTCAACTCATTAATGTACTCGAGAATCAAGATCACCCACCACATTTTGAACGAGGAAGACCTCTCTTGCGTTGCCCGTTCTGGGGTTCACTTAGCGTTACAAACTGAACAGTTCTACATCATGAGGACCGTTATTACTAATTATTCCGACCAACCAATCTCAGGTATCCTAAGACATTTGCCATATCCGTTGATTAACAGCAGCCAAAATTATTCCCAGATACCCCACAAAGATCAACTAAATATCGACAAGAAGATTCTATTCAACGGACTATTACAATTAAAGTTACCAGAAGTCGTCGAGCCAAATCAGTCTTTGACAGTGGATTTGAGTTTTACTATCCTCGAGCGAGGAGAATACGAGTGGGGATCATTATTAGATGCTGTCAGTGACTCCATCGAAGCATTCAAGGTGACCAGCAGAGAACTGGTATACGTAGTAGCATCGTAGCATAACATTAGTAATTGCATAGCATTAATAGATAAATTTATTGTAATTATGTACAAGGGTTGATAGTGTTTGCTTTACTTTTTTCCTGGAGCCAACTTGAAAGGTAATTCTTGTGCTCCCTCGGCCTCAAGTTTTTTGATGTATCTTTCTCTAGTGATATCGTTATACCTTTTCTCCTGGAAGTACTTGAACCAACTAGCCACACAGTTGTTCTGAAACTCGGTTCTCAAAGTCCCACAGTTGTTTTCAACTGCATCTTTTTGTTTGGCATCCAACGAGTTGTCGATTCCGTGCGCGGTTAAGCATTCAAAAAACCTGTCACGGCTGTCCCAACATGTTTGTCTTTTGTTTTTATCTGGAGGGGCTTGTACCTCACTGCTAAACCAACCCATAATAAAGAAGGTATTGACTAGTGAAAAATCGAAATCGCGAACTCGATCAAGGATGAGGTTCCTGTGGAGCAGAGTAAACCGTTGTTTTAGCTGATGTTAGGCTTGAAGGATCCTGATGATGATTCGATCATTAATCTGAACAAGTACAACCTGTTTGTCTAAGAATGAAGCTTGAAGCGATATTTTCTGCAGAATCAGTAACAGGTTTCAAAGTCACTCATCGTGATTGCGGCCCATTTTTGTGAGATGAGCATTCAACTTTAACTGTGGAAAATCCCCAAAACCACACACCATGTCAGACATTGAAGTAGACTTTCACCACGATCCCAATGATATAGAACACATGCAGTTTGACATCAGGTACCGTTCTAGTTCAATCAACTCGTCAAGTGGACAGACACTCCCCAAAATTAAGATTCTTGGAACTGGAGGTACCATTGCATCCAAAGGAACTTCAGCGCATCAAACAGCCGGTTACAAGGTTGATTTGACAATAGAGGAGATGGTTCAGTCTATTCCTGACTTGGGTAGTACCTGCGAGTTGTCGTACGAGCAGATTTTGAATGTGGATTCCAAGGAAATAGGTGCAAAAGAGTTGCAAGTTATCTACAACGCAGTAGTTGATAATATTGAGGAGTATGATGGGTTGGTGATCACACACGGAACAGATACAATGGAAGAAACTGCTTTTTTCTTACAGTTCACCATCAAAACATCCAAGCCAGTTGTTATGTGTGGTTCAATGAGACCTTCAACTGCGATTTCATCAGATGGTCCCATGAACTTATACCAAGCAGTGGTGATTGCCTCCCACCCTGAGTCCAGAGACCGGGGGATTTTAGTGGCATTCAACGACAGAGTGATTTCAGGCTATTTCTTGAAGAAAAGTAATGCTAACTCTCTTGATACATTCAATGCCATAGGCCAAGGGTATTTGGGGAACTTTGTCAATAACCAGATTTACTACTATTTTCCACCTTCAAAGCCTATGGGAGTGTCATACTTGCCGATTCCACCAGGATTCGACTTTCAGTTCCCAGAAGTCACGGTTTTATTCGGACACCAGGGATTTAATGATGATTTGTTGCCTTTACTCTTTGACAGTATCAAAATCAAAGGGTTGGTATTGGCAACAATGGGGGCCGGTTCCATGAAGGACACCACCAATAAAGTTGTGTTTGAGCTCAGTAACAAGTTCAAGGTACCTGTCATTTATTCCAAGAGATCTATGGATGGGATGGTTACTGTTGGCTCATTACCTAAGTTTGAAGGGTCACCCTGTAATAATCTTATTGCTAGTGGATCATTAAGTCCGCAGAAATCCCGGATTCTCCTTCAATTGTGTTTAATCAACAACTTCAGCGTGGATACCATCAAGTCGTACTTCAAGAAAGTATACGGAGGTTCATAATATATTTATATTGATATTAATAAACACAGCTAATGCTACACATACGGGACCATAAACACAACCATTTACTTGTAAGCTTCTTCCACTCTGTCCTTACAAGACTCCAAGATCTTTTTTCTTTGTAACTTTTGTGCTGAAGTAACAAAACCGTTTTGTGGAGTCCATTCTTCGTCCAATAACACGATATTTTGCAATAATTCGATACCCCTTAACCCTTGAGACTTACCGGTGGCCAAAAGGGATTTTAAAACTGCCTTCGAAACCTTCTTGTCGTGACACAAGTCAGCCAAAGCCTTTGACTTCAACTCGGAATCAGAGTAGATGTTCGATTCCTTCAAAAAACTTCTCAAATGAGGTTCGTTTGGTAAAATCATAGCCACAGGCTTAACTTTGGTCTGATCAGCATAAACACAAAGGTTCAAGACGTTTGTGTTTGATCTGTAAATAGATTCCAACTTTTCCAAAGCAATATATTCACCATTCAAAGTCTTCACCAAGTTCTTTCTTCTATCAATGACCTTCAAGTTACCGTTGGCAGTCCATTCACAGATATCACCAGTCTTGAACCAGCCATCTGGAGTGAAAGCATCGGCCGTTTCCTTTTCATTCTTATAGTATTCCTTGGTGACAGGTGGACCTTGTAACAATAATTCACCTTGGTTGTTCTTAGCAAAGTAACCAGCTTCTGGAACGTCAATCAACTTGGCGGTGACGGAACCCAAAAGACAACCAGCAATTTCGAAATCAAAGTGATCAGGGTCAACAATAGTGGTATTGGCAACGGTCTCTGTTAAACCGTAACCCATCAACATGGGACAAATCAAGGTACTGATAAACACTTGTGCATCTCTGGAAATTGGAGAACCACCGTTAAGACACAACTTCAAACAACCACCGGTGGCCTGCTTAACCTTTTTGAAAATCACATCGAACAATCCTGAACCAGGCATATTGTAGTCCTTAAATGCCAACTTGGCCTTGAAAGCAGCCCAAAAGATTTTTTGGGTGAGTGGAGGCAATTCCTTAACCTTGGCCAAAATTCCTTTTCTAACCGATTCCCAAACGGCTGCAACCCCAACCATGACAGTCGGTTTGAATTCAATCAAATCAGATTTACAGTTTTTACAGGATGCGTCAGTCAACGTCTTGACGTTGGCATATCCCAAAGTAGCACCCCACCAGAAACAAGTCACTTCAAACGCCAATTCAAAGATGTGAGCCAATGGCAAGAATGCAACCACCCTATCGGTGTTTTGCACCACGTTTCTACCAGCTACGGTGGAAACTCCACCCACACCCGAAACAACATTTTCGTGGGATAACACCACCCCCTTTGGGTCCCCGGTGGAACCAGAGGTGTACATGATACACGTCAAGTCTTCGGGCTTGGCGGTCTTGATGGCATATTTGGGGTCGTTTTCAACTTCTTTACCCAATTTGAGTACATCTTCGTAGCTGATAAAGGTGATATCGGGGTTTATTTCCAAGATCTTCGCCTTGGCCTCGGAGGCAGACTTGTAGAAAAGCCCGCCTTGACGCTTGTCGTTCTCATCAATTGGGTCAAAGTGGATGATATACTTGATGGAGGTGGCTTGCTTGATCGGATTGATCAAGTTGCCCAACAACAAGTTATCGGTGAACACAGCCGAACTGTCAGTTTGCACCAACGAATGGGTCAATCCTTTTTCCCCCAAGGTGTCATAGGCGGTGACAATGGGAATGTTCTGAGAGCTACAAGCCAAATAGGTTTGCATCCATTTGTGGGAGGTGGACGCAAAAATGTGCAACTTGTTGGCCTGTTCAGGCTCAATTCCCAACTTGACCAACCCCTTTCCGTAGGTGGTGACCAAGTCCAATAAGTCGGGAAATGTGATGAATTGATAAGGAGAGTTTTCATAAAAGAGCCATTCCTTCTCCACCGTCTGCTCTTGTCCATCAATGATTTTCTTGACGCTCTTGATTTCCGAGTGCACCTCCTTCAAGTCTCTCCAGCCCATGGCATTTCGGGAGCCATTTCTCTTGACACATTCCTGGAAGAATTCAAATACAGTGCTGGCCTTGGAGTCAACAGGTCTCAAAACACATCCATCTTTCTGGGTGACCTTTCTTCTGGGAGCTGTTTCACCCGGCTGGGCAGGTCCTACAGCGGTGGTTAATTGATAGACCATTGTAATTTAATAAAAACCAATAGTTTTGGGGGCGAGAAATCCGAGAGGGGGATGCAGATGTATATATAATGGAGAAAAAATCCCGTTTGGCCTATGCCAGAAAAATTGTCCGCAGACCTAACCGAAAACAGAAACTTGAGTGTGAATTTTAGTCATCACCCAGGGGAAATGTTGGGGAGCAAGAGCCTAACCAAATTTTGGGTCGGTAGTATGGAGCTATTGATATTATAATTACGAGGGGCTGCGTTATCCTCGGGGGCATAACTTCCAACAAGGTCAGCTGCCATAGCAAAGTTGCGGCGAAACGGCAACCAGCAACGCCGCGACATCCGCGACATATTCTCCGTCTTTGCGGGACATCTGCCCCTGCGAGGGGTGTTTAGGATCGGCTGGTGCTAACTACTAGTTACAGGTAAGGGAAATGTGATGAGAGCTGGCCCTCCGTCGCAGGCATAAGACTGGAAGCCGGAATTGATGCTGAATTTTCAATTGGTGTGGGTGGAAGAATTCCGAGGATGGACTAATAATAGAACCGAGCTTTCCCCAACAGATATGGGATAACAAGTCCCGGGGCACCATTGGATAGATTAATGGGCAAAGATCGGGCACCAGGATCCGGAGCTAGTCACATGACTGCCATCTTGGCAGATTGCGTTTGTGTGGTTGGGGCATTGTAGATCTGCTTGCGAAGGTGCTCGTCTCAGGGTTTTTGTTGGGGAACAAATATGTTCCCCAACAACGACATCGCATTCGTGCTGCAAAATGTCGGGGTGCTGCTGACATAAACCGCGACATTGGCCATGGTCTTCGGTTGTGATGGTGATCAGCTACCATTGGGGTGGGTGATGGGACAGAACTTCCAGATTTGATATTTAGCTCCCCAAACATTTACAATCATAATTCTACCTCATAATTTATTAATATTAATTAGCTCTATAACTCTACTAAAGCAACCGCTCTTCGAATCTCAATTCGTTATTCACGGGCAATCCCACCAATAATCTCAACAAGTTTTCCACTGCCAACCGTTGCTTGTTCAACCCATTAATAGGCTTGAATCCTGGCTTGGACAATGGAGCCTTCAACCAGTAACTCAACAACGTCAACACCGCATAGAAGTTGTCATAGCTGTCGTCGGATGCTCCAACCTTCTTGTAGGTGACTCTCGAAAAGAACTCGGTCATCACCACCAAATCAATGATCAATGGAGTGGCCAACAAAGAGTCTTCACACACATTGTGAATAGAGATCTTGTTATGTCCACCCAACATCAACTCACTGTAGTACTCATCCATGGCAACCTTAGAATCCTTGACCGCAGGCACGTACTTAATGACGATACAGTGATCGACTTTTCTTCCGGTTTCGTCGTTGTAAAGAATCTCATTACTTTCGATAATATCATCAACCACTGAAGACTTTGAGATCTCCTTTGATCTAAATTGTTTGGGAGCAGACAAATTGTATCCATCGTTGTTACCCAAGTGGTTATAAGAGGCAATGGAAACTGGACGAATACCGGCATCCACCAAGAATTGTGCCAACACAGACTTGACCTTGGTTTGTCCACTCTTGAAGTCATCTCCACCAATGAAAGATTTGTATTGTGCAGCCAATTCAATCACACCCGGAACAAAAGTATTTTGAGGAGATCCATTGATGTATGGAACACCTTCCAAAATACTGGCAACAGCGAAAACAGAAGATGGAGATACTTCTTCGTGGTTTTCCTTGATAGCCTTGATAAAATTTTCGGCAGTATCGTTGACTCCTTCAATAATTTCAGAGTATCTTTCAGTGTTAGCAGTCCACAAAACGATCACCTTATCCAACTTGTTCTTTGCCTTGAAATCATTAATATCCTTTCTGATTTTTTCAACATCCTTCCATTTGTTCTTCAAGTCAACTTCTCCCTTGGCATCGATATTGGAGACGTTATCGGCTCTTTCCTTTTGATTCAAAGCAATGAAATCAGGATAGTATACAGATGGTAAAGGTTCGATGTCATCAATGTATGAGTACAATTGTTTCTGCAAATCGATGTCCAACACTTGGGCTCTCTTCATGGCCTTGTCCAATTTCAACTTGGAGATATCCCATCCACCAACAACAAAGTCATTGGGGTTAACCATTGGTAAGATTGAGTTGAAAGGAGCGTAGATATCGTTACCTTCAGCATCAACTCCCAACTTCACGGTGGAAGATTGGGTAACCGAACCGTAGTAGTTAGGCTTGACGACCCTTTCTTTGGTTTCAAAGGAAATGTTGTGTTTATTGGCTAATACAGCACCCACCAACGTGGTACCATTGTTACCACCTAAACCAACCAACATCAACCCCAACTTAGGGACTTTCAACTCGGTCTTGAATTCGTAGTCGGTCTTAGTAGGAGTGACGTTCAATGCTCCAGCTTCACCCTTTTCGACAATAGCATTTTCGTAAGTGAAGGTAGTCTTTAACACGTCCTCGGACTTGGTAGCTTTAGCGGAATTGAAAGTAACTTGGACCATAGTGTGAACCAATAAATAATCTGTGTAAGATGAGTATGAATAAACAGAATCTTTTGGCCAACTTGGGGGGATTTATCCCCTATTTATAGTGGGTATTTGTGGCAACACGATTCCTCCAACCCCACCGCAAGTTACACAAAATCACCGCACCCGCCGAACGTTCGGCGAAAATAGCGCGTGCCACGCCCCCGTACATAATAAACAATTGTACTAGCAACTTGATTGGTCGGCACGGGATATTTTCACAGGAATGACACTAATCGGGAAGGTGTTTATGGAAGTAGAGACAGAAACGGTGAAAAGGAGGCGTATTGTTGTACAGAGACAATATTAAATAGGGGAAACGAGCATTTGTCCAGTCAACCGGAGTAGACCCGGCGGTGGTAGTTGTACAGCTGTCCAAGTACTTGGAACTTACAAGACCGAGGAATTTTGGCAATTGAGAAGAGAAGAGAGTTTCAACATTCCTGGAACTGCCATTAAAAATGATCTGAATTCCACATCGAACTCTGACCCATACACCCATCGAAGTTCCGATATCTTCCCAATAGTTGCTGGTGCCTGACTCGGTAGACCAGTGTGGCCAATGTAACCTTATTCTTCACATTGATTCAAATGATTTGTTTTTAATGATGATTATTCCTTTGGTCAGATCCAATTGCATACTCATAGTAAAACTAGTGAAACAACTTGGTAGCCTATCCCAAAACCTGTCCATTCACTATCTTAATTATTGGTGTGTTTCACAAGCTTGTGCAATTGAGCTGCGCACGCGACATCAAAACTTGTCTCACATGCTTGGGCAAGTAAGCTGCGCACGCAGAATCCAAACTTGTCTCACAAGCTTGGCCAATTGAGCTGCGCACGCAGAATCCAACAGTCTCACGTGTCAGTCTCCTCGTACTCAAAAACGTGCCCGAGAAGCTGGAGGGACATGGCCAGGCCAAGAGATGATCGGTGTGTACCAACCACCAACTACCCGATATGCGCACAAAAAATTGCCCTTATAATGCATGCCCAAACCACAAACTAACCAATAGAACCTCCACATGGTGTTTAGGTCAGGCGAGTCTGAAGTCACGCCGTGGAAGGCGATACCAAATGCCTCATAAACCATTAAACCTCTGTCTTAGTGGGAATTCCAGTTGCGGAATAATAATCTTTAAAAGCGTTTTAGATAAAATAGTAGCTCTTTAGCCGAAATTCGCTTTGAATAGCCATAAAAAGCCTTTGAAAGGCTAATATCTGCAGATACAATTGACCAAAAATATCCCAACAAATCTCATAATAATTGTACAGTTATGTGATATTTCCCGTGCATTGACTGGTGCTGGTGAGCAATCAGTTTGCAACCAGCGTCTATTACAAGGGAACATGTTACCCCACAATTTGCTATTGTCGGTTTCAGACCAAATACTACCATCAGAACATTCGCAAGTCCTCTAATACAATAGGGTTTTGTCCCAACAATTGTTTTCTCTTATTCTAACGATGTACTAGCCTAATTGTAATGGCGCGGAGATGCAGGAATGGATGCAAAAATATTTGCGAAAGTGCTGGATGCGAATACCGATTAGGATAAGATGGAGCATCTTTAGGACGTAGAGCCAGCACCCACTAAGAAATAATGCCATCGTAGGGAAGTTTAGACCTTCTAATGACGCAAGGCCAAGGTTCCTATTCGGGCTCGAAATGATTGGGGTTATGCTTTGGAAATTTGGCAACTGACCAATTCCATATTTAAGAAGCCTTTTCCAGCTTACATTCTTATCTCTACACAAATTTGATACCCCCTCGTCGTTCCTTTTCTTCTCATTATGATATCAGTGTTGCTTGCTTTGGCTTTGACAGCCAATGTGTGGGGATTTGATATTTCGTCTCAGTCGAATGTGGCAGTTTATTGGGGCCAAAATTCCTATGGTCTGCAAACCAGATTGAAAGACTACTGTGTTGACGAAGTTGACATTGTTCTTTTGTCTTTCTTATACTCATTCCCAGATGACCTTCAACTTAACTTTGCCAATCAGTGCTCTGGTACCTTCTCCGATGGTTTGGCAGACTGTGAGACTATTGGTGAGGATATCGCCTACTGTCAGGAGCAGGGAAAAATTGTTTTATTATCTATGGGAGGTGCTACTGGGAGCTATGGATTTACTGATGACGACGAAGCAACCGACTTTGCATCCACCTTATGGAACAAGTTTGGAGGTGGTTCTGACGATGAAAGACCTTTTGGAGATGCTATAGTTGACGGGTTCGACTTTGATATTGAACTGAATGTACAAACTGGGATGGCTGCTTTAGGTAAAGGTTTATTGACCCAGTTTGAAAAAGATTCTTCAAGAAAGTTTTACTTGTCTGCTGCTCCCCAATGTCCTTACCCTGACGCGTCTGTTGGTGATTTAATGGAAGATGTGTCTTTGGATTTCGCCTTCATTCAGTTCTATAATAACTACTGTCTGTTGGGAACCAACTTTAACTGGGACACCTGGCAAGATTATGCTACCAACACGTCTCCGAACAAAGACATCAAGTTGTTCTTAGGTCAACCTGGTGGAACAACTGGGGCTGGTTCTGGTTATAATGATGCAAGTGTTGTTGCTGAGTATGTTAGTCAAATTTTCAACTCGGGTAATTTTGGGGGGATCTCATTGTGGGATGCTTCACAAGCATTTTCCAATACTGATGGAAGTGAGAACTATGCACAGCAAATGAAGGCTCTTTTGGAAGGCAATGTTGGTACCAGCAAAGCTACTCTGACCAGCAAAGATACTCTGACCAGCAAAGATACTCTGACCAGCAAAGATACTCTGACCAGCAAAGATACTCTGACCAGCAAAGATACTCTGACCAGCAAAGCTACACTGACCACCAATGTGAATGTGGCTATCCCTAGTACCAAGGCTAGCACCAGTACCGAGGCTAGCACCAGTACCAAGGCTAGCACCAGTACCAAGGCTAGCACCAGTACCAAGGCTAGCACCAGTACCAAGGCTAGCACCAGTATCAAGGCTAGCACCAGTATCGAGGCTAGCACCAGTACGGAGGCTAGCACTAGTACGGAGGCTACCACTAGTACGGAGGCTACCACTAGTACGGAGGCTACCACTAGTACGGAGGCTACCACTAGTACCACTACTGAAGCAGCTACTGCTGTAACCATTCCTGAAATCACCTCTAAAACCAAAATCACGAGCACAACAGCTACCACCGCTTCTACCAAGCCAACTGTAGTTGCTGATGTATCTACCTTGACAGCTTCAACTTCTCATGCGATAGTAACAACTGTCAAACCTGAAGTAGTCACCAAAACCACCACTTCAACTAGCAATGGCCAAGCCGTTACCCAAGTTTATACCTCCACAAAAACCAATACTCACGTTGTGACCAGAACCACCACAGTTCCTCCTCACATCGTCACTATTACAAACTATTATACCCCTTCCACCTTGACCACCGTCAGAATCGTTGGCACCACCACCGTGGTTGCCACCAAGTACATGACCCCACCAGGAATGTAAAACTAATACCATAGACTCTCTGGTTTAGCTAAGATAACATAATATACAGCTTTAATTTTTGAAATTCGAGCTCAATGTTCAAGTACTTGAGAAGGATCTTGGAATAGCTATTGAGGTAAATCGACTGGACCACTCCACCATCCCAGCTGTCTATAACTGAGTTGTCTATGCTGGTGTCATGACTGCTGAGTTCTAAAGGCAGAAGGATTATATGGATCAAAGGAATACTTGTTTGATCAATTATTGAATGTGCCTGTTTAGATAAAGGAGATGGACTCATCAACACCATGAACGTTGAGTTTTTGTCGTCGTCATTCTTGATATACTGCGAGTATATTCCCACCAACTCTCGGAGGATACTGGCCTTGATTTTAGTTCGGTGGTTCTTACACTGCACTAATATGTTGATATCGTGTTTGATGGAGATGTTCTTTTTGGTCGATTTGGTGTTCTTCAATTCGTGTAATTCTTTGGAGTTGGTGATGATAGGTATCACTTTGGCCCGGCTTCGAAGCACTTTGGCGGCCTTTATATCAGTTTCATTGAGTTTAAAAAAGTGAGACAAGTCCCATTTTCCCACTAGGTCTATACCATTATCAAAGGCACCACCCTTTCTGACAAGGTCGAAGCACTTGAGCTTATCCTCTAGAAAGGCCTTTGAAGCATACTCATATAAAGTTCCTCGAAACACCGTCGACGTAAAGCTGACATTATTGGTATGACAATGCTGGAGATACTGTTCGCAGTTCTTCACCTGAGATAACGAAGATGGCGCCAATGAAGCGTGTTTCTTCCACACAAGCGAAGTTGTTGGATAGTACCATTCTAGGGCTGACGGCATGCGACTTCTGGGGCCACAAACACATTTGTGCATGGAGAAAGGACGTATATACTTTTGTAGGCCAAACATGAGGTTTGATTTGGACTAAATAATTCCACGCGTTTGGGTGTTGCCAGGAATGTTTTTCGTCTCACTTCAAATGCTGCACAGCACACACATGTGGGTTTTGTATGTGGTTTTTGCATGGATCTTGAGCCAAGTGGCGGCCAATTCCGACGAGAACACTATCCGGTTATATGCCAAGCTGCTCACTACGCGAGAGCTGATTGATATCGGGTCCATATCTGTTGATGAGAAATCAAAGGCTCAGTTCATAAGCAGTGAAAAATCTTTTGGCGAGGGGGAATTCTGCGTGGGGACGGCCGATGTGGCACACCACGAGTGCTTCGCAGTCGCCAGTGGCCCATCCATCGCAACCGGGGTATTTGTGGTACAATTGGATCAACTTAAGCACATTGGCAGCATCTCACTCCAAAACGACGCCAGCACCTCGTCCCGCGTGGCGGTGAAGAGCGCCAAAGTGGTGCCAGCCCCCAATCTAAAGCCCAGCACCAAGCCACCGAAACCCCAGCCGGAGATCCGCAGAGTCAAGCAAACTACAACCGATAGCACAGGAGCCACGGTGGAGGTAGAGGTAGAAGTAGAGGAAGAGCCCAAATCATGGATCCAGAAAAACTGGATGTATGTGGTGCCACCGTTGTTGATTTTGTTTGTGGTGCTAGGTGACGACGACAAGAAATAACTTTGGTATATTGTAATGAATAGTACAACGAAACTGACCGTATAACCCAATGAGCACTGAGGAAAAAAAACCCGTCAGCTGCGCACGACCCGTAGAATTCAGCGAATCAAAAGGCAAACATTTTCTCATTAGTAAAAGAGCACTTGAATAAAATATAGAAACACACAAAAGTTTTCCTTCTGTTTAAGAGACTTAAACTAGTGAATAGTATTTTAAATCTGTTTTCGACCCATCGTCATCCACATATTATTCCCGTTGTGTTGAAGGTGTAACGTAGAAAACAACAGCTCCGTCCACAAATTCAAAATACTTATTCACCATGTTGGCAGCTAGATCTAGTCAAATACTTCGAAACCGTGGTGCTCAGCGGTTTTTCCAATCATCTGCCCGGGTGTTGGCCGACGTACAAGTCACTGTCGACGGCAAGACTGTCAACATAGAAGCCGGCTCTTCAATCATTCAAGCTGCCGATAAAGCTGGTGTAACGATTCCTCGTTACTGTTACCATGATAAGTTGGCAATTGCTGGTAACTGTCGTATGTGTTTGGTCGATGTCGAAAGAATGCCCAAGTTGATTGCATCATGTGCCATGCCCGTCCAGAACGGGATGGTGGTTCATACCGATTCCGAGAGAATCAAGAAAGCTAGAGAAGGTGTGACAGAAATGTTATTGGAAAACCATCCATTGGATTGTCCAGTTTGTGACCAGGGTGGTGAGTGTGATTTACAAGACCAGTCACAGAGATATGGAAGTGACAGAGGTAGATTCAAGGAGTTGGTGGGTAAGAGAGCCGTTGAAAACAAGGCAATTGGTCCTTTGGTTAAGACTTCCATGAACAGATGTATTCACTGTACCAGATGTGTTAGATTCATGAACGATGTGGCCGGGGCCCCAGAATTGGGTACGGCCGGTAGGGGTAACGATATGCAAATCGGTACTTATATTGAAAGAAACATCAACTCTGAAATGTCTGGTAACATCATTGATTTATGTCCTGTGGGGGCCTTAACTTCCAAGCCATATGCTTTCAGAGCCAGACCTTGGGAATTGAAGAGAACTGAAACCATCGATGTGATGGATGCTATTGGCTCCAACGTTAGAGTTGATGCCAGGGGTATTGAAGTCATGAGAGTATTACCTAGATTGAATGATGAAGTTAACGAAGAATGGATCTCCGATAAGTCCAGATTTGCTTGTGACGGTTTGAAGACCCAAAGATTGACTAATCCTTTAATCAGAAATGGTAACTCCTTTGATGTGTCTACTTGGGATGAAGCCTTGGCCAAAATCACCGAGGCTTTCAAGACCATTCAACCAAAAGCCAATGAAATCAAAGCCATTACTGGTGCGTTAACTGATGCCGAGTCTATGGTTGCCTTGAAGGACTTACTCAACAAATTGGACTCTGAACACGTCACCACTGATGTTCAGTTATCCACCGATGCCACTGGATTCGATGTCAGAGCTAACTACATTTTTAACTCCACCATCGATGGAATTGAAGATGCCGATCAAATCTTATTGGTGGGTACCAACCCCAGACATGAAGCAGCTGTGTTGAATGCCAGAATCAGAAAGGTGTGGTTGAGATCCGAATTGGAAGTCAGCCAAATTGGTGAAGAATTCTCTTCTACCTTCGGATTAGACCATTTGGGTACTGATTCCAAGGCCTTGAAGAAAGCTTTGGATGGTGGATACGGTAAAAAATTGGCCCAGGCCAAGAAGCCATTAATCATCGTTGGTTCTGGTGTGGCAGACTCTGAAGATTTGAGTGCCATTTACAAGATTATTGGAGAGTTTGCTTCAAAGAATGCCAACTTCAATTCCCCAGAGTGGAATGGAGTTAACTTATTACACAGGGAAGCTTCTAGAGCCGCAGCTTTAGACTTGGGATTCCAAACCGTGTCCAAGCAAGTGGCAGAAACAAAGCCAAAGATAATCTATTTGTTGGGTGCTGATGAAATTGCCAACAAAGACATTCCAAAAGATGCCTTTGTTATTTACCAAGGACACCATGGTGACTTGGGTGCGTCATTTGCCGATGTCATCTTACCCGGTTCAGCTTACACGGAGAAGTCTGCTACTTATGTCAATACCGAAGGTAGAGTTCAAACCACCAGAGCTGCTGTTAACCCTCCAGGAGTTGCCAGAGAAGACTGGAAGATCATCAGAGCTTTATCTGAGTACTTGGGACAAACATTACCATACAATGATATTTATGCCATCAGATCTAGATTGGGACAAATTGCCCCACATTTGGTGAGACATGATGTGATTGAACCAACCTCATCAGAAGTTGCTACCATTGGTCTCAAGGATATAACTACCAGAACCAAATCCATAACCACAGTTGGTGTACCATTGAAGAATCCAATTAAGAACTTTTATTTCACTGACGTGATTTCGAGATCTTCTCCAACCATGGCTAAATGTATTGGGACCTTTGGAGCTAAAGTCGATAAAATTATCGACGAAAAGCCCCAAATCGACATGGCTTAAAAAACCTTAGACTTATTTAATTACCAACCTATCACTGCATTATTCCATCCGTCCTCTCCATATGTAATCTACATAGACAAAACAGTAACTATATATACACATGTTCTAGAGCTGGTTTCGGGCGTGGCCGAGATGGTAAGTTCAAATGATAAGAAGCGAAAAACAAAAACATATTCTTACACACAGCCAAAAGATAAGCACACAATAAACTATATTGTATCGATATGTCAACAAAAGAGGCTCGTTCCAATTCGATGTCTCCGGAGTCGGATCCCACAGCCTTCATGAACAAGTGGAGGCAGACCAGGGCCTGTGCTCGGTGCCGAAGACTTAAAATGAAGTGTGCTTTTGATAACCCTAATTTTGGATCCTGTAAGAGATGCTTTAGAAGTGGGTTTGACTGCTCTTTTGATAACGACCCCACGGCAAAGTTTGCCAGAAAGAATCGAAGGGCTTCTCCAATGATGGTGGAGAGTGTCAGTCCCGGAATCACTTCTGAATCTATTGTGGGCTCTAAAACTGGAGACCAGATTTCTCAAGTGCAGAATCTTGTAAAGTTGGTCTCCACGTCTTTAAGCTCGTTGGAGCACGATTTTGCCATTGTACCATCGATATTGGAAGGTGATAAGTCGAGGTTGCAGAAATTGGAGCTCAGCTTAGGTGATGTCTCCAGTAAATTAAGTAATATCATGAAAGCCACCAACTCCAACAGTCTTAGGCAGTTTCAAGATTTTCACAAGACTTCAGCTCTTCAGGAATGCCCGTACATTCCATTCGGATCCAACATAGTGGAAGAAATCACTCAGAAGCACAAACTCGTGAGTATAGAAGAGTTCAGAATACGGCACCAATTCTTTCTCGATGAGATGCTTTCGTATTACCCCATCATATCGTTTTCCAAAACTATGACCGATTTCGACTACCTATATGAAACAGACCCGCTTTTATTAACGGGCTGTGTTTATGTGACTACAATCAATGACAATGGGCTTTTTTCTCGGATCAAAGAGAAGCATTACAAATTGTCTAATGAGGCGTTGAATCAAATGTTGAACTACTACTTGGAAAGCTTTATCTCGTATCATGTTTACATTAAGGCCAATGATTTCAACTATAGGTTGGTGGATTTGTGCTTGATATTATCGCTCTGGTGTTTGCCAACCACAAACTCGGGTCATTTCAAGAACCAATTCCACTTATTAATTGGGTTCAACATCTCGTTGTGCATTGATTTGGGAGATATTTCCAAAAGCTTGATCAATAAACTGTACACGAATATCCCCGTGTTGGGGGATGCGACCGAACAGAGGAATCACTTGAGAGCATTTCTAAGTGTGTATGTTTCTTGTGGTTCCTTGGGATTGTCGTTACCCAGATTCAAAGTAGTGAACTGGACTACTCAACATCACACAGCAGTAACCTTTTTGATGAAAGAAGGAGAAGTGGATGGAGTGAAGTTACCCACACGAAATGACCGGTATCTATGCTACTTTTCTAAAGTCATCAGATTGGGCCAAGAGATCTTCAATTATTTCAGTCCAAGTATGATGGATACAGCTCTCAGTAAGAAAAGAGATGCTTTATTCAATAACATGCTCGACCCATATACTTCATCATTATCCCACACCAAGTTTGTATTGGATAACTACGAACAGCGACTTTATTCTCTTCTCATTGAAAGTGGTTTTATGGACTCACCAGAGCCTGAAAGTGGAAAGGATCAACCCAAAGAAAAGTACTTGCTTTCTGTGATATACTACCAGCTACTTATGATAGTGTATGATAACTTGGTGAGCAGATATTTCTTGAGTGAGACAAAGGGCCAGGGCTATTTGGCCGTCAACACAATGCAAGCACCTGAAAGTGTCACTCCTGTTCAATACATTGTGAAGTTGATCAAATTGTGTGAAAACTTGTTAAAGTCCTTCATTATTCTCGGCCAGGAACGTACTATTAACTTACCCACATTCTTCTTCTACCGTCCTATGCACTCATTGATTCTTTTGATAAAGTTGAGGATCTTAATCAACTCGCTGAACCTCACCAAATGGTCTCCGATGATAGAACCAGAAGACTTGAAAATCAATGCTGAGGTGTACTTCGAAGGAGTTCATAAACTCATTCATGAAAGTCAACACAAGTACAGTTCTATTGTGTGTCTGAGAATGGCAATTATCTTATCCAGAATCGAAAAATGGATGCACTTGTCAACGGGAAAACGGTCTTCCCAGCCTTCTAGATCACAAGATCAAGTTCAAAGCGAAAACTCCAATTTGGTCAGGATGATTGACACCAGTAAAGAAATCGAGAATCTCAGAGATCCCAAAGAGGAAGCTATGGAACATAACAAAGATAACAATAACATTGCTCAGGAATTTGCTCTGGAAGCAAGTAGTGATGTCAATCCTGAGCGTCCTCCTATTCCTTCACAAGGAAGTCTCTTCTCCAATTCTCTCCAGGAGATATTTCAGACAATTGATTCTGATGTCATTAATTTTTTGAATCCATGGGACCCTATGGATCTTGACATGAACAATTCCGGGTTTGATGCTTCCTTTGTGTCAATGAATATGAATGAGTTTCAGAATACTCCAGGGTCAGGTATGGGATCTATGAACCCCAATGTCAATGGAGGTTTAAACAACCTTAGCCTGAATCTAGGCAACAATATTGGCGGCGACATGGGCCAGAATGGTGGTGCATGGTGATAAGTTTTATGTATTTTAGGTGTTTATGTATAGTATAATTAGAATTTAAACTTCCTTGCAGGCTTTGCTTGAAGTTCTTCTGTTTTTGTTGTTTCTTCTGTGGGGTTGTCATCATTAAGTTGATACTTTCGTTCAGATTCAAGCAACCCATTGGTAGATTCAGCTTCATTCTCTTTGATAACCGTGTATAGAGTTTTGTTTTTTGACGAGTCATTAGAAGGCTTTTGGTGGATGACAATTTCATCACCAGTATCTTTACTACTTTCCTCTTCAAAGTATGTGGGTTGAACGGTGGGATCAGGCTCGCTCTCATCATCGCTCTCATCCTCATCACCATCATCTTCATCTTCTGAAGATTCTTCAACTTGCACATCTCCCCAATGGCCATCATCGGAGTCTTGTCCATATACTTCATGATCATTAACCAAATAGCCCACATTGGCATATGTGATATCGATCCCCGGAATGAGTAAATGAGAGTAAGTGGGTGGTTTACCAATCTGACTCATAGTCGATATCCACGGAGGAGGAGTTTTCCCGTTTTCTGGTAGCCCCATGGCTTTTAAAAGCTCCACCGAAAGCTTTCCAGGTTTTACCTCTGTGAGTTTATCTTCATTTTCGTCAGTGGTTTCTCTTCCTTCATAGTAAACGTCACCATATCCCAAAAGCTTGGGTCTTGTTTGGTATTTGAAGAAGGCATCGTGAAGCTTTTGGTAGTCAATATCTAATTTCCCCATTTTCGGCTGAACCTTTTCACGTTGCTGCTGTCGAAGAGTCAGCTCATCAGAACTATTTCTCATGTCTTGGATACCTGTCTCAAGAATGTAGGATGGGAGCTGAAATGGAGGTCTCTCGACACCTCTTTTTCCGGCCAAATAGTCTCTTTTTGAAGACCAATGCAGAGGTACTGGAACAACATTTAGGTTCAGTTTTATGGATACCAACAAATAAGGATCATTTGCATCAACATCGGCCCATTCAACCACCTGAGGGTTTCTAGCCACTGCCTTGAGATGGGCCATGGATACCTTATTCTGTCTTTGAAGCTGCGATTTCGACTCTATGACATCTTCATCTTCTAGCTCAAACTCATCGGAATCCTCATCCAGAACAAGATCTTTATCTTCGTCTGTTTTGGCCACCAAATCACTATAATTCGTACTATCATTATCCTTTTTCTCATTAGAGCCCTCAAACTTGCTGAATATACTCTCGAATTCTTTGTACAAGTTACTTTCGACCAGAGGGTTTGGTTTCACATCTTCATCTTTATTGCGAGTATCTGCACTTTGCGAGATCGGGGGTGCGTGTAACTTGGGAACTGGTTTCTGTTCATCCGTGTCATTGCTGTTCAACTTTCGCTTCTTCAACTTCTCCCTACGAAGCTGGTTCTTCAGAAGTCTTACTTTGCTCATGCTGATAAGATGAAGATGAGATTCGCGCTGTGCGAATACAAGAGAAGAGGAAGCGACGCAGAAGAACTACATTTTGAAACATGGAAGAGAGAAGAGACGAAGACACGCAGGTACGTGGACAGAGGTCACATCTAAAAATCGTGTTTCTACTATTCTCCAATTGGGGTTTGTTCGTATTAACATCATTACAGCTACACATCATTGTGGAAATTCAGCAGTAAACATCACAAATCATCCATTTGTGACCTGATCTTCCGGATCTTCACAGAGATACTCTCCAATCTGTCGGTAATCTCGTCGTCATTCTTGACCAATGTCTCGAGAAGCTGTTTGGCTTCAGTGTCTATGCTCAAGGCCACGTCGAACACGGTATTGACCGCCTCCTTCTTGAAGCCACTCGTGTCAGACACATCTCCCGCCACCTCTCCATCGTGAAGCTGTGGTGTTGTGAGACCCACCGTGGCGTTGGCATCATTCAATTCAAGTGAGGATGTGCTCATGTTTTGGATTGTGATCCAGAAATAAAAGTTCGCGAATTGTTTGGCCAGTTGTTATATGGTGAGCTGGACTAGAATAACGGTATTTGCATTTTGGGTGTCACTATTCCAGGCCTCAGACGTGGAGGAATTGAAGTTTCGATTGAAGTACAACCACAAATCCGCGAATGTGGATATTGATAGCTGGCTCTTGGGCAATCAACCCAATACGTCCTACGAAATGGTGAACATTAACAACCAAGATTCCAATGTCGTGTGTTTCCTACCCAACTTGACAGATGACTCGGTTATAAAGCAATTGAGTGAAGATGAGAGCAAGGAGATAAGGCCTCAGCGCTCCGACAAGGAATTGCTCCGGGCGGTGATGTCTAACTTCACTAGTTATTTGGATACCAAGCGGTGCACTTTCACCACCGGATTGAATGATGGATACTGGACGTATGCATATTGTTTTGGTGATAAAGTGATACAATTCCACGAAGACTTGACGGCGTTTCGTGAAAGCGGGCAGCACAAGCCCGAGAACCCCGACTTTGTCTTTGTGTTGGGAAGATTCAACGGAAGTCAGTCACATGTTCCAGAAGTTGTCAATCAAGGAACACCCGATTCTCGAGTAATTAACATCGAGGACTACGAAATCATCAACGATCCGGTGGTGACGGCCGGGTATCGGAGTCGATCTCCCAAGGCGTTGAGGCATGTTCTCAGAAATGGAGAAATATGTGACTTAACCCAGGAACCAAGGACCATCGAAGTAATCTACAGATGTGCTCAGTCACTGGATTTTAAAACGTCTGTTTTTTACGTCAAAGAACAGAGGACTTGTGAGTACACGATGATTGTTAACGTCCGGGGTCTTTGTGAAGTGGAAGAGTTTGCTCCGTTTGCAGATGAGAAGGTGGTGGACATCATATGTGATGTGAAAAACACTAGTAGGGGTTTTGGGTTGGCAGAGTTGGCCGGTAATGAGTTGGTATTCCCTCGGCCTAACTCCACGCAAGTGGACATTCAAGACTTCAATTTAATTCCTGGTGGGAAAGGGTTTTTCTGGGGAAAACCCAAACATCACGGACGGTCAGAGTCCCTATATGACAAAAGATTTGTCGTATTCTGTGATAAAGACATGCGCCTGTTTATTGAGACTTTTCCAAGAGTGTTCTCCGATTCTATGGAATTCAAACAGGAATCCCCCTTTCCTCTGGAGGACAAGGACAGGGTTACATGGGATGATACTTTTGTGGCATGGTACGAAGTGTACAACTATAGCGGAGAGTTTTTGTTTGTAGTGAAAGTTGCCCGAAAGAACAACTTGCACACTAAAGAAATCACTATCCAGTTGGTGGATCCATTCACTATGATGGACCAAGACGGAGATCCGGTGGAAGTTTCAATCCCTGTGGAATCGAGAGGACTTTACCATTTCGAGAAGTTTTCCAAAGAGATTGAGCAGACCAAAACTTTGATTGTGACAATGACAGTGCCAGGTCAGTTTGCAGCCGTAACCAATGTGGCACAGTTAAACGTATTGTGATGCTATTGAAATTATTGCATTTCAAAAAAATGCTCATCCCATCAACTGGTTTTTTTCACACCCAGAATGACTTATGACTCCCAAAACTCACACATATATATATTAACACCTCTATATAAGTCGCTGACCTGTTTTGTTTGTATATACCATCTATAATAAACGTAATTGATACTCTACTGAGTTGCTGACCCAAGCAGGTCTGAAATATACGCGTGTGAACGCGCCAACCGCACAATTGAGACTGGAAAAAATTAGTAGGATGCGCACCTTAAAATTGATAGTGGCCTCACACAACTGCGAAGAACAAGTGAGACCATTTGTGCTTTAGACAACAGCTCGTACAAGAATCTGAACCACCATGCTTGCAATTTCTCTCGTGTCACGTGCCCGTTCCATGACGTTGGCATGTCCGACTTTGCAGCCCATCAGACACATCTCGTTTCTCAAACGGCTTCTCGTGTTGAATGACAATACCGATTCCGATTCTTCAGAAAAAATATATCCCTGGGACGAGTCTCCGTATGAAGACTTGAGGACCAGGGCCGCCTACATCCGTTCCACCGCTTTATGTCCCGTAACAGAAAAACCTGTCGATTACGTTTGTCCCATATCAGGAATTCCTACTCACCATGATCATCAGGCGTGGGCAAATGATACCGAATACCACAGCAAGGAGAAATATGAGTTGTTGAAGAAAGTAAACCTTTATGAACACGACTTGAGATCCGGCCGGGTATTTGATGAGTTTGTGTTTCCTGGAGCCCAAGAACATGACTTCATGACCAGTTTGAGTAACTGGGATTCGTTTTTCTACACCAGAGACTTCAATCCTATGAACACGGAATTTAACATGGCAGCTGCCACCAAGGTGTTGACATATCCTATCACCATTGCGTCGGTGTTGCACAGATTGACTCCCTATTTCTTACAGCCCAAAGGACCTTTATCGTTGGAAGGGTTGAAGTCAGTTGCAGCGTTGAAGTATTCGCTCTACCCTCCGTACCAAAAACATGAAGGTGCTAACGTCTACAAAGAAAGACCCATCAGAATTTTCATTGTGGGGGCCAAAATGGAGGCGATGTTGCCTGGATACGTGTGGAAACAATTTGGATACTTGTTTCCCGAAAGTAAATTCGAATTCCATTTCATTGGTCCCGAATGCTACTTTGACAGAGCCACCAAGAGTTTTTCTGCCACCAATGAACCCAACGGCAGGGCATTAGTCGAAAGATATGATGAACAGATCACCTTACATTACCATACCATGTACTTCCATGAGTTGTATAATTTCGGTGACTTGTTCCCATTTGACCCATACTTAGATGTGTTTTTCATGTTCCACCCTGGCTTCCAGACTCCAGACAAGCCACACTGGGACAAGTCGTTGAAAGGATTGTTGGAATCCAAGTGTGCTGTGTACGTGACTGGATACCATCAAACCGACACATTAAGAGAACGGGCGTGGTTATTGAACCATCCATTGGCGGAAGAAATGGACATCTTAATGGATCAGACCCAGAATGTGTTTGGGTCTACCAAGATTGATTTGGTTGACTCTAACCCCACCGAAACTTTCCAGGCCAACGATGAGATCTTTGCATTCAGAGGAAAAAGATACCATGCCATCAAGAAGTAACTTGTATTAAAAACATGTAAATAGCTCCACCGTACTGTAACTAGCATACATATATGTGATTTAGAAATGGGTTTTTGTAGTCGCGCACAGATTGCCATCACTAATACCAGCTAATCACTAAAATGAATACTCCGTTTACACTTCAGCTTGAGGTTCAGGAGATCAATTATACGTCGGTAACGCCTTTATTGGGTCGGGACACATACGATGTACGAGTGACCCTTCGAAACACGGTCCAGGACGTGATACATCTGATCTGGTCTCGCTCACCTAACTTTCAGCTAAAACCTCCATTTCTCTCCATAAGAGACCAGTCCAGCTCCTGGATACCAGGCTCTCCTTTCAGTGATATTCTTCACACAGAAGAAGCTCCCACAGCTCCGGTCACCTCCTTTAAGTTAGTGATAGACTATACGCTTTTCCATTCCCGGTCTATTCCTGCTCGAGATCCTGTTGAAGAGTTGTTTGAAATCCTAATTCAATGGGACGATACCCAGGGACATACCAATACGATCGCCATCCGCGAGTCGTTGGACTGTAAGGTGAGCGACTTGAAAGACTACGTTGCCCAGGAGCGGAATAAGAGTTTTCCCAATGAGCCTCCGGTGGATGGTAGTTACTTTAACTTGAGATATTGGGCTGATGATGAGGTTGTTGGTGACGACAGCTTGACAGTGTCAGACATCATGTGCCTTGATGTTACACCCAAGGAATCGGTTTTGTTTGAGTTGCTGTATGATCTCGGACTGGTCGATTCTGAGTCGGAACCGGAGTTAGAGTCTTCAAGCACCCGATTCTTTATCAACATACGCTCAGATGTGCCCACTTTGCAGAACGAGTCAAGTTTGTTTGAAGTCAACCTGCACACCACTTTGAGAGACTTTGTGAACCAGGTGATAGAAAGAGCTGATAATTTCCAGGTGAGGAGGACGTTTTTCGATCAGGTCAAGTTGAAGTACTCTGGAATTCTTCTTACGGTTCCTGAAAACTATGGCCACACGTTATTGGAGCTTTTGGGCTTGAACGAGGAGACACTTGCGGCAATGAGGAATGTTGTGGTATTGGATTTGGCTGTGCATAACCATTTGAGTGGAGTTGAAGGTGGGATATTGAGTAGGCAGTTTTGGAACGACTTACGAAGCGAAGACCGATTCCAGTTTTATCCTACTATAATGGACGACCTTACACCTTTGAACGACATAGGTGTCGATGAGGGACTGACTATGGCAGTTGCTCCGGTGAGACCTTTTAGAATTGTCACGGATGGAGGAGATCAATGGGGGTTGACAGGTGATACTTTTGAAATGGTGGAGTCTGAAGATTTGGGGAATGGGACCAAGAGAATTCTAGTTGATCAAGGAAGTTATTCAACGGTGGACTATGAGTTTTCCTTGACTTTACCAGGGGAAACCTCACCTATAACTGTGGCCCTCAATTCTTCTCAGTGCATAGTGGTTTCGAATTCGATTCATCAACCATATGTACTAGTAAATCCTGCTGGAATTGCCAAACTCAACCGGTTTTTTGGGTCGACTATTGAACCTGCCCAAGTTGTTTTATATGACTCTACAGTTTATCCTGCAACGTCTACCGTCATTCCCGATGTTGATGTTGACCACGTGCCGGGTGACGATAATGTCCCACAGGAACCCCCAGCTCCACAGAACCAACAAGATGTGCGTGCCAATGTCCAGGTAATCAACAGAAGACAGTTGATGAGAATGCTTTTCAGGTTCTTCGGCATGAACCAACATCAAGCGTATATGCGGCTACTTAGAATTGGATTGTTGGTCTACCTCTTCCAATTACACTCTTGGGAATGGACTTTATGGAAGCGTGTGTTGATTTTTTCCGGTACGCTTTCAGTGTTGTATCATTTATTAATCAAAAGCGGACAAACCGCTGAGAGGATCCGGTATTTTGCATCCAGAATTAATTTTGGCCATCAGTGGCCTCGGGTTGACGCAATTGTACTAACGGCTACTGGTGCTCTCTGGAGTGTTGACCGCAGGAGAACTCGCCTTTTACAAATCATGAGAACTACATCGTTGAAGTATGCGGTTTGGCGTACAAGGGACTATGAGTACATCTTGGTCAAGTTCAACAGACAAGATACAATTGGATTTTACATGAAAGAAACCATAACGAACGTTGGCAAGGATATGATGCTCTTTGTAATAACGTTGCTTCCATCAATGGTTCCTCTTGTGAACCTGGAGATGGAGAAGTACAGAGAGCTGGAGAATGATAATTTGGAGCGGGAAATCATGGACTTATACGGGCGGTTCGAGAAGAACAGAGAGTTGTACGAGGCGAAAACTGGCGAGGAGTTGGGTCTTGAGTTTGACATTGGAGCGATTGTAGAGTACAAGGAGAGACGGGAACAGCAGGAACAGGCACAAGAACAGGCACAAGAACAGGTACAAGAACAGGTACAAGAACAGGTACAAGAACAGGCACAAGAACAGGCACAAGAACAAGAACATGATCCAGAAACCCCACAACATGACCCGATCGAGGACTCCGCTACCGAGACCGAAGTCCAGTACCAGGTATTTTTAGACCAACTCCTCAGATTGCAAGCAGTCTACAATCAATGCACCTCGAGGCTCAACCAAGTTTCGAACCAGATTCCAGCCCCAAATCAGCTTTAGACATAAGCAGTCCAGCCTTCTTACCCAAAAATAGAACATGCCAAATTCCAGGCACCCGTTCACAGAAGCTGGATCAAGCTCGATACGGCCATGGAATACCAGCATATACTTTCAAGAACATTATGTCCAGCTTAAATATATATTGAATTGGTCTCAACCAGCGCGGCTACATACAGGAGGCTCAACTTCACCTGTTTGCACACCACGGGTATACGATCCTAAGGCGACCCCTTAGGGCGATAGACGAGGAGCGGTCTGAAAACTAACAGTCTTCTAAGTATTCGTAGTCATAGTAACCGGTTGAATAGAAAAAGTGAAGTTTGTTTGGGAAATCGACAAAGCTGGCTAGACGATTTCCCAAACCGGCCGCGCCCATCGCTAAATGCACTAATACCAGCGTCGTTCGTACAGCGAACAAACGATTATCGCGCTGAGTACCGCACATAAACCACGTAGATACAGGAGACGTTGACGCCTCCGTGCGCACACTTTGTTGTTTATGGCTGGCTTTGTTATGTTTTGGAATGGCCGTGAAAAGTTTGTCGTTATCTTCAAGTATTTAAATGGCTACAGATTTCTAAAAGTTTTATTTTTTCATCATCTTCCTGATAATTTCAAACTATAGTCTTTCGTTAAAAATGCAATTCACCACCGTCGCTTTATTGTTCACCGCCGTTGTTTCTGCTACAACTGTCACTGAAACCGACCTCAGTTCCACTTTGGTTACCATCACCTCTTGTGGAACTGAAGTCACCGACTGTCCAGCTGCTACTTCTTCTGCTGCCAACACCACTGTTGCTAACGTTTCCACCTGGGAGGGTGCTGCCAACAGACAATACGCTGTTGGAGCTGCTGCTTTGGCTGCCGGTGCTTTATTAGCTTTATAAGTCTAAAGGCTTTGGGTTAATGGGTTCTTATATAGTGTAGATTTGGGTTAATACAAACAGCTAAATATTTACCTGGCGATATTTCATGTAGTTACTGGAGACAGGCCATTTGGCTATGTTGGCTTTGTTATCAGCGGCAGGCCGTGAGGCTGTGTTGACAATTTGTTATCAGTGGCTATTGAGGGTTGCGATATTTCATCTAATTACTGGTGACAGGTCGTTTGGCTATGTTGACTTTGTGTTATCAGTGGCTATTGGTGGTGATGTGCGCAGCCAAACTGATAGCAAAAATTGCAATCGTCAGTATTCGCTTAGGAAATGTTAGTACGCGCCGAACTGCTGTATTCATCAGTTAGAATACTCTGTGCTGGAGGTGGCTGACTGGAGCTGAAGTTCTGTCTCATACACCCTAGTGTATACTCATGCCGCTGTACCTGGTGCTGCTATATTTCGGTCGCGCAAATTACTGCTAAAATCATTATGAAGCTCACCGACGAGAGCAAGGCGTTTCACTACGCAGTCTATGCGGTGGTAAACCAAATCCCCTTCGGCTGTGCCACCAGCTATGGCCACATTGCGTATCTTATCGGAAGACCCCAAAATTCCCGTCTCGTAGGCGCGTCCTTGAAACACTGCCACGAAATTGTGCGGCAGTTGAACCTACAATCTTCAGAAAATGATCTTATAGACATAGATCGCTTGCCCTGGTGGAGAGTCATCTCAGCCTCGGGAATAATTTCTCCTCGTGGAAATACTGCTGGCGAAATCTTACAAAAAAACCTTTTGACACAAGAAGGAATTATTGTGGAAGGCACCAAAGTGCTGTTGGATGAAAACGGCTGGTTTCCAGACGATGTGGACTTGTAATTACCTTGTAATATGTATTAATAAATATGTATAAGAAATGTTTCTGATAAATCAAGTATCCTTCTAGTTACTAACTTTTCGAGTCTTCTTCTTCGAGTTCTTTTGCGGTTTGATCAGTATATTTTGCATCTGCATTTGAACCCTCTTGGCCTCTTCTTCCCACCACCGAGCAAATTCTTGTTCTTGTTGAATCTCTTGTAAGCTTTTCCGCTGGAGTTCATTTTGTCTGGCTTCTTCAATCTTTAGTGACTCTTCAAGCATTATGTCTATGAGTGAAAGGCTGCCTGAATCACTCTCTATAGAAACGTTCGCTTCTTGACTTACATCTGTGCCCGCTCTAGGCGATGGAGAAGCTTTTGGCAGGGGTGACTTGGATCTCCTCTTGGCCTTACCAAGAGTGGGAAACGATCGAGTGTCCTTGGCTGGTTGAACAAAACTTGAGGTGCTACCCTCCGAACCCCAACTGAATGTCTGTTGGACAGGTGTTCCAACGGGCTCATCAAATGTCTGAATGGCGAGCTTTTTTCTTTCCTTTTGGGAAAGTTTAACACTAGGTGCCATCTTAGGTTTTTGCTTTTTTGTAAGCCAGTCAGGCTCTAAACTGACGGAGTTCACAGATTGAAAAGAACAACTTGCAGCAGCTTTGTTCATATGAAGAGGTTTCAAAATTGAAGACCCGTTGGACTTGGATGCCCATTTGGAATGGGGACTAAGGCCTGTAGCAAAAGATGTTTGCTCCGATGGCTTAGGAACTGGCTTGGGAGTAGGAGCTTGCTTTCCAAGCACAGGAAATAATGCTTCGTGGTTGTTGTTCTGGATTCGTGAAGAAGGTGCATGCACTGGTTTTCGGACACTGGTGGAAACAGAAGAAGCCCGTGTCAAGTCCGAAGTCGAGGAGTTTCCAGACGAAGGAACAGAATTCAAAGTGGAGGGAGGGCTTATTGATCTTGCCAGATTCAAGCTGAAGTCCACCGTTTTTTTGATATTACCATTGGACTTTTTCCGAGATGACTTCACCACCTCAAAGTCATCCTCTACATCAATAGCACTTTCATTTCCATGTTGTTGTACTTGTGTCAAAGCTGCTTTTCTGATTTCCGCAAGCTCATCTCTGAGTTCTTGGTGAGAAGAGCTTTTTCTGGAACTCTTCCTCTGCCGCTTAGGTTGATCTGTCTTTATGTCCATCTTCACGTCAATCAAAGGTTCAAAAGACAGGAATCCTCTAGCATCACTCATGAAATGCTTATTGAATTCCTTTTGGTTATAAATGAACTCGCTTACCAATTGATTTGATATAGCTCTATTTGCAGAAGTAACAACTTCAGTTCCAGTAGTGGTACGTAAGTGCTCGCCTTGGTCGGTATCAAACAAGTCAATCTCGTTTTCAAGTTTAACCAACACTTCGTTGGGAATAGCAAGGAAAGTGGGATCCAATAGTATAATCTCTAAGTTGTTGAAAATATACCAACAGCAATTGATGAACAACTTTTTGGCCTTTAAATCATTCGAATACGTTAATAAAACAACAACATTCTCTAAGGATATCAAATCTTTAATTGCTACTTGACAAAGGTTTTTGAGTTGGAACAACAATAATTCATCCGCTATTTGGATGATTTCAAGTAAAGCACCAATGAATTCGTTCTTGTTATCACATTTTTGCCTGAGATCATTAAAGACTGAATAATCACTGAATCCATACATGTGTTTCAAAACTAGGTTGAATTGACATTTACTTACCTTGTCAAACTCTAGAAAATTGAGTCCCGGATTCCATCTACTTGCCAATGTGGTTTCAAAGAATGCAGATCGACTAGTGAGAATAAATGATGAACACTTGACCTGACCATCAGCTAAAATAACTGTCAAATCCCCGTCCTCTTGATCTACCTCATATAAAGACCTCATATCCTTCAAGAATCGTTCATCCTTTGTTAGGTTTCCAAAAAGATCAAATACTTCGAACAATCTTCCCAAGTTTTCAAAATGGTGCTTGATTTCCTTGATGTCAGATGGACAATGAATTCCAGTGGGATAATCATCCCATATTGATATCACTCTGTTTGTGTAAATGAAATGAACCAATATTAGAGCTGCTTTGACATTTATACCAGAATTGAAAATCAACCGGTTTCCAGAAAATTGTCCACTAATATTCCCCTTAACAAATACTTGGTCTTCCAGTACTTGAAGGAGTTTCTTGAAGAATGGTGATCTGACTCTGAATATCCGCTGGTGAAAACCTATACCCATATCTGGATGATCCTCAAACAGAATAATTGCATCATAATTCTTATCTTCTTGTTGAATGTTTTCGGAGAACTGCTCTATGAATAAGCTAATGGGAGAAATCTTCAAGTATTGTTTTTTCAGTACCATATCACTTTCAGCAATTTGCTCATACGTGAATCGAGTCCTGACTCTTTTATTGTTTGTGGCATCAAATTTGTTAGAATACCTGTTGAACAACACGTCCATTTTAAGTTTGGTGTCTTGCACTTCTGTACAATCTTCATCTTCGCTTTCATATTCGTCTTCATCGTAAACAGGGTATATGTAGTCTGTAATGTACGAAATACTCCCATTCTCCGACAGAAACAATTGGTTTTGTTTCCGGTACAAGTTTGGTTCATTCAATATACTCAAATATTCAATGTCTTTCATGTACGTGTTTGCCTGGATTTTCAATGGAATTTGGTCAATGTCATCCCTGATGAACCCAAATGAAGCAAAGTTTTCATCACATGAAACCCTAGTTATTTTGTTGACGTAGTCAATACGTCTGAACTTGTTTTTAATAGGAATAGGCAAGGCAGTTTCTGACATCGAATTCTTTCTGGTTCGGTTATTGGAATCCTTCATGAAAACCAACCCACTTGCGGTGGTTAATGCTATGGAACCATCGACAGAAGTGTCACAATCAGTAACCCTTAAGTCCCGGTCGTGTGACTTCCAGAGGGAGGAATACCTCAAACTCTTGGACATTTTAGCTAAATTGGAGTTCACATCAACGGAAAATCCAACAACATCTCCACTATCCAACAATAAAGCAATATTCTCGTGGGATTTCATGCAAACTTTCACAATTACAGCTGGTTTCGACAACTTTGCTGGGCAGAAAATATGAAAGTTCTTGTCAAGCGAACCTCTGGACTGAACCCGTGGAAGCTTGACATGTTGGTTCTGGAAATAGAGGTGTAGCTCATTGTTGCTTGTTACGACACAAGTGCAAGCCTCACATGTTTGAACGAATTTGATTTCATCTCTCAAGGTGATGCACCTTGGTTGATGCTGAATGGAACCTTTGAAAGTTGAGCCATAGACCTTATGGTCCAAAGAATCCTTAGCATCTTGGGGGAATCCCATTTGCCCTATATTTAATCCCCAGAAGAAGATATCAAACTTCGTGTACACCAAAGAGTGAATTTTTGAAGCGGCTGTACCTCTTATGTTCAAAGAGTTTTTCTTCAAATCACCACCATATACCAACCTGGGTTCTGCCTCGAACGGCTCACTGAACTCCTTTGAAGTGTTCGTGTTAGAGTTGTTGATCAGTTTGTACCCAATCTGGCCATAAGAGTTCAATCCCCAGGCAAACACCTCGTTGGAAGTCGTCACCGCTAAAGTGTGGTCAGTAGATATTGAGAAGTCCTTTACTATCTTCTTCTCTGTCTGACCCACGAAAAACTCAATCTTCTTGAACCGGTAACTATTGTTCATGTTATCAATACCATGACCAAGTCTTCCTCGAGATCCTATACCACACGAGTAGAGAGACCCATCTTTGGTTAGAATGACAGAATGATTTTTGGACAACTTAACTGCCTTAAATCGTGGTTGGTCAAGGTAGTCTTGACTGTCCTCTTCACAGAACGTACTGTTCATGAGTTTGGAAGGGATATGTCTATCGGTTGAGTCACCCACTCCTAAGTTATTATTTAAATTTGATCCAAACATGTAGATATCCGATCCCAATCTCTTAGGATCCCACCAGTTGTGACGATCCTTAAGAGAGCGTAGCTTCCTCGTATGATCTGATGTCTCTTTACCTTCTTTACCTACTTGGGGATCTTCCTGTAAAAATCTTTGACTGAAAAGTATCTCATCTTGCTCGGTAATATGGTCTGGAAACCACATCATGTTCTTGAAATCATTGTCTAGTAACTGAAGGGGAGTCGTTCTTGCACGGTCCTTACATCTTATTAGGTCGAACAATAACGAATTGTTCACCAATAGAAGCGAATTTGTTCCTGGGTTTGCTGTCTTTAAATAATCAAGAAGGACCTTATAACAAGCGAGTCTCTTAAAAAATATGATATAATGAAGACAGTTCCAGCCGCTTTCATAGTCGGTTTTGCTAATGATACTTTTGATTTCAGGATTCTTGAGTAAATGTCGGAGCCAGTCGCTTCTGTTCCATAAGATAACTAGATGTAGGATATTTCTTCCCAACACGTCTCTAGTAGCCAATTTATCTTTAGTTAATTTAGACAACGACGAGGGAGCAAAAGTCGAAGGCCTGGGATTTGGAGGACTTATATTACGTTCATGGTGTGCTTCTGTTGTCATGCTGGTCTTACCACATCTGATATCAACGGCTTTTAAACACTGGAAAGAATTAGAAATATTACTGCTAATAAATAAAGCACGAGTATCAACGATATCAAATCAGTGCGCACCATTTACTAACCCAAGTCAGATTACGATATTGGAGTGGTAGATATATATACTAACAGAGGGTAAATACATGCTATGGACAACTTCACTCTTCCAAATTACTCATCATCAACTCAATCTCCTTGGCGTCGATGTCATCGTTGAACGGATCATCACTCATAAGGGGAATTGCAGCCATATCTTCATGTTGAGAAATGTCGTCGTTCTGTTCCTGCTTGGTTACTTTCAATTCTTCGAGTTCAGGTAAGAAGAACGAGCTTGCAAGAGGCCTTTTCTTTATGGAAGTGATCTTACCGGTCGGTGGCAATCTTGGTCTTATATTCCTCTGTTTCTGAGGCAATTCTTCGTCATCAATTAAGGGTAATTTGCTTATCTCAGGAAGCTCCATAGATAAGCCATTTTTCTTTTGCACCTTAATGAAATGTGCCTTTGACTTTTCAAGTAATTTATGATAAAATGGCCTTAAAATACCAATCTGCTTGTCAACATCGGTACCGTAAAGTTTGTTTACTTTGTAGTCTTTCAAGTCATCGTACTTTTGGGATTTACTGGTAGCTCCATCTGAAGCGTAAGATGTACGGAGCCTGGAGTGTAACAAGTAAACTGGAATAGAAGAACTTAACATGTGGAATTCTTTATCCAAGCCTAATTCTTTGAAACCAAAGAAATCATCACCTAAGTCATTGGAAAAATCTCCCGTCATGAACTGATCACTGTTATCATTAAACGATTTCTCATTGAAATTTTCCAAACCAGGTCTTAACAACTCCTTGAGGAAATTGGACAATTTTGCCCTTAAATCAATAAGCTTGTTGTATTGGGTTAAAAGCCTTTCGTTTACAAATGTGTACAAATCGTCGGGCTTATTGACACCATTTTCAATCAACGAAACAAGCAACACTTCACTTTTGGGAAGCCTGTTTTTTGATATAGTTTCCAGATGAGACTTAACGGAGTTAACAAGGTTACTCAAGTACCTTTCTGCTAATTGAGTTAAAGTATTCACAGCAAAAGGTTCAGCTGATTCAAATCCAGTTTGCATAATCATCTTTGCAACATTTCTACGCAATACTGAGTATTGAATCTCTTTGTCAAACTCTTCATGGTTTTCGAGCTTTGATATAGGATCCAAATCTACTTCTTTAATCTTTTCGATCTCGGGTTGCCGCATTTGTGTATGGTGTACAAACTGTTGGGTTTGCATTTGTCTGACCAAGGAAATCTTGAAACATATTCTTCTGATTTCTTGCATCTCGGTAATATTCTTCAAATAAACCGAATTCAACCCATTTTCGGTGCTCAAGACAAACTGTGACAGACTTTGTTCCATTTTATTAGCAATGTAAGAATCCACAATCTTTTGCTCGTGCCTTTCTTGCTCCTGATTATCCACACCTTTGAAAACTAGACCCGGCAATCCTCCTGTTATGTCGTACTCTAACAAGTAGGGCTCATCATTTTCAAGAAGGTTTCCTTTGGAAACCACTTGCTTGTTGGTTATATACTCATTAAAATTCGCCATCTCATTGGGTTCACGTAAAATAGCAGGAGCGTCAAAGTTTAGCTTGAACTTGTCATCTTCATGGAAAAGTTCAGCTCTAGCAGAACAGTAGTGAGCTCGAGACTTTGCTGTCAAGGTTTTCCATGCTTGCAACTCAGGATCCCCTTCATCATCTTCATTCTGATTATTGTTTGTATTGTTTTCTTCATTTATCTCATCGTTCTCTTCTTCTTCTTCTTCTTCTTCCACAGGAGCAGTTGTTACAGCAGTGGTGGCAGAAGTCTGAACTTCCGGTACGGGAGTTGGTTCGACCAAGATAGGCGTTTCATCCTTCTCATCTTCAACGGGGGTTTCTACTGCACTTTCAGGCGATCCAGCGGTGGATTCATGTTCCAACTTAACGTCATTATTCCTGGTTCTTTTTCTTCCTTTCTTTGAAGACTTTCCCTTGCTGGTATCGTTGTTGATATCGTCCTTTTCTTCATCTCTTTCAATTTCAGACCGGAGCTTGATGACAATATTAGGGATATGGGGTATCAACTTCAACGACTTCTTCTGCATAGCAATTGCATGGGCCCTCAAAAAGTGTTTGGGATCTGAGTTGTACAAGAGACAGTTTGACCAAATCAACATGATATCGTCAACAAATTCTTGCTTCGAGTTATACTGTAAGTTCTTCAACTTCTTCATGACAGTATTCAAGTCCATTGGAGTTTTGATGATCAACCCATAGTTTGGCGCTTCTCTTTTGCTGACTTTGTTCAAGAAGGGGGTTGAATGCTCCGTATAGCTTCGCAATTCTAATATAACCTTTTCACAAGCGTCGTACAATTCTTCTTGTCCTACCCTATCATCATTTGCCCACTTTCCTCTGTTTTTCTTGACATCCATGAACAAAGTTCTCAATTCATAGTCATTCAAAGGAATCTGGTCACGTTTGGCCTGAATAGTCCCCAATAAATGCTTCAACGAAGAACCAGTTGCAAACGCAAATTCTATACCACTTCCCGAATCATTAGAGTTGGAATAGGTGGTGGACTGGTCATTTTTGTTTTCAGGAGCTGAGGTCTTTTCAAGTTTCATATCAGACTTCTCAAGTCTCCGTCTTTTGATCAAGGTTTCTCGATCATATTCAAAGTTGTGGTACACTTTGTTGAACTCTTTGATTAGATTTTCCTGGTCCTCTAAATTTTCGCTATTGCTCTCCTGTTGGTCCTCGGCACTCTCTGACGTTTGTTCGTCCTTGGCAAATATGGAACTCGGCACTTCTAGTATTAATTGATTTTCTTCGTTAAATTGGATGTTTTCGTTATCGGTGTCAACGTTCATCTTCAGACTCTCGTTGTCCTGAGCCTGGGCTTCTCCGTCGTCATCGTCATCATCATCATCGTAGTCATCGTCCTCTTCTCTCACAACAGGCTTTTCTACCTCTTTTTGTTGTTCATTTGAAGCATCAGCTCTACTCTCAGTGTTGAGTGAGTCCAACAAGTCATAATCATCGTTGACTTCATCAATTGCATTGGAAGACTCATCGAGGTTTTTGGAAAAATAGTAGAAGTCTATTGCCTTTTCGTACAACAAGTATCGAATGTGAGATGCCATTCTTTTGGCAGTTCTACTACCATCTTCGATATCAATGTCAACGTCAATGTCATCATTTAAGTGGGAAGAGTCATTTGGCTCCAGCGTTGACAGCTCAGGATTATCCAGTTCGGTGGTATTGGCTCCACTTGTCGGATGGACCACTTTGAAGTAAACGTTCCCCTCTATGAAGTTGCCCCATATCGTGAAGTTATCCAACCCGATTAGATAACTTAGGAGCTTTGACTGGCTCTCATTTAGAAAGTTTTTGAAGAATTTGGTTTCATTTAGTTTCTTCGACAACTTGAAGAGCTTGCGAGTATCATTCACTTGGAATGATACCAATTTATCCATGGTGTTTGAACAGGATAATGCTGAATATAGAAGGTGTTGATGCAGAGGTAGAAATTTCCAAGTCGCGAAAATTGGGCTTGAGGGCTGCAAATGGGTGTATTAGAGAGAAGAAGGATATATGGTATGTAAACTCTTAGAAAATGTGGTGTATCTGACTCTTGGACTAGGTGAAAAGTTACTGGTTTGTTTAAATGTTTGAAAATGGACACGAACTCGGGTTTGTAAAATTGTATAATATTTAGAGGTGCAAACGCAGTAACAATCAGCAAATATACGTTTACCGACGCATCAGTGGGTACTACACATGAAAGGACATTGATATGCATAACGTATGTTTGTAGAAGCTCCCAGCAACTGCTACTATTGGAAATCAGGTTAAAACATAATTTTGCTCATCTTCACATAACCACTCTCACTCGACATATATATGGAATAATATACACTATATACGAGTAAATGTATTAAGATAATATATGAAACCCGGTAAATCCTTTATATGCTGGAAACACACGAGACTTGAAGAGTCGGATAATAAATCATTAGGTTAAAAACAACTAAAAAGTAGTTGATTCATACCGCATACTTCTTGGTCCACTCCTTAGCAGTGGCTTCATACTTGGCTCTATCGTTCTTGTAGACGTTGGCGATATCTGGCACCAAGGGATCATCTGGGTTAGCATCCGTCAACAAGGAACAAATAGACAACAACACCTTTGAAATGGTTAAAGCTGGAGACCATTGATCCTTCAATATGTCCAAACATATGTTACCGTTTGCATTGATGTTAGGATGATAGATCTTGGTGGTGAAAGCGATCTTTGGTGGCTTAAATGGATAGTCGGTTGGGAAATGGATCGATAAAAAGAATACCCCTCCAGCGTATGGAGAGTCGGCAGGACCCATGATGGATGCTTGCCAGTGATATAAATCATCTCCGACTGGGCCGGCAGAGCAAGATGAGGGTGGATCTCTATAGGGAAAATAGTTAGTAATCCTGCAATAGGTTTATTGAGGTGGCCACTTTTATAAAACAGGGGACTCCCGAAACCGGCTCCCTCCTAAGTGGTGAAATCAAGGAACATACCTTCCCAAATCAGCTAATTCCTTATTAATACGCTTTGACGACATGGAGAGTGTGGTTGTTGTGAATTAAAAAAACTCCAATATGATAGATAACACAAAAGTTGTCTGAAGTAAATTTTTTTGGTGCACGGGAAATCGGTATATATTGGTTTTTGTCACAAGGAGTGTAAGTGACGCTTTTTCCCGTCGACGTTCGAAACTTGTGGAATAAAGGAGAAGCGCGCGCGAACATGGTGTAAAGGCTGGTGCCACCATGGCCCTGTGGTACGGTGGCGCTGGGCCCAACCAGTCCCCGATGAGCAATTTTAGTGGGACCTAGGCCTGGGTCATACACGACCTATCTTTACTTGCCTTTAAATGGTAGGCATTCAGCTAGAAATATATAGGCTATTTAGTCAGCCTTAGAGCAATCCTTTGGTCCCAAAATATGTCACCCCCGGCATCTGAAATATTAGGTCGCTCTCTAATAGGTTCGCATCACGTGATGTATATTATATTTTATCGTATACACGTGAAAAACATCCTAGAAGCCTCTATACCCGTTACCTGATCGTAGACAGCCTTTATCCCTCCTTAAATCCCCCCTATTGGTATTTTTGTCAGCAACTTTCCTCATGTTATTACGTTTGAAACCTCCAGGCGGTTTGCAGCTATGGTGCGGGTTTCCAATGGGGGAATGCCGCTAAGATTACAATCTGTATTTACTTACAGAGGGGGACTTTAGGCATTCTTCGTTTAGCCACTAATTGATCGGCCCATTGTTTGGTATCTGTACACATCAACTGTTTGTGGCTGAGGTGCATCAAGACCGTTTTCAGCGTATTTGAGTTCGTTGCAGATCCTTCAAATGATCTTTACTTTTGATTCCAAGAAACAGTCTAAAACTGATAACCACTTAAGTCTGAGGAAACGTCCTCCCCCTTCTTTCGACTCCACTGGAGCGCTTTCGGCCCCATCTGCTTTCAGGGTGCTAGAAGATGACGGATTCACGTCTTTCAAACAAACCAAACGGTCTAAAAGAGGGTGCTTGACTTGCAAGATTAGAAAGAAAAAGTGTGATGAAACCACACCTGTATGTTCGGATTGTTCCAGGCTCGGGAAACGGTGTGTTTATATTGACTACGATAATATGCACCCCAGTGAAATCAAGAGTTTGAAAGAAATGGTTGAAAAAAGTGAAAGCACATTGAAGCTCAGGAAGAGGAAAAAGCCATCTCAAGACCAAGGTAGCCCCGGACGAAAATGGGTCAGAACTGACGTTGAATACACTCCTCTCATCACAGCGGAAAGCCCCATGGCAAACTTCAGCAGCCCCAATTCCCCCAATATTATAAACCTACTTAATAATGAGATTGAGGAAATCATGCCAAAACCTAAACAAAAGGTGGAGCCGGAACAAAAGGAATCTCTGGACTCTCCTGACGACGCGCTATGCGTGGAAGAAATGGGTGGTGTACACTATGTGGACAAGCTTGTGAAATACTCGGCAACTTCGCCTTCGTCTTCTCAACAAAATAGTCCTTTCATCACATCGTACGATATGATCTCATTTCTTAAGGAAACGGTTCCTGACTTCTCATTCGGTAAGTCTTCCCCTTTGGAGATACCCCTGGCACCGGCCAGCCCACTAGCTGCGTTTGCAAATCTTGATTTCTCCCAGATGATATCGACATTGAACCACCCGTCTCCAAGAATGACCCCTACTGTTCTATCAGACCTCTCCAGTAGAGCAAACTACTTGTACGATTACTATGTGCATGTGATTTGCCCCAAGATATCGGTGGCACCCACTCTGGCAAAACATGGAGATAATCAGTATGAACGAGTGTTCCTCCCACTCGCACAAAATGACATTGGTGTGATGTACAGTATATTATCATGGGCATGCTTTGCTCTTGGCCGTGAAGACGATATAAAAGAAGGAATGGAATATATTCGGTTGGCTATCAACCATTTCTTCTCTAACAAGTCAACAGAGAGGGCCATGGTGGTCAATAAGTTGGCATTGCTTCTAATTGTATTGGGAGCAGAGATTTGTAGGGGTGATGTGAAAAACTGGACTAGATACATGGACTGGGGATCGAATCTACTTCACCAGATTGGAGGTCTTGGAAGCTTCAACAAGAGCAAAGAGGAAATCTGGCTTATATCGAACTTTGCTTATCATGATGTTCTATCAAGCAACAAGGCTGATAGGGGACTTTATTTTTCGGGTGAACAATATGATCGGATCTTCTCTCATGATTTGTCTAATGGGATCATGCATCCATTGGTAGGGATTGCCAAGGATATATACATCTGTATTGGGATGATATCTACGTTGGTATTTGAAACCAACCAAAAATTAATGACCCTCAATAATGAGTTGAATGAGAAGAATGTTAGTGATTCTCCCAAAACCGAAGTGGGGATTGGAACTTCCGATATAAACAAGTTTGAAGAAGAATCGGATCTCAGTAATCATGCTAAAGTTAACGAGATTCTTCTTTCGGTTAAGGCCAGTGCTATGGAATTGGATGCAAAAATAGAGGCTGCAAAACCTAATTCTGAAGACTTGATCAATTTAACCGACCAGGAGTTCGAATGGCAGATCACATTGTTTGAAACCTTCAAGTTGAGTGCCAAGTTATATTTAAGGCAAGCCATTCTTCGGTGCAACCCGTCTTCTTTAGAGTCTCAAATCCTCACCAACGATTTAGTCAAGTGTTTGGACATCATCTTGGGGTCTCCTGTTCAAACGGTGTTGTCATTCCCAGTATTTATGGCTGGGATTCATTGTGTAACGGTTCTTGATAGACAGTTTATGACTGCTAGAATCGAACAGTACATTCGAACTTATGGTCCTTGGAGTTTGACCAGGGTTCGGGCGGTGATTGAAAAAATCTGGGAATTCAATCCAAAAGGTGACACAGTTGTGGACTGGCATGGAGTATTGAAGGAATTTGGGTGGGAAATTAACTTTGCTTAAACGTTTCCTAAAAAGAGACATCAAGTGTATAATAGAGACAATGTAAACGGATTATTTATTGAAAAAATACGGGACCAAAAGTAGTATTCATTGAATATGCCCTTGGTGGTATTTTCATTATCCTCGAAGTACTCGAATACTATAATAATGGTACTGTCCTCTAGCACGTTATCAACTGCAAACGGAGCATTTGGGTCACCCGCACGACCTGAAATTTTTTCCCCTACCCTCATCACCAATTGAAAAATTTTAGACTGCAACTTGAGAATATCTATCACTACATAAACACTATGCCAGGTTTAGATTACCTTCTTTTCGAAGAAGCCGCCGGTTATGCCATCTTCAAGGTGACTATCCAACAGGATGAGGTTTCTTCCAGACTGAAAGAAGTGCAGGAGTCTGCCAGTGACTTGGCCAGATTCTCCAAGATGATCGAGTTGGTTTCATTTGCTCCGTTCAAGGGAGCTGCTCAGGCCTTAGAAAATGCCAATGATATTTCCGAGGGTTTGGTCAGTGACTACTTGAAGTCTGTTTTGGAGTTGAACATTCCAAAGGGCTCTTCCAAAAACAGAGTGGCTCTTGGTGTCAGTGACAGAAATTTGGGTCCCTCTGTTAAGGAACACTTCCCATACATTGACTGTTTTTCCAACGAAATTGTCCAGGACTTCTTGAGAGGTATCAGAACCCACGGAGTCAAGTTGTTGAAGGAATTACAAGAAGGAGATTTGGAAAGAGCACAATTAGGTTTGGGACATGCTTTCTCCAGAGCCAAGGTTAAGTTTTCCGTTCAAAAGAACGACAACCATATCATTCAAGCTATTGCATTGTTGGATCAGTTGGACAAAGACATAAATACCTTCAGTATGAGAGTTAAGGAATGGTACGGATGGCACTTTCCTGAGTTGGCCAAGATTACTCCAGACAACTTAACCTTTGCCAAATTAGCCTTATTTATCCAGAACAAATCTTCATTGACTGATGAGTCTTTGCACGATGTTGCTGCTATTGTCAACGATGACTCTGCTTTGGCGGAAAAAATCATCAACAATGCCAGAATTTCCATGGGTCAAGATATCAGTGAAATCGACATGATGAACGTGAGTAGTTTTGCCAAGAGAGTGGTTTCTATTACTGAGTACAGAGCCACTTTGTATAAATACTTGACTGAGAAGATGAACACCGTGGCACCAAACTTGTCTACTTTGATTGGTGAAGTTGTGGGTGCCAGGTTGATTTCCCACGCTGGTTCATTGACCAACTTGTCCAAACAAGCTGCTTCTACCGTGCAAATCTTGGGAGCTGAGAAGGCTTTATTTAGAGCTTTGAAAACCAAAGGTAACACTCCAAAGTACGGTTTAATCTACCACTCTTCGTTCATTGGTAAGGCTTCCACCAAGAATAAGGGTAGAATTTCCAGATACTTGGCTAACAAATGTTCTATTGCCTCGAGAATTGATAACTACTCTGATGAACCTTCCAGTGCTTTTGGTACCATTTTGAAAAAACAAGTGGAAGAAAGATTAAACTTTTACAATACTGGAGCACCTCCAATGAAGAATGCTGATGCCGTCAAAGAAGCTTTGGCTTTGTCCGGGGACTTAGTTGACGACACCACCATGTACGATGCTGAGGACACTACTATAGTCGAAGGTGACGAAAAGAAGGACAAGAAATCAAAGAAGGAAAAGAAGGAAAAGAAGGAAAAGAAAGATAAGAAGGAAAAGAAGGAAAAGAAGGACAAAAAGGACAAGAAGCGTAAGGCTGATGACGAAGAATCTCCAAAGAAAAAGAAGAAAAAGTCTAAGGATTAGAGTATTTGTAACTGTAGAGTAAAGAAATTAGCATGTTTAATATAAGAATAAGTACTACCACTTCAGGGTGTTTTCATGTGCCTTAATATGTTAGCTCTAACTAAACGAACAACTGAACAGCAGTTGACAGCCTACTAAGTCTGCTTTTCTCCCACCAAGAAGTTCCACATAATCTTCCTACTTCTGGAAACTTCACTTGAAGTTTCATCTTTGGAAACCTTCTTGGTGTCAGGCTTGAAGTGATCAACAACCTCAACCATCTTGTTGTTGAGAGGCTCAACAACTGAATCCAAAGGACTCAAAAGTTTGTTCTTCCCTTCACTGTTATAAACAGTTTTGTGGACCAAGTTTTCAACTTGTATCGCCGCTTTCAACGTTGGTTGAGTAACGTGGGTGTCAACCAACATCTCAGTCGCTTTCTTGGTGGCCCAAGTGCATCCAACAGCACTCGCAGTCATTTGTGTAACAGGCAGACTCAAGTCTGTACACTGGACCGTTTTTAAGCTTGGAATGTACCGGTCCGCCTGGTTCAAGACTCCGTTGGCAATGGATTCGGTGAGCTGAGTAAGGAAGGCCAATCCTGGGAGCTCACTTAAACTGATGGTGTAAGGTACAACAGCCTTTGTGGTTATTTCCAAGTAAGGAACCGATCTCAACATTTCCTTCGTGCCAACAGCAAGGGGATACTGTTCCAAATGGGTGAAAAACTTGACCAATGGAACCTGTTTCGAGGTAGTGGTGCCGGTAGTAGTAGTAGGAATATCGGTGGTGTTAATGACAGCAGTAGACATATTTAGTAGAAAGAAGTTGAATTAGTTTCTGTAAAAAAATGATGGCTGCAAAAAAGGCGTATTTATAGTCGGTCCACAAACACAAACATAAACAGGAGGAGAAACCTATACGTTGAGAACGTTCTGAGGTATATATTATTAGACAATAATGTGAAGAGTCCTTACAGTGAGGCTAAAGTAGAGATATTGATCCTTCCTATTTTTCCTCCCAGCCAAACTTTGTGAAATTTGCAAATCCTCTATTACTTATCACGAATTTATCACATCTTTATCGCCAACTCCCAATGCACTAGCTCACAAACCCCACTGTTCAATTCGTCGAAATATATTATCCTATCGTATACATCTTTAAACTAAATATACATGCCATGAATCTAACTTAATGAACTGATTTCCTTGACTATTTCGTCAAAGTTTTCCTTGTATTCACTCACTTTATCAGCATTCTTCTTGGTCTTGCCACCTCCTGGAACAATCATCACACAAGAGGTTGGTCTTTTGGTAGAACCAGCAGAACCCAAGTCTTCCTTGGAAGGTATAAATACATATGGAACACTGGTGTCTTCACACAAAACCGGAATATGGGAAATCACATCGGGAGGAGAAATGTCTCCAGCGAGAATAACTAAGCCTTTCTCACCTTTTCTTAATGCTTTGACAACTTCTTTCACTCCTCTCTTGACATGTTTAGCCTTAGATGCTTTCTTGACAGTCTTCAACACTTTTTTGTTGATCTTCTTAGGAGCTAATGGCTTGGCAAATGGCAACACAGCAGGCATTCTCTTGTCGTAGTTGTCTTCCGCTTCTTCAGCGTCGACCTTAACTTTATCCTTCTTTCCCATCTTTTGCACTATTGTATGGATAAAAAAAAATTTCAATTTCTCGATGCTCTGTGCGAGAAATAGCTCCGCGCACGATACGAAGTGAGATATCCTACACTAGAACAATAATACTACTTTTATGCTGTACAGAGGCAATGGGCGTAAGCGTGTACGCCAGCATGATACTCGGAATGAGAGGAGCTCAAGGGTCAATGATATTGTGCTAACAATGGAGGAGGACAAGGACATAGGAAAAGAGGGATCTAATTTTGAAGAGCCTAAAGTGCTAGAGAGCGAGCTGGTGATAAATCATATAAAAGGACTCGGAAAAGACTTCAAGAGCAAAACAAATGCTGATGTTTACTTGAAGCTCGAGATAGGTGTTCCTGAAGCTCGGTATTTCGAACAAAATATCGAAACCATCCACAATACCTTAAAGAATAACTTTCATATCACCGACTTTACAATCTCAGATCCAGTCAAAGGGGCCATTGAGAGATATATAACAATAAATGGTAAAGTGGAAGCAGCTTTAAAAGCAGGTCTTTATGTGGCGTACGTGGTACGAGCAGTCTTGAACAACATCCTTCATGAAGTACTTACTTTGAAGTCTCCAAATTATAAACTTGTGATGATATTAACTGACGAAATGACAGAAGACAGAGTAAGGCAAATTGAACAAAGAGCAAAGTTCACATCTATACGATACTACGACTTGGTGAAGCCTTCGTTCTATCAAAGTTCAGGAAGCATACTGAAGCTTGCAGTAATGGGCCATTTCAAAAGCATTTATGACACACTCTCTTATGTCCTTGAGACATCTGAACACAAATACTTGGATGATAGGTTGATATTCCAGTACCCGGTGGTTCAGGCGGATGAGTCCAGTTTATTCCAACAACAGGACTTCAATGTGAATAAGCTCGATGAAAACATTAAGAAAACATTGGAATTCATCTACAATAAAGAGTTCCTTCAACAAAATGAGATTATATAAAAAGCTATTTTATATGATAATGTACTATTCAAACATGGGTGATTTCCACCTTCTTGCGCTTACGAGAGATCGTGGCTACCTTGTCTCCTAATGACAAGGCCAAACCTTGACCCTTGGATCTTATTCTCACGTGACCGATGATTTGACCTTGTGATTGTTCAATACACAAATTTGCCAATGCATCCTCTCCGAAAGAAGACTTCGAATACAAGTTGGCAGACAAGAACTGGCATTCTTCGCCAACAGCCGCACCAGGAGTCAAACAATTCATGTTAGTTCCTCTCATCAATTCTTCCAAGTACTCTTTCAAAGAACCCATTTCAGATTTAATGGTGATTTTGTTTTCCCATTCAAATTCATTCCACATCTTACGGAAGGCACTTTCAGTACAGGTGGCTGGTTTGATGTAATCCAAAATATCAATGTGAACGTCATTGAATATAACAATTGTGGATTCGTCCGAGTGGACACCATCATATACAATGTTACCAAAAATCACACCTGTATCAGCAGAAGTGACTTTAATGGTGCATTGAACCTTGTAGAATCCATGTGGGGCAATATCTGCAGTAGCAGGCTTGTCAACAACTTTCAAGTCCCCAAGAGTAGCAAATTCGACTGATACGTTTCTTAAAGTGGTTGTTGTTTGGTTGACCAACAAGACATCTAATACCACGTCATATTGGTGGACAGTAAGGAATGCTTCAGCATATACTGGGTCACTGAAACCAGTTAATTGAATGATCTTACTCAATTTAGAAGAAACTAAGTCCTTTTTGATGTCGCTCGTTGAAAGGCCATTGACTTCGTCATCCAAGTTTTTGGTAGCAATACCTCCGTTTTTATCAAATTGTCTGAACAAAATAGCTTCATCGACTTGTTCAGCGTTGGCATGTAAATCCTTAGCAACTTCTTCCGCCTTCTTCAACTCGGACTCTCTGACTTGTGATTTGAATGCATCCTTGGTATCATCCAAAAATCCTCTTTGAATAACTTCAGCATCCTTTTCATCATTCAAATATTTGATGTAAGAAAAGATTCTGTCAGCCGAATCTTCATCAATCTTTTTAGCCACATACTTAGATTCACCAACTCTTAAAATGGACACCATCGTCAACAAGGCTTCCGCCTTCAAACCGTTCAACAACTTCTGTGCCACATCCAATCTTTGTAATCTCAAGATCAACTTGACTAAGGTGGAACACAAAACTGCAGCTAAATAGAAGTCACCACTCAATATGAGCTTTCGAATAGCTGGTTTATCTTCAGATTCCTCAGGAGATGTGCTTTCTGCAGTGAAGGCATTTTCAGTGGCATAAGTACCATCGGGCAATACAACAGGTCCTTTCTTGTGAGTTTTAGTATCGTCAGAATCTGCTTCTGCTTCAGTCGATTTCGGTTCAACGGCTCTCTTTTCACTGGCCAAGATTGGAACTTCTCCAACTCCATTTCTGATATACTTCCAGGCATCTTGGATCAAACTCTCCTCCAAGCAATATTCACCAATGATCCACAAAGCTCCCCGAAGGACCTTTCCACTCTTCGAATCAGGTAAAGTGGCAATCAATCCTTTAATAATGTTTGGTCTTAAATCTGGGAACTTTTCCACAACCTCTTTGACAAAAGTAATTACTTCATAAGCAGCAGAAGTGTTCAATTCCTTCATTGATTCTAACAACAAGTCAACCACATTGGCTGCAACTTCAACAAACTTGATGGCCAACTGGTGGATGGCATTGATTAAAGTTTGTCTGTATTCTGAGGACTTATCTTCGTCGGAAGTACTGGTTGCTTGTAATTCTTTCTTCAACAACTTGACAACATCTTCGACATTTCTGCTGGTGACGAATTGCAAAGTAACAGCCAAGGCCTTCTTACGAACATCAAGGTCTTGCGAAGACAACACTCTTAAGACTTCCAAAGACAATTCTTGTAAAACACCGGGATGCTGTTTGTTCAATTCATTGATTCTTTCCAAAGTGATTATCTTGACATTATTGTCAGTTTCCTTGTTAGCCAATTCAACAAACTTACTTCCCGCTAATAAAATAGATTGGGAATTGTTAGATAAAACAGTCAAAGTGGTAGCAGCTTCATATACAACAATATTGCTTGAACTTTCAATCAATTCAGAGATCAAAGTGGTGTATTGAGGTCTTAAGTTAGTATTTTTGACCGAGTCCTTTCTGATAAATTCAATGAAAGCTAATTGTAATAACGGATCTAAGGTGTCAATGATTTGAATATTATCCTGAATGTATTGTAAAGCCGCTTCACGGTTCAAGTCTCCAAGACAAACAAAAGCATTTCTCTTACAAACAGAATCAGTTTCGTTGTACAAGAATCCATAGATTTCATCGGCTACATCTGGAACTAAATGTTCCGACACTTTGTAAATAGAATGCAATGCAAAAACAGCATTCTTTCTGACGTAGGCATGTCTGTGTGTAAGACATTGCCTGACATTTGGAACCAAGGTTTCCAACAACTCTGCTTCCTTCAACTTGCCCAAGAATCTGAGAGTATTACCTCTAATGAATTCGTTTGGATGTTTTAAATCCCTTTGGATAGCGTTACACACCAAAATCATTTCTTGTCTTAACTTTCCGTCTTCGGCAAGTTTAGGACATACTTCCCAGTAAAAGTACAAGAGCTTTTTGAGCTCCTTATTTTTGGAAGGCATAATGAATCTGATGATATGCATCAACAAATCGGGCATTGGATCACCATTGATGATGGTAATAAGAATTCTCTTCATGGCTTCAATTTTGGCATCATCTTTGCCCTTTTCCAACAAATTTTTAAACTCATTGACCGACGTCTTCGTAGTCGCCGAGTTTGGGTCGTATACAAGCGTATAGCTAGGGTTGGACATGGCTGAAATTGTTAGTACAGTTTTACAGTATATGCAAGTGACCGGTTTTTCACCACAGCGAACATCAATGATCTTGAGGACAATCAGGACAATTTGAAATAGTTTACTGGATATTCGTAGTGTGCACATCCAGACCTATTTGTTTGAATGCTTGGAGTAACGTCAGAAGCCCAAAAATGTGGACAAGGTACATACCTTATGTGTGAGCTCTAGTAAAGTGTTGATGTTTATTCGACGTGTTTTAAATGAGCGGTGCGCAAGATGGTTTGTGCACGCTTTCTTCCATAGAGGTACACCTAGGCAATGTTGAAGTGAATGGTTCTACACTGGGAGAACATTAATCTCTGATGTGTACGGTGGGGTATGTAGCGACACACCTACAATAATGTACAGCCTTGTTTTGGGAAAAAGCGCTTGGAAGAGCAATTTTACAAGTACTTTGATTCGTTATTTGGGTATTAAATAGACTCATTAACTAATCGCTATCACTGGCATCAGGATTGGCCAATACCAACATAGGCTGGCTTTTTTCAACTTCATAATTAAGTTCCTCGGTGTTGTCTTCATCAAACTTTTCATCCGTGTCACCTTCCTCAAACTCCTCCGTGTACTTGTAGGCCCGGTGTTGGTAAAAACCATTCCCACAAACATCAGATATACTACCCGAAGAGCTTGAGGAAATGGAAGATTGACGAGTAGACCGCCGTGATACACTGGCAGACCGTATAGACACATTTGTGGAAGGAGTCTTGGATTGGGTTGAGTTATCGGTGATGGTCCGCGATAATGAGATTTTGCTATCGAAGGAAGCAGCACCAGGAGTCAGAACAAAAGTGGAGACCGACCTTTGAGTAGGGGTTGATTGTGCTGTCTCTGGGATAGAGTCATTGATGGGAGCCTTGGCTATACTTGCTTTTCTTCCGAAATTGATGGAGATATCATCTCTATCATCCACTTCTGCTGCCAACAATCTTGGAGCCAAGTGTCCATGCTTTAATTCCACCCCTGTACCCTTTTTTAGTTTACTTTGAGATACGCCTCCAACTAGCCTCATATATTTGGAGTTGCTGGTTGTGTATGTGTTTTTCTTATCCAATGGCATAATACCAGTTGGTAGCTTCCATTTACCAGGACCTGTTTCATTGTAAGCAGTTCCAGCACTTTTTCTTACGCTTAAAACATAATTGGATCTCTCGCCTTCACCCGGGCGTAAGTCAAAAGTCTTTTTGAGGGTAGCCAAGTTGACATTCTTTGAAGAACTTGATGACCAAATTGAACTTAACGAGCTCAGTTTACGATGGTTTCTCATATTAGGAATTGAGTTGTTCAAGTTACTGGCAGATGAGTTACGAAACGAGTCGTTTGTCATGTTTATGATGGGAGTAGAAATCAATGGTTTCAATGGAACCAGCTTGGTGGTGTTGGTGGTAGTCTGAGAGGGTGTTCGGGAGGATTTGTGTGGTGAACTGTATATTCCCGAACCAGTTTGAGCTGTTAGTTGTGGAGAATCACTCGTCGAATTCGAACTGGAGATATACGAATCATTATACGAAATGCTCGTGGGAGACGGGGCAATTGGAGAATCCATAGGGTATGGTGCCCCAATAATAGGAGGAGGTGCTGATGTATTGTTACGACTACCAACCAGTTGAGACGAGTCGGAGTATTGGGCATGAAGCGAATAACGAGGATTTGGTGATATTGCAATGTCCGGTTCTGACTCGGTATCATCATTTTCTGGGTACGTGCTGCTAGTTCCGCTGAAACTGAAACTTCCAGTACTAGCATAAGTCAAAGGTTTGGGCCCCATGGGTCTGGCAGTATTGAGCGGGCTCATTTCTTCAAAACTGTTGGGACTGACACTTCGATCACCGTAGATAGAATTAGAACCATGGATATGTTCGTTGGTGCTAGCAACATTCACTTGGTCAAGCTCGTTTTCCAAGTGGTTGATTATATTATTGAAGTGGTCGTCATCTTGTTTACTTTTCTTTACTGCACTAGGTCCACGAGACCCTCCGGTAAAGTCTCTGATGCTGTTGGCACTTGGTGAAGGTAATGATGGGTCATCAAAGTCGAGTGGTGGAGGAGGCTTTTTTCTGAGTCTGGCCGAGTGACTGGCCATGCTCGTAGGAGAGCTGGTGCGATTCTCTTCGTGGTCTAGTGACTGTAGGTTGAATGAGAAGCGGGAGGAGGTACCTCTAACATTGAAAGGCTCTGATGTAAGTGGAGACTTTGGTAGCGGTTGAGGAATATATGAGGACTTGGGACGATCCAGATCTAGGAGACCCATGTTGTCAGCTAGCGGTATTTAGATAAACAGTGGTGTGCAACGTTGGTGCAGCGGTTTTTGAGCCTATAAGGGTGTGGAAAGCTACCTTTTACAAAGCGTGAATAGTTAAACGGTTGGATTTTTGAAACGGTCGCGCAAATACTAGATAGTTTATATTTGTGAAATCAAAGTACCACCCGGTAAGAGACTCATACGAGACGTAGAACAATACGGCGTGTTAAGGATCTCACTTGTGTGGCGATTGTTCTGTGAGTTTGGGATTTCCTTCAATTATTTTCATGTTCAATGATGTTCTAATATACATATGGTACAAGTTAAAGTTGCAGACACCTCACACAATGCAAATGATTCATTCTGGACCCCGTAACAAAGGATCTCCCAAGCCTACGGCCAGTGTGTCATGATGATCACCCTGGCCAGGGCCATGCATATAACCACAAGGACACTCTTTTTGGATTCCAAGGGAATTGTTGTCAGTTTCAGGATCCACAATTGACTCAGTAGGAATCGGTATGTCGATGGCCATGCAATCGTCTGTCATTTGTGTTATGTTCATGGCAGTGGTATTGACTGGTCTCGGCTCCATTTTTCTCTTCTTCGAAGAAGGCTGCAAGTGTGCTTTGAAAAGGTCTGACCGCACCTTCGGCTGGAGAATTACCACAGTATTGTCCTTATAGCCCCAAGGAACATTTTCCTGTGCTCTAGAGATAACCCAAGTTTCTGGCATGCTGAATACTAAAGAGTGCTGGTGCTAGCAGTGAAGTCTTCGCGGACCAAAGTCGTTCGCAGTGCACCATTTGCACTTGGCACCGCATGGGACAGTTTAGGTGCGGCGTGCACCCACCGCAAGATCATGCTCGCTGAGCCTTCTGTATCATTTGCCTCACAAAACCAGATCACAACTAACTATGGGGATAAAAAGCGTATTCAAAAAGAAAGAACCAACCGAAGATGAAATCAGAGACCACTTGGCCCTGAGAGGTATCACATCCAAGTCCACCGCCGGAGGTTTTGCCGGACGAGAAGAAAAGTTTGGTGCATTTAAAGAGTATGCCCAAACAAGAGCCAGCCAGAAATCGGCAATTCGTCCTGTGAACCCATATGCCAACTTGAATGGTAACGCAGCGGGCGGTGGCCAAAACGCTGGTTCCAACCCATACGCCGAGGTGCCACCCCAAGGTGTTAACCCTTATGGCCTCAACGGCTCTTCTTCATTAAGTCTGAACCCTTCCTCACAAAATGGTTTAGCCGCTCCATCTGACCCTTACGCCCAGCGACCCCGGCAGGGTTTGCAGAGCCTGTCGCTGCGTCCACCATCATCGCTGGTTCCAGATCCGTACGCTCGTTCTACACGTTCGTCGACATCTTCCCCTGATCCCTACGCTCGTTCAACCCGCACCTCGACTCGTCAACGGGACTTTGACGAAGAATCCTTGGACCTCAATGCCATTCCAAGTAACACAATGTACCAAAACGCCAGAAGGCCTACCAAGAAGGCGGTGGCTCTTGATGATGCTACAATCGACTTGAACGAACTACCTGAAGAAGACGACCTAAACGTGGTGCTAGACGAAGAGTTACCAGAACAAGAACAAGTCAATTCGGAAGACGAAGAAGTTGAAGGCATTAAACAGGATATCCGATTCATCAAGCAAGAGTCGACGGCTCTGACCAGAAACACATTAAGAATGGCACAAGAAGCTGATGCTTCAGGTACTAATACTTTGGGGGTATTGGGATCTCAAAGTGAACGATTATACAATGCTGAACAGAACTTGAATCTTGCCGATACTCAAACCAAAATTGGAGAAGAGAAGATCAAGCAGGTGCAGAGGTTGAACCGGTCGATTTTCATTCCAGCCAGTGGGAACCCCTTCAATAAGAAGTCAAGGTTAAGACTGCAAGAACAAAGACTTAAAACCGAAAAGGAGCATGAGAAGTACATGCGGGACTCTAATAGGAAGAACATGTATGAGAGTGAACAAAGAATCAAGCAAGGAATTACTCAAAATGCTTCTGGTTCCGAATTACATCAGAAGTATCGTGGAGAAAAGAATCTTGCAAGTGCCCAACGGTACCAATTCGAAAACGATTCGGAGGATGATGAAATGGAGAAGGAAATTGCCAGTAACTTGGAACAAATTGCCTTGTATTCGAAGAAGTTGCGTAATACTGCCAACACCATGGGTCAAGAAGTAGATAGCCAGAACGACCGGTTGAGGAAGATTGAAGAAGATGCGGATCGGTTGGATATCAATGTGCACTTGAACAACACTCGGTTGAGTAACATCCGCTGAAGTACATCGCCAAGACCATGAAAGAGGTTATAATGTTAGATAGAACCATGAATTAATAATTTAATTGAACCCACTCACGTAGTGTCCTTCCCCAGAATTCCGAAGATTTGAGATCATGACGTAATGAGTTGTTAACAATTACTTTCACAATTCCACCATTCGTCTATTCTCCGCTAGTGTACACACTATTTGACAGTACCATGCCTTCATATCGCCTTCCAGAAACCGTTTTCCATAGTTTCCTAATATTGAAACTGTTGCTTGTAATGGGCCAGGATACAGCCACCGCACGACCCCTGTTTCCAGGCACATCCCCACGCATATCTCGCGAGACCCCCACCTCAATAAAATACATCCACCTACAAAATGGAAACGAGTGAACAGACTCATCACCACATCCAGATTAAAGACTCGTTCCTTGTGGGACGAGCTCTTCTCAACTTCACCTCCATCTTTGTGTCCTTGGGGGTATTTTTATTTGGATTCGAACAAGGACTCATGTCTTCGCTTTTGACCAATAAGTATTTCCAAGACTATTTCCACCATCCCAAGCCCGCCGAGATTGGAACCATGATCGCCATCCTCGAGATTGGGGCTTTGATCTCGTCGTTTGTGGCCGGGAAGGTGGGCGACAAGATTGGCCGTAGAAAGACCATTCGGTATGGGGCCCTCATCTTTGTCATTGGAGGAACCATACAAGCTGGATCAGTATCGATCTGGAACCTATCGCTAGGACGGTTGATTGGTGGTATTGCCATTGGGTTTTTGACCACCATCATTCCTTGTTACCAGCTGGAAATTTCACCTCCTGACGATAGAGGATTCTATGCGTGCTTAGAATTCACCGGGAATATTATTGGGTATGCTACAAGTATCTGGGTGGATTATGGTTTCAGTTACTTGGATAATGATTGGTCCTGGAGATCTCCTTTAGTGGTGCAGTGTGTGGTGGGACTTTTGTTATTTTTGGGGACGTTTGTGATTGTGGAAACTCCAAGATGGTTGCTCGACAAAAACCATGATTTGGAAGGGTTGATTGTGATTGCAGACTTATACGCCGATGGAGATGTGGAGGATATAAGAGCCAAAGACGAGTACAGAAACATCAAGGAAAATATATTAATTGCCCGAGTTGAAGGTGGTGAACGGTCTTATCGGTATATGTTGAACCGATATGCCAAACGATTGTCAGTAGCCTGTTTTTCCCAGATGTTTGCCCAGATGAACGGTATCAACATCGTCAGTTACTATGCTCCTATGATCTTTGAGTCTGCCGGTTGGGTGGGCCGTCTGGCAATATTGATGACGGGTGTAAATGCCGTTATCTATGTGCTTTCTACAATTCCTCCTTGGTGGTTAGTAGATGGTTGGGGTAGAAAACCGTTGCTCATGACGGGTTCGGTAGTGATGTTTGTTCCGTTATTGGTCATCTCTCTCTCATTGTTGGTGGATAATGAGTATACTCCCACGACTGTGGTGGTGTGTGTTTTCACCTACAACGCTGCATTTGGTGCAAGTTGGGGACCAATTCCTTGGATGATGAATGAAGTGTTACCTAATTCAGTTAGATCCAAGGGAGCAGCCCTTCTGACTGCTACAAACTGGTTCTTCAATTTTGTTGTTGGAGAAATGACCCCTATATTATTGGACTTGATAACTTGGAAAACTTATTTGATTCCTGCTGGCTCATGTGTTTTATCGTTCTTCTGTGTATTCTTTCTTTTCCCAGAAACAAAGGGCTTGACCCTAGAGGATATGGGATCAGTGTTTGATGATTCTTCGTCAATTTTCTCCTTCCACTCATCTGGAAATGCTGGTGGATATGGGGCTGTTGATGAATCTCGGAGAGCTAGTGTTTCAGTAGATAACCAGATGTCTGAATCTTTCCGCCACAACGCTGCTGCCATTGCTAGAAACCCTGCTTTAATGAAACCTGATTTCGATGGTATCATCACTGGCACCCCTCCCCCACCTCAAATTCCTTATCAAAATGCCTCCACCGCCAGTTTGAAGCCAGTGAAGTCTGATATGTCTTCTGCCACCTCTTTGGACGGTATTGCTCCTTTAGACTCAAACTTTTCTCCTCAGGAAATTGAACCTCCAACTTTTTACGAGGTTTATCAATATAAGGTGAACGAATTGAGGAAACCGGGCGTGATCTCACAATTGTTGAGCTTTGTATTTAGTGAAAAGAACTCATCTGATGACGAGAGTCGCCTTTTGAGCCGATAAAAACAAATATTTTGCTCTCCTAAATATATATTTTAGACGAATCCTTCTTTCTATTTAATTTAGTTACCGACTTCGGTTTGGTAGCATGCATAATGGACGATTTGGTCATTTCTCACTGTGAAAACACTGTATCCCAATCGTTTTTTGCAGATGGGGCATAATTTCTTACTGCTTTCAATTGTGTAGCTTTTATTCAGTCTCATGAGCAATTCATGTTGGAGCTTTATATTTCCCACTTTGTATAATTGACTGGCTAACCGACTATCCACCAATGTTTTCTTGCTCATTCTGTACTGATTGCTCAAAAACCTGTCAAGCTTCCTGACTGGGAAAGATGGTGGAAGACTGGTAAGAACTCTCAAAGTGTCCATTTTAGACCCTTGAGACTTCAAAAGCTTAGATATTGAGTCCGTGTTTTCCGTATAGTTCATCAATAAGTCTTCAAGTAATTTGTGAAGTAGCTTAGTTCCAAGGTCTTTGTTGTTCTCCGTGTAAATGTCTGAACAATATTTGATGGCTGAATCAAGATCATCTAGCTGACCGTACAACACATCAATAGCTTTATCATGTTCACCCAATCTTTTGTATATGAATATGGTAAACCGTAATAATTTCACTTCGTTGGTGGGAATATGTTTGAGTACCGTCCATGGCTCATATAGAGACGTTGTCTGAAGAAACTTGTAAAGTTTCTGGTATGGTTCACTGGTTTCGAATCCAGCATCATTTCTATCCATCTCCTTGAGGATGTTCAAGTACATTAAACAAAGTTTTGTATGAAACTTGGGCATTATATGTTGCTTGTTTGGTTGATCATTGAAGTCACTTTCAAATATTATCCATTCGAGATATTCAACAGCCAACTCTTCGCTGCAAATTACCTCAACGAAATACTCAAGAACTTTGAAATTATCATAGCTTTCACACTCGTAAGTCTCGTTCATGAATATTAACTTCCCATTTAACATGGGGTCCTGGTCAGGATCAGTGAGTAACCATTTGGAATGCTCAAACACAAGACCAAGCTCGATATTTCCAAGCTTTTGCAAATATTGAATGGTGAGGTGTGATATTCCACCAGACTCTAGAGCTTCATTATCATTATCTTCGTGGGCAAGCTTGTAAAGCATTTCCAAGGCTTCCTTATGTAGCTTTCTTCCGAAATAAAAGTCCAATAGCTCTTTGAGAAAGTTATTGTCACTATCGTGATTGGAAAGTAAACACTGGTTAACGATACTGGCATCACAACAGTTATTGGGGAGCCTTAGTAATGGTCCTAGGAGCATTGGTTTGCAATAGAAGTAGCAAAGGAATAAACAAGTATCAATCTCTATAGCAATTTGGTTCAAAGATGATGTCATTAGTTCTGGAGTAATGAAATCATACAAATCCACAGGAGTGATATTGATACCTTTCCAGAAGAATCCTTCATCATTTAGAAAAGCCAAATGAATACGACGTTGGTCTGTTAAATATATGATTAAGTTGTTGATGGCTTTTCCAAACTTTCTTAGGTTTTGGGACTTAGTCTGTCCAAATATAGTACTGGGCATTCTGCTCGTTAAAGTGGCTTTTGACAGCCTGTCATTCTCCACTTCGGTGGCTGAATCAGCTGTTGTCAATGCATTCAACTTACTTTGCTGGAGCTCGTCGAGAGTAATTTTCTTGACGACGTTTCGAGTATTTTTAAGAGCTTCATTGGCGATGGTGGCATTGGACCGATCATAAAACTCCCGCTTTAAGAAATCGGGGAAGAGATCTAACACATCCTTATATGATACCAACCAGTCGCTGCAAATCTCTATCAAGGACTCATGGTACTTTCCATATCGTTCGAATAAGATAAATGCTCTTTGCTTATTTAAGTCTCTTAGCATCAACTGCTTCTTCTTCTCCTTTCCCACACGAGAACCACCAAAGAATTCATCTTCTTCGTCAATTTTCTCGACGAACTTAAGGGCCCTTTGAAGACCAACTAAAGCCAAGTCAGTCTTGGGGTCTTTTTTTGAGTTTCTTCTATCGTCGCCGAAACCAAATCTGAGATATTGGTCTATCTGTTGCTGGAAATTCAAAATGTTGAATTGTATCAAATCAGTGTTGGCTCCAAGGAAAATGAATGCGTCATTCACGAATACAGGAATGCTGTTGGAGTTTATTTGGTGATGGATTTTTTGTACCAACTCTCCCAGCTCCAAGTCTATTATTTCCACTTTTTTATTATATACCACCAACAAATAAGAGGGGTAGATGAAGGATAGAAACACAGGAGATGCTGACAATTTGACATTACTTTCTTTGACAGATATGGCCGAATCCTTAGACGACAAAATGATGATCTGATTATCTTTGATAAGGCAATATTCATCTTCATTGGCCTTTAAAATCCGTATAGATGGACCACTGCTACTGAGACCAAAGTAGCTGAATGTACTGTGGTTGAAATAATAGTACATTTCGTTATTGTCGCTGTTCTCAGGAAATAGGCCAGTGATTCTAAAGTCATCATTAACATCCACCAATAGAAAATCATTAGAAAGTCCAATAATTAAATGCAACCCTAGTTGGAGATTCATGCAACTTATAGCCTTGACTCTTTCCTTCAACGACTGTTCACTAATCTTGTTGAACCGGAATAAGTTTCGTGTTTTGTACACCATCTCAAATATAATGAGTTTCTTCTTAACTCCCACAGTCATGTGTTTCTTACCGTTAACTTCATACACCAACAACTCATGATATGCCTTTGTTTCATCCATCACTTGAATAAGATTCAAGTGGTTCCCTATTTTCTCAAAAATCCGGATAATGTCGTTATTGGTTATCGCAAAGATGATCCTATTCGTAGAAGAATTGTTGGACACAATTTCGATTCGACTTACGGGTGTGCTATCGCCATTGACATTCGGAAATGTCATGTCATGGTGGAAGTTGGAACTTTTCGTGTCCATGAAATACGTTCGTATGTCGGTAAGGGATTTGAACGAAGTTATCAGAGGAGCTTTCCGTTGGTCAGACTCCGTGATAATGTCCACATCGTAGATACTGAAGTCACCCGAGGCAAACCCCACATAGAGCTTCTCCTTGTCATAATATACCGCCGTGATTTTGACCGGGCTCGACGAATTGAGCCTGCTGGCGGGTCTTATCACGTCAATATTCATCTATAACTGACGAGATTTGGATGAGAATGAGTTTTCGCGGAGTACATGAAAGATATAATTATATGCTATTAGAGACTACTAAAAAGAGTTTTCACATGGTGGTAAGAACATCAATGACACCAGAGCAATACTTGGCCAACTCGTCAAGTGCAAGTTTTTTGGTTTGGTTGACAGACGTGAAATTCTCAAGTGCTTCTATCAACTCTGTATCATTATAGCCGTACACCACATCACCATGATTCTTCAAAAACATTGCAAACAATGCCTGATATATCTCGTAGTTCATGTTGGTTTCCACTCCTTGGGTTAAGGCATCGATAAAGCTTTGCATTTCAGTCAACGGAGGAAATGAGTTAAGAGACCTGATTTCCATGTCGGTAGCGGCTGGTACTAAATCAACCACGTACTTCAAAAACTGGCTATAGTCTTTTGTTTGAGATCCCTCTCTCAACAATCTGGTGAATTCGGACTCGAAGTTCTGAGAAGAACCATCAGCCTTGTACTTCAACAACCTGCTGTTGGCATCTTCGAGTTCCATACCATCGGCATCTACAGCCTCGGGATTTCTGAACTTATTGATTTTCCGTTGTCCGTTTTCATCTTCAACTGCTGTGTCTCCAACAATGTCTCCTGAGAGAGATAAGAAGAACGGAGCATTTTTAGGTTTTTTGGGGGCTTCTTTGGGTTTACTTCTTTGCTTAATGACATCCAAGTGCATCAACGTATTATATTTGGATCTGGGTCCCAAAGACAACGTTACCAAGGAGCCATCAAGCTGCTCTGTTTCGGTGTCTCTGATGGAATTTTCGTCTAGACTATCGTTCTGTTCGTCATCAAGAGCACCTTCTATTAACGTTGACCCTCCATCTCCGGAACTATTAGGTAAAAGAATATTAGCAAACTCTTCTTCTTCCACATGTCTGGTGGAAATGGGTCTAAATTGTGCTCTATTTGTCCACAAGAAGATCCCATTACCAGTGACATGAGTAGTAGCAAGTAAATCACCAATTGGAGAAAACTTCACCCCAGTGGCCACGGTAGGTAAAAACACACCATCAATACAACCACCAGAAGGTAAGTCCCATGTTCTCAATGTTCCATCCAATGCCACAGACACAATCCATCTTCCATCGGGAGAAAAGTCCATTCCAGTAATTCTATTAGTATGACCATAGAGGATTCTGACCACTCTCTGAGTAGCAACATCAACTACCACTATCGACAAGTCATCCAATACACAAGCCACCAAGTCGGATCCCTTATGATAAACCATCTTCGTGATTGGAGATTCCAAATCCAATTTGCCCAAGAACGTCAGCTTTCCAAAGTTGTAGAATCCCACAATACCATCTAATCCACCACTCACCATCTTTTGGTTCATTCCATCCATACAGATTCCAGTTACGGCTTTCTTATGCAACATGTACTTCTTACGAAGGGCTCCTGATTGTAAGTTATAACTTCCAATACCACCATTCACTGACCCTACTAAGGCAAAGTTTCCACAATGGGACATGCACACAGAAGAAATAAAACTTCCATCAACAGTGTTCAAATGGAACCGGCCGACTCTTTTGGTTTGAGAGTCCCATGTTCTGGCAAATGGTTCTTCCTTGTGAGCGGTGACTATATTCTCCCAATCTCCTTCACGGGCTTGATTAGAAGCAATAGCAAGGATTTCTGGAAACTTTTCTCTCATTGACTTCACCTGTCCGGCTTGTCTTTTGTTGTCCTGAGACTTCTGTTCTCTTTGAGACATCTCTTGAGCTTGGGCATCCTTCCTTAAAGAGAAAGACCAAAATGACCGGTCACTGGAGGCACTGAGAATGAAATGAGATTTGTTCTCTTGTGGGAACTCGATATTAACCGGGGGAGCTGAATGACCTCCACGGGAACGGAGATGACGAGGTGGTGAAATAACCGAGGAATTTGTAGTCGAAATAGTTGGATCAAACACAAACTCTTTTAAGCTGTTATCTCCTCCGTTACTTACAACAATCGATTGACCGTTCAAGAACTTGACATTGGCAATTCCACCATAGCTTTCTTTATGTGCGTTCTTCAAGATATGGATTCTGGACTTCTTCTCCAATTCGTAGAAGAATAAATCTCCATTACTCAAACCAGCGACCAAATGGGGTGAACCGTCAGTTCTGAATGATAAAGATACCACCTTGGTTCCACTGGCCTCATCAGCAGCAGTGATTCTGGAACTAATCACTTTTCCCTTTTTGATGTTGTACAAATATACTCCACCTTTGACTGTGCCTATGGCAATAACATCCAATACTGGAGCGTATTCGATAGTTGATATGTTATCATCGTCGATTTGGTCTTCGGGTGACTGGAATAACATTTTACCAGTGTTGACATTCAACACAAAAATATGCTGGGTGGTGGCCACCACCACTTTGTTTAGGTATGTTGGAGGGTGTACAATCCCAACAATTTCTCCATGAATGCTGTTGTTTATGGAGTATAAAGAGCTGTGAAGTTCACTTGGATATTTCTTTCCTGATTTCTTGAACGTGAATATTTCACCGGCCCTAGATGTAGCCACTAAAAACTCACCAAAAGTAAGGATGTTATGGATCACTGATTGGGTTGGACATTCCAACGTTTCTTCTAACCTTCCTCTTCTATAGATTCCGATTTTGCTGCCATGACCGCAGAATACATAATGGTAATGAGCTGCCAAAGCCGTGATCTTGGAAGGAGTTTGGGATTGTGACACAAACAACAAATGTAACGTAGCCACATCGTAGATCTGGAAGGAGTGACCCACAGAAGTCACCACATAAAACGTTGAACCTAAAGTTCCTAACGCAAATGGAACATCATTAGATACATTTCCCAAAACTCTGAAGGGACTAAACACCTTGGATTTTCTTACATTGGTTTTCCCATTCCCACTTACTGGCACCGTATCTTGTTCAACCTTTCTTCTTTTTTCCACTGGTTCTACCATATTGATATATAAGAAGATGAGATCTATATTCCAATTTTTTTCTCGCACAATTTGTACAAGCAGAGATGCGAGATGAGCTGCAAATAAGAGGTATTACAAGTTGATAAAGCCTTTTTCTACAAGTCATATTTCTTTGCACTCTGAATATAAATGGCTAGAGGTAGCACTATTCAGCCAACTAAGGTACATATATTTGGCACTGGTCCGACTTCTACCCGCCTTCTCTCTACCTCTTCGATTTTCCACCTCTTCTCACCATCTTTGTAAAATGCGACAGTGAAAAAATCACCTTTCATGACTGTGAATACTAAAAGACCTAACGATTCTGAAGTCGATTCTGAGGCTAAAAAAGTTCATATTGATCTCAGGGACAAAGGCTGGGCTGCTATAAAGGCAGAGTTTGTCATAAAGAACGAAGAAGCTGCTGACCTCTATATTAACGATGATGACGCTGAAGGTGGAGACAGAGATCAGGTTCAAGAAACCACCGGAAAGAAGAAGAAAAAGAGAGGCCAGAACAAGAACCGTGACTTACGTCAGGAACACGGTGCTATAAGACTTTGTACATCACTAGTGGATCCTGATAACGCTAAGGAATGTCGATTTGGAGCTGAAAACTGCAGAAGCTCGCACAACATCGAAGAATTCCTTGCTAGTAAAGAGCCTGATGTAGAAGGAATATGTCCTGTTTTTGACGCCATTGGGTACTGTCCTGCTGGATTGAAGTGCCGGTGGCTCGGGTCCCATTATGATAAAGAAACCAACAAATTGCTCAAAGATTTGGCTAAGATTGAGGTAAATCAAGAACCACGAGAACTCAATAGGATCACCAACGACGCCAAAATTGCTTTGCAAAAGAAGAAGTATGAGTTTAAAACTGCCACAAAGATGATTCTGTATCTTGATTCGCAAGTCAAGAACGAGGCCTATATGAAGAATTTGGAAGAAAAGAAAGACAACCAAGCAGAATTCGTGGAAGTTCCATTTAGAGTAGCAGAGAAGAAGCGCTTGAACTTTAAAAATGCAAAGATAGTATCTCCATTGACCACTGTTGGTAACTTACCATATCGTCGTTTGATGAAGACTTTAGGGGCAGATGTCACATACGGTGAAATGGCTCTCACGGTTCCATTATTGCAAGGTACAAACGCAGAATGGGCATTGCCAAAAGCTCACAAGTCAGAATACCCTGGCTTTGGAGTGCAGTTCGCTGCTGGTAAACATTGGTCGGCTGCCAAAGCCGCTGAAATCATCTATAGAGAAACTCCCAACGTCTCGGAACTTAACTTGAATTGTGGATGTCCCATTGACTTGTTGTATCGTCAGGGACAAGGGTCTGCATTGATGGAACAACCATCCAAGTTGATGAGAATCTTGAAAGGAATGAACTACTGCTCGGGAGACATTCCTGTAACTGTCAAGATTAGAACTGGAACTAAAGACAATAAGAACACTGCTAAAAGTTTAGTTGGCAGACTTTTGGAAGAAAACGAAGTGGCTGCAATCACTTTACATGGTCGTTCCAGGCAACAGCGGTACTCCCGTGAGGCCGATTGGGGGTACGTTGGCGAAGTTGCTCAAGTGGTCCAGGACTGGAACAACAGGAAAGAGGAAAACAAAGACATGAGTGACACTCAAGCCACTCAATTTCTCGGAAATGGTGATGTTTACACGTTTGAGGATTGGTATGCTGCCACTAACACTCCTGGAATTGACTCTGTGATGGTTGCAAGAGGAGCATTGATTAAACCATGGATTTTTGAAGAAGTTGAAGCCCAGCAATACTTGGACAAATCGGCTTCCGAGAGATTGGATATTTTAAGAACCTACGCCAACTTTGCAGTTGAACATTGGGGTACTGATGAATATGGAATAGGGTTAGCCAGAAGGTTCATGTGTGAGTTTTTGAGTTTCTACCATCGTTATATCCCTGTTGGGATTTTGGAGAGATTACCACCCAAATTGAACGAAAGACCCCCCAAATGGAAGGGTAGAAACGACTTGGAAACATTACTTGGATCATCTGACTACCAAGATTGGATCAAGATTACGGAGATGTTTTTAGGTAAAGCAGGAGAAAACTTCCATTTCACTCCAAAGCACAAGAGTAGCTCCTACGAACAATCCAGAGACTAAAGGTAGCATTTTCATGTATCAGAATAAACTAAACAATTATAAATCAGACTTTTCTAGCTCTCAACTTGGAGTCCAGGTCATCCGTAGCAGGTTTGGTTTTGATGTCCTCGTCTCCTTCGTAATCATTAGCCAAAGCTTTGGCCTTTTCTTTCAAGGATTCCAATTCCTTGTCCTTTGCAGCCAATTCTTCCTTCAACTTCACAATTGAGGGAGAATCTTTGGTTTCAGTTTCACCAAGCTCACTTTCACCAGTGAGAGCATCAACCTTGTCCTTTGTTACCAACAATTCCGTCACCAAGCTGTAAGTTCTCAACAAAATCAACGTTAAGAATAAAGTGAATCCACACAAGTACATGTTTCTTTGGGCATAGAATCTTCTAGCCTGAATTTCAGACCGGTCATTCACAATGGCACTTCCACGAATAGCCGAGCCTTGTAACTCGTTACTGACAGAGGCCACTCTGTTAACCGAATCGATAAAGAGTACCAACACAAAGCCTAAAATACACTTCAAAGCAATTTGGAACTTTTCGTTTCTGAAGGGAGCAGAAACCGTGGTCAAAACGGTTCTTCTAATCTTTCTTGGGTATGGGAGTGACAAGACCGTGAAGAATGCAACCTCAACCACCAATAATCCGAATACTAAATTGTAATATAATGCCATTGAGTAATAGATAAGTTGTCAGAAACTGAAACTGATTTGCGCAGATGATTCAGTTTGTCGCGACAATGAATTTTGGTTGCTAAAACACAGGGGCCTTACTTGCTATGGACAAGTTGCGAAGTGAACAAAATGGAGTCAAATCAAGAAAGGGAACTAATTGATAAGTGTCAAATTAAGAAAGGGAACTAATTGATAAATCTATAAAATTACTAAAGTATATAACTTTGAAGTGAAACGTTTTGGGTAGTGTATTTGAATTTGCAGCCTCATATAGAACCGGCGTGAGTGAGATAAAAACTTTAAAAGAACGTCTCTATCAGATTAAACTTCTTGGAACTAGCTCTTCCCAAAAGCAAACACCTCTAATATCCCAACGTTACCTTGATAGTGAAACTTACAAGGAAAGGTAACGTGATGAACAATACGGCGTATTGGGAAATCAAAGCGGCTGCTAAGCAGTCCATTTGTATGTGATCTTCCGAATTTGGATCTGTGTAGAAAGCAGTAAAGTACACCAAGGCCGTCGCATTGGGTAAGCCGAACTCCAACACCGATATGAATCGAATCAACTTATTCCCATCGTACCACCCGGCCCTGTTCAAGCCTGCAACCAATCCTACTCCAACCATTGGTAAGAGGACAAGACGGAATAGTACAATTCCCAACACGGTTTTATAAAAGCCCTTAGGCATTCCCTTGAGGTCAAGTCGAGAAATCGTGGCTCCTAGCAAGAGTAATCCAAGAGGTACTGAGGCCTGACCCATGTACAGGGCTGTGTCCAATAGAAATGATAAAGGAGGTAAGCCATCTGGAGCGTCTGGGATAGAAAATGCCAGACTGACAAACAACGCCTTTAGTGGAGGAGCCATTGCCACAGCAAGTGCCAAGATCAACGATATTGACACCGGTGCAAGGGTGTTTTTCAAAATCGAATAGAGACGTTGACGAACTTTGGAGGTGACAACTTCAATTTTAGATGCATTAGTCAAGGGTTTGCTGAGAGACTCACCTCCCACCATGATGGCGGGACCTATGGTATCACTTCCCAAGGTGATCATTCTCTGGACCCCACTGAGATTAGAATTGTCATTTAAACGGTCATATTCCGAATATTCATTAATGACATCGCCTATGTCTTGTGACTTCATGGACCTCAAGTCTCTGCTTCGAATGGGCAAAAGACTGGCGGTGCCAATCCGGTGAGAGAGACGCTGTGATCCGGTGCGGTAGGTTTCTTCACCAAGATTTGTTGGAAGCGGGACCTCCACCATTTGGTTCGAGGGCAATGAGCTGGATATCGACAAGGCATCGTCGTAAGAGTCGGCATCTTCGGGGGTTCGTACCACCGGGGTTGGTGCCTGAAAATTGGAGTCGCTATGCCTGTGTTTTTCACTGGGTGTAGATGCATTAGAGGAGATGGTATCGTGGGTGTGGCGGGCCGAGGCCGTGTCCGAGCCCGAGCCTATCACCTTTTCGTCATCATCTTCATCCCTGAAATCCCACTGGATCAACGCATAGAGTCCGAGGGTAAACTGGTAGAAGGCCTGAGCAGCAAGGAAAATACACACGTAGGCAACGCCCTTATCACCTTCTGACTCGGAGAAGACCATACCGCCGTTTGTGAGGGTTTGGACGTATGCTATGGGTAAGTCCGAAATGTTGGGGAAGAGCCCCACTGAAAGTAAACCTCCCAACCATCGTTTAGGAGAACGGGTGACAATGTAGGTGATATATGCAAAGAGAATCCCAACTCCAAAAAGCACGGTGGCAGTGAAGAAGATGATTCCCACAGACTTGATATCGGAGCTTGCGAGGTTCTTAACGATGTTGGTGAAGATCAAACAGGGTAAAATTGCGGTGACAATAGCGTCTGAGATGTCTCTGCAAGTGGAGACGGTAAGTACATTTCGTTTTGCGAGGATAAACCCTATGCCGGTGATTATGTATATCTTAAAGATGGGCTTGACGGCCGAATAGATGATCAGGCCTAGCGCTACCGCCATGTTTGTGGGTAATGTGAAAGTGGTGTGAAGATTATTGATATGTCAAACTAAAAAATAGCCTCGCGGGTGATAGCGTCCAGTGAGGGACGTGATGGACGGGGACACAAAAGGGCTGCGGCGATTTTATGGTGCAAACACCAGTGGGAGGCTGGTGCGGTGGGCGAGTGTGCGGATGGCGTGTTTGTGGTTGGTCTGTTTGTGGTTGGTGGAGTGTGGACGGTGTGTTTGTCTTTGTGGTTGGTGGAGTGTGGACGGAGTGGTGGAGTACGGTCGTGGACGCATCCCCCTATATAATTCTACGACATACTAATAAAATACGTTATTAAACAACCAAACATACCATATAATAATAGCATCCATCACTAAATAACCAAGCATTCACACAATCCTACGACATTAACAAATCTATCATTATTAAACACATATAACCCATAACTCATTACACACCTTCCCTAAATGAAAGCACCAGGTGCACGGACTTGCACGTCCACTACCTTAAGCTGGCTCAGCTTTTGGTGGTCGTTGCCGTTGTGGGAATAACTAATAGTAATCACATCGTGGACTTTGTTCACCACTTGTTCTTGTTCAACATCCACATACCCGTAGAGGACTAACATCTCTTCGTCCAGAAGCCCTTCTGGTGAGTCTGTTGGCAGTGGTTGTGGTTGCAATTCAGTCTGATGGTCAGAAAAAATAGACGACCGACTCGACCTATCTGACCCATACGAGTTGTAGTCAATGGAACTCGAGTCCAGAAGTCCTAGGTCTGGCGAGTCAGGAATTTCAATGGGTTTCTGGTTGAGGAGTCTGGCTGGAGATCTGGCTGGTAACTGGATATCATCTTGTTGTATAGGGTCCATGGTGGGATGAGGGTCTTCAAGGTAGTCGTCCACAACAAACGAGAGGTACTCTTGCACAAGCTTATAATCTTCCAAAAGAGTGGATTCTTCAGAGAGGCAGTTGGAAAGATTATATAGGCTGGTGCTGGAATTGCTGATTGCTAAGCTCATGCTTTCTGCGGAGGATTAGGGGCTGTATGCAAAACAAACAACAAACTAGAAAGGAACAATATTTTTTGTGGTCAGACTATAGATAGTTTGCAATTAATGCATTCAACTCTAAACCCGTTTATTGACAGGGGTGCTGGCTCTGTAGTCCTTTTTTGAAAAAACTTCAACTGATGATAATTAATTATCATAGTTTGAAAATCATGCTTGCAAAATTTTCCCGATTAGGAAAAGATATTATTTGCAGAGACACTAAACCGTTTCCGGTTAACACGGGGCTAAGGCCGCGAATTAGCGTAACTAGCCAGCCATTCTCATGCACAAGCGAATGAACCCTTTTAGCCATATGTGATGTATAATATTCCTAAAGCCCATTGTAGGGCTTGGCAAAGATGCCCACATTCCGCCTGGTATTGCCATTTTTTGGCCAGTTTTTTTTCCCAGCCACAAAGTCTGAATACCACCAGCTGCAACCAAATTCAACAATCGATCAAGATGGAGTACTGTGTTGCAACAATATATCAGGTGGCTATCTCAAGACCATAGTTCACTTTTATTATGTTTGTTTTGTGTACTCAAACTACTAAATTTATTTATTATACAATGACATCGGGACCACCTTAACTCTTGGTCTTCTTCTTAGCAGGCTCGCCCCCTTCGCTCATATTCTCATCATCCGATCCACTAAGGCTAGCGTCCGAGTCGAACTCTTCGGCTGGGTCACTATCAGACCCACTGTTGAAATCACCATCTTCTTCTGACTCCTCTTCTCCAGCACTACCCATGTCAATATCAGCATCATCATCGTCTTCGTCATCATCAGCTGCTTCGTTCAAAGCTTTAGCCATCATAGCCTTGGCCACCTTTTCTTCATTTTTAATTCTCAATCCCTTTTGTACACAATAGCTTTCAATGCTCGCTTGTTCTTCCCTGTCGATGCTTCCAAACACGTGAGACTGGTTGGAGCTCCTCAAGTTGATCTCCAAGTCAAAGGTTCTGGAAGCGGAAACACCGGTTCCAGTACGTGACATGACAATATTGCTCACCTCGGAGAATGGTATATAAACAGTGGGCTTGGTCACAAATAAAAAGCATCTGTCCAAAGGATACAAGTACCCTTCGGAGGCCTTTAAGTTACAAGCAACTCCTGGTTGTAAGAACCGAGATTGGAAGGATCCAGGAGCTATTAATCTTCTTTCAGTCAACCCTTTAAAACAGTGGGACATCACCAAATGGGTTTCAGCATCGTAACGCTTCTTTAATTTACCTTCGTACTTGGACTTGTAATCCTCTTCAGAAAGATTCAACTCCACTTCGATTTCCTCTTCTCTAGCAAATTGTAATACCAAAAATGGATATCTGGTTTGGCCCTGTCTTAGTGGGGGATCGATTTGCAATACCACCAAATGGTGCGTTTCATCTGGCTTGGGTAACGAAAAAATCCGCTCGATTTGCTTGTATTGGATCTTGTAGTCATAAGTCTTACCACGCAATCTCAAAGATGTTGGATACATGTCGATATCGTAACGACCTCTTGGAGTTAAGAACAACACATCGCTGAACGAAACAATTGCTTCTCCGGCAACTTGGCCAATGTTAGCATTGTCTTTCAATTGCTCATAGAATACTGATGCTGCACTAATTTCTTCAATCTCGGCCTCTTCGTGTTCTTTTTCTTCCCCTTCTTCATTCTTCACTTTCGTGACTGTCTTGGTTTCATTTTCCACCACACCTGGAACATAGAATCTCATTTCCACCAACTCGTCACCTGCTTTGGAAGCAGAAGTTTCCAAATTCAATTCTACAGCGACCTCATTCTTACCCGTTAAGTTCGAATTGTTGATCTCCGAATAAGGAATTTCGAAACTGGGCTTTCCGTTGATGGAAAAGATCAATTCATTCCTAGCCAAGTCGGTCTTGCCCCAATTCCATCCTCTTAATGAATGCTCCTTATGTTCCAAGGACATTTGAAAATTTCTTTGCAACTCTTGTTTGAGCTCGGCAAAGTTCTCCGAGTCAAATCCATCGAGACTTACCACTCCTTTATTTTTGGTTTGAACTCTCAATTCGTAACCTCTTGAGCCTCTAGACCACATAAATGATAAGATTTCTTCAGAGGGTAACAAGAACGGCTGGTTGGTTTGAGCACCATTTGCACCAGTTGAGGAGGCTTTCCAGCCTAAACCTGAGTCTGCAATTCTCATACGACCATTGGTACGTGATTGATTCAAGTATATCCTTTCAAAATCCACATTTGGCATGTTGAAAATGTGTTGTTCGAGGTGAAAGATTTTTGCTGTTACGCGTTGAAGTGAAAGCCAGGTGCGCGCGCGAAAAACTAAATGCTTTCGCCTAGGTCGAAGTGGGGCCAAAGCACCGCGAAGTTGTGCCAACTCTCGCTATTTTTCCTCCTCCCATCCCTACCTCACCCTCGCCGGTACCGCAATGACTCAAATACAATCTATCGACTCATACCCAAAAATTTTCCCACTAACGTTTTTCTAATAGATTATTATGGCATTAAAAAAAGCCGGTGTTTTAGGAGCAACAGGATCCGTGGGTCAGAGATTCATCTTGTTGTTGGCCGACCATCCTGAATTTGAACTCTATGCCTTGGGTGCCTCCAGTCGTTCTTCTGGAAAGGCTTATAAAGACGCTGTCAAATGGAAACAAACTTCATTATTACCTGCCAAAGCCCAAGATCTCGTGGTTACCGAATGCAAGCCTGAGGGCCGCTTCGCTGAGTGTGATGTAGTGTTCTCTGGGTTAGACTCCGATGTCGCTGGAGAAGTTGAAAAGGCATTCTCTGAAAAGGGTTTGGCAGTTATTTCTAACGCCAAAAACTATAGAAGAGCCGAAGACGTTCCGTTGATCGTTCCTATAGTCAACACCGACCACTTGTCGGTGGTGGAAAAACGGGTTAAAGATGCCCGTGCCAAAGGAGAGCCAAAATCTGGGTTCATTGTGTGTATCTCCAACTGTTCTACAGCCGGTTTGGTAGCTCCATTGAAACCTTTAGTGGATGCTTACGGTCCGATCGACTTATTGACTGCCACCACTCTCCAAGCCATTTCTGGAGCCGGATTTTCACCTGGGGTGCTGGGAATCGATGTATTGGACAATGTAGTACCATTTATTTCAGGAGAAGAAGAGAAGATGGAGTGGGAAACCAAAAAGATTTTGGGAACCGTCAACGCTGCTCAAACCGGGTTCGACTTGATCCCTGAGTCATCCATGAAGGTCAGTGCCCAATGTAATAGAATTGCTGTTAGTGATGGGCACACAGAGTGTATTTCCTTGAGATTCAAGTCCGATAAAAAGCCAACTGTGGACGAACTTAAGCAGACTTTGAGAAACTATCAGTGTGAAGCATTCAAGTTGGGATGTCCTTCCGCCCCCAAGAACACCATCCATGTATTGGAAGAAGAGGACAGACCTCAACCCAGATTGGATAGGGACAGAGACAATGGGTATGGGGTTTCGGTGGGAAGAGTAAGAGAAGACCCTGTTTTGGACTTTAAGATGGTGGTATTGTCACACAACACGGTTATTGGAGCTGCCGGTGCTGGTGTCTTGATTGCCGAGATTTTGAATGCCAAAAACGTTATTTAGTTACATATGCTAGAGGTTTTAATGCAAATCATCGCGAACAACCAAATCTTCGCAATGCTCATACAATCAATATTGTCCCGTTTAGAACCCATCAGCCCATGTCAGGTATCTGATCACGTGTTCGAACTCTACCTGGAGCGCCTGGTCCAGAATCAGGACTTGGGGTACGTCGATCGGACCCAAAACCATATTTCTTTCACTCTTCCCCTTTGTGATATCGACTTAACTATCACCCAGTCACTCTCACAACTTTCATCCCTGGGCTCTTCCACTGGTTTTGTGTGTTGGAGCACTAGCCTGAAACTTGTGGACTGGATATTAGGTGACAAGAGATGCCCATTTGGTCCGTACTTCTCGCTGGCACAGTTGGATGTCTTGGAGTTGGGGGCCGGGGTAGGAGGTATATGTGGTTCAGTATTAGGTCCACACAGCAAACGGTACGTGTGCTCGGATCAGAAACTCCTCTTGAAGCTTCTCCGTGTGAATCTTGAACAGAATGCTCCTCAAACTGATATTGGCGTGGTGGAGTTGGACTGGGAGTATTTGCCCCAGGGCTTGGAAAATTATTATACCGCTACAGAGCCAGGAAATACGCCAGACTTGGTACTAGCTTGTGACACTATCTATAATGAGTATTTGATTCCGTTCTTCCTTCGAGCACTAGACCTGGTAATGTCTCATCAGACTGTGTGCATAGTTGCCGTGCAAATGCGAGACGATATAACTCTTGAAGCTTTTGTCAGCCAGACGGTGGAAATGGAATTCGATCTCTACACTGTGCGACAGGAGGACTTGTCAGATCAGTTGTCACGTGGCTACGTTGTGTACGGTATCACAAGGTCCCAATCATAGTTTTTGCAGCTAACGGGTTTTGCGAAGCCATAGAAGATTTCGCATTTATCGAGCATCGAAAATTTTGTTTAATTCAAACATACAACACCTGGAACACCTGTTCAATCCATCTAAAACTTCCTGTTTCACCGGACAATGTCTGATAATCCACCCCTTGAGGAGAGAAATATATCATTGCCCCAGTCGACTACTGAAATAGTCCCAGAAATCGACGACGGACATGACTCTAAAAGAGTTAAACGCGAGAGTCCTCAACCAGGGGAAACCCTGAAGATAGTCACCTTACCCGTGGCGGTGGAGACTGCGGCAGTGCCAGTGTTTAGTTCCAAAGATCCGGATACGCCCGCTGTCTCTGTGCCTCCATCAACTACTGAACCAACTATAACGACGGAACTGACCTCATCGACTCAGCAGGAGGTGGAAAACAACCAAGAGAATCCAGCCGTAGAGCCCTCGGAAACCACTGCACCCGTTGAAGTAGTAGCCGCTGAAAATGGTGATTCTCCGAAGCAAGAAAAGACTATCAGCGAAGAAACTCCATTAGCTGGTGCTGAAGAGCCGGCCAAAGATGCTGCTGAAACAAGCACGACAGTAGTGGCACAAGAAGATGAGTTCGACGTGTCTCGATTGAAGCCCTTAAAGACCAAAGACCAAATAATTGAACTCATCAAGTGTTTCTTCCCTAATCGCAGACATTTGGGGTCGCTTGTTTATAACCCAACCACTACTTGGCTCACATTACAAACATCTCAACTCACGGGCTTAAAAGACGAACATTTTGAGAAATTTGAGGACCTTAGAGAATCTTACCGAGAGAAGTTGAAGGATGAGCACTACGCCAACTCGATAAAGTATATACCAATGATTCCCCCCTTGCCCATGGACTACATCAACTATCTTCTTGAAGTAAAAATTCCTTCTAGATTTGTCAAAAGCTTCGTCCAAGGATTGGAAACGGGTGATGTTGCGAACAAAAGAGAGATATGGGGTGGCAAGCATGGAATCTACACCGATGACTCCAATATCCTCACTATGTTAGCCCATTTGGGGTTCTTTGAAGAAAACGGGAAGTTGGACTTGACGGGCTGGAACCCAAAATGGAGTCCTCTGGACGTGATTTTCCCCAGGATCAACCAAGAAAACCACATAAAGGGAGACTTGTCAGTAACCTTAATGCTATTACCGACACTTTCTGAATACAAATCGGTCTACGCCCATGGAATCAACACTCGGACCTGGAACAAACTCAACAAGCACAGCGGGCTCTCAATGGCCGTGTACAACATAAAATGGGAAATTGATGGTAGCTACTTACGAGATAAATCTTTCTTCAAACGGTACCAAACCGAAGTTGCCTACGACTTGAAGTACTTGAAACAACTGGAAGAAGCCGGTGATGGCTGGACTTTTGATGTCAAATATTATCACCAATTAAAGGAAAAGTACAAGAACATGGAGACTGAGAAGAATACCGACACCAAAGTGCCCGAGCCAGTCACAGAATAAAAAAGCATGGTTGTAATATATAATGAACGTAATTGTAACCGCCCGTCATATCTCCGCGCAGGCTTCTCGCCAATTTTTCCGCAGCTCTCGCTGGTGCCCCGCCACAGGACCCCTGCCCACGGTCCCAGTTTCTTTTTTTTGTCGATGCTCGCCCTACGTTTGCAAAATCAAGAACCCTCAATCCCAAATCCCTTTTACACAGATACTCATTACGAGACAACATAAAGTACGTCTCGGAGGACCTGACCCATTATTGCCCATTCCAGTCACCCGCACAGGCTTCCCTGCATTATCGTCTCCTGTGTGCTGCCGTTCCAACCACTTTATCTGGGTACCCAAACCTTTCTTATCACGTCAACTGAGTGACCTGCGACCAGTGATAATTGTTTAATCCATATCACATGACCACCCGTGTTTCGAATCTCCCAAATTCACCTCGTCCTCGTGTTCTGCTTAAGAACTCGGAATCTCCTCCGTCTACTCGAACCCCCCTGACCCCAGCATCATCAGTTCCATCTCCATCCCCATTTGCATCATCATCTCCCACCAAAAAAACCGTTAAATCACCCCAGTCCTCAGCTCGCCCTAAGACAAGAGTGGGCCATTTGTTCCGGAAGGCTACGAGCGAGTTTGGAAGTTTCTTTCAAAGAATCAAATCTTTGGGGGACGAGGTTTTCAACGAAAACCAAGCAATCTCCGAACTTTTTGATACGTCCGACGCCGACTCACTTATGGACCGGATTGAGCGTATTTCCCGTGGATATAACGTCAACGAAGAGAAGTTTTTATTGGAGTACAAGAAACACAAAAACTTGGATAAGATATATATGAGCATGCAACAACGTCATTATCATGGTTCGAATCCCAACGAAGAGATCAAGAGCTCTTCAACCGTGTACTCCGATTCGGGTAACAATATTGGAGTGCAGTACGGTGTGAAGGAAGGGACACTCCAGGAACAATCGGAGACTCTAAACGATGAGGTAGAAGATGACGATGAGATGGCAGGTGATGACCAAGAAGATCAAGAATGTAGTCAGAACTCTCGTGACAAGATAACGTTTCACGACATTGACCTCGTGCATCTTCGCCAGGAATACGAAGAAGACAAAGAAACAAAGAAGAACTCCAATATTGGAGAGTTACTTTGGGAATACAGACGGGCCAAGTGGGTTCAGCCCACCAAGACCAATTCACAAGCCGAAGCCCTTGAAACGCGTCACTTCTTTGACCAGATTCCCAAAGATTCGTATGTTAAGGTATATAACTATCTTGTGGAAAAGGGAAGACCATTAAAGGCTGGTAGAAGGATCAATTTAAGTGATTTCATGAAAGTGGTAAATGCTGGATGGGAAGTGGAGGAAAAGTGGGATAGAGCTGCGAGAGGACTTGCATAGTCAAAACTTTTGGGTTTGTGGTAATACCAATGGTGTATATAAGTAGTATGTAATCTAATTAATGAGTTAATTGTTGGTTCTGCTTGTATCTGTATCAGAAAGTCATCATATCATCACCCTGGTCCCTACATTAACCTGCCTTTCCATCAATCTGTCTCTATCACTTCTTGTCTTGGTTATGCTCAACTATATGAAGAGTCTGTTTGAGAATCCGTAGGTCCTGGTCTATACGCTCAGCACAAGACTGGAAACTCAGTACCATGTCGGGCTCTCCTTCGAGACGTCTTTTGGTTCGCCTTATGGCCCTCTCAAGATCTGCTTTGCTCGTGGAGAGCCGTTCAAAGTTCACAGCTATATCGTTGTTTAGCTGATTATTGATCTCCTTATCAAGGAGGTGGATAGTAGTGATTTTATCGAGAAGAGTGGAGCCATTGACATCATTGCGAGAGTTGTGCCTGATAGCAGTTTCTACAAAATGCTGTAGTTGTGTAGAAATTGTCTCAGACTCTTTGAGAGCCTTTCGTTGATGTTGTTTCGCTTTCACAAGAAGGCTGGTGTGGTCCATAACTGATTGATGGAGTTCGCGCATTTTGGATCAAGTCTTTGTTTAATAGTAGCTTATGTCACTTACACCAGAAATCGTTGCACAAGACGTGTTGTTTGCAGGTCCTCCTCCCACGACATCTGGTGGATCTTTTAAAGAGCTCTATGAATCCATTCGCTCGAAATCGCTGGTCGATCTGATCCTTGGTCAAACATACACGTTGATCAGGACATCTACTGATCTAAATGATTCTATAACCCTTTGGGAAATCCGTCTTCTTGTGTTAGTATTCAACAATCGGATAACCCAAGCAAAATATGAGGCCGTCTGTTTGAACAATGTGCTTTATCTAGCTGAAAATGATAATGTTGCACCTGCTGCTGTCAGTTCAATTCCACCCAACCCACAAAACCAACGGGTGTACCCGCTCCCACGCAACAACAATGGAGTCATAGATCACAAGTTCTTGGTCCTTCTTCTTCGGTTGAAATCTGTACCGAATATGTCCCTTGTAAATGAGTTCTACAAGCTTTGCTATCAACTCCGATTGAAATCTGATAATTACTCCCTGGACCAGTTACTGGTTAAGTTGATGAACTTGAGCTTTGATATTCTGGTGATTTTAATCATCAACAAAGACTATTTGACGCTTTTGAACTTGCTAGACTCGATGAAACTGGAGATAGAGTTGGATAAAAGTGAGCTATACGCTAGTGTTTTGAGTGGGGTCAAACTCCTCAGTATCTTGACAAAAATCTTGATTTTTGACCAAACCCAAACTCCCAGAGATGCTATCAAGCGGCAGTTACGAACCTCACATCTGGATGATTTCCATTTGGTTGTAGATAGCGCATTAGATGATTTGGTGTACGTTCTCAACAACATCAGTCCCATTTACTCGGCAACCTTGACAGAAAAGGACGAAAGAACCGCCGCTACGGATATTTCTAAGGCTGATATCGATCTTGATAGGCTTGTGCTGATGGTTTTAGAAGGAAAAATCACTGGCCGGATCTTGTGCAGTTTATTGGGAATGTGGGACTTGAAGAACAACTTCAAATTTGCTATTGAAGAGTCGGAATTTTTGGGCGAAGATTTGGTGCTGATCAGTAATCCAACGGTCTCTGACTGTTGTGCGTTGATTCGTATGGACTGGCTCAAACATATAAATAAGGTGTATGGATTGGAATAGGTTAAGTCTACATATAGAGGTTGTAGCCCTAAGTGTGTGGGCTGTGACTGGTTTTGCTTTTCGCGGGAACGGGAATTGGCGCTTTTGTGCCACTTGCACCTCATTCGCACCAGGGAAATTTTTCAGTGTGAGAAATTTTTAAACCTTTTTTAATATTGAATAATTAACTAATTGCATCAAAATGGCTGTCCAAGACGTTGTTACCCGTGAATACACCATCAACTTGCACAAGAGAGTATGTAAAAACCCTCCACCTTTCAATGTTTTTCTGGAACGTGGATATGTGATGACTCCAGCTACCTTGATTTGAATGATACCAGAACAGACCGATGACGAATATCACCAGAAGAAATTCCTTTTCTATGAGCTCTTAGCAAGCGTCTGGATAGCACTCAGGTTTGTTACCTGATGGCTACTTGAAGTGTAGCTTGCATATTCAAGACGAGACAATGAACTATACCGGCTATATGAGACTCAACATGAGTAGTTGTGCTATACTCCATTATTGAGATTTCGTCCAATGTTCTGTAGGAACCTATTATCACATACCCCTGGTATATTCCAGCAAAATTATCGTCTTTTGACTAGTAATACTAACAATTTTTAGTTACACGGTGCTCACTTCAAAAAGAGAGCCCCAAAGGCTGTCAAGGCTATCAAGAAGTTCGCTACTTTGCACATGGGAACCTCTGATGTCAGATTGGACCCAAGATTGAACGTTCAAATCTGGAAGAGAGGTGTCCAAGGTGTTGACAAGAGAATGAGATTGAGAATCTCTAGAAAGAGAAATGACGAAGAAGACGCTAAGGAAAAGTTGTTTGCCTACGTCGAACCAGTCATTGTTGCCTCTGCCAAGGGTTTACACACCGTGGTTGTTGACGAAGATGAAGCTTAAATTCTTTACCATAAAATATTTAAATAGTTAATGTAGAATAAGGAATTAATATTCTAAGTATTTGAAAATAGTATTTGATAATGAATGTTCAAACAATCAGAGAAAGTACTAGGCGAAGAAAGAACTATTGCCATGTGTGAAATCTGTTGTTCAGCTAAGGCACAAAATCCTTTCCAAGTCAACGATTTGAAGAAATGAATTTATACGTAGTCATACAAGGAATACGAGGGGACTCAGAGGATAAGTAAAATCTTTAGGCCAAGCCTACGAACTGAGGGCTCAATTTCATCTTTGATTGGAATAGTCGATTTCGTCTAATAAAGTTAGTAAAAAGATCAAAAGATAAACGATAATTCAGTGTAACTATGACAAATTACCATATCATTGCAATTAGGTATGATTAATCAAAACGACTAAAGCCTAAAAATTTGCTCTCTAATGGTATTAAAAAGAAGATTTTTCATCATCATTATCAGTTTGGCACTTGTTACATACACTTCTAAATGACTGTTGGTATGGAAGTTGGATGTTCGAATAAAAAATTTGGCAGTGCGTGAGAATGAGATGAGTGGTATGTCCGGGTAACTAGGGGAATTGGGAGAATGTCAACAGAAGAGTAATAGATACTTAATTATGAAATTTATGTTGAATCTCCCTTCCTCTTGCCTTATATTATTTCGTAGATCAAATTTGGTGGATTAAATTATACGCTAAGTAGCTCAAAAAGATTTATTTTTGTTTTGCTTTGGAATAATTTGCAGTTTTGGACCAAAAAGATTTTTTTATCAGTCAATATTCACGAATTGTACTCTTGATACATGGATGTATCCTCTATCGTTTACGATTCTTCTTAGACCTCTTTTTTGCCCTTTCAACCTCTTGTTCATCCTCTGGCTGTGAAATTTTCATTTCCCCAGAAAATCGACATTTCCGCGGCACACAAATCCTGTCATCATCCACATACTGCTCATATAAAATTCATACAATAAACCACTGAGAGACATGCCGTCAGCTGAAGAAACTGGGTATGGGTCTATCCTCACCATTGCTAATCTTCAAGTGATCAATGACCCTTCAATCCAAGAGTATGACTCCCTACAAGTGTCTATGGAGCTCTTTCTCAAGCTATTTCCTAGCGCAAATACTAGTGATAAAGTTGAGGATAGATTCGTATTGATCAAGTTCTTAGGATCTCCAGACCACTTCCATCTGTTCAAGTTGTTCAAGATAAGCAAAATCAGCGATTATTTATCTGGGAGTATGGTGGTATTCATCAATGATACCTATTTATCGCAGTTCTCCAGCAGGTTCACATTGACAACTGCTTTAATCCAGTCAGTTGGTCATGAAGAAATCCCCAATCTCGATGATGTGTTTGTCGCTGTTCCTGGTGAAATCTACCTGATTTTAAAGAACAAAACTAGTGATTCTGTTAAAAATTGTTTCATGAAGAAGTACTTGCATGGCTCTATTGCGTGTCAGGACGACTTGGTGAGAGAAATCAATGGAGAGATCATTTTGTGTGAGCCTGTACGCCAAGGCCGTGTGACTCGGGACACAAACATCTACTTTGTCAAGAAGGAGCAAAAACAGCTGTCCGAAGTAGACGAAAATATCGACCAAACCGATGACATTAACTTGTCTAACTACCTTTCTTCGTCCCTTAATATTGACCTTCAGCTGTCTGTGTTTTGTGACTTCAAAATCGCTCCTTTGATAAATCAATTACTCATCAACAATTTACCCGACATCTGGGCCAAAGAAGATAGCGAATTGTTTGTATTTATCAGGACTAAAGAATTGGCCAGACTTGGATTTCCTGTATTCAATGGTGATAGTGTCTACTTGAACACTGGATCCAATAAGCTCGTGGTAAAGATCTTCACCATTATTGAACCTAGTGATACTTTTAGTTTTGGAACCATTTACATTCTGCCTATTCTTTTGATAAACTTGGATTTACAAACGGGCGATTTGGTTCATATGGAGCCATTGAATCCTATAAAGGATAAAGATCTTCAGATCTCAGCTATAGTGCCGTTGGCTAAGACTGTTACTATTTCAAGAATTGCATCGCCTATTACTTTGGACAAAACTTATCAACAGCATTTCTTCTCGGCATTGAAGACCTCCTTCAATTCAAGCTTCAAAGTGGTTCAAGCTGGCGATTTTATCCATGTTACTATTGACTCAATTTTGTCTAAAACGATGTTTGACTTGGGACAAGATGATGATGCTGTTCGTGTCATTCCCACTGGGGACCCCGATTCAGTAGCCTGGTTCAAGATTGTTGAGGTGTTGGGTGATGAAGAAGCTCCACAAAGTGCTCAATTCAGAATCGATCCTCTTAAAACACGGATGATTTTATCAGGGGTGGAGTTCACCAAGATTCCGAAAAATGAGCTGAACAATTGGTATGAATACTCGCTGCTTCCTCCAGTATTCAATTACAATAGATTCACTTCCCAAGGGGGTTCGGTGTTTCAATATGCAAAGACTTTAAAGAAAATCATTCTGACTAACAAGAATTCAAAAATTAACCTCAAGACATTTGTGATGTTAAGTTCGATGTCTCGAGGTTTGGGTAAGACTACCTTGGTAAGAAACTTGAGTATTGAGCTTGGTTTGAACCTCATTGAGTTGGACTGTGTTGATTTCATAAATCCAGGGAGTGAACTCAAAACTATTGGTTTGATAAGTGGATCCATTGAAAAGTTATTGAGTCAAGACCATGAAAAGGATTCATCTTTCAATATCATCTACTTGAAACATATTGAAAGTCTATGTCCCGAAATCAACGAAAATGAGCAAGGTGCTGGTGTGTCTACGTCTTTGGCATTGAAGCTAATTCAATTGTTTGAAGGCTATTTCGACTCTAGAGACAATATTATCTTTGTTTTCAGTACCAATGACGTGGATAAAGTTAACAATAACTTGAAACTGATTGTGAAATTCCAAATTGATTTCGGAGTTCCCAATGAGGATGAAAGATTGGAGATTTTCAAGTTTTTGATCAAAAATGAAACAAAACCTCTGGTTGATGAATTCATTCCTGAGGTTTATGACTATGTTGATGGCTTTACCGGAAATAATACCCTAAATTTTGGGTTTCAAATTAGAAAAGATGTAAAGCTCCAAAATTTAGCCTTACAATCTGCCGGTTTAACCCCTAGAGATTTGATTTCGATCTTCAAAAAATCTAAGAACCTTGCAATTAAAAGATTGCGGAAGCTTTCCAAGGACTTGGAGAAGCTAGTTAAGGTTGGTAATGGTGGAACGATCGAGTTGGTGCCTCTGGATTTCAACAGTGCCATCAACGAGGCAAGAAACGAATTTAGTGACTCTATTGGTGCACCTCGTATTCCAAATGTCAAATGGGAAGATATCGGTGGTCTAGATGTTGTGAAAGACGAAATTTTGGACACTATCGATATGCCTTTAAAGCACCCTGAGTTGTTTAACAATGGTCTCAAGAAGCGTTCTGGTATTTTGTTCTATGGTCCTCCCGGTACCGGTAAGACTTTATTAGCAAAAGCCATTGCAACCAACTTTTCTTTGAATTTCTTCAGTGTTAAAGGGCCAGAGTTGTTAAACATGTACATTGGTGAAAGTGAAGCCAATGTTCGTAGAGTATTTCAGAAAGCTAGAGATGCAAAACCCTGTGTTATCTTTTTCGATGAGTTGGACTCGGTCGCTCCGAAGAGAGGTAACCAAGGAGACTCTGGAGGAGTTATGGATAGAATTGTTTCTCAATTATTGGCTGAATTGGACGGAATGAGTGGAGGAAATGGAAATGGGGATGGTGTTTTTGTGGTGGGAGCCACTAATAGACCCGATTTGTTGGATGAAGCTTTATTGAGACCAGGAAGATACGACAAAATGTTGTATTTGGGGATCAGTGACACCAATGACAAACAAGTGAAGATCTTGGAGGCTTTAACAAGGAAGTTTAAACTCGATGACGATGTCAATTTGGACCAAATTGCTGAAAATTGTACCTTCAATTTCACAGGTGCCGATTTTTATGCATTGTGTTCTGACTCTATGTTGAATGCCATGACTAGACTTGCCAATGAAGTTGATATAAAGATTACCCAATACAACGAGAAATTGATTGCCGAAGGTAAAGATGCGATGTCCACCAGATGGTGGTTCGATAACATTGCAACTGAAGATGACACAGAAGTGGTAGTGAAGATGGTAGATTTTTTGAAGGCTCAAAGAGAGTTAGTTCCCTCAGTCAGTTCTGAAGAATTGGCACATTACTTGAAGATCAGACAAAACTTTGAAGGATCAAAGCAGAAAAAAGAAGTCAACGGCTCTATCAATAATGAACCGACAGATGCCAATGGAGAGCTGAATGGTATCCATGAAGTGTCATTTGCAGCTGATATTTCTCAACAATCTCCACCAAATGGGACAACTGTCACTGAACTTGATGGCGTTTCTATCCAAAACGACTGATACAATTCAGATCCCCTAGAGTAGAATGTTCGTCATCTACTGTGGCTACTGGTAGCTCTTCAATCCTATGTTTCATTCCATAGACATAAATAATATTTACAAGACTGTCTTTGTACAAGCGGTTGGAGTCATTTTCTTGACAATGGGCTTTCATCCAAGATGGCCTTGGCTTCATTGATCTTTTGACTCAAATACACACTGCCATTTCTATCTGGATGATTGGCAATCATCAACTTTCTATATCGGTCTTTGATGATCTGCTTATTTAGATGAATTATCTCATCTCCTTCTATGCCTAGGACCATAAGAGCCTCATTTTCGGTCATCTTGGCTCCAAATCCTTCGTTGATAAACCTTCGTCGTATATAGTCATGCTGGGATGCATGTGGATGGGAAACATCGAATGTCGTTGGTCTTTGCACCTTTATGTTGTTGAGCAAACCTATCATTTCTGGGGTTAAGAGATTGAACTTTCGGTATGCAGAAGCTGTGGTTTTCACAGCAAATGCAACGATGGTGGCTCCTACCCCCACTATTATTGGAAGAACCATGTTTAGCAGAACACAAAAATGCGAATGCGAGTAGAATAGTAGATACTACTACTATACTTTTGGGAGTAAGCATCTTTGGGAGCTTTTGGCATTTCATGGGTGTGCTTGTTCTTTGGTGAAACTAGCTGTCATTTTTCAGAAGTCCAGAGGATGACCATTTGTCTGGTGAAATTTTGTCCACTTTCACTTTTTCACTTTTTTACTCTTCCACATCAGAATATAAAACATGGAAGATTTGTGAATTCCACATTTTCTGCATGATAAGTGAAATACATTTTAAGTATAGAAATTTCTCCAAAGACACCAACAAGAATCAAACAGCTAGTATATTGTTCAGCCAGTAATCACTTCACTCGAATATATCTCTTTTGCATCAAATTATTCACAAGTATTGGTCTTATAGATCAGAGTCGTGCGGCGCAAAAATGTCACGCTGTGAGATCTTTGTTTGTCCTGATGATCCGGCTAAGTAGCAGCTAATCACATATACTAACTGTATTCACCTGTTTAAAGCTATCCACGTGACTCGAATTTTTGTGTTTACACTAAGAATAATGGGCCTAGTAAATTCACAGTATTTCTAGATGCCAGTAGTTGCATACTTCCGTATCAGCTTATGGACAGGAAGACTTGAAAACTCCGAAACCCCTAGGAATCCAATCATACTATCTGGAAGTATTCAGTATTCCTAAGGTCAAAATCCCCCAAAACTTCGATAAATTGTACGAAACACCCTAAGCAACTCGAGAAACCGATGCAATAGTATATCAGGCCAACTACAATTGCGCAATTGGTTGATTCTAAGAATACTATTTAGAAAAATTTTCACTTATCAGACAGGACAAGAATATGTCCTTAACTCTTTGACCAGAGCCTGTAGAGCTTCCGAATTTGCACAGTATATTGCAAGCCTAGTGTGGTATGTTGACCCCAACTACAGAAATGCTACCATCTCTCACTAAAAATATAAATGCTTTCAAACTGGTCTACGGATAACAATCAACCGGAGTTGGAAATGCTAAAATTTGTCAACCGGTGATGCAGCAGAAAAAAAAAAACTATATAAAAACCCCAATCGCCCTTAATTTTTTCTCCCGTTCAGAATTAATAAATCTAAATAAATTTTTATCAGCTACCAACAAAATGTCGACCTCCTCTTTATCTTGGTTAACCAAATTGAACACCACCGAAACCCCAGAGAAGAACTTGAGACGTTCTTCCATCATCGGTACCATAGGTCCAAAGACCAACAACGTGGAAACCATGGTCAGATTGAGAAAAGCCGGTTTGAATATCGTCAGAATGAACTTCTCGCACGGTTCTTATGAGTACCATCAGTCTGTGGTCGATAATGCCAGAAAGTCCGAACAAGTGTATTCTGGTAGACCTTTGGCCATTGCTTTGGATACCAAGGGTCCTGAAATCAGAACTGGTACTACCATTGACGACAAAGAGTTCCCAATTCAACCCAACCACGAAATGATCTTCACCACCGACGAAGCCTATGCCAAGAAGTGTAACAGCGAGGTGATGTTTGTGGACTATAAAAACATTACCAAGGTTATCAAGGCAGGTAAGATCATTTACATTGATGATGGTGTTTTGTCTTTTGAAGTGTTAGAGGTCAGTGATGACAAGACCTTGAAAGTCAAGTCTGTCAATGCTGGTAAGATCTGTTCGCACAAGGGTGTGAACTTGCCTGGTACTGATGTTGACTTACCAGCATTGTCTGAAAAAGATATTGCTGATATCAGATTTGGTGTCAAGAACGGCGTGCATATGATCTTCGCTTCTTTCATCAGAACCGGTGAAGATATCAAACAAATCAGAAAAGTTTTGGGAGAAGATGGTAAGGACATCCAGATTATTGCTAAAATTGAAAACCAACAAGGTGTTAATAATTTTGACGATATCTTGGCCGAAACCGATGGAGTAATGGTTGCTAGAGGTGATTTGGGTATTGAAATTCCTGCTCCTCAAGTGTTTGTGGTGCAAAAACAATTGATTGCCAAATGTAATTTGGCTGCGAAACCAGTTATTTGTGCTACCCAGATGTTGGAATCCATGACGTATAACCCAAGACCAACCAGAGCCGAAGTTTCGGACGTTGGTAATGCCATTTTGGATGGTGCTGACTGTGTGATGTTGTCTGGTGAAACCGCCAAGGGTAACTATCCTTTTGAAGCTGTTTCCATGATGCACAACACTGCTTTGATTGCTGAAAAGGCCATTGCTTACCAAACCGTCCACAATGAATTGAGATCGTTGGCCGTCAGACCAACTCCTACCACTGAAACATGTGCCATTGCTGCCGTGTCTGCTGCTTACGAACAAGATGCCAAGGCCATTGTGGTTTTGTCTACCTCTGGTTTAACGTCCAGATTGGTTTCCAAGTACAAGCCTAACGTGCCAATTATGATGGTCACCAGAAACGAAAGAGCCGCTAGATACTGTCACTTGTACAGAGGTGTGTATCCTTTTGTTTATCCAAATGCCAAGGTTGAAAACTGGCAAGAAGATGTGGAAAACAGATTGAGATGGGCTGTTTCTGAAGCCATTGACTTGAACATCATCAAAAAGGGTGACTCTATTGTCACCGTCCAAGGTTGGACAAGAGGTTCCGGACACTCTAACACTGTTAGAATTGTCCAGGCCTAAGCTACTGTGTTATGACGCTAGATATTTAGAAACGACAGTAATTAAACAATTAGTACTTGAGATTTCGCACCCTCATGAAATGAAAAATTATCATCCTATCATGAGGTTAGCTGCGCTGAGAATCAGGCCATTAACCCGTGCATTCGTAAGGTTTAACTCCAGCTCCGGAGGAAATCCACCTCGGGACCTGACCACACACTTTGGTTACAAAACAGTGGAGGAAACTGAAAAGGAAAAGCTTGTAGGAGATGTGTTTTCTTCCGTTGCTTCCAGTTACGATATCATGAACGATGTCATGTCTTTTGGGATTCACAGGTTATGGAAAAGCCACTTCTTGAACAGATTGGATGCTGGAATGAGACCTGGCAGTGGACGCCCTCTTGATTTTCTTGATGTTGCTGGGGGTACTGGTGATATTGCCTTTGGTTTGTTGGAGCACGCAGAAAAGAGATTCAACGATTTTCAATCCACCATGACGGTTGCGGACATTAACCCCGACATGTTGAAGGAAGGAGAAAAGAGATACCAAGATACCAAGTGGGCCAAAGAAGCAGATCCACGAGTTAGTTTTTTGGTTCAAAATGGTGAAACTTTGGACAAAATTGCTGATAATTCCAAAGACGTTTATACCATTGCTTTTGGAATTAGAAATTTCACCAACATCCAAAAGGGCTTGGAACAAGCCTATCGGGTATTGAGACCTGGTGGTATCTTTGCTTGTCTTGAGTTTAGTCAAGTGGAAAACCAGTTGTTGGATTACGTTTACCAGACCTATTCGTTCTCGTTAATTCCATTGGCTGGGCAATTAATTGCTGATGATAGAGAATCGTATCAATATCTAGTGGAAAGTATCAGAAGATTTCCCAAGAAAGAAGAGTTCAAAGGAATGATTGAAAAGGCTGGATTCTACGTTCCTGAAAAGGGATATGAAGACTTAACTTTCGGGGTCGCAACCATTCATATTGGAGTGAAATTGTAGAGCTGTAAATAGTCAATGAATGTACCCAATTTAAAGGTTTGTATTTTCAAAGTGGATGGTTCACATATGATGGTAGAGATATTTCAGCTTACATGGTCTCTATGATACCTGAAACCGTAGATATAACCTCACAAAATTTAGAATTAGACCTGTTTCTTTTTTTGGCGAAATTAGCTCGTATGGCGCAGTGGTAGCGCAGCAGATTGCAAATCTGTTGGTCCTTAGTTCGAACCTGAGTGCGAGCTTTTTCTTTTTTTGGTTGTCTATTCCATGCATTCATAAAGTAATACTAATAATTGTAAAATTCCTTTAAAAAGTTCACATTGTTAGCGGTTGCAAAAGCTTGTGCATCGTAAATCAACGAATCTGGTCCACAAGCAATAAGCAAATCCGGCACTTGAAAATCGGAGATTTGTGGCCTGCCTCTTGCAAACATAATTTCTGGTGTTTCAGAGTCCTCAGCTACTTCGAATTCGTCCATCTCGATATTATGCAAGAGACCATCTCTTTGTTCACCCAACTCCGAAGCCATATCCCCCGAAGAAACCAGGCCAGTGACATACAAGTCTACCTGACAATTCAAGTTGAACTCCTTGATCAAAGCCAAGTCCCGTTTATCCCTAACCACCCACACCAATCGGAAGTTGATCTTGACAGTTTTGTAGAAGTTCAAGATCGAAATTGCATATGAGATTCCCGATCCTCCGATTACCATAAGCACATTTTTCCCCTCAAACTCCATGAGACTCAATGAAGACGAGTACGGGAAGCTGATGGTGTACATATGTTCGACGTCGAACTTAAACCTGTTGATGTTGGTGACCACCAAATTTAAGTATTCGTTGTTGTTGATGATAGTGTACGGATGAGCAGGGAAGATCCACTGACGCCAGTTTCGCAGAAGCTGGAGTACCAAATGGGATCCTGGAGTGGTGATCGGGTAATTGATCGGTTTCTCAAACGTCACAAGGGTCAAGCTGCCAAAGTTCTTCACGCTGGTGGAGGCAATTCGAGTAATGTTGAACTTGAACACGATTTGCACGGTCACTAAAAACAAGTTCAACATCGTCAACCAAGTGACACCAGGCCGGGCATGGTAGTTGATGAGCCCCAAGTAGCACACGAGCGTGAGGTTATGTATCACATAAAACGTGTTGTAGTATTTGTTTCTGTACACTTTGATCGAAAGTACCAAAAGCACCACAAACATAAGGAAGATAGCCACTCCCAAGAGGTTAAGGAGTCGTAATACCTTGAACAACTGCCCCATCACCAACCACCTGACCAAGAACCCCACCAGGTGTACGATTCCCAACACAATTACGTACCGGGACATCCACTTGTGTAATTCCACCAAGTACACATAATTGAGTAAGTTGGGTCGCAACGCCAAAAGTAAATCAACCGTAGTCAACACGTACGAAAAGCGGCCGAACCTCTTGAGAAGTGTGCTACTGTTTTCCACGATGTTGGGGAACAAGTTGGCACACAACCCCACGGTCGCCAGGATCCAGAGAGCGATGTGGGTGGATATTTTGAAGGGTTTGGAGTACTTGGGTCGCCTTCTTTCGTAAGCAAGGAACACCGCGAAATACACGAGAGAGCCCGCAAGAAGGATATAGCCCCACTTGATGTTGGCGTAGTGGCTACTGTTGTGGCCATGGCCGTGAGAATCCTTATGGTGTTCTCCTTCGTGCCTTTGTAGTAGGCGAGACATGCTGTTAAAATCAATAGTGCGCACTGCCGTTGTGACCCTAGATGCGACGGCCGCTAGTCGAGACCTTACACAAAGAGACAGTTGCACAAACAGACAGTCCTCTGTGAAAAATATGAGTGTGGACCGCAAGAACACTGTCCCCCAACAAAAGCAAGAAACCAGGTATAAGCTACACCAAACCGGACCTCACCTTCATCTTTCACATTTCAGTGCACGTGTACAGACCAAAAGGTGTCTACGCTCGCCATGATACATGAGCGAAAGCCCAGAACCCCGGATATGTCGGGCAATATGGTCTATCACTAGCCACTTTCTTGGAGACCATGATCACGAGCACTAGTCTCCGTCCCCCAGTTTACACTTCGACAAATTTTAAGCATCCAGCATATAATTAATCCTTGATACATTAGCTACTGACGCCATCCGTCGGGCATGATAGACATTAGCACTCCGCCACCAACGTCACCTCCTCACCAAAAGAAGGTTTGCTACTAGCCACACAGGTGTTAAACCATGTGCTAGAGAAACGTAAATCCCCCGACAATGCAAGGACGCATCTACAGTCTTCCCGACTTAGCTGCAGTGCTAGTGATGAGGCATTGGTGCTTTTACCCCGTTTGGGTAAGTGCGCCTGAGACAAAGTCGGAAGTCCGAACATCAGAGGCTAATTTAGCGACGCCCAGGGAATTGCGGAGCGGGTATATTGCTGATCAATGACATTAGCAGCAAGCGCCTTTGTTTTCTGTGCCGTGGCTGGTGGTGGCTCACCATGTCTGACAATCTTTGGATGCACAAAATGTTGTTTGGAACATACCGAGCTGGTACTTTTTTGAAGATGTGGTTAGTTCCAATATAGGGGTTTGTGATTCGGAGTTGCTTATTTTGTTCAACCAACTGAGTTGAGACGTGTGCTTTACCAAATAATCCTAAACTTTGCTTCAGGCTGGTTGGCATACATTGGGAACTAGAGAACCCATAATTATCAGGACCATAGATGGCTTTACTAGACAACTGGGGATTGAGTTGGATCTCCTTAATATGGGAATACCAAGTTCTTCGTCATAATGCTATCGACATGGTATTTCTGTTCGTTCTTTGAAGTTCCGATCTTTCTCACGAGTTCCGACATGTCTGAGGAGTTCCGATTCTTGAATAATCACAAGACAATGCGAGTAGGAAATGCGACAAGTACACAACGTTAGTGATAACTACAGTTATGAGAGGAAGTATAGGATAATTTTGATGAAGTGAAATTTGAGCATCAACTTGTGGCTTCTGTTATCCATTTCAGCAGACTTGGAAATTTAGGTTTCTGTATCTTTTTTACAAATTGCTTTCATCGAAACTGATCAAATAGGATAAGCATACGGGTGGAATCTGAAAACATCTTTCGTTAAAGTTTGCGCCTCTGTCGATTGCTGACATACTTAAAAGTGTGGCCGCCTCAGTGGATGTGAACCAAGCATCAGCATTGCCGTCAAGACACAGGCGAAATGCAGATCCGCACTGTAATCGAGATCATGAAAGCTTCTATTGTAATTACGTAGTCTCCGCTTGAAAGGATAATTCCAGCCGACTGCATCGAACGCTGAATTAGTGAATGCATAAAACCACACGGGGTCCTTTTTTGTCGCTGGATTAGGAAATTATTGTGTCTGTTCCTGTAGACGAATGCGACAAAATTCACCCTGAAGCTGGATAGTGCAGCGCTGTATGCAAGTGGCCAAGTGTGTGCCTGAAAAAAATGCGACTGTTAGCTTCAAGTTACCAACATACTGAGATTTAAGCATGTCTGCTTCTCAGACACTATGCACGCAATTTGCAGACACTGGAATTTGAAAACTTGAAGAGACGGCTTGGAAGCTGAAAGACTGATACCACATCATGGGTGATATGATGAAGGTTCTCAAAAGTTGCTTGAACTTGCATGCTTCGCTGAACATACTTTGATTGTCGAAGATTCCAATTACGCCGTGCATACGAAGGTAATCGCACATAATAATCATGCGTGAGAAGTGAGGTGTAAAAGCATTCATGGTTTTGTGTCCGACACGATGATTTTCTCCCATTCCTGCCTCATTACGTCTTGGGGAAATTTATTTTCTCCTACCTAAAATTAGATACCGGTCTTCACCACCGGCGTAAACTCTATCCCGTATTTTGCGCGACACTGCGATTGGCGCGCTGCAAGCGGCTGGATTCAACGACAGTGTTTAAGGATCCACTCGCGACAAGTAGGCGGTGCGCTATGCAGCATTGTCTGCATGAGATGGTGTGTCTGCCACTGTAAGATTCTCGCTAAACTGACTCTGCCCTTAACCGCTGGATATCAGGACTTCGGTCTCGCCTTGGTTACCGACTATAACCGCCCAAGCCCCAACCAACTTAACAAGTGGTCAGGATAGCATTTGCTGCAGATACTATGTCCGAATATTTTTTAAGATGGTGTGGCAAATGCTGGTAATAAATCAAAATAATAAAAAATAAATCATATTGCGCTTCGTCACCAATGCGTGATTATTCATTGCAGACAATTTTAGAAATTAAGTGTCTGAAATGGCTGCCTAATTCGGAAGGATGCCAATGTCCCACATTTATTTGTATTTAAATGCTTCTATATTTCCCCCCTACCATGCTTTTTTTTCAATAACAAACATCACACAACGACAAGTTTTTATACAGACATTTATCCCTTAAACATCTGTACTCTTACTATCCATCCTTCCTCGGCACTTGCAACATTTTAGACATTTGCCTACCCCGTATCCGCTACCCCCCAACCCGGAAATCTATTTCTGCTCAAGACACAATGGTATACTCCAAAGAATCGAGCAAGTGGAAAGCGTACCAGTTCTCGGATCCCTTTGCCACCAACTCGTTTTTGGTGTGCAACAAAACAAATAAGATATTCTGCAGACCCGACTGTGATAGTGTGGCCAAGACCGATTTAAAATCGGATATCAAGTTTGTGGACTTCTACGAAGATGCCATCAAGTCGGGATACAAGCCATGTAAGTTTTGTGAACCAGTCACCAAACCTGCCATTGACGTGGAGTTACTCATCAAGTGTGTTAACAACATCAACCGGGAAATTGGATTTATGAACCCCTTAATTGATGAAGATGAAGAATACAATAATGAAAAAATCAAAGAGAACATTTTGGAGTCTAAAATCTCCAATAAAGAACATATCATGAAGGTGTTGGACCAGTCTGTGAATTGCAGAAGATAACATGTACCGATGATAAATGAGCAACGCCCGCTCAGTAAGGATATGGTACAAAGCGTGAATCTCTCCAAGAATGACAGCGATCACTATCGTCTCGTGGACTTGGCGTGCCGCCATTTAGCCCACGCAGCTGCCACGAATCTCTTTTTCCCCAAGAAGTACGCCGACGAGGATGTGAGTACGGTCGGTGGTAAGAAGAAGAGAAGAAGAGGAGGGGTATTGGGCTTTAAAGAATTGGCCGCCAAGTCCAAGTTGTCGGCGTGGCACTTTCACCGGGTGTTCAAGTCAGTGACAGGCTTGACTCCTAAGACCTATGGAGACAGATGTAACGAGTTTTTGGAGAAGTTCAAGGACTCGGAATACGTGAATTATTCCAAGTTCAACCAGTCAATTACGCCGGTTTCACAACAAACATCACTAAACAACTCAACTATTGACAATCACCACATCAAGAGACAAAAGGTTTCACTGATGGAGCCTATGGCTGATAACTACGGATATAACTACAGCCATCACTCAAGCAGCCTCCCCAACATGTACCAGAACGAGGCTCCAGTCGACACGATGGTGGATCAGTACTATAACGCTCTTGCGCCAACTTCAGCACCCGTTCCATCGCAGTTTGGACAGTACCAAATGCCCGTGCAACCCCAATTTGACTTCCAGCCACAGACGGTGTCTGACGAAGTGCAAACGCAAACATACCCATTCTCCAACAGGCTGTCAATACCCGACTTGAGTATGAGTAGTACCAGCACATCTGCTGCTGTGGGGACTGCCAACATCTCGCCCATCAGCTTGGAGATGGATGAAGTTCAGGTACCTTCTATTTTCAAGAAGGACTATAAGATTGATATACCTGACATAACCGGCGACTTTGGTTCGATGGGAAACTTGGGTCTCATGGATTCTGGAGCTCCTATGGAGCCCATTGAGTTTTTGAACCAGGTTAGTTTTGATGATAACGACTTTCATGAATTTTTAGCTTCTGTGTAAATCCGTACAATGAGAATAGATAATGAACAGAAGACTACGGGGTATTCGATGTAGAAATAATCAATATAATATGATGGAATTACTGAATATACTGATAGATGCAAATTATTGAAGTATAGATGCAAATTGAACTATTCCACATTTTCAGGAAAAAGTGGACGCATGTGGGCATGGAACGATAATTACCCGAAAGTAAACACATGCAAGCACAGACGGGGTGTTTTCAGACACAATTGGTCAATTGTATACAATAGAATTGTACTCTATAATAATTGTGCATTATAATACAAGAATAGGAAGACGAGGCTACGAATCATTGATTTTGCGCATCTTAAGCAGCTCGTCGAGCTGACTGATACTAGGGAGTTGGTAGCTTCTTTTGCGGGAGTCGGGTCCTAACACCGAGCCCGGGCCAGAGGGAGACAATCCCAAGCCCAAGCCGGTGACAGGGGTGGCAGAATTGGAATTGTGAGCACCTACTGTCCCTTTCCCGGCACTCATACTAGGAGTTCGCAGGTAGTGGCCCCTGTCGTGTTCCGCGGGCCGGTAATCGCGTTCACGTTCCCGCTCGCGCTCGGCCTGATGCTGCGGCGTGGCTCTGTTAGCGCCAGGCGTGTCAATGGAATGGCGCGGGGTGGGGGGGTCAATGGCCGGAAATGGATACTGAAAGTTCTTCTCGAATTTCTCGATCTTATCGAGAATTTTCGTGTCCAGACGTTCTTCTTTCAGCAATGGCGAATACGACCGCAGTGGCTTATGTGACACAATGTGTGGGGTGGGGAGCACCAAATTCAGTGATGGCTCGGACGTAGGATATGGCCCCTGTGGCTGTGGGGTGTTGGGAGCTAGGGCGAACGGTTGATGGAATGCTGGCACCGAGATGTTGGATGGTGTCACCACCGGTGGTGTGAGGGAGCTGGAATTCGCACCATTTGCATTATTTGGACCGCCAGCCAGGCCGTGCCCCGCGCCCGCACCAGAACCAGCACCAGCACCAGAACCAGAACCAGAACTCAGCGTCGAACCGTGCTCTCGCTTGACCTGAGGAATCCCAGCTGGGGCTGAATTGCTCTGTACTGTCGCTGGTCGTTCCTCCTGCACGTCCTGGACGTTGTATCGCGGATTTAACGTGTAATTTTGCACCAAGCCCGGCGCCGGCACGGTACCCGACAGAGACGTTTTGTTAAAGCCATCGTTCAAAATTACCAGGTTACTCAAGTTCAGGAGAAGGTAGTGCTTAAAGTTGTTGAGATCGTTTAAGTTATTGGTCTGCAAAATCTCGATGAGCTTGACTAGATTCTTCTGTTGAAATCGATATTCATTGAGAAAGTAGTCGAACTTGTTGAGGAGGTTGGCCACATCGAATTTGAGGTGGTTGAAGTTGTTGAGGAGCTCGAGATATTTATCGAGGGAGACGTTAGGGTGCGGCGCATAATGCTGGAGGTGGTGGTACTGAGGGTACGACTGTTGTGCCAGGGATGTGGTGCCCACAGGTGGACCTCCAGGGCCTCCGGGACCTCCAGGACCTCCTAACCCGACGCCAACGCCACCAGGACCTCCCACTCCAACGCCAACTCCAGGCCCCCCCACTCCAACTCCACCCCCACCACCCGGCGACGGTGGGAGCTCCCACAGACTCGGAGAGGCAGTCGGCCCGTAGTACTCGTCCTGGTCGAGCACCACCTCCTTGCTATTGTTCTTCAGCAGTCGGCGTTTAATCAAACGCAATGAATCGACGTCGCCTTTGCGAAACTGGTTATGTGAATGCTTAAACTCCCATACAAGCGTCTGGGAGTCGCCTGGTGTGTCTTCACCACTATTGACCTTGTGAAACCCGTACATGTTGAGCTGGCGGATGAAACTGGCGATGTTGGTGTGCTTGAAATATTGACTTAAAGCCTTCAGAAACTGCTCGGACGGTACGAGTAAAAACGAGTCATTGGCGGGGGTCCACCAGATTAGATGATGAAGTTGTGGATCTTGAAGCATATCATAGAGCTTATGGATAAATATTGTTTGATGCTTGGACTTGGTTAGCTCCGGTAAACTATGGGATCGTTTAGACATTGTTTTAGGTGAGAGAAGGATAAGTTGAAAAGAACATGTGAGGAAGGGGAAGAGAGCGCGACAATGTCCCGCGGGAAATAATACGAGGTGCGAGATATGAACGGGATGGTCCTAGGGCCGCGCTAGCAGGGCCGTAAGCAGGGCCGCACCGAGGAGCGCGACATTACACCCCTATGACCATCTAGGAAGCTGATATCGGCGGCTGCACCGGGGAGATGAAACCGGTAACGCACAGACGCATTGTTCCGGTTCCCCGGTGCAACCTAACTGAAGGTTGTAGCGCCAGGTACCTTTTGAAATCTTGATAGCCGCCCGGGCCTCCGCCCCTCACGCTGCCACCGCCACCTTCTACCGCCAGACCGCCAGACCTAGCGCCAGTTACCCCCGCGACTTGTTTCATTCAACCCTTTCGCCAAACCCGTTTCGTTTCATAAGCTGCCTGCCGCCACATGATCAGGCTGATCTCTCTAACGGTCTAAATTTACCCCCTCTACTGCCGCTCCCCGGTATCATTAAGTCACCTAATTACTTGACTCTCAATTACTACGTGCATGAAACCGGTAGATGTGTCCTTTATCCATACCACCATGTCATGACATTCCAAGTTTTAGTATCATCGTATCTCGCAGCTGCCCGACTCATTCCCTAACCCCTTCTAAATGGGGAAAATATCCGGACGTCGTCTTGAGGATTTTGCCCATTTCAGTCACTGACTCCAAAAATAAACTTTTTTGGTTCGCCACTCACCATGCGTTCCACATGGCTCTGCTCGCCTGTGTTCCGTTTTGCCTCTAGCAAACAAAAAATAAAAAATTTCTATTGCAGTGGTCGCTATTTGTTAAAGGTTTTCTTTTTTCAAGTCATTTCTTTTTTAAGGCCAATTTCATCTTTACCAGAAAATTTTCGTGGGTTTGGTATTTTCATATATTTTGTGTTGTTTGGCGATTTTGAATTTTCATCCCTTACTCATCTTCTACATAATCAAATGAACCAATATAACAACGATAAATCATCGGATTTCTTTAATCCGTTGTTCGTTGATGATGAGGATACATCCAACAAGTTTCAATCGTACCTTCTTAAGAAGAAGCTCAAAATCAACCAAAAGAACAACTTCAAAAAGCAGCGCTCTCGCTCCCTCCCCATCATAAACTATTCCAGTAACCCTCAACTGGCCGCCCAGCATCATCATAAGAAGAAGAGCATCGTCCCTCCGTTACCGCCCATAAACTTATCGTCGTTAAAGGAGATCGATTTAAATGAAATTCTCAAGAACCCCCAGCTTCGTCACGATATTCTTTTTGACCCCCAACTTCAGTTCAGACCAAACCTTGACGGTGAGCGTGGTAGAAGAAAGAGACTGATCATCGACAAATACTGGTTGGAGATTTTGAAGGAGTGCTCCCAATTTTTTACCCCCGTCGCCTCGTCTACGTCGGCTGCTGTTAAGCTTGTCCGTCTCCCGCTCCTTTTCCAAACCTTAAGAGACATTCTCATTTCTCTCCTTCCCATCAAAAACAGGCTGATCATTTACGAGGTGTTTGATCTTGAACTTATCTACCAGGAGCTCCAGGTCCGCAACTTCAACTTTGTCAAGCTTAGCAAGTTTCTCCACTCTTTTTTCAAAACTCATTGTGCGCCCATGCGGGATGAGTTGGTCAACTTGATGTACCAGAAGTTTGAACACAGCTACGAGAATGCAAACTTGCCGGCGTTGATCGAGGGCTTGAAGTTAATTTTCCAGATTTTGGAATGCATGAAGTTGGACATCGCCAACCATCAGGTTCGGTTGTTGAGGCCCATTTTAATCGAGACGGCTGTGGAATTTGAGAAGGACTACTTCAACCAGTTGGTACTCTACAACAAGATCAACTTGAATGATTCTGTTAGTTGGTTCAACTACAACTTGGATAAGAACATCAAGGCGGGTAAGGTTTCGGACGCCAGAACCGAAATCAACTTGAAGACAAATTTGGTTCTTTCGGTATTTGACTTGTTGAGCTGCCAGAAACTCGTCAACGAGTTTCCTCAGACCTTGAGCTTTGATCATACTCGGTTGATCTTGTTGAGAGCTGACATAAGACAAATCATCGTGTTGAAGTTGTGTGTGATTTTATACCAAAATTTGGTGTCGGAAAAGAACTTACCCAAGAGTCTTTTAAGTGCTGACAACTTAAGCAAGATCAAACAGGAGATTTTGTCCATTGTCACTGATTCAAACGGCAATGTCAAATGGACAAAAAACATTCACATGATCAGTTTACAGTTGATTAAATGGTTGAACTTACCCAACCAACTGCACGATGCAGAGCTCTTGGATTTCTCAAACAACTGGTTGATCAAGCAGATTCAACCCAACTCAAAGGTCTATCAGTTGATGGAAGTTAACTACTTCAACTCGTTGTTGGCGACTTCGAAGAAGAACTTGAATGGTGGGGAAGTTAATGATAATATTGCCAGCAGGCTATTGATTCTAATTAACTTTAATTGGAACGTTTTCGGGGATTACTACAGGAATTCGGTATGATATTTTTCTCCTTTTTTTGCATTCTTTATGATAATGATGGAATAACTAGAGTTAATAAGCTAATGTATATTAACAGTAATGATCACCTCGAGCGGTTCCATGTTTTCTCGTGGCTCATCGCAAGTTGGTCGCGTACGCTTCTCATTGACGTAAATTAGAAACACTGCCTACTCCTGTTTTGGTTTTGTTCCCAGACCACCTTCACTCTTATGCTCCCCAACATTACCACCCACGCTGGTGAGCTTGGTTTCGTTCAAGTACCGCTCGAAAAGGGTATCAAAATTACTCTCTTCTGAACGAGACCATTCATTGGTGTTCAATTCGGGTGCTTCTGGTTTAATACTCTCTTTCTGCGAAAGTTTATCCTCTGAACTAGGGGTTAAATGTGTCGATTCTCGTTGTTTACGAAGGTCTGGTTCACCTATCCGTAGTTGCTTTAATATTATCAAATACTTGCTTAACACCACACCCACCACCGTCCCCACGATCCCACTCACAATCACGTACTGAACCATCACCACTACAAACTCGCCTGTTTTAGGCACATCGATTTGCTTCACTCCTAGTATTAATTTGACTGGTAGTAAGACGGATCCAGCCGTATACTCCACAATCCGAAACGTGTAGACAAACGGCTCCCAAACAAACTTCTGCCATGGAAACAATACAACCTGGGCGAACAGTATAGCCGAATCGGCTATCCAACTTGCAAAATTGTTCATAAAGCCCATACTATGATGTGTGACATACTACAGCCTTATTGTCAGGAGTCGCACTGTTTGCAATTCCTGAGGGATTTTAGCGGAATAAAATTTTTTTTCTCATATAAAACGAGCAAAGCCCGCACTCACCAAAAAAGTTACAGAAAAGCGCTAGCCCTCAAAGCCAGAGAACTCATACAAACAGGAATAGAAGAGCTTATTTAGGAACAGAAGAGGCTGCTATTCAGTGTACTCGTACCTTCCACGCCTCTGCCTTCTAGTCGCCTCCTTTTCCTCCTTCTTCACTCGCACTTTATCGTCTTAAACGACCTGTCTGACCAGTGCTTGACCTTTACAACAACTGCAAAAAAACATGACTGAAAAGAAGAAAACAATTACTAAGTTGAGCAAGCTTTTCAACTTGTCCCAGACCAACTTATCACTGCTGAGTCTCAAAGATAAAGATTCTCATGATCTCACCAGCCTTTCTCAAATGCAAATAGCTTCGGCAACTTCTGTCAACAGCAACTTCCCACCAGTGAATGAATCAGAAAAGGAAACCCTTCCATCTATTTCCAGTAAAACTAGTGCCACTAGATCACATTCTCCTTCCGTGCTTGATAGTTCTCAGCTTCCCCCGATGGTCAATATGCCAGATTCTTTGGTTGCAAAATTAAATTTCGACGCCCGAGAAAAGGACAAGGATAAGGATTCTAGACCAAAGAGTGGTAGCACATCCCGAGTCAACTCTCCACCCATATCACGATCTAATAGTGTTATCGCAGTGAACAAGCCTCGTTTCAAGCTTACAGAGACTTCTCATGAGCATAACCTTAAAAGTGCAAAGAGACAAGAAAAATTGACCAATATGTTAAAAGATTTGCTTGGAGCCAAAAAGTTGCGTAATGAAGCCAAGCTGGCGGTTCCTAACATTCTAGGTGAACACTTTCCTGCCCAAGGTGCTAACCAACCCCCTACGCTATTTGCTGGTCTTGTAAATCAAATAAAGCATTCGGATGAAACTGCCTCGGCCTCAGATGCTTCTATCGACCGGTCTTTTGCAGAAAAATATGGTCGCTGCCAAGAAGTAATAGGAAAAGGTGCGTTTGGAACCGTTAGAATCTCCCACAAACGTGTTGGTGATGCTGAAGGTGAAGAAGCGTTGTACGCTGTTAAGGAGTTTCGCCGTAAACCTAACGAGCTGGAGAAGAAGTTCAATCGGAGATTGACTTCGGAATTTTGCATTTCATCATCATTAAAGAATATTAACATCATTGATACGCTAGACTTGTTGAAAGATGCCAAGGGTGATTATGTTGAAGTAATGGAGTTCTGTAGTGGAGGAGACTTATATACCTTAATCATCGCCAGTGGCAAGTTAGAGTATGCCGAAGCTGATTGTTTCTTCAAGCAACTCATCAAGGGAGTTAATTACATGCACGATATGGGTGTTAGCCACCGAGATTTGAAGCCAGAAAACTTGTTATTAACTCCAAACGGTATCTTGAAAATTACTGATTTTGGTAACTCTGAATGTTTCAAGATGGCCTGGGAACAAGAGGTTCAGCTAAGCGAAGGCATTTGCGGGTCCTCGCCATACATAGCTCCAGAAGAGTTCACCACTAACCATTTCGATTCTCGATGTGTGGATATCTGGTCTTGTGGAGTCATTTACATGGCTATGAGAACCGGTAGACAGTTATGGTCTGTTGCAGACCCCGAAAAAGATGAGTTTTTCAGAGAATACTTGGTTAAACGGAGAAACTCAACCGGGTATGAACCCATCGAAAACCTCAAAAGAGCCCGGTGCCGGAATGTTATCTATTCGATTCTTGACCCTAAACCCAGCAGAAGAATCACTGGTAAACAGATTTTGAATAGTGAATGGGGAAGAGAAATTAAGTTGTGCCCTGCTGCCAAAGGTGAATTAGAAGTACTAACTTCTCCTGTTGGAGGTAACATCCCCACGGTGGCCGAATAGGCCTTTTACGATTTAGACATATACGCTGTATATAGATGACGAATAATGAATACTAATAAATTCCTGAATCCTAAAAATCGTGCTCTTCACATTTGCTTTTGTTGATGAAACGAAGAAAAAATACAAACAATCTCACAACGCGTACAAGAATTGGTTCTTTTTTAACTCATGGTGGAATTATCAGATTACCAACGACAAGAAAAGGTCGGGGAAGGAACATATGGGGTGGTTTACAAGGCTCTCGACACCAAGCACAACAACCGGGTTGTGGCCCTCAAAAAAATCCGGCTTGAAAGTGAAGACGAAGGAGTTCCTTCAACTGCCATCAGAGAAATTTCTCTTTTGAAGGAAATGAAGGATGCTAACATCATCAGATTGTATGATATAATACACAGCGATTCCCACAAATTGTACTTGGTGTGTGAGTTCTTGGACTTGGACTTGAAACGGTACATGGAGTCCATTCCTCAAGGTGTTGGTTTGGGTGCTGATATGATTAAAAGATTTTTAAACCAGTTGGTCAAAGGAATCAAGCATTGTCACTCCCATAGAGTATTACACCGTGACTTGAAGCCCCAGAACTTGTTGATCGATAAAGAAGGAAACTTGAAGGTTGCTGATTTTGGGTTGGCCAGGGCGTTTGGGGTTCCATTGAGGGCATATACCCACGAAGTGGTGACTTTATGGTACAGGGGCCCCGAGATCCTTTTGGGGGGCAAGCAATACTCTACGGGTGTTGACATGTGGAGTATTGGTTGTATATTTGCAGAGATGTGTAATCGGAAACCATTGTTTCCTGGAGACTCTGAGATTGATGAGATATTTAGAATCTTCAGGATTTTGGGAACTCCTAATACTGAAATATGGCCAGAGGTGCAGTACTTGCCAGACTTCAAGCCCACCTTCCCCAAATGGTCTCGTAAGAACTTAAAAGATTATGTTCCCAACTTGGACGATGCTGGTATTGATTTGTTGGGCCAATTGTTGAACTATGATCCCAGTGGTAGAATTAGTGCCAAGAGAGCCTTGGTGCATCCATATTTCCAGGAAGACGATGAGTACCTGAAGTCTGTAAATATGGGATAAGTCGGCCCTTAGCTAATATTCTGTTTGTTCATTTTTGGATATGTTTTTTTAAAGTGTGCTGTGTCACACCCAACTCATATATAAATATTTGGTAATTCTCAAAAGATATAGGAGCAAGGTCATGTTGACCACTAAGCGAGCCGACTTGGATCGTTTTCTTCGTATGGTTAAAAAGTCCAAATTTTTTTCGATCTCTTGGAACTTCATATTGATTTGGAAATGTAGTAGGTCGATATATTGGAGCGACTCACTGAGCAGAAATGGTTGTTCCAAATCCATTGACCTGGTGTGACGATGATGAGAGGTTGGGTGATGAAATGACGTGGGATCAATTACTTGACGAGTTTGGCTATCTTGATACTTGGTTTTTCCAATCTTTAAAGCTGATGTTCCCTGGGGGCATTTATATCAGCTTGAGATGTTGAAAAAATGTCCTGAATAGGAAAGCTAATTGCTAAATGTGATGAGGATGAGCACAAAACCCGAGTTTATTAAAGTCTTTAACTTATATGTCCCAGTCAAGGTTAATATGGATTCTTAATATGGTTGAGTGGCAAGTACGTACTTGAATATATCCGTAGTACAGCAGACCTCCCACCAATAGTATTTTTCATCAAGGTTTGGAGTATAAGGTTCGTCTCTTGACTATATCTTTAAGGTCCCCGACCTTTTTATCGTACAGGGTAGTATTCTCCTTCTTCTTCGATATCGTGTCTTCTGACTTGAGTTTCTGTTTATTCTGTGTTTATGATGTTCTTGTAAAATCGTTATATCTTATTTCAATTTCATAGCAAACATTAACAAATACCTATTATCTGGTAAAGGAAATATCATAGATATCTGAAGTTATGAAGGAGTGTAAATCAGACAATATCCCCTCTACTATCCTCATATTTAACATGAAGGGATGCAAATCAACTTTGGTGGACACAAAAACTTTTTGCAGTCAAGCTCAAGTCGCACCCAACTCTGTCGCACGTAAAATTCGAGTCGCACTCTTTTAAAAAAACTTTAAACTACTATGAGTGAATACAATGACTATAGAGGAGGCCCAGGGTCCGGCTCGCGTGGGCGGGGCCACGGGTCCGGCTCCTATCGGGGTGGATGGGGAAGTCAAAGAGGACGCGGTTCTGGGTACGGTGACCGCGATCGTGCGAGAGACTATGACCGAGAACGCAGCTCATACAGTGAGTACAGCTCATATGGAGAATACGGCTCATACCGCGGAAGAAACCCTTCGCATCGTGGCTCCTATAATCACAGTAGTAACTATGCGCCCAACCACTATAGGGGATCGCATTATGGACCTCAAGCACAGAACTCAGGCCATTACCAACCTCAACCCTCTCGTCCTCCCAGTTCTGGAGATGGAAGATCCAGCGATTATAGCAGTCACCTGGAAGAAAAGCCAGTACACGAAACCCCTACCCCCGTTTCGAACCACGCTACTCCTATCTCGTCACATGCTCCGCTGAAATTGACTTCTAAAACAGAAGAGCTTTCCGAGATCGATGACGAGTTGGTCAAGCTTCGAGCTGATTTGATAAATAAAACCGGCAATTACGCACTTCTAGTGAGTCAACTAGACAAGGAACAATTGAATATCGACTTGAATAATGAGAAATTGCTGGAAATGAGTTTAATGTAAAGTAGTGTAATATAGAAGAAACCTTTTAAAAAGTTGTGTTCGCGTCTCAAACTTTTCATTTCTATAACTATGTTGGACTTGAATATTCTTCCAACTCCAGTCGAATACATCTTGTACGGATGTTTGTTCCTTGGTGTGGCAAAGGCCACCATCCTCGTGTTGTCGTTTGGCCTGCTTTTGTTTGATTTGCTTCTCTTGCCCAAGGCCAGTTACAAAAAATACGGGTCGGCCAACAATTGTTGGGCACTTGTCACTGGATCCAGCGATGGTTTGGGTGCCGAATACGCCAGACAATTGGCTGCTAAGGGGTTCAACATAGTGTTGGCATCCAGAACATTGAGCAAGTTGGAGACAATTGCCGAAGAAATTGAGTCGAAATATAAGGTTAGCACCAAGGTGGTGGCTGTGGACGTCACTAAGGTTGACGAAGCTGTTACTCAAATTGCGGCCGGAATCGAGGGATTGGATGTCAGTGTGTTGATCAACAACGTCGGTCAAAGTCATCTGATTCCTGTTCCATTTGCAGAAACCGAGTTGTCTGAAATCACTAACATCATCAACATTAACAACGTCTTCACCTTGAGAATAACTCAATTGCTTATTCCAATTTTGGCGGGCACAGCATCCAAGTACAAGGCCCATTCGTTGATCCTCACTATGGGTTCATTTGGAGGTTTATTGCCTACACCATATTTGGCCACCTACTCTGGGTCTAAAGCATTTTTGCAAAACTGGTCTGCTTCGTTGGCGGCCGAATTGAAAGCCGACAAAATTGATGTGGAGTTCGTGTTAAGTTACTTGGTGACTTCAGCCATGTCTAAAATCAGAAGAACTTCATGGATGATCCCTAATCCAAAATCTTTTGTTGCATCTGCCTTAAACAGTGTAGGAAAAAGAGTTGGTGCTCAGGAAAGATTTGCTACAACCACTCCATTCTGGTCTCATGCCTTGATGCACTTTGGAATCGACCAAACTGTTGGTGTCTACTCTACAATTGCAAACAGCTTGAACTTTGACATGCACAAGAGCATCAGAGTTAGAGCCTTAAAGAAGGCAGAGAGGGCCAGGAAGGAGCAATAGTCAATCAGTTATATTTCATTGAATGCACGTTGTTTAAACTGTGATACTATCGTAGTTGGTCTCTAGTGCCCTTGGCCAGGCGGTTGGTGCAGCCCTCCGCGACGTCGCGCTAGCAGTGGGTCCACCTCTTGGTACTATTTTTCTAGAAGCTTCTACCTCATTCGCGGGCCTTCGTCCGTCTCCCAATTATAAGAATCGAGCAACCCCCGACGTTTCTCACACTTGCAACTACTCTTACACAAATGGTTAAAGAAACTAAACTATACGATATATTAGGGGTTGCCCCCTCAGCATCAGAGTCTGAATTAAAGAAGGCCTACAGAAAGGCCGCTTTGAAATATCATCCTGATAAACCTACTGGTGATACCGAAAAATTCAAAGAAATCAGTGAAGCTTTCGATATTTTATCCAACTCCGATAAAAGACAAATTTATGATGACTATGGGATAGAAGCTGCCCGTGGAAATGCGCCTGCTGAAAACCCATTTGCTGGGGGTGGTGGTGGTGGTGGTCATCCATTTGCTGGATTTGGTGGTCCTGGAGGCCATTCATTCTCTCAAAATGATGCATTCAACATATTCTCACAAATGGGAGGGTTTGGAATGGATGAGGGAGGATTCAGTTTTGGTGGTGGAATGCCTGGTGGATATGGTGGTGGTGGAATGCCTGGAGGTTTCGGTGGTGCAAGCAGAGGAGGTGCTTCAAGAAGACCTGAACCTGATACGGTGACAATGCCTTTGGGAGTGAAATTGGAAGAACTTTACAACGGGTGTGTGAAGAAATTGAAGGTTAATAGAAAAGATCCAAATGGTACCAGAAACTCAAAAACTTTAGAGGTTAATATTCGCCCTGGCTGGAAGGCTGGTACCAAAATTACTTTCAAAAATGAAGGAGACTATCAACCAGAATGCCAGGCTCGCCAAACCATCCAGTTTGTCTTGGAAGAAAAACCACATGAACTGTTCATCAGGGATGGTAATGATTTAAAGATGGTGATTCCTTTAACGTTTAAGGAAAGTCTTTGTGGATTCGATAAAGAAGTCACTACCATAGATGGTAGAAGAATTCCCTTGTCTCGAACATCTCCTATTCAACCTTCCAGTGTCAACTCATACCCTGGTTTAGGTATGCCCATAACCAAGAGTCCTGGACAAAGAGGTGATTTGCACATCAGCTATAAGATTGATTATCCCCATTATTTAACACCAGAACAAAAACAGATTATCCAACAGTACTTTTAAGAACATAAAAACATGCATATAGATGTTAACGATACAATAACCCATCATCTTTTATATATTTTAATATAATGGTCAAACATTAGCTGTTCCTAGCTCTCTTAATCTCAAATTGAGAGCTCGAAATCTCAATTTCTATCTCGAACAACTTCTTTCTCGGACCACTGAACCAGGAAAATCACAATGTCAGTCATACTTGCATCTGCTGGATACGACCATACAATTCGATTCTGGGATGCCTTGACAGGGGTATGCTCACGAACTATCCAACATTCTGATTCTCAAGTCAACCGACTTGAAATCACCAATGACAAACGTTATCTCGCAGCCGCTGGAAACTTGTATGTTCGATTATATGACATCCGCCAAGTGGGAAACAGTGGGAATACGCATTCCACAACTTCGACTAATACTGACTCTAACCCTGTGATGACTTTTGAGGGACACACCAACAATGTGACGTCGATTCAATTTCAGATTGAAAACAAGTGGATGGTATCATCTCTGGAAGATGGATACGTTAAAGTATGGGACGTCAGAGCCCCACTGGTTCAACGGAGCTATAAACATAATTGTCCTGTCAACGAAGTGGTGATACATCCAAACCAAGGAGAGCTTTTAAGTTGTGATCAAGATGGTAACATTCGAGTATGGGATTTGGGGGAGAACCAGTGTACTCATCACCTAATTCCCGAGGATGACGTACCCATTAATTCACTTACGGTAGCTAGTGATGGTTCGATGCTAGTAGCTGGAAACAATAAGGGTAACTGTTATGTGTGGAACATGCTGACCCAAAAGGATATCACCACCCTCACACCGGTTACCAAATTTCGGTCACATCTGAAATATATTACCCGTGTGGTGTTATCCACTGATATGAAGCATTTGGCCACTTGCTCGGCTGATCACACGGCCCGTATTTGGGCCACAGACCAAAACTTTGCCTTGGAGACCACTCTTCAAGGTCATCAGAGATGGGTTTGGGATTGCGCATTCAGTGCTGATGGTGCTTACTTAGTCACTGCCTGCTCTGATCACTATGTGCGGTTGTGGGACTTAAGTAATAGTGAAACAGTGCGCCAGTATAATGGCCATCATAAAGGTGCGGTTTGTGTTGCCTTGAACGATGTTTGAACTGGCTTGTATAATAAAAGCCTATCTATCTATACATGCGATTTTCACGTTTCCAAGTCTAGAATCATTGGTGACATTTCCACCTTGATAATGTCACCAAAAGTTTTTTCAAAGGAGCTGTCAAACGTTCTATCAAAGGACCTGTTTATATACTTGTCCATAGATTTGTCAAACGATTTGTCGGATGGCTCGGTTCTTTCACTAGATTTATCTGATCTTCCTTCCAGTTTTAAATGGTAGTTTCCGGGTGGGCCTTTGGGTTCTTCCTTTATATCAGAAATATTATTATATTTGGCTCCGCCAGAAAAGCTTTGGCAAAATCTGGATATATCCAACAAGTCCGTAGTATAGAAGTCTGGCCCAGTATTGTCGTACTGGGTATCTGACTCACTAAATCCAAGTAGTCCACCTAGTTCTAAGTAGAGGTTCATAAACTCTTCAATCCAGATCTTTAATGGGATATAATGTCCACTACTGACGTTTTTTTCTGCTAGCAGGCGGAAAATATCACTTATGAGGGCACTTAAGTGGACTTTGAAGAATCGCACATCAACCTTCAAATCATCAAACAAGTTGTTAACCAAACTCTGTATGTTTTTAAAAGCAAATGTGTTGAATAGCGTGGGGACACTATTCTTGAAAATGTAAATTAATTTGCTTAGAATCAACGAGTTGAAAGGAAGTTTTCCGATTAAAAGATCAAAGTCTATTTTCTTGTAGGCCTGTTTTAACTCTCTTGTTCGAACCGGTTCATTTTCAAGTTTGACTCGAAGTCGAAAATTTACCTCCATTAGACTGATCAATCGGTTAAGGCATCTCACAAAATGTGCCCCACATTTTGCCTTTAGATCCACTAATTTAGCTGGAAGTTTGTTATTGATAGCTCCTATTAGTTTAGGGCAGAATTGGGCACTCATATACTTTAGATTGTCGACAAGTTCTAGAGTTTGAAGCCAATTGTCACCTTTAAATGAGATATCACAAAAGGTGTTGGCAATCACCTTTATCATGAGTTTATAAGTGACCATATCACAGTTACAAACCCACTCAAATACCGATTCTTGTACAAATAATTTGAACACTGGTGTCGTTAGTATGGTAGTGAACATTTGAAAATTATTTAAAACCGAATCCAATCTTAAAAATCGGAACCCTTCAAACATCAATGAATTGTTAATTTTGCACAACGAATATAGCGTATCAGCAATATCTAAGTCCGCATCTGGGGGTAAATAAGGATAAATTGGAGGAATTTCAATGGGATTACTAAGATTATGACTCTTGAGATCTCTTTTAATCAACTGAAATAGGTCCGGGAGAAACTTGTAGCTTATTATTTCCACCTTTTCCGAGATTAATTTGTCGGTGGAAGTAGGCAGGCCTTTTTGATTATAAAATTGATATTCGTCTATCAACTCATTATCGTTGATAAGCTTGATACCACAATAATGGTATTTAGACAGGCCTCTAACACCAAGCCTTCGTATTGTGAGATTGGGGAATAAGACTCTAATCAATTTTCCTAGATTAGCAGGACTTAAGGGAAACAAGTTGAAGTTGGAGTAGAAATGCACATACTTGGAGTAAACCCTATTTCTAGTGACCACCGACGTAGGACTGATCTCACAATTGTTCAAGAGCCAGATCATTCCAAAGACCTGTCGTTTAGCCTCCTTGGATAACTTCCTTGATAGTATTGTCTTGGTGGTCTCATGACTTTCTGGAACTTGAACCGTGTCTTTATCTTCTGTTTCAATCTTCTTCAAGTGGTGAATAATAGGCTCTATTTCAATCAGAAGCGAGTTATATGCGATGACCTTCATTTCCTTGTCGGAACTCAAACTTTGGGACCCGGAGTCTCTTCTCCTTTTTTTGGGCGAAGCTTCAAATATTGGCTGCGTAGAATCATGTCTTCTATGAGACCTCCACTCCTCTACCTGTGAAGAAGGGGTTGATGGAGAGAGTTCATGCTCATTGTTATGGGATGCTGTGGTTACTCCTGTGTTGATGGAAGTCTCTATTATTTGGGGATCAGGGTCATACTCATGTTCTAGAATTGGCAATGCCATATCTAACACATCTGCGTCATCATAAGATATGGCCAATGGTGGCTGATGATGGAGTTGACGCTGGTGTTGGTGTGTAGAACGTGAGAGCTCAAGGCTCAACGCTTGTTGATTGAAGAGAATTAACTCATTATCGACATCAAAACGGGGAGATCGAGAATCAAAGTCAGGAGATTCTGATTCGGTGGAAGACTTGTTTGATGTGTAATCAAAGTATTCGTTGAAATTATTCATACATAAATCTTCAAATGTGTGGGAATGTGACGGAGAATGCTTGGGAGATGCTGATTTTTGTACCTGGTGCAAGGTGTTTTTTTCTATATGAAGTGTCAAGAAGAAGAAAAGGAAAATAAAAAAATGTGTGAATGTAGGAAATAGAGAGAAATATGAATTGGGAATTGAACAAAACAATAGATAGAATGGGCTACAGCGGTACCCAATCTTGAGGTAGCCCTTACCGAAACAGCCGTAACGTACTATATAACTGGTAATGTCTCCCACTTGGTGGGCTAATTGTCTCGACCCTGTAATAGCCATCTACCATCCTCTACGACTTATTTATAAACATGCTGTGGACAGCCATGAGATCTGCAACCACCCTCGTAGAAAAATAATTAAACTATACACTCCAATATTTGGTGATGAGATGATAGAATCGTACCAGATGGCGGCTAAAAACAGTGTTTGTTTATGTAGAAATTAGAATGTTTATGACCCTCAAATCAGCTGGATCACTCAGATCACACTCATTGAAGAGGGTCTCACCTGGCACTTCGATCCCATTGTTCTAAATGGTTAAGGTCATCTTCATTGATCTATATTCTGCGGCGACAATACTGCAATCATCCTGCGTTTGTTTATTCTTTTTTCTTCTGTTGGTTGAATCAGGAAAAAGTTTCAAATCCGATGTTTACAAAACATCGCCAATATCACTACCTAATCCGGTAATGCGTATATTTCAAAAACCACCAATGTTGAAGATTAGTGCACCAGAACCAAGTAAATGAACTAGATTCCGGCTGTTGTTCCTTAGATTACGGGAATAAGGGTCCCATCACCCTTAGCTGTAGGGTTTACCTCTGGGTTGCCTGCCACTTGTTTCCTAAACGCAGTTACCCTCTGTCCTTTGCCCTTGCACTCGAACCATTCTTATAAGTGGTTTGAGTTACAAATCTATATTGCATTGAGGTTTGATGGGCCGCCCTCCTTTTGTAAGTCTGCTTGCTTAATAGCTTTTTTAGATATTAATACTTCAGTCTTATAACATCTACTAGCATTCTCTTGAAGTTGTTATCGTTTCTAATGCTATCGATACCCAGTCATCTAACTTCGATGGTCTCTATACATATGGTTTTCTTGTTGTCTGTTTCGTTTCCAACTGAATCATTTGGATCCAGGCCAAGCACATCCCAATCTATCGGTTCACGCACGCCGAAACTCCCTCATCTCGCATAGCTTTGAAAATTTTAATTCTCATCTCAAGTAACTACACTATGGCTATTTTAAATTCTAACCCAGAAGTTCTCTTACGCAAGAGAAAAGACAAAGATAGAAAGAGGTTGGAGAAACAAGAGCAGGCCCAGCAAAGAGAGTTGGAAAAGTTGAAAAAGCAAAAGATCCAATCAAAGAAATTCATTAGAGCCGAGACCCTCGTCTCCAACCATTTATCTAAACAATTAGAATCCAAGAGAGTTAAGAACATTACCAAGTTCGAAAACCAGAAGTCAAACAATACTATATCCTCCACGTCGACCAACATAGAAGATGAAAAGCTTATTTTTGTCATCAGAATACCAAACCATGTTAAGGGTGTGAAGATTCCCAATAAAGCCTCTAAAGTGTTGAGAGTGTTGAGATTAGAAACCGTCAACAACGGTATGTTTATGAAGTTGAATGAAACCACCAAGCCTTTGCTTAAATTGATCCACCCTTATGTTGTATATGGTACTCCATCTATCCAATCAATCCGTCAATTATTTCAAAAAAGAGGTTCCATTAAAGATGAAGAAGGTAAAATAATCAAGTTGGATAACAACGAGCTTGTTGAAAATAAGTTCGAAGAAGTGGGGATCATTTGCATAGAAGATTTAATCCAAGAATTATGTAATTTGTCTGAGAACTTCTTGGACATCACCAGCTGGTTGATTCCTTTCAAATTGAACTTACCAGTTAGTGGATACGGACCTCAATCCAAACTTGCGAAGTTAAAGTTGGCCCAACAATCAAAGAGAAATGTTAGTCTCAATGGGAATATAAGCTTAAAAGAGGTCGATATCGACAAATTGATTGACGAACAAAATTAAACGATAAATATTGGCATATAGATATTTTGTATCCCCAAATTATATTTCATGGAATCTGCGCTACAGAATTGTTCTTTTCTCGATTATTTCCTTCAGTGTCACGTGTTTCACTATCTCATCTCTGATCAAACAATTGTAAAAGCGCGTCTCGTTCTCCATCAACATATAGCTATGACAGTCAAGTCTACATATACTCCCCAGTCATTTGAGTTATACCAGCAGCTCCAGCCACAAACGGCATATACATATAAGCTTATTCAGCTTCCACCCGAACTTTTGTCATGCATTGAAGCAAAATCTCCCCTTAACATCAAATCGTCTCGCTTGAAGAACGACCTCACCTTGGTATCTCAGGATAAAACATGGAAGCTTCGTCAAATGGATCAAACGGATACAGTGCTTCTTATGGATTGTAATGTGGTTCCTGGCTCTCTTGTTGGCCTTACAAACTTGCCCTATGAGTATGAATTAGTATCCACCAAAATACTTATCGATGTGTCCAAAATCCCCGTGTACAAAGGCGAATCAAGCTTATCTACCATGTCCACAGATATTGTCACGTGCAGCCTCTCTAAGCTTATTGATGATACACCAATATCTACCGAAGAGTTCTATAAAGAGTGGTATGAAGTAGGCGGGTGCGAGATAAACGGATGTTGTTTTGTCATCGATGATTCGCTTGTAACCAAGTTTCTTCATACATTCTTAACGGTCGTCATATCAAGCAAAATTGACTACAAATCAGGAATCCTTGACCTCGAGAAGTTTAGTGCCCTTCTAGAGCCTCATGGGTTCATTGCCGAAGTCAGCAATACACTTTTCCATAAGTTTTGCCGGTTGAACCTGGACCACAAATACACTATACACAACGACAAGATTGCCAAGTGGTTCGGTATACAAACACTTAAATCGGCTCGGCTGTTTGATATTGATGACTTCAACCTTCAGTGGAAGAACCAGTTTCCCAATTTCTACAACGTCCCTTTGGATGTGAAGATGCTCCGAGGCCATTTGTACAAAACAGCTGGTTCTTCACGAATTTCGTATCTTTCAGAGTCCTCCCTTCTGTCGGATATTGTCCAACGTATTAGGGAGCTATTTAAGTTGGCATCAGAGTGGGAAATCGATGATATAGCCCCTTACGTGCAGAAGTTTATGATCAACAAGAAGCTCGAAACCGGCCTACTAAAGTATGCCAAAGTGCGAAAAGTCGGAAAATCCAAAATTGTTTGTCCAAGATGAACGATTTTGGACTTTCATTAATTGTACGTGAAATTGGCTTAAGTGGCACTGCTGAAACTAGTATGGTCCAACTACTTGGTGTGAAATATACTAACAATTTCAAAGAGTGGTGCATGTGCAGGAATATCAACAGACCTTGTGTTTTTTCCAATTGACACTCTCAAGACAAGACTTCAAGCAAAAGGGGGATTCTTCAGTAACGGAGGATGGAGTGGAATCTATAAAGGGCTAGGTCTGTGTGTTGTCGGATCTGCTCCACTGGCCGCTCTTTTCTTCATCACCTATGACTCCATGAAACGTTATACTGAAAATATTGGATCCAAACCCGCCAGTCATATGATCAGCGCGTCTCTTGGAGAGATTATGGCCTGTACAGTACGAGTCCCAGTTGAGGTTATTAAGCAGCGGACGCAGGTGGATATCTTGGGTTCAAACTCCTCGTCATTGACAAATTTAAAGTATATACTTGCGAATAAGTCGGGAGAAGGAATTCTTCGTAGTCTTTATCGTGGATGGAATCTGACAATCATGAGAGAAATCCCATTTACCTTGATCCAGTTTCCCTTATATGAATACTTAAAGCTGGTAGCTCCAATTGAAGAGAAGCAATCTTTAGCAGCTGGAGCTGTTTGTGGATCCATTGCAGGAGGTGTTGCAGCCGCAATGACCACGCCGTTGGATGTTATCAAAACCAGAATCATGTTGAGTGAAAAACGCACAAGCACGAGGCTATTGGTACGTGGAATCATTGAAGAAGAAGGTTATAGAGCGTTCTTAAGAGGAATTGGGCCTCGCACGTGCTGGATTAGTGCTGGAGGTGCCATCTTCTTAGGATGCTACGAACTTGTGCATAGTCGCTTGTCCTCTTTGGGAAATACAAAGCTCGCATAGTGTGGATTCTTTTACTCAATGGTGTATATATTCCACGGCTGGTTGCTTTCTGGTTAACCTAATAATGTCCTCTACGTCTTTAAACATTATAGACCTAAATCACATTTTGCATTTTGTGACATCGGTAGAAATGTATGAATATTACATTTCATAACCACTAAATGTCAAATCCATAACTATGTCAAATTTATAACTATGTCAAATCTACTGCTAAACTAATAGAGCTTCTTATCGGCTCGCGTCCCGAACCAAATCGGTAGGTCATCTCAATATCTCCGTATCAACCGGTTAGCACACGCGGACTCTCACAAATTCATCGCTCGTGAACAGAAAAAAAAGATCCAGTCGCTGACTAACTATTTTTATCCCTGCTGAACAAGTAATTATAACGACCTAATGTTAACCATACAGTTACAACGAGCATTCCACCGGATAAATCCAGGTGCAGTAAACTTGGCTAGAAGCTTCTCACGCTCGAGACCCCAGATGTTGGCCACTACAACCTTAACTCCTCTTGAGCAAACACATGTTTCCACAGATATTTCACCTCCGGAAGGATCAGGAATAACCCTTAAGAATGCGAATAGGGATGACTCTGAATTCGGTACTCGTCCAATCTACTTAGATTTCCAAGCTACGACCCCAACTGACCCAAGAGTATTGGATAAAATGTTGGAATTCTACACCGGTTTATATGGGAACCCCCACTCATCTACTCACTCTTACGGCTGGGAAACCGATAAAGCAGTAGAAAAGGCCAGAGAGCACGTGGCAGCCGTGATTGGTGCTGACCCCAAGGAAATCATATTCACTTCTGGTGCTACTGAGTCGAATAACATGGTTATTAAGGGTATATCCAGATTCTACAAAAAGACCAAGAAACATATCATCACCACCCAAACTGAACATAAGTGTGTTTTGGACAGTGCCCGTCATATGAAAGATGAAGGCTTTGATGTCACTTACTTGCCTGTGACACCTGAAGGTTTAATCAATTTGGATGACTTGAAGAATGCCATTCGTAAGGACACGGCTTTAGTCTCGATTATGGCTGTCAACAACGAAATTGGTGTTATTCAACCAATCAAAGAAATTGGTCAAATCTGCAGACAAAACAAGATTTTCTTCCATACTGATGCTGCTCAAGCTTATGGTAAAATTCCAATAGATGTCAACGAAATGAACATCGACTTGATGTCGATCTCTTCTCATAAAATCTATGGACCAAAGGGTGTTGGTGCGTGTTATGTGAGAAGAAGACCAAGAGTGAGAATTGACCCTATTATTTCTGGTGGCGGTCAAGAAAGAGGCTTAAGATCAGGTACCTTGGCTCCTCCCTTAATTGCAGGTTTTGGAGAGGCAGCCAGATTGATGGTTCAAGAACTGGCATATGACAGAAAGCATATCGACAAGTTATCTAACAAGCTTAAAAGTGCCTTGTTGTCAATTCCAGATGTCTACTTTAATGGACCTGCCGATGTTTCTAAACATTATCCAGGCTGTGTTAACTGCTCATTTGGTTACATCGAAGGAGAGTCTTTGTTGATGGCTTTGAAGGACATCGCTTTAAGTTCTGGTTCTGCTTGTACATCTGCTTCTTTGGAACCTTCTTATGTTTTACATGCTTTAGGTGCTGATGACACCTTGGCTCACTCCTCTATCAGATTTGGTATCGGAAGATTTACTACTGAAGATGAAATTGACTACGTTATTGAAGCAATTAACCAAAGAGTTGACTTCTTGAGAAAGTTGTCTCCATTATGGGAAATGGTTCAAGAAGGTATAGATTTGAACACTATCGAGTGGAGTGGACATTGATTTACGTAACTAATTTGTGCTAAGTCCGGTACCGAAATGAAGAGAATCTTGATGGACGCTGCAGACTCTCTCCCAGTATATACATATATATAGGCTATCTTATGATCTCCCTTTGTGGTCAATAAATCATGACGGAAAATTCGATTTTGTGCGTATGCCCGGTTCCGGCGTCCAGTCACCAACTTTTCGCCGGTCGCTTTCTTCTCCAGTTTTCAGTTAATTTTTCAAATTATCACTACACGTCAAGTACCAATGTCTAAAGCAGAACTTAGTTTGGAAACCAAAACCATTACCTTATTGCCAGGTGATCATGTGGGGGAAGAGGTTGTTGCTGAAGCTGTGAAAGTTTTAAAAGCCATCGAGAGATCTACCCCTAAAAATATTCAGTTTAACTTTGAAAAACATTTGATTGGAGGCGCTGCCATTGATGCTACTGGAGTTCCATTACCTGATGAATCTTTAGAAGCTTCGAAGAGATCAGATGCTGTTTTGTTGGGTGCTGTTGGAGGTCCAAAATGGGGTACTGGGAAAGTGAGACCAGAACAAGGTCTTTTAGAGATCAGAAAGGAGTTAAACTTGTATGCTAACTTAAGACCATGTAACTTTGTCTCTGATAAGTTACTCGAGTTGTCACCATTGAAAGCTGAAGTGGTTAAAGGAACCAACTTTTGCGTGGTGAGAGAATTGGTGGGTGGTATTTACTTTGGTGAAAGACAGGAACAAGAAGACTCTGCGGATGGAACCTCTGCTTGGGACACCGAAAAATACACCGTTGCTGAAGTTACCAGAATCACCAGAATGGCTGCCTTCATGGCATTACAACATAACCCTCCTTTGCCAATTTGGTCTTTAGATAAAGCCAATGTTTTGGCATCTTCAAGATTATGGAGAAAAACTGTTGACGACGTGATTTCCAAGGAATTTCCTCAACTTACTCTCCAACATCAGCTTATTGACTCTGCTGCTATGATTTTAGTACAAAGTCCAAAAAAGCTCAATGGTATCATCATTACTTCTAATATGTTTGGTGATATCATTAGTGATGAAGCTTCCGTGATTCCAGGGTCTTTAGGTCTTTTACCTTCTGCATCTTTGGCTTCTTTACCAGATACCAACAAGGCTTTCGGATTATATGAACCATGTCATGGATCGGCTCCAGATTTGCCAGTTAACAAGGTCAATCCAGTGGCTACCATCTTGTCTGTTGCTATGATGTTGAGATTGTCTTTAGACTGCTTGGCTGAAGCTGAAGCTTTGGAGACTGCTGTTGGTAACGTAATCGATAGAGGTATTAGAACTGCAGACTTACGTGGACAAAGCACTACTCAGGAAGTTGGTGATGCCATTGCTGAAGAAGTCGAGAAAATCTTAGGCTCTAGTGCCTAAATTCTGTGATCTAGTGGACACTATAAAATTAGCACTTTAAATATATATTTCATCTTTATATTACATTATAATACTCATTATTGTTAACAAACATGATTTTTCCCTGGAGACAAGTTTCGTGATTCATTAAACATCGGAGAAGTCGATGGTACCATTCAAAACATCACTCAAATATGCCATAGATCCAAAATTTCCAATATAAAGATGGTTATTCAAGGTCTGAGAAGTGTCCTCCCTTTTTAATGTCGGAGATTTGGAGTCTTGCAAAAGCTCAGTAATGATGGTGTTTTCACTTGAAAATGAGTTATTCATATTTCCGGTATCAACATTCACTACTGGTGCAGCAAGAGAGCTCAATACTTCAAATCTAGGGGATCTCGACACCGAGTTATTATCAACTGAATAATATTCCTCCTCTGAGTTTGTAGCATCAGTATCTGGCTGTGTTGTATTATTTCCAAATCTCAGATTGTTTGCTTTTGAACTGGAGAAATTCATATCGATCTCTTTGCCGAATTCATCCACAAATTGAGATGAAGTTTGTGAGTCCTCTGCCTCCACTTGATTCTTGGAGCTTATTTTCGAGTTGAAAAATACGATTTGGGATCTGAAAGAATCCGCTGCACTCACATCTCTTATCTTATTGGCAAAGTTTGCATCCCTAGTGAAACTAGAGTTAATCGATGTGACTGACAAATCTTTGGAAGGCTTTGGGGGGTATTTCAATTTTGTAGATTTCTTTGTCTCTTCGATTTGGACCGGAATTGAGGAAAGGGAAGATTCTCTGGAAAATTGTACCCAGTTAGCCTCAAGAGGGTCGTCCACATAGTCATAATCAAAGCCATAAGCAAAAGTTCCTGCCATTCCAACAGTTTCCTCCAGAACATCTTTAATTGAGGCTGATACTGCATGTGCTGGACTCCCTTTTGAGTTGATTCTTTCTTCTGTTTCAACGTTTTCTTTAGCTTCTTCATCGAATATAGACTTTGTTGGACTTGGAAATTCGAAGTTGGATTTGACATCCAATGAAGCATTATGTCTAGTCTTCTCCTTGTATGTTTCTGATGGAGTTTTGGGTGTTTCTGGTAACTCTGTGCTCAATTTAACAGGTTGCAGTTCAACTTGAGGGAGTCCATTGAGAGTATCATCAGAAGAAGTAAACAATTCTCTAAAGGGCTTTTGGTCATATGGAATTTCAGGTTGCTGTAAGTTGTTCTGGGCTTGTGACTCAACCTCCTTCTTGTTAGGTTTTCGGACCACAAACTGCTTACGAGGAGACTTTTGTTCAACTGGCTGGATAATTCCTGGTACCACTTCTTCATATCTTTCCTGAGTTGGATATATATCTGCTTTGTTTTCAGGAAAGGGCTGCTCATAATCCCTGTTTTCTTGATGTTCATATTTGGCTTTTGAGGTATTATCGTTTTCAAAACGAGCTTGGTATACTGGTCTTGCAACCTGTTGAGCAAATTGTGGATGATCAACCGTTTGCGTAATGGGGCCAGTTATTGGTTGAACTGACGACTGAGCCTGTATAATGAGAGGTTGGGTATGATCAACATTGACCACATTGTTTCCTTCTTCAACTTGATCGAATTGTTGCTGATCGTAATTAATCTGATCTCCATTCCCTTCCAATTGTGATACATCATAGTGATGAACCGTTGCAGAGTCGGTGTTATCATCATCGAGTGTCGCCACATTCTTGTTAAGTTGCAAATTCTGGATTTGCACCTGGGGCTCTCCTTCATTAGTTTTCTCTAATTTAGGTGTTGGCCTGAATAATTCCTTGTATTCCACTGTGGCTTCTTCTTGAAGTTGTTCTGCTTTGAACTTTCGGCCGAAAAGCTTTCCAAAGAAGGAACGTCTCCGTTTAGACTTTGCCTTTTGTTCATTCTTTTCAAAATTCCTAACCTTCCTTGTGGCATCAACTGTTACGGTTTCTATAGGTATATCAGTTTTTAATTTGGAGTCTCCAACAATATGAAATCCTGCAACTGGTCCAGGTATATTGCCTTGTTGGTTCATAGAACTTACTCTCGACTTCATCATCTCACGAACTTCAAATCGGTTAAGTCTTTGATAGCTGAATAAGTAGTATTCTAAGTCCAACTGCAAACTCTTAATCATCTGCTCCGTCACTAATGAAAATGAATTGAAATAACAATTCATGTACATCTTCAAGGTGTCCAATAATGTATTTTGAAAATCTTCTTCTGGAACAATAGCGTCAAATTCCGGTCTTTTAGAACGGTTGAACCCAATCAATTGAACTCTTCCATCGTAAGTGTAAGAAGCAGTCAAAATAAGAAACAAGTGTTGATTCATCTCGAAATAGTGAGGAATCATTTCCTGTGGCATGTTCAACAATAAAATTATCTGGGACTTGGTGTTTTCGTTATCATAATTCGTGGCGGAATGGGCAGTCGAATAGAGATGTAAAGCTGACTTGTTGCTCCTGAATAAATGGAAAGGTTGATTCTTGTGAAGAACTTTGGCCTTATTTATCAACTCAATGACTTCATTTCCAGTCGTGAAGTTTCCGCTATTGCTATCACGCAAGATCTCGTAGTTTTTATTCATTTCTTGTTTGTTATCACCTTTGAAGCCCCTTCCAGTACAAGAAAAGAACCTCAAAAAATCTTCTTCACTTGAAGTTGAAAACGAAAAGGACTTATAAGTGGTAACAATCACATCAGTAATGGAACACCAGTGGCTGACTTCCATCCTTGGAAACAGAGACAATTTTGGTAAGGGCTTCTCATTTACCAACGAGTGCATTAAGACATCAGAGATTCTTAAGTTCAAATTACCATTGCTGTTGATATAATAATTATCATCAACTATTCTCAAGAACATTATGGTGTCGCTGAATATAATCAACACTTCATCATCATGATTGTTTTGGTTATTCGGTTTGACATTCTTCAATTCAAAAATTCCAATCACCTTTCTTGAGAGCCATCCATATTGTAACTCGGGTGGCCAGTTGGTAGCTAATTCGGTCAATAATTTACCAGTAGGAGTAAATATTCTATGCTGAGAATTGAATCTTTCATGGTCCTTTTCAATAGCTAGACTTTCGTCACCACCAAACGCATCAATTATGTCAACGGCACTCTTGTAATAGTAATCTAAAACTGATGGTTCCTCAAATTCTTCCTGCTCAAAGTTCTTCAATTTTGAAAACTCACTGGAAACCTCCTCGTATAATCGCATCAAGATTAACTTAATCTTAGGTAATTCCAACAATGAACCCGTTATCACGGAGTCAATATAGTTCTTGGAAAACTTACTTTTGTTTATGTTTGGATCTGCAAAGACCTGCTTTTCATATCTTCCGTAAAACTTGTTGAATCTTGATTTGAAGCTTTTCAAGTTGGCTTCATGCCTGATGAACGGTTTGTAAAAATATGGCAAAATCATTCCAAACACCTTAATCACCTCCACGTAACCAAAAGGTTTGGCTCTAGTCAAAGAATCATGAAGTACACAATTGATTCTGGTTACTTCATCGATTGTGGGGGGAAATATGTGATTGATTTTGACTATGCCTTGAGCATCCTTGGACTCTAACACATGAACTCTCAATGGGATGATGAAGTTCTGTAAAAGACCTACTAGACCCATGGTAAAATTGGTTTGAACAGTCAACAATTCGTCGGTGATTGTGGCAATCTTCAAGTTGTCAATAAACTTTGGCTTTTCGTAGTTAGATGTGTTAGGGACGTTATAGGAAGTTTCAAGAGTCTCTGGTGAGTATTCCAACAAAGGATCAAACAACTGGTCTAATTGGTCACCTAGTAGGCACACCAATCTGTTATTACTCTCAATGACTTTGGAATCGTTATTGGTGTTATTGTACACAGTATCGAGAACCAAAGACTTCAACGTGTGGTTTTGAATTACCCCCATTTGGAGTAACTTAAGACCAAACTCATTCGGCCTCTTATCTACCAAAAGGCTCAGTCTACTTGCCATTGCTCCAGCATTAGTCTCATCCCATCTCTTTTCTATTTCAAATTCCCCAGGATGATTCACAAGCTTATTGTAATTTTTCAAGAAAGTTACTGCTAAGGCTTTTCTAACCTTGGATTCTTTATGGATAGGTAACAAGTTTTCAATACTGGGATAGAATCTGGAGTCTTGGTTCAAGATTAAATCGTGGTAAACGGTGACCCCAAATTTGGTTAAGGATACCGTACAGATTTTATCTGATACGGGATTTTCATATACTGCTGTGACTATATGTCCAAAGAGACTATCATCGTAGCTTGAGAAATATGCAGCATTGGGGAAGATATTGATCCATTCTTCAGTACTCTTGGACTTGAACTCGCTATTCTTACTCAATTCCAATCTACCAGCGAGTGGATTTATGATTATGCTGTCCTCCACCTCATCAGTGGAATAGTGTTTGAATGAGATTCCTTCAGCTTGCTCGAGATTTTGTTCATCTCCAGAAGCTAGTCTCTGGTAAACACTCATGGTTTAAACGGAATATTGTAATTGTCAAGTTTCCAGTTGTTCTTTATGGTTGTCAAGTCCTACGGGGAAGAAAAGAAAAACTGTCGGTAGTTCACAAGCTGTTCAAAAAAAAAAACAAAGGAAGGGTTCACGAGATGAAAAGTAGTTAATGACAGCGAGTACTGATCTGAGAGAAGCGTTCCAAACGCACCTCAGCATTCTCATCGGGAGCGTCTCTGTGTTAATTGTGCAAGGTGTCCTTAAAACATAATATTTTTAATATTCCCATATACAGTAACTCATTAGCTATAAGCAGATAAAATATTCTTGCATACACACAAGGTGCACGATTTAGCCTCACACACGCAGTTAGCCCCCCCCCCCCGGACTATGGTGAGGCCACGACTCCAGATTATCCGGAGAAAGTCACGGTCTTAGGATCTAGAGGAACCCCGTTACTATCGATATTATGCTCTCCAAATTGCAGTTTGGTATACTCTAGACGGGCCTCATCGAATGTGAGCAGCTTTTGCTGCATTAATTGGTAGATTGCAGCTTTGGCATTCTCTTCCAATCCTTGTCTATGGTCATTCGAGTTACCGCTTAAAATGTTAAAAGCATCACTATTGAGTCCGCTTTCGAGATCATCTTGAAACCCTTGTGACAAATTAGCATATCTCATTCTTCGTTTTGTTCGTAATCTGTCGTGAAATTCGGCAATCTTGTTCCTGAAATGAAATATAAGAAGGCATATAATAATTGTCAAAAGCAATAAAACATAGCTAGTTTTGGTACTTTTTAGTTTCGTTGTTCCAGTATATCCTTCAGGTGTCCCTTTGATATTGGCGTGTAGACTTTCGCCATCTTTCAATTCAAGTCCCATTTCTTTTTCAATTGATTCAATTGAATCGTTGTAAAGGAAGAATCAATTTAAGCTCACCATGCTGCGAAATGTGCAGCCTATTTATTCGAACTCAATAAAACTACAAAACTTTTTAAACGAATTACATGCTCCGTATTTGCTTGATTGGATGCTAAGTCCTTGTATGCATTAGGAAAAAAAGTATACTGCTGCCTCTTCCAAGTTTAATTGGCCATTTGATCATCTTGAACTTCAATGGCTTCCGGTTCTTCGGCTGTTGGTGCATCAATAACTTCATTATCCCCTTCCTCCATATCCACTTCTTCTGTTTCATTCTCTTTGGTCTCCATCTTGTAAGCACTTCCTGGTTTGTTGGCATAACTGATCTTTAAGTCCCTACCTCCATAATTATAACTGTTCAAGTTGGCAATTGACAATTCAGCCAATTCATCCAGTTCGAAACGAACTACTGCATTTCCCGAAGCCCTACCATGTGGCGCATACTGTATTTCGGCTCTTGTAACCTTACCTATCGTTTCAAATAATTCATATAAATCATCAACGGTGGTAACATATGGCAAGTTCTCGACATAAATGGTGTCTGACTTCAATCCATCTGCTATGATATCCTTTGTGAATTTGGTATTCTTGTCAACTTTTGGCTGTATAGTAGACTCATGTGTTCTACCTGGTCTAGTACTCAACTTTCTGCCTTCAATCTCATAATCAGCAAAAGTGTTCAATGCCAATTTGGCTTCTTCTGGAGTTTTAAATACAACTGTACCATAGCCCATTGATTTTCCCTTTTGATCGAGTCTAACATCAGCCCTCTCCACTTCACCGGCTTCTCTCATCAAGTCTTTTAATGCTTGCCAATTCATAGAATATGGTAGATTTCCTACGAATATTTCAGTTCCTGGCTCGGGAACTAAAGGACTTTGCTTGACTGAAGAAGTGTATCTTTCCCTAGAAGGTGGAGTCCTGTTACTAAACTTCTCTCCTGGTTGCTCCATAGATACCCTTTTCTCCTCAGGAGGAGGGTAGTCTTGTCTAACAAAAATTTGTCTTCCTCTATACTCGTAGTGATCGAATTTTTCAATTGCTGATTTAACCTCATCTTTGGAGCTGAACTCTACCGTTGCCATTCCTCTAGATCTCCCACGATTTGTAACAATATCAGCACGTCTAACTTTATACTGCCCTTTGAACATATCTTCAATGTCTTTAGGGCCGGCATCATAAGGAATGTTTCCAATGAAGATGGAGTTATCGTAGTTCCTTTCTGTTTTACTCTTGTACTCAATAGCAGCTTCTTCGGGTGTTGCATAACTCGTATATGAGCTATTATAACCTCCCCTGTTACCACCTCTAGTGCCAAATCCTCCACCTCTACCTCCACGACCCCTATAGACATTGCCTCTTCCACGCCCTCTGTAACTTCTCTCTGACCCGTAGTCTCTTCTTCCACCAGAAGTATAGGACTCTCCCTCTCTATCTCTGTTTCTATCCACGGGGGATCTTGACCTGTTTCTGACTGGAGAACGTGAGCGATCCTAGTAAAATTGTTAGCAAAATTCCTCTATAATCTGTGATTCGAGGTCGAATAACCTCAACCTTGGGAAAAAATAGCATTTCGAACTGAAACTAAGCTTTCGCCAATTTCAAGTCAAAGGCAGTATCTTCCTTCGGCACATTCATACTTAACATACTCTTGAATAGTCGTCAATGTCCATGTCTAGTGTCTTCCAGCGTAATTTTCTAACTTTAGTTGTTGAAAAAGTGCGAGGTCTTTTCAACATCAAAGCACCCACACGCTACGCACGACTATCTCGTAAATTCTGCCCTATATAAGGGGACAAACCTGCTTTCGAGAGGAATCTAAGTCGACATACTTATGTTTGGTGTTCTTATATTACATTATTGTACACTAGAGGCAATCTAACTCTTTTCTGGAAATGGTAAAACTAATCTTCTCTCGACTTCAGTTTCCTTGTTGGCTTCTTCTTCCCCATCAAACTTCAATTTGACAGTAGTATCCTTCTTGGTACCAACTACCATTGCTGGATAGAAAGTGGTGGTTTCTGGGTACCGAGCAAGAACTTTAGCTCCATATGTATAATTTGGTAGGATCTTTGGATTCAGAGCAATTTCTGCTTCGGGAACTATCAAAATCACTTCTCTGTAGTTCGCTTTGAAGGTTTGTCCAGGGTTGTTATTCTCATCTGGTTCAGGATCTCTAACTTCAAACTTAACTCCATCACCAATTATTTTCGTCACCTCACACTGAATCCATTCTTCGGAATGTCTGTTCCTCAATTTGTACGCAACTTCTGAACCAACAATGATAGGTTCTGACCAGTTTAGCTTCGACGTATGGAACAGTCTTCCAACCTTCTTCTGCTTTTTGGTGTTCGATTTTGAAACAGCCTTATTACCGGGAGTAGAGGTTGACAATGTGTTTGTTTCGATCTTAGCGGTAGAACCTCTGGATTGCCTGGTATTTATTGCACTAGAATGTTTCTGAACACTCGTTATAAGAATCTGAAGATTTTGCTGGCATGTTTCAATAAGTCTTTTGGCAGTTTCGATGTTGCTCTTATGGTCTGACACCTCTTTGACTAACTTCTCTAACTCTTCTTCGGAGGTTGGTATCTTGCTAGGATCTGATAAATAATCGGCGTAAATATTATCAAAGTGGGTTGATTCATTGGTATTACACACGTCTTGAAGTGAAGCCGTGATAATATTCCAATGCCCTTCTTCCAGCATCTTGGCTTTGATTGTTGAAACTTGGATGTAGTCGCGCAAAAATATATTAACGATGATTAGCATTTAATGATTTCCGAGACGTTATTGGTGGCAGCCTCAACCTTGGAACTTTGGGCAGACTACAAGCAATTAGCATATACAAGGAGAAGAAACTCTATATCACGACTATCTTTTGACACGGTAGCTTCTAATTTTATTGATTATTTTGCCGGCATAATTTTCAATATTGGCTGTTACACAAACCTAATACAACTCCTTCACCTGCAAAGATATCCGGTTCATCCCACGTTACAAATATCAATATTATTTGGCAATATTGAAATCCTTAAATTCATTGTTGCCATTGGTAGCCTATTTCAAATGCTTAAATATAACCACACAAAGCACAAAGATCAAGATTTCAGCTTCGTTTGCAAAACTGTTTTGATTATCAATTTGGCAGTGCTAGGTTATATTATATACAATACGTATTCACATCGATATATGCTCAATTCATTGGACACATTATGGTACGTGTGGTTCTTAGGTCAAGAGTTTAAATTTTTTAAATATTATCCTCAGCTAATAATGAATTGGGCATCAGACTCGAGTTTTTGCATGTCAAACGAATCATTGAATATCAGAATTATGGCTCTTTCACTAATGACAATTGGACATATTTCATTGAGCCATTATGTTCAGTGGTTTGATTCACCGGTCAACTACTACCCAGGGATATACCTTCTCTCAAACATTCCGGTTGTAATACTTTTGAAATTGCAAAAGCAATATTGGTACTCCAAGAAAGAATATAAGGAATTAGGAGAAGAGGTATGAATGTTTTATAGGTTTTTGCGCTGGATTGAATGCATATTTACATTGGTTTATGATATGAAAACTATAATTTTCCACCTATGACTTTCAAGCCAAGATGAACTCCGTAGCTTATTTGTCTATCTTCAGAAACCTTTTTTATGGGCCTCTCTAAAATATCCTCATCATTTTCGTTCTTCTCATAGCCTATTACTTTAGGTTCAAACTGCTCCAATTCCATTGGATGAGCGTACTTCAACAAGTTATCGACTTCTTCCTTCATTTTCTTTTTCAAGCCTTTATTCTTTGTGATTAATATAGCGTTGCTTTCTAAATCCAAAGAATAAGCTCTCTTTGTGTAGTTTGATGATCCTATAACAGTTATCGAGGGTAAATCTTCATCTGGAACAGTAATCCAGATCCCCTTGGCGTGGTAAGACCAACCCCCTGGTGTATTGACTACACCATTACGCCATTCGTACAACTTAATCAAGTTATCTTTAGCCTTAGCTCTTATATCTTCCAAAAACTTCTTAGCAATCAACAAGTACGCTTCGGGTATATAATATGATACCCCCGTAGACTTATAGAAAGAATTTGCCTTTGCACTGGCTGTTATTATTGTTCCTTTAGCCACGCCGTTGACTAATTTTTCCTGAATCTCTGGCAACAAATTGAAGTATCCTGCTGTAAACCACCACTTTATGGTGGGCGAATCCAAGAAAGTAAGAAGTCTCAATACTGAGGGTTTCTCTGTGGAAATGTCATTCCTGGGCTGTAATAATGGAGAAAACTGAGAAATTGGATAGACAATTGTGTCATACTCATCAGAGTCATTGAATTCCTCGAAGTTCTTGAGATCCTGCTGCTTCAACAAGGGTTCCAACATAAATGACGTGTCACTAATAAACCTTGCATGGTTAACGTGAGGTTCACAGGTTTTGTTACTAGTAGGCCAGTCCATTCTAAATCCACTTGGGGTGTTGGTGGATGGTAATATTTGGTAACTTATTGAGCAAATACTATCATGAATCTTTGAATAGTATTCAGTCAACTTCCTGTTACTGAAAAGATAATAACGATCTTGTCTATCAGTAAAGTAGTCCTCAGATAAGTTTGCGCCACTCAACATGATTTCATCATCAAACCCATATAATTTCATATGCTGCAAGCCCCAAGCTTCGTTGATTCTCTTTGGTGCCAAGCTCTTGGTGAAGCCTTTCAAATGAGGAGTGTGATACATTCTTATATCCACCCTATGCTTTCCAAACTTCTCCACAAGAGGAACTAATAAGCTAGCGGAACATGGTTGATGAGGAGCTTCTCTTGTCCCCCTTAAAGCGTCGGTCAAAATGGACACCGTTAAATCCTCGTTTAGCTCAAGTGCTTTCTCGATAGTCCCTACCAATTCATGTTGAGTTTTTCCAACATATAAGGAGCTTAAAAAAACCCTTTGTTTAGCGGATAAGATTTTCTCCTTTAAAGTGGAATAGAACTGTTCTGGATCGTTCAAAATAAAGACATCGTTTTGACTGATGACAAAACGAGGACAAATTGCATCTAACTGCTTAAATATAGCTTGTAATCTAGGGTGGAACTTTTGCGTAACCTGATCTTGAGGGATGTTGTTTGTAGACACTGCCAGTAAATGGATATGATTTCTACCAAATACGTAGTTGTACACTGACAGTAACATGCTTTTACGAATTGGAACCTTTCTGATAATACTACTGATCATATAACCAAAAAAACACAATAGTACAACAAGTACGGACGTTTCTATGTGGAAATGAAACAACTTTCCTGAGCTTTTGATTTTTTCGTCTCGCCGAGCCCACTAGATTTTTGTGCGTATTTTCTAATGCCCTGTTATGTTGTAGCAGGGCAAAACTGTTGTACTTGAAAATGATTTGACTGGGGAAGTAAACTTAACTTGATTCCAAATTGGAAATCTTTGAACTGTGATCACAGCTTTAAAGAAAGAAAAATCAAAACAAAAGAAAGTCCTTGACCTATAATGAACCTTTTATAATAATTTCCTTATCAGGGCATTGTTCGTGTGGTTTATTGTATGAAGGAGAAAAAACCTGAGCCTCATAGCGTCCCTCTTTTTTTACTCATGGGGAAATACTACTTAAACTTTTCTATTGGTTAACTATAGCTATTTACAGGTTAAGGGTCATTGGTTGTTGATCCTGAAATATGAATTGCAATAAGCTGCAAGCTCAGTGCTTTCCTTTGGCAGACTTAAATAAGATAATGTCACCATCCTCTACTACGTGGTCTTTTCCATACCTATACTGAAGTCCTTTGGCTTTTAATTCGCTCTCATTAACTTTCTCATTCTTCTCCGCTAACTTGATCACGTCACTGTATTTGTATACCTGAGCTGCTATGAAGCTGTCTTTAAGGTCATTGTGAATTACTGCAGCGGCATCAGCTGCACCTGTTCCCCTTTTTATCGTCCATTCTCTTGCCTCTTGTGGACCACATGTGAAATACGATATCAAACTCAAAGAGTCTCTCATTTCTTCAACAACCCCATTTAATCTATTCAGCTCAGTATCCTCTTCTTGTGGATTATCTAATTTGTCATTTTCGTATTGAGCACAAATTAACATGAGCTTGTCGTTGGGACAATTTTCTTGCAACCAAACTTCAATATCCTTCTTAAATTCGGTATCATTTCTTAAATAGTCTTCTTTATTGACATTCAACAAATATACTGTGGGTTTAATGGTGAGGAAATTATACTTTCTGGTCATTTCGACGGATTCGATGTCTTTGAACTTGAATGTACCGATCTTCTTGCCTTCATACAACATCTCTTGAAATTCTTCCAAGAGTTTCAATTCTTTTTTCATCTTATCAATCGGTTGATTTGGCTTCTTTATGGTTTTCTCGAGCTTGTCTATCCCACTTTCCACGAATTCTAAGTCTTTCAAAATTAATTCATCCATAACGATAACCAAATCCCTCACTGGATCTACATTATTCTCTATGTGTATGATGCTGTCATCCCTAAATCCTCTAACAATCTGAAATATCCCATCCACTTGTCGAATATCCTCTAAGAATTTGTTCCCAAGGCCTTCTCCATTGGACGCATTTCGAGTTAATCCAGCAATATCAAATATTTTTAGACTGGTAGGAATTTTTTTCTTTGATCCATATAGTTTTGATAGCTTATCTAATCTTGTGCTTTGAACTAGGATTTTGCTTTCCTCCGGTTCAATGGTTGCAAATGGATAATTGGCAGGATTGCCTAACTTAGTTTTGGTGATGGCTTGGAAAAAGGTAGATTTACCCACATTTGCAAGGCCTACTACTCCCAGTGACAAGTTGTTGGAATTTCTACTTGGTAGCCTGTTAAAATCTATGTCACTAACTTTGGGCTTGAACCTAACCCAAGTTGTGGTGAAAAGTCTAACATGGTTCATCCTAAGGTTTAATTTTTTCAATAGGTGGAAAATAATGAGACTGCAAAAATAAAATACATATTTGGAATGAACCTATTATAAATACTTTACTATTTAACTTCAAATTTGAAAGCTAAAACGGTTTGAAAATACAAAAATCCTGAATGTGGTGGGAAGAAGAAACTTCTGACTTCTTCTGGTCTACCACAGAAAGAAGTAAAACATCTTCATGACTCAACTCCTTCAATAATTCTTCCTCAGAGGGATAACGGAGAGAGTCCAAGAAGTCCTGCAATTTTGATCTTAGATTTTCAATCATATAATCAACATTTGAGATTTCTGACTCTGACAGAGATGGTGATATTTTAGAATGGCCTGTGTTCATTTCAGCAAAACAACTTCTCTTCTCAATGTCTTCGATAATCGAATCAGTGGAATCTCTCTCTGATGATTCACGAGAAAAAAACCTCGATCTCTCAGGTGAAAGACAACACCTATAGTGTTCATCTTCTTCAATCCCACTCTTCGCTTTCTCTGTATGTTCTTCTTGTGAGAAGTTACTATGGTTTAAAGTAGTCTTTGTTTTCTTGGATTTCCTAGGTTTCTCACATCCATTCCTTTCATCATCTGCTAAATTTTTTTCAGAGTCTTCTTCTTGACTAGTTTTCCCAATGGCTGAAAATTTACAAAGCCTTAACTCCTCTTGTGGATAATCTTGAGTATTCATCCCTTTCATACTCCAATCTGCCGTATTGGCTGTGTGGAGGCCTTCACTTGCATCGGAGCAGCTTGGTTGGGAATCCTGACCAAGAATCTTACACATCATTGTATTTGTCTTCGAAATTATTAATACTATTGGAGGCCCTTCCTTCTTTTTATGATGAACTATTGTTATGTTGCACATGAGCAAATATGGTCATTTCGCAGCCACTGAGCATGTACGCCTCTGAACTCAAAAGTTGGGGTTCCATGAGTGATGTCAACTTAACCTGGACTTGCAATCAATTCCCCGTCAATCACGATTGGAAAGCTGTACAAGAATTCTGGGGTGACACCTTCGAGCGCATCATTCTCAAAGATCAACACAAGACACATGAGCCTGCTTAATCTATAAAAATGTAGACGTGCTATGTTAGTTAATACTCGTTGAAATTCGAGGTCTTCTTTGGGGCTTTCAATGATACTACCATCTTACACTATGTTTGGTTTCGCTATTATAATTAATTTACACTCTCACAATAAACGTTAGCGTTGATTTAAAGGCACATTAGGCTTAATTATTTTGTTGGTATATTGGAATAAACGATCTTGGATTGCTGAATGCCAACGTAAATAAAGTAAATAAAGTAGAAGAAGGCGTGAATCAATCTTGCACGCCCCAGTAAGACCAACTTATCCCTTCTAATTTTGGCACATTAATAAGACTATAAAGCGGGAGCTTCTACGTAAAGGTCTGAAATATAATTTGTTAATACACTCATACTACAGACATAGTGTTTACATTACCATTCTTCTAATACGGAACCACATTCAACAACCATAAGAGGACACAATGGGTTATCACTTCATGCAAAATGTTTATCCATATAATTTATCTGCAGGGGTAACATACAAGAAGCGTGTCCGTGATAGTTTAGTGGCTAGAATCCCCGCTTGTCGCGCGGGGGACCGGGGTTCAATTCCCCGTCGCGGAGCTCCTTTTTTTTCAATGGTGTCTTTTGGAATCTTTATGTTAGTACAGTGTTTTCAGAATGAATAGTGCACCTTCGTGATTAGGATGTCGCATTTATATACTTTAAATTTCGTTCTAGCATGAATTTAATATCGCCTGGGACAGATATGAATGCCGGAGTCTCCGAATATGAATATCGCAAGTACTTACAGTAGAATATCGTTGAGCTGGAAGCTGAAGAAAAGTTTACGTGGTGCTAAACTGCGTTTAAAAATCAAACTTTGGGAACGCCAAAACCAAACGAGTGCAACTTTGAGAACAAACTTCAAAGATCAAATCATTTTAACTTTGTGAATTACCTCAGTTATTGTCTGATGTTGATGCTACACGTCGAGATCAGTGTGTAATTTTGGTCAATTATATTTATAGTGGAATCCATTTATGATGCGGTATCATACTTACACTGTGATGGAGTTTCGAGCAGTAATTTTCAGTCTCAGGTCGCATTAATCTAAAGCACTAAAATTTTTCACAAATCGTATAAAGCGTTAGTCAATGTCATTGTTCAAAAGCACAGTTGGTATTCTTCGGGGCAGCTTGGGCGGTGGAAATGACTGCATAGGTTATATCATCAATTTGACCCAGAAACGTAATGCTACAAAAAGAGCTTCAGGTTCTAGAACTAATAAAAATGACTCAGCTGGTAGAAGATTGGGTCCTAAAGTACACGAGAGTAACTTTGTCAATCCAGGTCAGATTATAATGAGACAAAGGGGAACAAAGATTCATCCAGGTGAGAATACTGGTATTGGTAAAGACCATACCATTTTTGCTTTAGAGCCTGGTTACGTGAGGTTTTACTATGATCCTTTCCACCCATTAAGAAAATATGTTGGAATTGCATTGAAAGAAGACTTAACACTTCCAACTCCTCATTTTAGTCCTCGTGTCAGAAGGTTTGGCTATGTGGAGATCAGCGATCCTGTTGAAGCGAAAACTGAGGAAAGCCGCATGTCGAGACAAGAATACTTACAACAACCAGAGTTACAAAAGATTCAAGCTAGAAACTTGGCCAAAGATCAGGAGTTAATTAAAAGAATCACAGAGCAAATATCAACTTTTTTAAAGCTAAATGATGCTGAGAAAATTGAAACAATCTCAAGCACTTTGTTACATGTCCACAAGTTGACAAAATTAGGTCTTTCAGTGGAGGAAGCCAACTTGCAGACCAAGTTCAACTACCTCTATGAGCTTAAATTGCGTTTGAGAAGAGGTGAAATAGAAGAAGGTTACTTCTCTGAATTAAAGGACAAGTACATTGCTTTAGTCGATTTGGTGAACAGCAAGATTACCATAGATATCAATGGTGGTTTGTGTCAGTATTTGTCTCCAGAACAACGCTCTGGTGAAAGAATCAACATTATTTCCAGATTAAATAACTTCAAAGACAAGTTGATTTCCCAATCGGATCAACAAGTTATCAAAGATTTGATCAAGGCCCCTCTAATTTTCACAAAAGTTGAACAAGCGTCTTTGGAAAAGGAATTCTTACCATCAATTTTACCAGAAACTGTAGAGGGGACTGTGGTTACCGATGTCAATACAAAGAAGGTACCTAAAAATATGTTTATTGTCAAGAAGTTTGACAATGATACTAGACAGGTCAAAGTCATTGGAAGAACAAGGGAAGCATTCTTAAAATAACGATCATTGTAAATATAACATTTGTACATAGACTCAGTATAACATTACCTAAATGCGCGTCGAGAAAAAATTATGTGTTGATTTCTTTAGGATAAGTTCAGAACAGATGGAAAACGTTTTGGATCAAGTTAAAGATACTAAAGTGTATCAGGAGTATCAGAAGTTGGGTGTGACATATCAGAAGCTCATCGATCAATCCGTTCCCCATAAGTATTACCGGTGGGGTCTTTTTGGTGGTGTTTTGTTTATCTTTATGGTACGTATTCTAGTGTCTCAAGGATGGTACATCATTTGCTATGCTCTAGGAATCTATCTATTGAATATGTTGTTAGCTTTCTTAACTCCAAAGTTTGATCCTTCATTGGAACAAGAAAGAAGAAGCGAATCTATTGAAGAAGGTTTAGGGGAAGATGATGACCCTGCTGAAAACGAAGAAGAATTCAGACCATTTATTAGAAGATTGCCCGAATTCAAGTTTTGGTACAATTCCACAAGAGCTGTCATACTTGCCTTGATTACTTCTTTCTTTTCCATCTTCGATATTCCCGTGTTTTGGCCTATTTTGTTGATGTATTTCATTATTTTGTTCACCTTAACTATGAGAAAACAAATCCAACACATGATCAAATATAAGTATTTGCCATTCGACTTTGGTAAGGCCAAATACAAGCCAAGAACCTAAAAGTTGGCGAAGAAAGAAAACATCTCAGTTGTAACATAACTCACCTAGAAATTCCAATATAGCTTTCGGGACCTTTTCACGGTTTAACTCATATTCTTTGCAATAATAAGTAGGGTATATAGTTTACGATGAAGATGACATGTAAAGATACCAATACTTCTGAGTGTCTAATAAACATTTTTAATATTTGTTAGTTTAGCAAATGGCATAGATTTCTCTCAAAAAATGCATGCTACTCGTTTTCCGCCGCGAACGATCAATCCTTGAACATTTTATTAGCGGAAGCCCCTATCTCGAAGATAAGATCCAATCCAATTATGAGCAGAGCAGAGATTGATCTTCAAACTAGTGTCAAGAAAGCATGCAATCAAGAGGAGGTACCTCCTAAAAGAAAGCATGTTAGAGCTTGTATTGTTTACACATGGGACCATAAGAATTCAAGAGCTTTTTGGCACGCAATCAAGATTCAACCTTTGCAAAGTGATAAAGTTCAATTGTTCAAAGCATTGGTGATGATTCATAAGATCTTACAAGAGGGTCACCCTAATTCATTAAAAGATGGATATAGAAATAGAGAGTTCATTAGCTCCTTGGGTTCAATATTTCCTTCGAGCGAGTCGAGTTACGGGAGACTTATTAATCAATATGTCAAATACATTTTGAAAAAGTTAGATTTCCACAGAAACAATCCTAGCTTCAATGGAATGTTTGAATACGAGGAGTATATCTCATTAAGAGCTGTTAATGACCCAAATGAAGGCTATGACTCTATCCTTCAATTAATGGAATTGCAAGATGCTATTGAGGACTTTCAAAAGCTCATCTTTGCCTCCATTAACCAAACCCCCGATAACTTGTGCAAGGTCAGTGCATTAGTCCCATTGATTAGTGAAGCATATGGTATTTACAAATTTTGTACTTCTATGTTGCGAGCAATGTACCAACAATTGGGAGACGACGATGCCTTGCAAGCATTGTTTGAAAAATTCGATTCACAACATTTTGTTTTGAGAGACTTTTTCACTGATTGCAACTCAATTAAGTTTTTGACTACTTTAGTCTCCATCCCGAGATTACCGAGCTCTCCTCCAAGCTTGAAAGTTGGTGACGGTGAAACCAGCATCTTGAGACCCAAATCGAATGGTACCGAAAGTTCTACTCCACAAATTTCGTCTCAACCTACTTCGACATTTGTTCCTCCTCAAACGCCCCCTGCTTCTGACCTGATCTTTCTCCAACAAACAGGAGTTTTCGACCAGCAGTTAGCTGAACAACAAAGGTACCAGCAAGAATTAGAAGCTCAGCGTCAACAGCAACTTCAGGATCAATTATCGCAGCAGCAGGCATTTCAGCAACAACAACAAGAACAACATCAAAGGTTCTTACAAGAACAACAAATGTTACAGCAGCAACAAACTCAGCAGCAGCAATCACGCGTTACAGAATTGGAGCACGATTTAATCATGTTTAAGAATCAGTATGACAATGACCAGCTGTTATTGCAACAGTATGATGCTCGAGTGAAATCTCTCGAGAATGAGTTAGTTCAATTGAATGAAAATGCAACTCAACAAGTTGCATCAAAAGATGAACAAATCAGAAGTCTTGAGGAACAGATTTCTAACTGGTCAAAGAAGTACGAATCTTTAGCTAAATTGTATTCAAAATTGCGCCAGGAGCATTTGGATCTATTGTCCAGATTCAAAAAGATCCAGCAGAAAATCAGCAGTGCTCAAGAATCGATCCAAAAGAGAGAAAAATTTGAAAAAGATTTGAAAGCCAAAAACCTTGAATTGGCTGATTTAATTCGTGAACGTGATAGAGCAAGGTTAGACCTCGATAGATTAAGAGGATCCAAAGACCAAGAAATTCAGAAACTTCAAGCTGAATTGAGAGAATTGAATGTGCAAGTCAACGAAAGTGGTAAGTTGCAATCAATGAACTTGTCTACGATTGTGTCGAGTCACCAAAAGGAATTAGAGAGCCTCAAATCTCAATTGAGGGATAGAGATGCTAAATTAAGCCAATTATCTCCAGAGTCATTGCAGGAAAAGCTCAGAGAAAAAGAAATTGACTTAGAAATCGCCCAAGAGTCATTGGAAAGTGCTTTGAATGAACTTGCTCTATCAAAAAATGACCAGGAGGATATTGTGAATGCTGAAATTGATCAAATTCTTTTGAAAAATATAGAGAAATTTAGGTCTTTGATTGATTTATTTTTGAACAACAGCATTAAAAGAATTCAAACTACTAGGCATGAATTGGATTCATCTGTACAAGCAGGAAACTTAAATGCATCCCCTGAGTATGTCTTATCTATCATCGAAGCTTGCTCTGACCTTGCCTCTGACTTTGCCAGTGTTGTCAACGGATTCATAGTGGACGGAAAGAGCTCATACGAAGACGATTCTAGCTATTCTGCTATTATTTTGACAAGTTCAGAGTTGACCACTACTCTCAATGATCTTATGCTTAATATTAAAGGAGTTTCTAGAACTGTTTCGCAAGAGTCAGAAGGTGAGATTTTGGGATTATTTTCGGATGTGTTAGATGATACTGAAGCTTACTTGCATCATATCACTTCCAAGGAATTAGAAAAATTCAAGAACGACGATGACCGGATTGATAGGGTCATTGATTCTAATTTGCAACTCCAACATAGTTTGCAAGGACTAATTGCATATGTGGAAACATTAAGGTCCACAAAGGGAATCAATTTCACCCTGAAAAACTTGGATAAGATGGTTGATGATGAAATGCTTCAAACTGCTAAAACTGTACAGACCGCGTCAAAATTTTTGGCTGACCTTATGTCGAATCCAAAAATCAAAAGTGAAAACTTGGAAGTTCATGGTGCCATCTTAAGTGCTGCCCAAGCAGTTATTGAGGCTGTATCAACACTTATCAAGGCTTCTACAGAGTCTCAAAGAGAAATTGTTAGCAAAGGAAGAGGTTTACAAACGCGTACTGAGTTCTACAAAAAGAACAATAGATGGACAGAAGGTTTGATCAGTGCTTCCAAGGCTGTAGCTGGTGCTACAAATATATTGATTCAGACTGCAGATGGTGTTCTTCGTGAAAGCAATTCTCACGAACAGTTAATTGTTGCTTCGAACGAAGTTGCAGCTTCTACGGCCCAGTTAGTAGCCGCATCAAGGGTTAAAGCTAATTTCGTGTCTCAAACACAGGAAAATTTGGAAACTGCTTCTGTTCTTGTATCTGGTGCATGTAAGTCGTTGGTACATAAAGTTCAGGATTTGATGGAAACAAATGATTTTTATCCAGATGATTTGGATTTGAGCAAGTTAACCCCGTACGAAGGTAAAACTGTTGAAATGGAACAGCAGGTTGAAATATTGAAGCTTGAGAATATGTTAGGTGCTGCTAGAAAGAGACTAGGAGACATTCGTAAGCATGGTTATAGGGATGATGTTAGCGACGATGAACGCTAATTGCTTGTTTAGCTCAGTAGATTGAAAAGTTAGTTGTTTTGTCTTTAAGTTAACCTCTTTGCCTCTAAACTCTAAAATGACTTCCAGCGATTTTGCTATTAAGGGTGTATTCCATGATGGAATAGAACATTGCTAGTAAAAATTGCATGAGCTTTTCTGAATCATCGGACGGCACTGCTTTTTGATCAAAAATCGGGTTTTGCACGTCGCTTTTATTTATGAAAACTGGACCACACTCCTGCAATTTATTATATAGAAATTACGGATACACCTACGAAACCTTTATAATATGTGCATTTGAAATAATATTTCTGGAAAATGTGCTAGTGATTGAAATAAACAATCATGACTCTTCAAGACACAAGTAAACTCTTGTTTAATCTGGTTGATTTTGTAAAATATGTAAAAATTGCAAATTCAATAGTTCTTTTGTCTACTTAACTTTCGTTGTTAAGTACTTTTATCCAACATTTTTGAAGTAGTTTTTGTAGTATTTTTAAATCTTGCTTGAGGATTCGATCCCAATCGTGTTGATATCTTACAATTATGTATGTAGAGCATCTTACTACAGGCTTCCTCTCTTTGGCCATTGGCATTAAAATTTCATTCACTCGCTAGTTTAGTGTCCAGTCCAATAAGTAGTATGTCATTTTGGTTGCAAAACATATATATGCTCAAATACACCCCTCCTCTCATGGATGGGTCACGTCCTCCCTTATCTTAGAAGATACCTTGGCCGTTACTATCATAACTTGCTGAAGTATCGCCACTCATTCTTTCATATGAGCATGGTTTCTCTTGATCTGATGGAGGGTATCATCTGATCTTGCTAACCCCATTGCAATATACTCTTCGATATCGGTCGCTGAAGATTGCTACTGACCAGCAGTCCCATTAGTTGCATAATACCGCTATGCGGTTTCATAAGATAGGTGCGAGAACCTAATGAGCAATGACGAGGAGCCTAATAAAATAGTTGGCGATATTGATATAGCACAAGTGTAGTTAAGTTGCGCACAAGCAGCATGGGGGTACTGATATATGAGAATAAAATGATGCAGTCAGCCTGGATGAATTTTTACTAGTAGCAGATACACAAGACAACAGGACCTAATTCCCTAAAACTTACCTTCGGATAAGATTGTTAGCATATTATGATGCAGTCTTTTTTGGGACCAATGCTACAACTTTATTATCCGAATATTGCATTGTTGGTTTTCAATTAGTATAAAGATTACCAAGAATATTCTATTACACCTACAAGATTCTTAGTCATAATATTCGTCGTGTATCTAAAAATGAAGATAATACCCATACATACAGCCTTTTCAGTAATTTGTGAGGAATCCAAACCCTCGTCACTTTATGAAGCTGAGATATAAACTCCAACTCATACACTTTAAAGACTTAATAAATCATCAATTGTTGGTGTGATACCTATTCTCATTTCCATAATGCTGACAATCTTCAAGTTTTAATCAACACCTAACGAAAATTCTATGTAATCAATCTGCCATTATAGTAGAAACTACATTAGAAAAGATACACTCCAGAATGACCAGTGATATTCAATACCATAGTAGGTACTTTATTATTAACTCAACATGCTACTTAAAAGCAACGCTATGGTCTGAAAGCATGCTGATGCTGAGCCAAGCGATGAATCAACCTA